CCCTAACCCTAACCCTAACCCTAACCCTAACCCTAACCCTAACCCTAACCCTAACCCTAACCCTAACCCTAACCCTAACCCTAACCCTAACCCTACCCTAACCCTAACCCTGCAGCCTAGTGCTCCTTGTGCATAGTGTAGGGTATCAAGCACTTGATCATCCTCTTAGCCAGCCCACCACTGAACTTGTCTGCCAGCAGCTTCTGTTTGTGCTGGTCTGTGCACCTGCAACTGCGCTGCCTGATGTGCTTGCTTGTACAAATGCAAGCCTGGTCCAAGAAATGACATGAAGTTGGGCTGCTTCTGTGCTGCAGCAGTTTAAGGGAGCTTGGTACATGTACGTTATTGACAGATCAGGAGCGCCAAGAGGGCAATTTGCAGGTGAATGGCGCTCAGAGGGTCAACCTTGGGCAGGAGTCTGGGACCCCGCCAGGCATGAATGGGTGTGCATAGTGGAGAACGCTGGCTCGGGACTCGGGCCGTCGCGCCGTGGCGCGCGCTGAAAAAGTTGGCCGCCGGCGGTGGAGCATCTTCCGGCCTCTTCCCTCCCACCACATCCGCCATGTCCTCCTACACCGATAGCGACTCTGCCTTTGACGACGCCGACGACCGCGACCTCGGCGACTGGGACGACGAGGTGCTGGCGCCCGGCGCCGCCGCAGCCGGCGGCATGCAGTACGCCGGCGCCGAGGCCGACGACGGCAGCGCCGGCGCCACGTTCCGCGCCCTCTTCGCGCAGGACGGCCAGCTGCAGACGTTCGGCACGCCCGAGGCGGCGCTGCAGCACACCAAGGAGCTCGGCTGCGACTTTGTGCAGGTGGTGCGGCGCTGCGGTGAGTGCGCGTGCTTGTGGCCCGCAGCGACGACGCTCACCCGCAGCAGCACTCGACCCGCTCGCGGTGATCCGGCTCCTCAACCACCTGCGGCGCGCCGCGCTGCAGCCCGAGAGCATCACGGGCCCGGCGCCGACGCCCGCCTCGGTGCAGGCACTGACGGGCGACGAGCCGTTCTTGCACGACGACGTCGAGCTCGCGCCGGTGCCGGGCGCCGAAATGGACGGCCTGCTGCAGGTCGACTTTGACGCCTTCGCCACCGGCAGCGAGACGGCGGAGCAGGCATCGACCCGCACCGCCGCGGCGCGCATCGCCGAGCTCGAGTCGCTGCTGCACGCGAGCCAGCTGGCGTGCGCCGACCTGCGCGAGCGCTTCACGCGCACGTCGGGCATGGCTGGCGTCGACGACGAGCAGCCGGGCGCGCTGGCGGGCACGTCGGCGTCGTCCGCCCTGCGCGGCTCGGCACGCCTGGCGCCGGCGCGCGACGACGACACGCACTACTTTACCTCGTACGCCGGGCACGACATCCACCAGACGATGATCTCGGACGTGTCGCGCACGCTCTCGTACGCGCGCTTCCTGCTGCACCCGCGCAACGCCGCGCTCATCCGCGGCAAGGTCGTGATGGACGTGGGCTGCGGCAGCGGCATCCTCTCGCTCTTCGCCGCGCGCGCCGGCGCCAAGAAGGTCATTGCGATCGATGCGTCCGACGTGGCGCACCGCGCGGCGGCCAACGTCAAGGACAATGGCATGGACGGCATCGTCGAGGTGGTCAAGGGCAAGGTCGAGGAGCTCGACGAGCGGCTCAAGGAGTACCACGGCAAGGTCGACCTGCTCGTCAGCGAGTGGATGGTGAGTGTGGTGGAGAAGCGCCTCTGCAGCAGCGCTCACACGCATGGCAGGGCTACTTCCTCCTGTACGAGTCCATGCTGCCGTCGGTGCTGCACGCGCGCAACCTGTACCTGGCGCCGACGGGCGTGCTCGCGCCGAGCCACTGCCGCATGACGCTGGCGGCGCTGAGCGACGCAGAGCTCGTCGACCTGCGCCTGCACTTCTGGAACGACGTGCACGGCTTCAGCATGACCAAGATGGGCAAGGGCCTCGACGACGAGGCGTGGAGCGAGAGCGTGACGGGCGACAAGGTCGTGAGCAGCGTGGCGACGATCTACGTGAGTGCCGCTGCGTCGCCGATAACCGGCACTGCGCTCAACGCCTCTGCAGGACCTGCCGCTGCAAAGCATGGCCGCACGGCAGCCCAACTTCGTCTCGCCCTTCTCCATCGTGTGCAACAAGCAGACGACGGTGCACGCGCTCATCTCCTGGTTCGACACGTGGTTCACGCCGACGGGCCGCCCCTTCCCGTCCGAGGGCCGCACCGAGCTGCCCGGCGGCGAGGAGCTGCCTGGCCTGCCGCCGTGCGACCTGCGGTGTCCCACGCCGGCCGACGTACGCGGCCTGGACCTGCGCGGCAGCGCCCAGGTCGACCCGGCCACCGACGAGGAGGGCGGCGAGACCGTGTCCTTCACCACCGGCCCGCACGGCAAGGAGACGCACTGGAAGCAGACACTCTTCGTGCTCAAGGAGCCCATCGAGGCACAAGATGGTGCGTAGAGTGTGCCGCGCCCGCGCATCCCATGCTGACCCGCCGCAGGCACGACCATCACGGGCAAGATCCACGTGACGACGGCGTCGGACAACAGCCGCGAGCTCGACGTGGAGCTGCACTACGAGGTGCTGGCGCCCGGCGCGCCCGAGCGCGCCAGCGGCAAGCAGCAGGTCGGCGTGCAGACGGTGCAGCTCTTCGCCGTGCGCTAGACGTGTATAGAGTGCAATTGCATGGGGTAACGAGTGCGGAGCACGGCCTCAGGCGGACAGCGAGATGCTCAGCGGGTCCTGTCAGAGGCTGGCATGAGCCCGGGCAGACGGCGGCGTGTCGAGACGGGCCGCGATGCTCACTTTGCCGCCCTTGATCTCTGCAAAGGAGGGCATCTTGCCGGCGCCGAGCAGCTCGGCGCACTGCACCATGACGGGGTCGCGGCCCATGCTGGCTGGGGTCTCAGCACAGGGCGTGTCGCTGCGGCGCGCGGCACTCACGTGGCCACGGCGGTGACCGTGTCGCCCTTGGCGTACGTCGCGACAAACGAGTTCTTGGCGACGTCGCCGTCGACGTGCACGCTGTCAAACGTCGGCTGGTTGCCGTTGGAGCAGTAGCGCAGCTGCGCGCCGAGCGCGGACCAGAAGACGGGAATCTTGTCAAACTTGGCCGACTCGGGCTTGCCGGCGAGCGCGGCGCCGATGAAGCGGCCTGCAGGAGGGTCAGCGATGAGCATGCCGGGGCCAAATGCATGCAGGCGCACCGTGGTTCGAGGCGACCTGCGGGCAAGAGTCAGTCGCAGCAACGGCACACCCGCACAGCATCACTCACGTTCCAGTGCTCGATGCGCATCTCGCCGCTGCCCGTGCGCTCGGGCGTCGAGGCAATGTCGCCGGCCGCGTACACGCCCTTGCCCTCGAGGCCCTTGACGGAGAGGTCGGCGTTGACGTGCACGCTGCCGTCCTTGGCGAGCGCCGGGAAGCCCTTGCTGTCCTTGAGGAACTCCGTCGCCGGCGCGACGCCCACGCCGAGCAGCACAATCTGCGCCGGCAGCGTCTTCTCCGAGCCGTCGTCGAGCTTGATGACGACGCTCTCGGCGGCGCCGCTGCCCTGGATCTTGGTGATGCCGGCCTTCATGTAGAAGTGCAGCTTCTGGTTCTCGGTGAGCGCCTGCTGCAGGCCGGCGCCGACCTGCTCGCCGAGCACGCGCTCCAGCGGCACACCCTCCATGCCGACGACGCTGACGCTCTTGGCCTTCTTGCCGGCCATGGCAATGGCGCCCTCGATGCCAATGAACGAGCTGCCGATCACGACGACGTCCTTGCCCTCGATGCCCGCCTCGGTGATGGCCTTGGTGTCGGCGAGCGAGCGCAGCGTGAAGACGTTCTTTAGCTCGCCCTCCTTGGCGCCGGGCACGGGCAGGCGGCGCGCGGCTGCGGAGCGTGTCAGCACCACTCCACTGCTATGCGCATGCACCACTCACTGCCGCCGGTGCCGAGCACAAGCGTCTCGTACGGCACGCTCTCGCCGCCGTCGAGCAGCACGGCGCGCTGCTCGAGGTCGACGCCGCGCACCTGCGTGCCGCTGCGCAGCGTCGCCTTGAGCGCACGCTCAATGTGCACCGGCTTGCGCCACTCGACGGCGCCGGCGTCGGCGATGAGCGCCTTGGAGAGCTTGGTGCGGTCGATGGGCGCGTGCGGCTCGGCGGAGAGGAGCGTGATGGGGCCGGTGTAGCCGTTCTGCGGCGCAGGTCAGCGCCGTGTGTCACGCCTGCGACGGCACGCTCACCTTGCGCGCGCTCTCGAGGCAGTTGATGCCCACGGCGCCGCCGCCGACGATGACGAGCCCGCGGCCCTCGCCCTGCGCGCCGGCGGCCGCCTCGGGCGCGACGTGGCCGTTCTTGACGTCGTCCTCGCTCGCAGTGACGTACACGTCGCCGTTGTCGTCCTGCTCGACGGCGTACTTGCGCAGCGACGAGAGGCCGGGGCTGCATGCGTGCCGTCAGCCGCCGTGCGTGATGCCTGGCACCCTGCTGCCATCTACCGCACACCTGCCGCCGCACTACACCCCTCCACACCACGCCCACCCCACTCACGCATCCTCAATGTCGCCGTCCTTGCCGAAGCGCGCGCCGTGCCACGGGCACACGACGGAGCCGTCGGCGGCCATGCAGCCCTTCTCGAGCGGCGCGCCGTAGTGCGTGCACTTGTTGGCTGTGGCGTGCAGCGTGCCGCCGACGTTGCGCACGAGGCTGGGCGGGGGTCAGCCGGGGTATCGCTCAGAGCACACCGCTGCACGCACACCTTGAGCGCGTCGTCGCCCTCGCCCGAGAAGGTAAAGGCGGCGAGCTGGCCGGGGCGCGGCGCATCGGCGGCCGCGGCGACCTTGACGCGGCGGGCGGACATGGCAGGCAGCGAGGTGCAGAAGCGGCGCAGGGAGATGTAGCGGGTGGTGGTGGAGGAGCGGGCGGCAGCAGCGAGCGCCGGCGGCAGAGGCATGCGCAGCGGCGAGAGTGCGGCGACGGTGCTGCGGCAAGGGCGCAGGGCGAAGAGGAGGTGGCTTGAGGGCGTAGAGTGAGGTACGGAGCGAGGCACCCAGATGGCCTGGGCCGCCCCTTTATGTGCCTGCGCTGCTGACAGCGGCCCGATGGCGCACGCAGGGTGCAGAGACGCACGCACGCAGAGCGCAGCGGCGGTGCGGGGTGGAGGTTCAGGTGCGCGCCTGGCGCGTGCGCATCGCCGCGCCGCCTGCCACGCGCCCTGCATTGGTCATCCGCATGCCGTGCTCCCTCGAGCCCCGCAGCCGGGCCCGGCGCCTAGGAGCTGGCTGCTGCACACGGCTGTGAGCACGCTCGTCAGTCCGAGCGCGAGTCCGTGCTGCGTGGTGCTCTCGCTGCTCTGCGCGGGGAGCACGAGGACGGCGGCCGCGGCTTGGGCAGCGCTCAAAAGGCGCGCTCTGGGACGCCTCGCGTCTGACGTCACGCGCTCGCGGCTGCAGCACGCTTCCTCCGCGCCCTTCGCACCCCCTCGCACACGTCAAATGTCGCCGAGCTCATCTCCACTCTCATTGCTGGCAGCGAGCAGTCTGCAGCGCCTGGCATCGTCAGGAGAAGCGATGGTGCATGTCAAACAAAGCCTATGCAGAAGCGGCTGCGGCAGGCATCGCTGTGCTGCAGGTCGACAGGCTCGGGGCCGGGCAGCCCGGCGGCACAGGCTCACGGCACGGTGCAGAGCGATCCAACGAGCGGCACGGTGCTGGCTGCAGCGTCTCGTGGGTGGTTTGCAGCGAGCGCAAGCTTGCGCCGTCGGCTGGCTGCGCGTGGGCTGTGACGGGCCACGGCGCTGAGCGCATCGTTCTCAGCGAGAGGGCATGCTGGCTGCTCTGCGTTGGCTGGCACCAAGAGGCGCAGTGGACGAGAGAGCGGAACGCGTTGGTGGGGTTGCAGTAAGAGTTCGGGGTGCTGCTGCTATCCGCCTTGTGGACAGATCCGTGCGCTGCGCTGCTCAGTGCCGGCTGCGTGCGCCGGTGAGCTCGGCTGAGTAGAAGCAGATGCCCTGCTGCAGTGGGCGTAGCGTCAGGCGAGGCCCTTGCACTTGCACTTGCCCCTTCTGATGCGTGCGCACTCACAGCGTCGAGCCAGTCGCGCACGCTGTCCTTCTTCTTGAAGCGCACGCCGGCACGCGTCGCGACGCTGAGCACCTCGTCAAACGCCACGGGCTCGAGCTGCAGGATGCGCCGCCGCAGCTGCGCATCGCCACGCACGGCACGCTGCAGCGCCTCGTCGAGCGTGCGCTCCACGGCGCCGGGTGCCGCCTCGGCCGGCTCGTCGGCGCCCGACGAGGTGTCGTCGTCGACCGCGGCGTCATCGTCCATGCTCGCCGAGCGGCGCCGCCGCCGCCGCCGCACGCTCTGCGCCAGCGGCACCTCGTCGCTGCTCGGCTCGCGCTCGGCGTCCGTGTCGGCCTCGCGCGCCAGCTGCATCGTCACGTCGCCCGGCTCGTCGACGTCGCCGGGCGCCGACCACGTCGAGTGCATGCTGGTGTCGCCCGCCGCCGACGCCGATGCGGCCGCCTCGGCCTCGCGCTCGCGCAGCGCTGCCTGGCACGCGGCGAGCTGCGAGCGCAGTGCTGCGACGCCAGCGGCGGGACGCAGGCCGAATGCGCGGACCTGCGCCTGCGAGCAGCGTGTCAGCAGCAGAAGGGATGGGCAGCATTGGCGCCACGCACCTGCAGCGCGAGCAGCGTCGCCTCGTCGGCCTGCTCCTCTGGCGCGCTCGCCTTGGCCTTGGGCTTTGACTTCGCCACGCGCGCCGCCTTGGCCGCCTTGGGCACCTTCACCGCCGCGCCCTCGGCCGACGCCCGGCTCTTTGCGCTCTTGGCCTTTGGCGCCTTGGCCGGTGCGGCGGCGGCGGCGGAGAGCGCGTCGAGCTGGGCGAGGAGGCCGCTCATGCCGCAGCGCAGCCTCGGGCGCGGCGGAGCGAGGCGCAGCGCGGTGCGGCAGAGCAGAATGGCGGGTGCGGCGGGCGCGCAGGCGTGGTGGTGGTGGGAGGGCGGGAGGTGATGTGGCGCCGTGCGATGTCGATGTGTTGCTCTCGGCGCGCGGCGCTTGGCTTGCTTTGACGCGTCGCGCGTCTCGTCATCACCTCTCTCCGCACCTCCACCATCACCCGCACCGCCATGTCGTCGCGCTCGTCGCCCGCACCCGCCAGCGACGCCGGCGCCGGGCCCAGCCGCCTGCCCGCGCACGCCTCGTACGGCACGCGCAGCCGCACCAGCACCGCCGGCACCGCCGAGCCCGCTGCGCCCGCCGGCCGCGCCAAGCGGCGCCGTGCGGCCAAGGCCGAGCCGCAGCCCGAGACGCCCGAGCAGCGCGAGGCGCGCGAGCAGGCCGCCGCGCGCGAGCAGCAGCGCCTGCGCGACGCCGCCGACGCCGAGCAGGAGCGCCAGCGCGAGGAGGCCGCCTGGCTCGCCGGCTGGAGCGAGGAGTACTTCGAGAGTGAGTGGGGGGCGTGGGTGCGCGGGCGGTGCAGCGTGCTCGGCGGTGCGCCATGGCGGTGGGTCAAGAGGCATGGCTGCACTACGTGGCGGTGGGTCAAGAGGCATGGCTGCACTACGTCAAGACCGCTGCTGAGGTCGCTGCGGGCATGCCTCTGCGGCTAGGAGACGCACTGGTCGGCCTGCGCTGCGCTGGCCGCGTGCTCTGTCGCGCTGAGCCAGACGCCCGCCATGCCGCACATCTCTGACGCTGCCCACAGTCGTCGAGCAGCTGCCGCTCGAGCTGCACCGCTCCTTTGCGCTGATGCGCGAGCTCGAGACCAAGGTGCAAGGTGCGTGCCGGCCCGTGGCTCTTCTCCCGCACCCCGGCTGAGCAGTCTGCAGGCCGGCTGGCAACACTCGCGCGCGAGACGCGCCTCTACCGCGACGCCCGCCTGGCGCCGGCGTCAGAGAGCAAGGAGACACGCCTGGCACGCCTGCGCGCCGTGGCGCTGGCGGCCGGCGAGGCGCAGCGCGCGTCCGAGGAGAAGGTCGGCCTGGCGGTGACGGCATACGCCTCCGTCGACGCGCACATCCGGCGCCTCGACGCGGACCTGCAGCGCAGCGAGAGCAGCCTGCTGCTCGGCCTGCGCGCCGGCACCGAGGCGAGCCGCGGCGTGCGCGAGGCGCTCGGCATGGCGTCGCCCGAGGAGGAAGCCCGGCGCGCCGACGACACGCCGCAGTCGTCGGCGCTCGAGCTCGAGGCGCCCGAGGCCGAGACGTCGCCGCAGCCGGCGGCGCAGGCGCGCGGCCGCAGCCGAGCGCGTGGCGGCCGCGGCGGGCGTGGCGCTGGACGGGGCTGGCGCGGCGGCATGCGCGGCAGCTGGCGCGAGTGGAAGGGCGACGGCGCCGCACCGGATGCAGCGCCCGACGGCGGCGACGGCGACGACGAGGCGGCGCGCGGCCTCGTGCCGGACATGCCCATCGACCCCAACGAGCCCAAGTACTGCTACTGCGACCGCGTCTCGTTTGGCGACGTGAGTGCCGCTGCCGTGCTGCTCGCCTCGCCCCGCTGACGCGCCGCAGATGGTGGCGTGCGAAAACGAGGACTGCCCGCGCGAGTGGTTCCACTACGCCTGCGTCGGCCTCGACGCCGAGCCGAGCGGCGCGTGGTGGTGCCTCTTCTGTGCGCCGCCCGCGTGGCCGGGGCGCAAGAAGGCCGTCGTGCCGGAGGATGCGCCGTGAGTGGTGTGCGGTGTGGGCGACACGGCGAGGGCTGACGAGTGCTGCACAGGTGCAAGCCGCCGTCGCTTCCGGCTGTTGCAGGACGCTCGAAGCGCTGAACGTAATGCACATGTCATCCATGCCCTTGTCTGAGGTGCCCGATCGGACGCGGAGGGCCGCGGACCGGAGGGCTGCCGGCCGCGTGGCTTGGCAGGGTGCTCGGCGGCGCACCCGGAGCCGACCTCCGAGCCGTAGACCGGGATGCCCAGTGTGCTGCAGTGTGAGGGGCCCCGTGGAGAAAGGAGCGGCCGCCGGTCCGGGGCGCCGGCGTGGTGGACGGTGCCTGGCGAGCGGGTCCGGCGCAGCGCCCGCCGCGTTGGCCTCGGCCAGCGAGCGGGCAAACTGCGCCGGTCCGAGCCCCGATACATGCCAGACTTACACTGCTGCCGTGCCGGCGCTGCTTCGGAGCTCGGACCGGTCCGGTCCGCTGGGTCGCGCTTGTGCCGGCGCCGTGTTGACCGTGACGGCGGCGCAGGAGCAGAGGAGGGCGGCTGTGGCAAGACGCGCGCGCCGCCGCCGCAGAGCCGGAGGGGCAGAGCCTCTGACCGCCGCGGCGACGGCAAACGTTAAGAAGCGCGCCCTTGTCGTTCCCCACACTGCCCCACACACTCCTCGCCTCGCCTCGCCATGTCCACCTCCTCGCACGACAAGAAGGACTCGCTGCGCACGGCGTCGCACGACGCCCACGCGCCCGCGCCGCTGCTCACCGCCGGCGCCGTCGAGCCGACGCCGGCGGTGGCGGCCGCCGTCGATGCCGACCAGGCGCGCCAGCTCGCGCTCCTCGCACACCTCTCGCCCGACGAGCGCCGCGCCGCCGAGAAGGCCCTCGTGCGCCGTGTCGACCTGCGCCTCATGCCGCTGCTCATCCTTGCCTACATCACCAACTACCGTGAGTGGTGCTGTGTGACGTGTCCTGCACGGCTGCTGACGCCCTCTCGCAGTCGACCGTAATGCCATGGCTAGCGCGCGCCTCGGCGGCATGCAGACGGACCTCAACCTCGATAATGCGCAGTGGGCCACTGGAATCAGCATTCTCTTCGTCGGGTGCGTTGCGGCAGCATGTGCCGCTGCGCTGGCCCACACGCTCACGCCGCCCACAGCTACATCCTGCTGCAGATTCCCTCGTCGAACCTCATGCTCTGGCTCGGCCGCCCGCGCCTCTACATGGGCCTCGCCATCATCGTGTGGGGCGGCATCAGCACCGCCACTGCCGCCGCCGACAGCTACTCGCACCTGCTCGTCATCCGCATCTTCCTCGGTGTCGTCGAGGCCGCCTTCTTCCCCGGGTGCGTGTGGCGCCAGACTTGGTCTCACCCTGACACGCGCTGACACCCGCGCAGAGCCCTGCTCATCCTCTCCAAGTGGTACACAAAGACGGAGCTCTCAACACGCACGGCTATCCTGTACTCTGGCTCGATCATCAGCAATGCCCTGGCTGGCCTCATCGCGGCTGGCATCCTCGGTGGCATGGACAACGTCGGCGGCATCGCCGGTTGGAAGTGGCTCTTCATCCTGGAGGGTGTCGCGACGATCCTCATTGGCGTGCGTACTTCGGCGCGGTCTCGCTCCTCCGCAGCTGACCCTCTCGCCTACCAGGTGCTCTGCCTCGTCTTCCTGCCCGAGTTCCCGCACAACTCGCCGTTCCTCAGCGAGACGGAGACGGCCATCGCCGTGCAGCGCATCGCCGAGGACAGCGGCCGCCGCGACATTGCCGGCGAGGACGGCGAGACGCCGCTCTCGGGCTTCTACGCCGCGATGAAGGATCCCGTCGTGCACCTCCTCGCCGTGTGCCTCACCTTCTGCGTGCTCTCCGTCAGCTTCAACGCCTTCTTCCGTGAGTGGCATGAGCGTGACCCCTTCCTCGGCTCCCCGCTCACACACCCACAGCCTCCATCGTCGGCACACTCGGCTATTCGCGCATCGTAACCCTCTTGTGTACGGCACCAATCTGGGCGTTTGCGTGGCTTGTTGTCTTCTTCAACGCTCGCCACGCGGACAAGACGGGCGAGCGCTTCCTGCACATCTCGATTCCCATGCTTGTGGGCATCGCGGGCTTCATCATTGCGTCGGTGACGACGAATCTGGGCGCGCGCTTCTTCGCCCTCTTCATCATGGCCTCGTCATACGGCGGCTTCGTCGTGATCCTGCCGTGGATCAGCAACAGCGTGCCGCATCCGCCGTACAAGCGCGCCACGGCGATTGCCTACGTCAACTGCATCTCGCAGGTGGGCAACATCGCCGGCAGCTACGTCTGGGACTCGCGCTGGGCCCCGTCGTGTGAGTGCCCACGTCGCGTGCCACTGATGTGCGCCGCTGACACCTCTTCGCTACCCAGACTGGCAGAGCAACACGATCTGCGCATCCTCCGCCCTCGTCAGCATCGCGACGGCGCTCGTGCTGCGGCAGGTGCTGCAGCGCCGCAACCGCGCATTGGCACAGCTGCAGGGCCTCGAGCACGGCGCTGCCGAGGACGGCAAGCACGGCGAGAAGCTGAAGCTGGCGCAGGCGAACTTCCGCTACCTCGTGTAAAAGCGCTGCACTGCACTGCGCACTGCGCACTGCTTCCGAACGACCTGTCACGCTGCAATGTAACGTCTGAGATGTGTTTCAGCAGCCGTGCGTGTCGCTGTGTGCGTTGCTGTGTGCGCTCAAGTGCGAGGTTGGCGGCGATGCAGCGGCGAACCGGTCGGCACAAGCATGACTGCCGCAGCCACGAGGCGGCGTGCGCGCAGACGTGGGAACAGCACTCTGCTGGCCTCGGCGCCGGCCGCGTTCGGGGGCCGCAGCGGGTCAGGCGACGCTGTGTCCACTGCAGGCTGAACAGGACCAGCACGGCTCGTGCACATCTCGCTGCTTGCACTGTCGTGCAGCGATGGCAGCTTGACGAGCGGCGGCCAGTAGAGTGGCGCTTGCATGCGGCGACACGCGCGGCAGCACAGGGGCCGCCGGCCTAGCGCTAGAGGGCGCCCCACTTTGCTTCCTCTGCGGCGTGCGCCATCCCTGCAAGCCTCGCTCGGTGGTCCACATCCGCTTTCTGCGACCAAGAATTGGCCGAGTTGCTGCTGCGCTGCAAGCTATGTGGTTCGGACGAGCACGGCGCACCGTCCAGCTTGCTGCTCCGCACTGCCGCCGCCGCTGCGCGCGCGGGGCTGACGGCGGCCCCCACTCCCGCTCGGGCCATCTCGCGTGCCGGGCCCGTCCGCGCCGGTGCGCACGGCCGGCCGCCAGTAGAGTCAGCATGCAGAGTGGTTGTGCACACGATTGACGGCCGTCAGGCTCATCCATCGTACAGGTAGAGCACCCGGCGACTTGGCGCAGGTGTCGTGCGACAGCAGCCCCACAGACGCGCCTGCTGCGGCGGCGGCCTCGCAAAGTCAAAAGCAGCGCACCGCGCACCCCTCGCCGCTGTCCATCACCACCACCTCACATCACCACCATGCCTTTCACCGGCTCCTGCCTCTGCGGCGCGTGCACGTACGAGTACTCGGGCGACGCCGGCCCCGGCATTGCGTGGTGCGTGTGGTGGGCCTGTGTGCTTCGCTGCTGCTGCTCACGCACCCTCAGCCACTGCACCAGCTGCCGCCGCTACACTGGCGGCCTGGCCAGCTTCAAGTGCGTCGTCGTGCATCTGCTACCGCCCGATGGCTGACCGGGGCGCAGTCTCGGCGTCGAGGCGGCCAAGCACAAGTGGACGAAGAAGGACGGCCTGGCCTCGTACCTCGACACGTGGTGAGCAGCACCGGACACCGCATGGCCGCTCAGCACTGACATTGCCTGCAGCGACAAGGGCGAGGGCCCGCGCCGCTGGTTCTGCAGCAAGTGCGGCTCGCCGCTGGCGACGACGCTGGGTGCGTGGCGGCTGCTGTGCCCTGCGATGCAATACTGAGCCCGCTTGCAGAGTACGACCCCAAGCCCATGTTCCTCAAGGCCGGCGCGCTCGACGACCTCGACGGCGTGATGCCCGAGATCTCGGTGCACCTCTTCTGTGCGTTGCGCGGCTGCAGCGGCCCCTGCACGTCAATTGCTGACGCTGCGCAGACCCGTCGGCGGCGCGTGCCACGGCCAAGGGCTGGGACTTTGCCGGGCAGACGCTGCTCAAGGGCATGCCCGGCTCGGAGCAGGTGTCGGCGAAGTGAGCGCGACAGCAGCCGGCTGTCTCTTAGTGCCAAAGCTGCGATCGTGCGAAATGCAGCGATCTCGCCTCGTCTGATGTCTCTGCCTGTGCTGCGGCATCCGTCGCTGATGCTGCATGCCGTGCCCGAGGCCGAGCGGACGCTTGCCGCACGCTGCCGCAAGCGTGGCGCGCACGCGGCGGATGCGTCTGCGGCGCGCACGTGGGCGCCCAACGGCTGCCGCCGCCTGGCGCATCCGCCAGCGCCATCCCGGGCTGGCCCCGCCTTCGTTGCTGCTCTGTGCTGCATCGCAAAGGGTCGCTGCGCTTGCGGTGCGGAGCAGGCATGCCATTTCAGCGTCAGCGCATCGGTGCAGCCTGCCCGCCGGCGACCCTGCATGCTGCGGCTGCACGCTGATGGCGCGCGCCGCACCGCGTGCACCTCTCGGCCGGCGGCGAGCGCGCCTCGCATGCGCCTCTTTGCCCGCGAGCTGCTGCCATGCGGCGCCTGGCGTGGGAGGAGGCCGAGCGCGACGCGATGCGGTGCGATGAAGCAGCGCCGGATGCGCATGGACGAGCGAGAGGGCTGCCTTGTGGTTGGTGAAGGGAACAGGTGCGGTGCTGCGGCAGATGACGTTGACAGCGCCGAGAACAACACCTGGGCGGCGCCGGCGAGAGCGAGAGGCACGGCAGCGGCGGGCGGCCGCGTGACGGCGCGCGCGCGCGCGTCGCGTGAGGCAGCGCGTTAAGTGGCGCGCGTCGGGGCGGCGTGAGAAGATCCGCCGCGCAGGCACGGCGCGAGTGTGCGGGCGCTGCACGGTGCACGCGCTGCATCGCCCAGCGCAGGCGGGCAGCGCGGCACCAGAGCAGTGGGCGGCAGGGCAGAGGCGAGGCGAGCTCTCTGCGTGGCCTGGCGATGGCAGCCGCCGGCCATCGTCCATCCCTCCTCCCTACCTCACCACCCAGCGACACCTCACTCCGGTCCTCACACCTCATTCTGGCACTAACACACACACCACACTGCACCGCACTTGCCACAGCCACCCGGCATGCCGACCACGCGCGCGCTCAGCGCCCGCCTGCAGGCCACCACGCCCACGCCCGACGGCGCCGATGCTGGCGAGCTCACGCCGCTCAAGCCTTCACTCTCGGCACCGCGCCTCTTCCGCCGCACCACGTCGCAGCCGCAGCCGCTGCTCGGCGGCCGCCGCGCCTTTGCACGCACCGTGTCGATGCCCGCCGTGTACGCGCCCGAGGACGGCGCCGGCAGCAGCAGCGGCGGCAGCAGCGCACCGCGCACCCGCTCCGCACCGTCGTCGTCCGCGAGCAGCTCAAGCACGCCCAGCCGCCGCACGTCCGTCAGCCGCACACGCAGCAGCTGCGGCGCCGGCGACGGCGCGCCCGACGACGAGCCGCCGCACGCGCAGCGCGTCGGCGGCTGCAGCCAGGACAGCGAGGCGCTCGAGGCGCGCGACGACAGCAACAAGGAAAACGTGGCGCCGCTGCGCCAGGCGCTCGACATGACGGAGCGCCAGCGCATGGCCGAGGCGCGCGATGCTCAGGAGGAGGCCGTGGCCCGAAGAACCCGTGCCAGCGCCGCCTCGCCGATGCAGCGGCGCGCGCCGTCGCCCGCCGCGTCGGCGACGGCACGGCGCCTGGCGCGGCCCAGCATGAGCTCGTCTTCGTCGGCTCGCTCGCTGCGCAGTGACGGTGAGTCGTGCATGCATCGCACAGCCACACAGCATACTGACACCTGCGCCAGGCCCCGCGCGCTCCTTCTCCAGCACGTCGTCCTTCTCCGCCGGCGGCACCCGCAAGCGGCCACGCAACGCACACGACGACGAGCTCAGCTTCGAGGCACTCGCCGCCCTCACGCCCGGCGCATCCATGTCGCGCCTGCGCCTCAACGACGGCGCCGCATCGTCGTGCGGCGGCAGCATTGCCTCGCCGTCGGTGTCCAGCTTCTCCTACGCCTGCGACGACGAGAGCTACTTCTCCAGCCAGGGCACGGCGACCAGCTCGCTCTTCGAGAGCCAGCTCTGCGACAGCCAGGCGTCGCGCTGCCTCACGCCCGCCTCGTCGGTGCCCTCGACGCCGACACACCGCACCAAGGAGCTGCCGGCCGTCGAGGCGGCGCCGACATTCGCCAACGTCTACAGCCACGCTCGCGCGCTGCTGCGCTGCAGCTCCGGCACCGACGACGTCGACGAGGGCTCCGAGGCCGCTGCCGAGGTGCAGGTCGTGGGCCGCGAAAAGGAGCGCAAGACGCTGCAGCGCTTCCTCAACTCGCGCTTCGAGCTCTACCAGCACCTCGAGCACAGCGCCCACCCGGCCGGCGAGGGCGAGGCGCTCGTCGAGCTCGACGGCGCGCAGGACTCGGGCGCGCTGTACGTCTGCGGCATGCCCGGCACGGGCAAGACGGCGCTGCTGCGCAGCATCCTGGCGCAGCTGCGCGAGGACCAGCTGGCGCTGCCGGCGCCGCGCATCGCCTTTGTCAACTGCATGACCATCGAGCACCCACGTGCCATCTTCGCCAAGGTCCTGCAGGCTCTCGGCGAGCGCGACGACGTGCCGGCGTCGGCGGGCACCGACGCCGTGGCCGACGCACTGGCCGAGCGCGACCTCGGCGCTCTTGTCAAGGACCCCAAGCGGCGCACGCTCATCGTGCTCGACGAGATCGACCACCTGCTGCGCAACCGCGCACAGCAAAACGTGCTCTACCGCCTCTTCTCCTGGGCCGCCACCGCTGCGCCGAGCAAGAACGGCCGTGGCACGTGTGCGCTCATCGGCATTGCCAACTCGCTCGACCTCACGGAGCGCTTCGTGCCGCTGCTCGCCAGCAAGGGCGCGCCGCCGGCGCTGCTGCACTTCCGGCCCTTTGGCGCCGCCGAGATCGTCTCGGTCGTGCGCGCACGCCTCTGCGGCCTGCGCGAGCGCTACGACGGCGGCATCGTTGCCGAGGAGACGATGGACGTCGACCCGACGCCGGCGCTCTTCACGCCTGCCGCGCTCGAGCTCGCCGCCAAGAAGATCGCACAGGCCACCGGCGACCTGCGCAAGGCCCTCGACGCCGCACGCCTGGCCGTCGACGCCGTCGAGACGGAGCAGCGCAAGAAACTCCTCGCCGTGCCCGGCGCCGAGGACTCCGCCACGCTGCTGGCACACTTTACGCCCATCGACGCGCCCAAGGTCACGCCGGCACACATCCTGCGCGTGCTCAGCGCCGTGCTCGGCAGCCCGCAGCTGGCCAAGGTCCGCTCGCTCGGCCTGCAGCCCAAGCTCGTGCTCCTCGCCATCCTCGTCGCGCAGCGGCGCGCACAAGAAGGCCTGGCCGTGCTCGGCAGCGGCTCGTCTGGCAGCCAGGACGGCAGCAGCAGCAAGACGCGTGCGCTGCGCCTCGTCGACGTCGAGGCCACGTACGCCGCCGCCATCAAGAACGACGGCTGTGCCTTCTCGACGCTCGAGGCCTCGGAGTTTCTTGACGTCGTTGAGCTCCTCGGCGTGCACGGCCTCGTGAGCACAAGCGACGGCGAGTCCAACGCCGCTGCCGCCTCGTCGGCCGGCGCACGCCGCGCCAGCAAGAAGCAGCTGCAGGCGGCGAACCGCAGCGTGGCACTCGCCATCGGCGCCGACGAGGTGCTCAAGGGCATCACGACGCCGCCGCCTGCCTCGAGCGGCATCGCGCCGCAGACGTCGACGCTCGAGGCCGTGCGGCGCATGTGGAACGCCGAGGAGGAGCGCATCCGCCGCACGCGCGGCTGGGAGGCGCGGGCCCGCGAGATGCAGAGCGTGCGCGACGTCGAGCTCGGCGGCGGACGCATGGCCCAGGGCTCCTTCTAGTCGTTCCCGGACCCCCTTGATGCTTCATGACCCTCACACGTGTCTCCTTCACACTCTTGCAACATCATTTGCAACCGCACGACCCTGTCCACGCCTTCTCACGTAGTCGTCCCGCCCGCCGCTTCATCTTCCGCCCGATCTTCATTCATCTTCACGCATCGCTTGTCCCGCATATCCCGTCGTTGCCCGAATGCCATATCTACCCGGACGTGCGGGGTGACGAGATGTAGCGCACGGCGGTGACAGACGCAACCCATCGCATAGCGTGTCCTCTCGCACACGGGTTCCATCGGCGGCCCAGCGCATCGCATGCCCTCCCTCTCTTTCCCGTCGACCAACACGCCAGGCTACAGCGCAGATCAGTGTGATTTGCAGGGGGTGGTGGGATGGATGAGGCGCGACATGAGTGGGTGCAAGAGTGAGGGGAACGTGACAATAGAGGAAACAACACGCTTTTTATGCCGTGTACACCGGCTTGGCCTTGCGCGGGCCCTCGACCTGCAGGCGCTCGGCGCCCGTCTGGTAGATGCCGTGGCCGAACGTCGAGGCCGTGTTGATCCACTTGAGCGACGTCTTCTCGAGGTCGCGGCGCGACGTGTGGACCATGAGCGACTTGCGCACGGTGAGGATGCGCTTGCGCGGGCCGGGCACGGAGCCCTTGACCATGAGGAAGTCCTCGTTGACGACACCGTAGTGCGGGAAGCCGCCCATCGGCGTGATCGGCTTGTCTCCGATGTCTGCGGGGGGGTGTGAGAGGCGGCGCAGCGACGCGGCACACAGCACGACTCACCGAACGACGTGGAGCCGGAAGCCTTGTTGGAGCCAGTGTCGATGCGGTAGATCTTCTTGTTGAGCTCCGTGCGGTGGTGGTAACCGTCCTGACCGGCGCGCGGCACCGTGTACATGACCTCGGCCGGGTGCCAGGCACCAATGCAAGCAATCTGCGCTGCGTGTCAGACCCGCTCGCAAACCCACACACACCCACGCGACTCACCTTGCGGAGACCCTTGTGGGTCTTGCGCGGCAGCTTCTTTGTGCCCCAACGCGCCGTCACACCCTCGAAGCCGTGACCCCGCGTGACGGCAATGATGTCGACGTTCTCGTTCTCCTCGAACAGCGACTTGGCGTCGAACGTCTTCTCGAACGACGCCTTGGCGAAGTCGACCTTGTCGGCGACGCTGCCGCCGTTGACCTGGATCTCCATCATGTGCGCCTTCTTCTGCTTCAGGCCCGTCTTGCGGATCTGCGTGTGGGCAAGCACGCGCACGACGGTGCAGTACTTGCGGATGCGCTCGAGCTCGCGCGCGATGCCCGCGCCGTTGTTGGCCGAGTGCTTCTGCGCGTACTTGGTGAAGGCCTTCTTCTTGCTGCGGTACCAGTTCTTGTAGAAGCGGCGCTTGACCTCGTCGGACAGGTGCTCGGCCCACACAGTGGTGAGCGAGCGCAGGCCGCGCGGCGTCTCGACGTAGCCGACGACACCGACGACGACCATCGGCGGCGCCTCGATGACCGTGACGGCCTCGACGATCTCACGCTTGTGCATCTTCGAGCCGGGGCGGTCGAGGTCGCGCACGACGTGCGTCATGCCGGCCTTGTAGCCCATCATGGCCGTGAGGTGGACCGGCTTCTTGGCGTCGTCCTTGGGGAACCTGCAGCGAGCCGCGCATCAGCACTGCGGCTCTGCGGCTCGAGTGTGTGCGGCTGGCGCAGGTGCCGCTGCGTCTTCATCGGCCTGTCTCTCTGCGCACGCCGCGTCGCCATCTCGCTCGTCACATACCGCAGCTCCCTCTCGTCCACCTGCCCCTCTCCCGCATTCCTCTCCGCCTTCTCCCTGCTCTGCCACTGTCGCCACGCAACACTCACGACTTCACCTTTCCGCGGTGGCGGGCCGCGCGCTTGCGCGGCAGGAAGCCGGTGTGGCCGTCTGTGGGTCAGAGGAACGGGTGAGCGCCGGCCCGGGTGAGGCGGCCCACTGGCCGCGCAGCCGCGCATATATGCGCAGCATATGCACGGCCTGTGGTGCCGCATTTGTCGGTGCCACTCACGCCGGGGGTGCTCGAACTTGCAGTGCGACATCTTGAGGGACGGAGCAGGTAGGCGGGAGGAAGGAGTGGCGGCGCGGCGTGGCTCGAGGCAGCGGCGGCGCGGCGGGCGCGGCGGCGGCTGGCCGTCGAAGACGCCTCGGCCGAGACGGTCGCGGCGCGCGGCAGAAGGGGGGGCAGAGGAGTCGCGCGCGCGGTATGCCGCAGCGCCGCGTCTGCTGCTGCTGCTGCCAACGCTGGCGCCGCGCCGCTCACCGTCCGCCGTCCGCCGGCCGCGTCCGCTGCGCCACCTCTCGCTGCGATGCTGCCTGCGTGCTGCGCCGGCGGCTCGCTGCCGTGTGAGCGCGCCCCTGAACACGCCCTGTTCGCAAGGGCAGCACCTCGTCCAGCTCTGAGCGAGATGCTGCGTCCGCCTCTGCGCTGCTGCTGCGGCCACCGTGTTCCTTGCGCTGTTGTCTCTCGACCGTGCTGCCAGCCGCCGGAGCAGATGTGATGCGTGCGAGAGACGCGAGGGGCTCTCTGCACGGAAGAGGTGCGGCAGCCGTTGTGATCTCGCAGGTGAGACGGCAGGCGGGCATGCCCCTGGCGCCGCATCGGGAACTTCCCGCGCTTTTGCCACGCAGGCGCAGCGCAACAACAACTCAGACTCCCTACCTCGTCGCGTCTGCGCCGTCTAGACGCTCAAGGCGGCCGCCTGGAGCACACATCAAACACGGACGCGATGCTGCACCATATGGACAGCGCTTGTGACGAGGCACGCCGAATGGCATCGTCGCCCTCCAGAGCCCGACGCTCGGAGGCCAGTGACTGCTGCCTGCCGTATCTAGCCCCTGGATGTGAGTCGGAGTGAGCGAGATCTCAGGGCGAGGGCCGGTGTTCCTCTCGCCTTCGTGTTGCTCTCGGATGCGCAGACATCTCTGGCCGGTACAAGAGGCGCCCCTGGACACTCGCACCGTCCACCACACCCATCCCCGTTACCCTGCGCTCCCTCCATGCCGCCAAAGAAGAACTCGGCGCTGTACCAGGTGCGCCTCGTCGACCTCGTGCCGGCGCGCGCCGCCTTTCCCGCCGAGGCGCTGGCGTGGCTGCTGGCCGGGCCGGGCGGCCTGCGCGAGGCGTCCAAGCAGGTCGGCGTGACGCTCAGCGTCAAGGAAGGCCTGCAGCTCTGCCCCGTGCTGCTGCTGGCCAACCACAGCCGCGTGCTCGTCGTGCGCTTCGCCAGCCGGCAGCGCAGCGGCGTCGCCGAGGCCGCGGCGCGCGCCAAGTTCGGCGCTGCAGCATGTCTGCTCGCCGGCGAGCACACGCACGACGCCCGCCCCGTCCACGCCGTCGCCTTCCGGGGCACGCTCGTGGCGCTGCTGCTCTGGCGCCACGCCGGGCTGCGCCTGCGCCTGCTCGACCTCTCGAGCTTCTACTCGCTGCGGCGCGACATCGACCTGTTCCGCCTCATGTGCACGACGTTCACCAAGACGCGCGCCTGCTTCACGATGCACCTGACGCCGGCCGCCTTTGCGCAGGTGCCGCAGGGCGCGCCGCCGTCGGTGGCCAAGAACACCATCGCCGCCGCACGCGAGGCTGTGGCGACGTGGCAGCTGGCAGCGAACGCCAGCGGCCGGCTGCCCGCGCACATCCTGGCCCCGACACGCGCCTGCGCCGACAACCCGGCCTCATTTGTGCTCTCCACCTTTGCGCGCTCCGCCCAGACGCTCGACTTTCTCGCCGAGGCGCAGGCGGCGGCGCGCAGCGTGTACCTCTCGACGCCCAAGACGCGCGAGGCCAACGTCGAGCGCATCGCGACGCGCGTCGGCGACGGCGGCTGGCAGGTGAAGAACACGCGCTACCAGACGCGCATCGACGCCGACCCTCGCCAGCAGCTCAAGGTGTACCGTGCCGACGGGCAGCAGCTCGAAGGGCGCGCGCTCGCCCTCGTCGGGCGCCGCAGCAACCTGCGCGTGGCGGGCATGGCCGGGCAGCAGATGGAGATCGAGCGCATCGTCGTCGTCGGACGCGGCAGCCTCTCGGCGGCCGAGCTCGACTTCTGCCACTGGCTGCGCGACCAGATCCGCCGCGTCGAGGTCGAGGAGACAGGCCGTGGCGTGCTCCAGGAGCTCACGCACGACGTGCTGCCGCACCTCTACAAGCAGCTGCTCTTCAGCGCGCCGACGCCCATCGAGAACTACTGGGACTATCCTGCGCCGAAGGGCAGCAAGGCCTACTGGCTCATCACCGACTCGCACCTCAACGCCAGCCAGCGCAAGGCCGCGCGTGCCATGCTTGCGCCGCTGCCCGACGAGGAGGGCGATCCCGACGGCGCCATCGTGCTCGTCCACGGGCCGCCCGGCTCGGGCAAGACGGCCACGATCGCAGCGACGTGCGTCCAGTGGCTGGCGTGGGGCAACAGTCCGGCGGCGATCTACGTGACATGCCAGTCGTGAGTCTCAGTGCCGGGTGTGCCCAGCCTTGCCACACCTGCTGACGATGCAACAGCAACGCGGCGGTAAAGAACGTCACGCGGGCGCTGCGCCGCGAGGGCGTGCGCCACAAGATCATCGTCAGCAACGCCTTCCACGACGAGTGGCACGAGTACATGTACCGCGAGGACGTCGGGCAGCTGCTGCTCACCTGGGACATGGGCGAGGAGGACTTCCGTGCCCCGGACTACCCGCGCGTCATCCTCTGCACGCTGAGCCTCTTCTCGCACCCCAAGCTTGTCGACGGCACGTACCCGCTCTTCGCAGCGCGCCCGCCGAGTCTGCTCCTCGTCGACGAGGCGTCGCAGCTGCACGCGTCGGTGTACGGCGTCGTGATCCAGCGCTTCGAGGCGACGCTGGCGCGCGTGTGCTTCCTCGGCGACCCCAAGCAGCTGGCGCCGTACGGCTCCGAGACGATCAAGGCGGCCGACTGGAGCGTCTTCGAGATCACGGGGCGCCGCGTCAAGCCGCCGCTGCTGCTCAACACGAGCTACCGCCTGCCGCGTGCCCTCGCCGCCGTCATCTCGCGCCACGTGTACGACGGCCAGCTCGTCTCTGGGCCCGACACGTTTGCCGGCGCGCTGCAGGACTGCGTGCGCTTCGTGCACGTCAACTCCGTCGAGCACAAGCCGCTGGGCGGCACGTCCTACACCAACGCCGCCGAGGTGCAGGCCGTCGTGAACATCGCGCGCCGCTTTGAGAAGGCCGGCGTCGAGTGGCGCTGCCTCACGACATACGACGCCCAGCGCGTGAGTTGAGGCACCAATCTGTCCCATGCCGTGCTGACTCTTTGTCCAGGCTGAGCTCGAGGTGGCACTGAAGCGAGCTGGCCTCTCTGGCGATGCAGGTGAGCACGACGTTCTTGTCAGTGGCTGCCCACGCTGAACCTCGTGCAGACCGCGTCTTCAACGTGGACGCCTACCAGGGCCAGGAGGCGCAGGTCATCATCGCCAGCCTCGTGCGCGCGCCGCGCTCGCTCACCGACCGCGGCATCGCCAGCGTCGGCTTCCTGAGCAACATGCGCCGCTCCAAGGTGCTGCTCACGCGCTGCAAGCGCAGCCTCGTCGTCGACTCGAACCGCGAGCTGCTGGTGCACGACGCCCGCGGCGCTGCGACGCTCGTCGGACGCCTGGCGGCCGAGGCGGGGCCACACGCCTGGCTCGACAATTACCTCAACGCGCCCGATCAGGCGTTCCCGGGCCTGCACGACGCCAAGCGGCCGGCGGAGGTGCGTGGCCATGCCCAGCATGTCGCAGCGCCTGCATCGGCTCCCGACGTGGCCAAGCTCGGCCAGCAGCTGGGCGCCATCCAGCTCGGCCGCCCGGCGCTCGGCGCCGTGCAGCAGAGCGAGACACTCCAGCTTGCCCACCAGCTGCAGGCTGTCCGGCTCGACGGCGCCCTGCCTCCGCAGAGCGAGGCGCACAGGCTCAGCCAGCAGCTCGCTGCCCTCCGGCTCGACGGCCAGCCGCCGCACACGCGCCGCAGCCAGCGCCTGCAGGCCGCAGCGCCGGCGAAGGAGAGCGTCGTTGTCGGCGCCTAGAGTCTCCATTCCACATCTCCATACCCGTGCTTGTCACACTCCGTGGCCTCTGTAATCTATCGCTTCCCTGTGTGCGAGTTCGGGTCACATCTGTACAACCACGGTGCGAAACGCCGCGCGTCGCTGGCGTACCGGTTGCGTCCGCGCCTCGCGGCCAGCACCGTCTTCCAGTCCACCGTGCAAGAAGAGCAACGGCTAGACGAGAGGAGAGATGCTGCTCTCAGCTGCATTGTGATTGCAATAGCTGCACAGCATCGCACACGTTGAGCTGGCTGGGCGAGAGAGCGAGGCGAGCCGCCGGCCGCAGCGAGCCGGCGCCGGGTGCGGGCTTGCAGCCTGCGTGGCTGCCTTGCTGGGGTGCTGTGCTGCCGCTGGCTGCGTGCCGGCGGCCGAGGCGAGGCGAGTCCCGCGCGGCCGCAAGAGATCGCTCGCCGTGCTGCGCTGCGCTGCCGCTGTGCCGCCGCCGCCGTGCGACGCGCGCGCTACTTTTGCACTCCGTGCTTCTGCTCCTCCTCCTCCCGCTGCCCCCTCCCACCACCCCGCCGCGCCGCTCGGTCTCGAGCGCCGCACCACCCTCCTTCCCGCCTCTCCGCCCGCTGGTTCCGGTGCCGTCCGCTTGCACGAGGCTCGCGCCCGCGCCGCCTCTCTGCCTCCTCTGCGCCGGCTGGTCCGTGGCGCGTCCGTCTCGCCGCCCGGCCGCGTGCTGCCGTCTGCCGCTCCGCAGCACCGCGAGTGCCGCCCGCGCGCGGACACTCGCCGCACCCGCGCCCGCACGCCGCTGCGCCCCGCCTGGCCGTCGCCGGGCCGTGGCGCCGGCACCGCCGCCACGCGCGTGCCGCCGAGGACCAGCGGCAGCAGCAGCAGCGGCGCCGTCGCGGCCATGGGCGCCGCCAGCAGCGAGCGCAGCAGCGGGCGCCTCGCTGATACGCGGCCGCCGCCCGTCGGCGCGCTCGAGGACGGCAGCGGCGAGGTCACGCTCGTCGTGTACAGCGTCTTCATGGCCGCCACGTCGCTGCTGCTGCTGCTCCTCGCACACGTGCACCAGGTGCACTCGGGCAGCAGCGCCGCCGACGGCGCCGCGCCCGCCTTTGCGCTGGCATCGCCGCGCACCTGGCTCGCCGGCCTGCTCGCGGCCGTGGCGCGCCTGCACGGGCTTGTCGCATCGGCGGCGGCGCTGCTGGCGGCCATCGACATTCGCACGCTGCTGTGCACTGCCGCCGGGCTGGTCACGATCCTGAGCATCGGTGAGTGCGCGCTGTGCCAGCATCAGGGTCGCGCGACTGACGCGGCCTGCCAGCGTACTGGACCAACCCAAGCGACGCCTCCTTCCGCACCTACCTCGCCGACCTCTCGCTGCGCCAGCACCTGCGCCAGCTGCACGAGGACGCCGTGCCGCCGCAGCTGGCCGGCAAGGAGGCCGGCGCCGCCGAGCTCGACGCGCTCAGCCTCGGAGGCGCGGAGCCGGAGCGCTACGCCTCGCCGCACGTGCTGACGTTTGCGAACCGCATCTCCATCTCGCTGCGCACGCCGCCGTACTGCCGCCGCGACCTGGGCCTCTTCAGCGTCGTCTCCGTCACGCACGTGCTCACCGACGGGCAGCGCGGCGGCAGCACGTTCAGCTCGCGGCGCCCGGCGCCCGACGGCAAGGTCGACTGCGCGCACTGCGGCACCATGCACGCGCCCGGCTCGCAGCGCTCCTGGTTCATCGGCGCCTTTGGCCGCTGGTTCGGCGGCACGCTTAGCTGTGCGTTTGAGGCGCGCGCCGAGCGCCACGTGGCCGCAGAGAGCGCGGCGGGAGCGGCAGCGGCGCGGCCGTACGGCGTGCTCTCGCTGAGCTGCCAGGACGACGCAGCCACGGGTGAGTGCAGGCCCTGTCGCAGGTGTCGTGTGACCGCTCACACTCCTGCTCTAGACAACCCCGCCGCGAGCAGTGCGGACGGCAAGGATGACAGTGTCGACGACCACGCAGGCGACGCCCAGAGTGCCGCGCACGGCGACGCCTCTGCCGCCACGTCTGCGACCCGCAGTAAGGCTGCGCGGCGCAGGAAACACCCGCACAAGCCGCGGCCCAACCAGCCGCCGCCCGCCAAAGACCCAGATCGTGCTCCGCCAAACGAAGCCTCCGCTCAAGATGCCTCACCCACCACCACACCTCGCAGCGCAGATGCAAGCAGCATACACCCTCCTACGGATCCCACAAGTACACCCTCACAACAGAACAAAGCAACTAATGCCGGCGCCGCGTCTGCGGCGCCGGCCGAGAGCGACGCGGCGCCCTCGTCCGCGCTGGCTGCGCTCAAAAGCAAGCTCAGCACCTCGTCGTCGGCCGTGTCTGAGCTGCAGCAGCAGCTCGAGCAGCTGCACACGTCGTCGGACTCGACGCGCGTGCAGCTGCAGACGCAGCTCGACGAGCTGCGCGCGCGCAAGCGCGAAGACGACGCGGCGCGCATCGACCTGCGCGGGCGCATGAAGAGCCTCGACGAGAGCAAGCGACACGCCGAGGGCTCGCGCCGCGAGGCCGAGCGGCGCCTCAAGGCCGCGACGAGCCTGCGCGAGGCCATCGAAGGGCGCATCGAGAGCAAGGGCCGCGAGATGGAGGCGCTGCGCGAGCGCGAGATCGCCAGCGCCCAGCGCGTAGAGACGAGCAAGGAGCACCGCGTGCAGCGCAGCAAAGAGATCGAGGAAGAGATGCGCGCCAAGCACGAGGCAGAGACGGCGCTCGGCGAGGAGATCGAGCAGCTCAACGCCAAGCTGGTGGCGCTCGAGGAGCGCATCCTTGAAGAGGATGCCAATCTCGAAGCCACGCGCGAGCTCGCCGCCGAGCGCTACCGGTCCATGCTGCACGAGGCCTCGCTCGAGGCTGCGGCCAACCAGCAGCACGCTGCACTGGCAGGCCCGCTCGGACAGCACATGCACGGCGCGCCGCCGTCCGGCCACCTGTCGCACCTGGCGCCGTCGCACCAGTACGCGCCGCAGCAGCAGGTGCCGCACCGCATGTACCCGCTGCTCTCTGGCCCTGGCGACGGCACGCAGCTGCGCGACAGCGAGCCGTTCGGCCCACAGACATTCGACGCCGGCTGGGGTACGAATGGCGCGGACATGTACGGCATGCCCAGCGACATGCACGGCCTTGCGCCGCCGCGTCTCGTCGTCTCGAACGGCCGCGAGGCCGGCTTCGATCCGACGTTCGACCCCACTCGCTCCCTCGCCCATCGCAGCTCCGACGCCGACGCCGAGTTCCTGCCGTTCTTCCCCGACGACAAGGCGGAGGAGCGGCGCATCTCGAACGCCGGAGCGGACGCCTCGCTGCTGTCAACGCGCCGCGGGGCGCCTGGCCAGATGACGCTGCCGCCCTCGAACCTGCTGCCGCGCACGCCGCCGCCACGCGGCTTCCAGCCCAACGGCCCGCAGACGCCCTTCACGCCGCTCTCGCCCTTCTCGACGGACCTGCTGCCGAGCAATCTGTTCCTCAACACCGACGACGATGCCGGCCACGTAGGCATCCTGCCGGGCACGCGCTCGGAGCGCGTCGAGGCGGCGCTGGGGCGCTTCGGCCTCGACACGTCGGACACGTCGGATATGGAGGGCGGCGGCGGCTCGGACGCGGACACTATCGACGAGGCTGCCGAGCTGGAGCTCGGCGGCCCGCTCGAGGGGCTCGAGGCCGGCCAGACGCTCGCCGCAGGCGCTGGACAGTCAGACGCCGACGACCCGCAGACGGCCAAGGGGTCGCGCCGGTCGTGGTGGGGCGGCAAGGCGCGCACGCCGAGCAAGGAGGCGAGCGCTGCGGCTCCGGCCGAGGACGCCGAGGCCAGCAGCGACGCCGCCTCGGCAGAGCTCGACGCGTCGTCGAAGCGCCGCTCGCTCTCGCTCTTCCCCAAGCTGTCGCTGAACCCGGGCGCCAAGGCATTCCGCAGCTCGTCGCGCAAGCAGGCCGCCGGCGGCGCCGTGCCGATGCGCGGCCCGCTCGACTCGTGGCCCGTCGGCAGCCAGCCGGCGGTGCCGTCGGACTACGAGGCGGTGCGCCGCGCCTTCGACACGACCGTTGGCGCCGACGAGGAGCAGGGCCGCCGCTCGTGGAGCGCGTTCGACACGTGGGCGCACCAGGGCCAAGTCGCGCAGCACGAGCAGCAGCAGCAGCGAGCGATCCCGGCGCAGCAGCAGGCGGCGCATGCCCGCTTCGGCCGTGGGCCCTTCCCGCGCCACCCGTACCTGGCGGGGCAGAGTGGCCTGGGGCCGGGCGGCATGCGCTCGAGCTCCGACTCGCTGCCGCACGCCGCAAGCGCGGCGGCGAGCCGCGAGTGGCCGGGCAGCGGCGACGACGTGTTCAACCCGATCGCGCGCACGACGTCGCACCCGGGCTCGAGCGTGGCGTCGAGCTCGCCGTCGAACAGCGAGATGCGCAGCAGCCGCCTGCGCTCCTTCTTCCGCGCCGCCGACGGCAGCAAGGCCGCCGCTGCGCCCAAGACGTTCGAGGCGCCCGAGATGCTTACCCCGCCTGCCTCCGCCGGCGCCTCCCACGGCGACGCGGACGCAGACGAGGCGGGCGTGTCGGCGGCGTCGCCCAAGTCGAAGCGCTCGGCGTTCCGCTGGTAAGCATCCTCCCAAGGCTTCCTCCACCGTCGCTGCCGTGCCTCTGTCCAGATGTTGCGGCAGCCGCGTGTTTATGCAATGCGAGCCACCTCTATCCTAGTCTGCTGCGTGTGCATGTCTGATCGAGAGGGGCTGATCAGGGACGAGAGAGAAGGCGTGGGAGCAGGCACTACAATTGCAGCTTGAAGCGCCCGCTCTGTTTTGTAGTCGCTGTGCCCAAGGCCAATGCAAGTGCGCGCTCGGCCACGAGCCGGGCACCTGAGCAGTGTCGGGCGCGCAGGCTGGCCGGCGCAGGGCCGAGCGCCGCTTTTGAGGCGCCGAGCGCCTCCACCGCGCCGGCCAGTGACAGCCGGCCTCCTCTTGTCCCGCCCTCATCATCCCCTCGCATCGCCGCATTCACACCTACACACGCCTGCTCGCACCCGCACCGCGGCTGCGCCTCTCCGACCGTCGCTCGCTCGTGTCCGTGCGCCGTGATCGTCTGGCCCGCACGAGCGACGCACACGTCCGCCGCGCTGCCCAGCGCCGTGCGCGCGGCCCGCGATGAAGATCACCAAGGAGCCGCACCGGCTGGCCGAGGCGGTGAGTGGTGCTGCTGCACGGCGCTGCCTAGTCGATGTGGGTAGGGTGTACTGACCCACGCATGCAGACGGCCAACGTGCGCCTGCTCCTCGAGCGCATCACCGAGGCCAGCGACGATGAGCTGCCCGAGCTGCTCGACGGCATCTCCGAGTGGTGCTGGCCGCGCGGCGACCTGCACTACTGGTCCGGCACGCTGAACCGCTTCGACGACATCCTCGACGAGACGGTGCGCGACTACGACCTGCGCCGCCTGCAGATCAACGACTTCACGCCAAAGCGCAAGCTGCTCCTCGTCTCGCTGCTGCGCTTCTCGCGCCTGCTGCTCGAGAACTGCACGAACCGCAAGCTGTACAACTCGTTCGAGGTGCGTGTACCTGCGCCGTAGCAGCGCGATGTACAGCGACTGACCTCTCATGCAGCACCTCGATGCGCTGCTCTTCACCTCGGACCTCGACGTCTTCGAGGCGACGCTGCGCCTCGTGCTGCGGCCGGCGCAGCACTTCAGCACGCAGGGTGGCGTGCGCCACGGGCGCGGCACCTTCCTCATCTCGCCCGAGCGCCTGGCTACTCTGGCTGTGACGTGGGCACCGCGCGAGCACGGCTTCGAGCTGGTGGACCTCGTCAAGCCCGACGCTCAGGTGCCTGCCGAGATGCTCAACGTGCGCTTTCAGTTCTACAAGCGCGCACGCGCGGCTGAGGGCCCTGCAGTGGCGGGTCCGAGCCGCGCGGCAGAGACATCGGCGACGAGCGCCGCCGAGGCCTCGACGCCGGTGCGGCCTCGACCAGGGCGCGATGGCCGCGCCTCCGCGATGGCGAGCACGTCTGCTGCCGCTGGCCTGCTAGTCTCCTCAGCGGCTGCCACGCCGGCAGGTGCGTCCAGCGTCGGACAGGCGGCCCAGCAGCCGGCCGAAGGCATGACGACGATCGACCTGGGCTACTTGGGCGACTCGACACGCCGGCCCATGGACGTCCTCGCCGACGCCATCGAGCAGCACGGCATCCCGCCGGAGGACCACTTCGAGCTCTTTCAGAAGATCCGCCTCGCCATGAGCCTGCGCGATCCCGGCGCACGGCGACAGCTCGTCACCTGCCGCCTGCTCGCGATGGCATGCTACGGTGAGACCAGCCTGCCTGTCGCTCGTCCTGCCCTCATGCTGACCTCACGCCACAGCACACACCACATCCGAGTCGACGGCGTCGACGCAGCTCTTCCTGTACGAGCCCGACGTGGTGCAGCGCCTGACTGCGCTCGTCGACCCCGACCAGCGAGTTGGTCCCGACGTACAGAGCGGCGCCTTCTACGCCCTCGATGCGCTCGGTCGCTACCGCGGCAAGTTCAACGACGTGCTCAACGCCGTCAACGCCTCGATCAACCACGGCATCCTGCTGCACTGCCTGCGCGACCTCGTCGACGCGCTCGGCCGCCCCAAGGCTGCACAGCCCGACGGCGTGCTCATCGACGCGCTCTTTGGCTTCATCGGCTTCGTCACGTCGACGAACGTCGGCAGCAACATGGTCGTCAGCGCCGGCCTGCTGCCGCTGCTGATCCAGCTGCTCGAGGAGACCAAGCCCGAGACGTACCTGCTGCAGCGCACGGTCACGCGCGCGATCGGCCTGATCCACAGCGTCATCTACGCCTATCAGCCGTCGTTTGCGCTGTTCGTCGCGGCCAAGGGCATCGACGTGTTCGTGGCGCGCATCGAGCAGGAGATCAACCGCGACCTCGAGGTCGGCGCCGTTGATAAGGAGCTGGAGAAGGGCACGCTGGTCGAGGCCAGCCCCGACAGTCTGTACGGCCGCCTCTCCTTCGGCCGTGCACAGCTGCTGCGCGCGCTGCTCAAGACGACGCTGCACATGATGTCCGCGCCCGGCACGGCCGACGGCCTGCGCAACCTCATCGACAGCACGCTGCTGCTGTCGGTGAAGCGCATCATGCAGAACCGCCTCGTATTCGGCGGCCAGATCTTGGCCATCGCCGTCAACGTCATGGCGACGTTTGTGCACAACGAGCCGACGAGCCTCGGCATCGTGCAGGAGAAGGGCCTGCCCCAGGCCTTCCTCGACATGATCGACGCCGACATCGAGGCCAACTTCGACGTCATCGCAGCCATCCCCAACGCCGTCGGCGCGCTCTGCCTGAACCAGGCGGGCATCCAGATGCTCAACGAGCGGCCCGTCGTGCCGAAGCTCTTCGCCCTCTTCACCTCTGAGCGCCACACCAAGGTGCTTGCGGACCGCGAGAATGCATCGCTCTTCGGCTCGGGCATCGACGAGCTCGTGCGGCACCAGCCGGGCCTCAAGCAGTCTGTGCTCGACTGCATTCTCTCGACGCTCGCGGCCATCTATGCCGCCGGCGAGGCGTACGAGCTGCGCGACAGCGACAAGAAGCGCATGTACAAGCTGCAGACGGTGCCGCCCACGGCGGCGCCCGCGAACGACGAAGTCATGCAAGAGACTGGCGGTGCCTCGTCTGCGACGCAGGTCACGGCCGAACAGTCGCTGTCCGTGGCGCTCGCAGACGTCGTGATGGACGAGCCGGACATGTCCCTCGAGTCGCGCGACGACTCGGGCGGCGACAACGCCATCGTGTCGTACATCGACGTCATGTCGCGCTTCCTCGACGGCCTCTTCCAGACGGTCCAGCACTGCAAGGACTTCCTCAAGGCCGACGGCCTCGAGCGGTTGCTGCGCTTCTACCGCCTGCCGTGCCTGCCGTACGACTTTGTCAACAGCATGGGCAACGACAGCCTCGTGACGCTCATCCGCCTCATCGTCGAGGTCAGCCCGCAGAGCGTGCTCAGCGCCATTCTCCGCGAGCTGCGCAAGTCCATGACGGAGTGCACCGATCTCTGGGGCGCCGACGCACCGTCGCTCGCCTCTCTGCTGTCGCCCGAGTCGGCCGAGGCGGCCGAGGCGGCCACCAAGACGTTCCGCCGCCTTGTGCGTCTCAACGCGCACTCGCATCTGCTGGCCGACGTCGGACCGACGTTCGTCTTTGCCGGCGCCAAGCTGCCGCTCGTGTTCCTCCAGACTGTGAACTCAGCCTCATCGCCGACTGGACGCGAGCTGGCCTCGATCGCCGAGATCGGCGAGCTGCAGCGTCAGGCCGCCTGGCAGAACGTGTGCCTCAAGGCTGTGGCCCCGCCTGGGGAGCGTCGCAAGCCGCGCCGCTACGGTCGCGGCGCTCGCGCTGCCGATGCGAACGGCGCCACAGCGGACACGCCGTCCGGAGCAAACGAGACGAGCGAGACTGACCTGCAGAAAGTTCAGGGCCTGCAAGGCGTCCAGGGACAGAGCAGCGACGGCGCGGATCCCGGTCCGCTCACGTGCAACAGCACAGCGCTGCGCTACGTTGCGGCCTCGCTGCCGTCGGCTCTGACGACGTTCCTCGTCGAGACTACGCGCCTGTTTGTCCTGCGCCGCTCGAGCGACCAGAGCCTGCGCCGTCACGCCACCTCCACGGCCGCTGCCATCGCCGGAGTCGTCACCAAGAGCCTCGCGTGGCGCGACAGCGAGCAGACGCAGAACAGCTTCGCCTACGCGTGCGCGATGATCGGACAGGCGACATCACTGCTGTACGACGACCGCGCCGGCGCGCACCCGACCACCAACACGCTGGTGCTCATTGCCTTTGTGCGCGAGGGCGGCCTCGACGCCCTGCTCGGCCTCTACACGCGCTACAACGACGAGATCACGCGCCACTTCGACGAGGACGGCAAGGTGCGCGAGGTCGGCGTCCACGACGGCCTGCGTCTTGGCCACATCTACAGCGGCCTCGGAGCCTGCCTCAAGATGCTGCACCTGCTCAGCGCCCACCGCACGCTCATGGACCCGACGGCCACTGCGATTTTGACATCGAAGGACGACGCGGATCGCCGTGCAGCAGAGTTCTTCCTGCCGCACGAGTTCCTCGTCCGCCTGCGTCTGGCCATCCTGCCGGCGCTGCGCCTGACGTGGGACTCCAAGTGGTTGCCCAACGCGCCGTTCACGCTCAACCGCTCCGTCAACCAGACGATGCTGCAGATCCTGCTGGGCGAGGGCGAGGCGCCCGCGCCGCGCCGCGAAGGCGCAAGCAGCGGCAGCGGAGCGGCCAACGGCAGTGGCAGCAACGCGCAGCCCGACGGCGTGCGCCAGCTCAACTCCATCCAGGCCGCACTCGCCGGCCTCACCGGCGCGCTTGGCGGACCGCCTCCAGGTAGCCGCGCTCACGGCCACGGGCACGACTTTGCGCAGCCGCGCTCGCGCCTGGCGGTGCAGCCCGACGAGAACCGCACGCGCGAGCTCACCGACATGGGCTTCCCACGCGCCGCCGCACGCGCTGCTCTGACGCGCTGCAACAACAACCTCGCTCTGGCCGCAGACTACCTCCTGAGCGTGAGTCTGCCCGCCTGGCGCCGCTGACGAGATGCTGACGCGCCCTGCAGCACCCTGAGATCGTCGCGAACCCTGGGCCGGAGATCGAGCTGCCGCCGTCGGACAGCCAGTCGGAGGCACCGTCGGAGGCGGCGGCCCCTGCTGCTGTGCCGGACGCTCCCGCGGCAGCGCCTGCCGAAGGCGCAGCCGGCGCGCCCGCCGAGGCCGCTCCTGCTGTCGCAGCGACCGCCGACGGCGACACGCAGATGACGGACTCTGCTGCACGTGCGACCGCAAGCGATGACGAGGGCTCGCACAGCTCGGAGGACGGCGACATGAGCTCGGCCGACGCAGCGCGCAAGACGGCCAACGATGCGGCGCTCGCGCAAGTCAAGGACGAGAAGGAACGCCTCGACAAGCTGCGCAAGGAGATCGGCGAGACGCTGGCGCCGCGCATCATTGCGCTGGCCGACCAGCATGAGGGCCTCGTCTTCGACGCCAAGGTCGCCTTCAGCATCGTCGCCACCGACGCGGCCACCACGGTCGAGACGATCAACTCGCTGCTCGCGCAGCTCGACGTGCCGCGTGAGCAGGCCTTTGGCGAGGGCGAGAAGCGCATCGCGATCCGCCTGCGCATTCTTGCGCTCTTTCTCAACGATGCCGTTACGATGAAGCGCCTGCACAAGGACTCGGCCAAGGCCATCATGCTCAAGCTCGGCCAGCTCGCGCAGGACTACGACTCGCGCGCATCGGCGGACTCGCACCCGGCTTGGCTTGCGCCGACGCTGCTGGTGGCGTGCTCCGTGCTGGGCCTCGACGAGAACCCAGCCGAGGCGACAATCTCGCAAGAAGAGGACCCGGCGAAGCTCGAGGCCGCTGGCCGCGCGCCTGTCCTGGAGGCGCGGCAGTTCAACGACGAGTCGCACGTGCTCTTCAAGCTGGCGATGCACTGCCTCGAGCACGCCACGTCGCTCTCGCGCGGCGACCTGCTTGCAGTCTACCGTCTGCTCGTCATTCTCACTCGCCGCCACAGCGTCGCAGCCGAGTTTGTGCGCAGCGGCGGAGTGCCGGCGCTCTTCAAGCCGTTCTCGACGCTCAGCACCAAGACCGTCTCCGGCTGCCAGGCGCTCGTCGTGCTGGTGCTGCGGCAGGTCATCGAGGACCACGCGACGCTGCGTGCCTCGATGGAGCAGGAGATGCGCGCCTGGCTCAGCATCGCGCGCCAGAAGGTCATCGACACCAGCTCGCTCACGCGCAACCTCAGCAGTGTCATGCTGCGCGACCCGGACATGTTCATGGCGCTTGCGCAGGAGCACCTCGAGATGATTGACCTCGTGCCGGCCAAGTCGCAGGGCATGTTGCGCCTCAAGGCCCGCGACGAGACGCTGCCCAGTGCTGCCGAGGAGGAAGACGCCGATCAGGCGCCGCCTTCGCCAAGCAAGGCCGGCGCGCCTGCTGCCGATCTCGACCTGCCCATGAATGAGGCGGGCGACGCCAAGGACGCCGCCAACACGTCCGCGCCGTCCGCAGAGCTCGACACGACGATGAACTTCCTGCTCTCGGAGCTGCTCAAGGCCACTCGCGAGCAGGCCGCAGCGGCTTCGAAGAAGGCGAGCGAGGGACAGGCCAAGTCGCCCAGCCTCACGCTCCAGCCGCTGGAGCAGGCACCGGGCGGCACAAACGCGGACCAGCCGGCGCCCTCGGCCGCCGAGCAGGAGCAGGTGGACGAGGCGGCCGACAGCCAGTACTTCTACACATGCTTCCTCATGCAGTGCCTCGCCGAGCTCCTCTCGTCGTACGTGTCGGCCAAGACGTGCTTCGTCAACTTCAGCCGCAAGCGGTCGGCCGCGCGCGACCTCGGCACGCCGGCGGCCAAGGGCAAGGGACCGCAGCACCTGCTGGGCTTCTTCCTCTCGGAACTCGTGCCGATCGGCTTCCTGCGCTCGACGGAGCACACGGAGATGCGCAAGCTCATGGCGCAGTCGAACTGGGCCATGAGTGTGCTTGTCGCGCTCGCCGCCGACGTGACGGTGCACCCGGACCTCAAGCAGGTCATGCCGGAGCTCGTCACCGTGCGCAAGCTGCTGCTCGACGGCATCGCCAAGGCGATCAAGGACGCTTCGACGGCCAGCGAGCCCGTCGAGGTGCGCTACGGCCGCCTGTACGCCCTCGCCGACCTGTGCTACCGCCTGCTCACGGCGCGTCCGAACCACAATCCGGCGGCTGGCGGCGCGCGGCCCGCAGAGGACCTGGCCTTGCACATGGCCAAGACGATGCTCGAGAAGAACTTTGTCGGCGTGCTCACGAGTGCGCTGGCCGACGTCGACCTCAACCTGCCAATGGTCAAGTCGCTGCTCGACCGCATCCTCAAGCCGCTTGAGCACCTGACCAAGGTCGCCATCAAGATGGGCAAGGCCGAGCGCAAGAACGCTGCAGCGAGCGGCACAGGCGCGGCCGCTGCGCGCGCCAATGTGACGGCCGACTCGGTGCAGGAGTACTCGGACGAGTACGACTCGATGGACGAGGACGGCGAGTCGGACCACAGCTCGGACGACGACGAGGGCCACGCGCGCGAGGAGACGCCGGACTTCTACCGCAACAGTGCGCTCGGCATGCATGCGTCGGAGAACTTCGTCGAGCAGCCCGGCTCCGACGAGGACTCGGAGGACGACGAGATGGACATGGAGATGGAGTACGACAGCGACGAGGACGGCAGCGACATGAGGTGAGCATGCGCGAGGGCGTGGTGCGCTGAGCTGTCCTGCTGACCGCGCCTCTCGCAGCGCCGACGAGGAGGACGAGGAGATGGAGGGCGTCGTCGAGATCATCGAGGAGGACAGCGATGACGACTCGGAGAGCGGCGAGGACGACTCTGATGACGATGAGGACGACAGCGGCGAGAGCGGCTCCGAGATGGACGAGGGTTCGGAGCTCGACGGCGCGGCCGAAGAGTGGATCCTGGTGCGCGGCGTGTGCCTTCGTCGTAGACTCAATCTGCTGACACGCGCTCCCGAGCAGGACGCCGAGGGCGACGAGGATGCAGAGGACCAGGCGCTGGACTTTGTCGCTGGCGAGGACGGCGAGGAGGCCGGCTGGACCGACGAGCTGCCCGACGTGCTGCGCGACACGCGCGTCCTCGCCGACAACATCGACGACCTCGACCCCGATGAGGAGGAGGCCGAGGAGGACTTCGACGAGGAGGCCGACTCGTTTGACGAGCACTACGACCACGACGAGCTGGCGCACCTCGAGCTCGCCGAGGCCGCCAACGTCGTGGACCCGGGCCCGGAGGATCGCTTCGGCGCCACCTGGGCCTGGGCGCGTGCGCCGATCGGCAGCGGCCGTGGCGGACCGGGCGGCGTGCCCATGCTGGCGCCCAGCCTATTCCACGGCGGCGGCGTCGGCGCCGCGCTGCCGGCGCCACGGCGCAACATGCGCATGCTCGACTACGAGGCGAGCTTCATGGCAGGCATGGCCGGCGCCGCGCGTTCGCGTGGCGCCGGCGGTGCCGAGGACCTCGCTTCGCACCCGCTGCTCGTCGACACGTCGCGCACGCAGAGTGGACCTCGCAGCGGCCACGACCGTGGACACGCCCATGACTGGTCGCATCACGGCGGCTACAGCGACACCTGGGGCCGCTCGCTCGAGCAGCTGATGTCCTCTGCAAACCACGGCGAGGGCGCCGAGATGCAGGCGCTGATGAATCTGCTGTCGTCGCATGGGCCGCGCGAAGTGCCCGGGGGCGTCCAGCTCCATCTGGTCCACGACGACCAGGGCCAGCCTGTTATCAGCGTGGGCAACGCCGCGCGGCCGCGCAGCACCGATGTGGCCCTGCCTGACGCACGGCCTACCGACGGCTCTGCGGCTGCAGCAGCTCGCATCGACCCCGTTGCGGCTGTGCAAGAGTTCTCGCCCATGCCGACCTCGACACGCTGGTCAGAGGCCGCCCGCATCGTCCACGGCCCTGCCGTTGTCGAGCGCGCTGCACGTCTGCGCCCGCACACAATCAACGCGCTGCTGCCGGGCCTGCGTCGCTCTCAGGCGGGCGCCAAGGCCAAGAAGGATGCGCAGATCGCCGAAGAGGCTACGCGCGCCGAGCAAGAGGCCCAGAAAGTCCTCAAGGCAGTGAAGGAAGCACACGACCTCGAGACTGCAGAGCTGCAGGCCGCCGAGCAGAGAGCTGCTGCCGTGCAGGAGAACGCGGCCGACGCAGAGGCCGAAGAGCGCGCGCTGGAGGCGGAGGCCATTGCTCTGTCGCAGCAACAACTCAGCGAGGACATCGAGATGGCCGACGAGGCCGGCGATGACTCCGGCGACTCTTCGCAGCAGCCCAATCTCGAGCTCGACTCGCTGCAGCGCAGCCTCGGCGAGCTGGACCGCAGCGTGGCCGGCACGGAGGAAGCCGACCGCAGCGCCGTGCCGGCGGACGCGCAGAGCGGCGCCGCTGCCGACGCCGGCGCGGCCGCCGCACCTGCTCCCGCCGCACGCATCACCACGACGGTGCACGGGCGCGAGGTGGACATCACCGACACCGGCATCGACCCCGAGTTCCTCGAGGCGCTGCCCGACGACATGCGCGAAGAGGTGCTGAACCAGCACTTCCGCGAGCGCCAGGCGTCTTCCACGGTGGCTGCGGCCGACTCGAACATTGCGCCGGAGTTCCTCAACGCCCTGCCGCCGGAGCTGCGCGCAGAAGTGATCCAGCAGGAGGCTGCCGAGGCGCGCCGACAGCAAGGCGGCGCGGCCGGCAGCAGCGCCGAGGCTCGTGCGGCCGGCGCTGCACGCGACGCAGAGGCTGCGCAAGGCACGCTCGTAGGCATGCTCGATCGCCTGCGCCGTATCGGAGGCCGCGACGAGAACGAGATGCTCGAAGGCCTGCCTTACTCTGTCGTCGACGACGTCCTCGCCCGCCGCCAGCAGCGCCACGCGCAAGACGGCCGCGGCGCCAATGGCCGTCGCGGCGCTGGCGCTGCGGGCGCGCAACCGGGCGGCGAGGCCGCGGCCCCGCAGAAGACGCGCGACGCCATCCAGGTGCTCGACAAGGCCGGCGTGGCGACGCTCGTGCGTCTGCTCTTCTTCCCGCAGATGAACAGCCGCGCCACGGGCCTGCACAAGGTGCTGGCCAACCTGCAGGAGAACGCCAAGACGCGCGCCGAGCTGCTCAACCTCCTGCTGCTCGTGCTCGCCGACGGCACCAGCGACACGAATGCCGTCGACAAGTCGTACGCGTCCATGACGGCGCGTGCAAGCAAGGGCAGCATGCTCGCCAACGCCGCCGTGACGCCCAGCCGGCCGACGCCGAGGCGGCACAACTCGACGCCCGGCGGCCTGCAGCTGGCCACTCCGGCGGCGCCGGCGCCGACGATGGCGCCGATCTCGCGCACGGGCGACGAGGCGCCGTTCCTCATCGCGAGCCGCACGATCGACGCGCTGCTGCACCTCACGGCGCACAACGAGCAGGCTGCGCTGTACTTCCTGCGCGACGACCCGCGCGCCAGCAAGAAGCTCAAGGGCAAGGAGCGCAGCTCGGCGCCAGTCAACGCACTGCTGGCACTGCTCGCCAAGCCGGCGATTCTCTCGAACGCACAGCTCGTCGAGTCCCTCATTGCTCTGTAAGTGACGTCTCGCGCGCCTGATGTCCACCTCTAATCATGCCCTCCTCCACAGGCTCAAGACGGTCACCGAACCGCTGAACGCACTCGCCGCCGCGCAGAAGCCTGCCGCCGAGAGTGCCGCCGCCGACGCCGCCCAGCCCGGAGAGGCCGCGGTGGAGGGTGCCGCCGCACAGACGAGCGAGGCGGCGCCGGCCGCTGCGGCTGAGGCCGGGCCCAGCGATGCGCCCGCGGCTGCTGCGGACACGGCCGAGTCGGGCGCCCTGACGACAGCGCCGGCCATCCCTGCCGAGCGCATCGCGGCCGTCGTGCGCCCGCTCGCGACGGCAATCAGCGCCAAGGGCTTCCAGCACACGCTCGCCGTCGCGTCGAACCTGACGACGGTGCCCGGCGGGCGCGAGACGGTCTCGGACGCGCTGCGCCGCGAGGCCGACGCCGCGGGCCGCACGCTCGTCGCAGAGCTCGACGCGCTGCTGGCGACGCTGCCTGAGCCGCCGAAGCTGGCGGACCAGGAGGACGAAGCCAAGGCAGACGCCAGCGCCGACGCCGCCACGCACGCGCGCATTCAGAGCCCCGCGCTCACGGCCATGGCGAGCCCGGCGAGTGCGCAGACGGTGCTGCTGCGCTCGCTGCGTGCGCTCGACTGGGTCGTCACGCGCCCGCAGCCGGGCGCGTCGCTGAGCTCGTAATGCGGCTGTTCCCTTCCATACATGATCCGTGTCCCTACTCACTACTACGTTCCGCCACCTCAATGAACCGATTCTGAAGCTTTTGCATGCCCGGCTTGTGGCTGCTGAGCAGGCGCCTTGGCCCGCCCGCGGCTCAACGTCGGTGCGCCGCGCTCGTGGCCGCTGGCCCGCATGCCTCACCAACGGACATGCCGGCATGCACGGCCTCGACCGCAGCTCTGGGCCGGTCGATTGAGTGAGCTCGATGTAGCCTCCTTACCACCACTACGCCAGCCACTTCTTCTCTCCTTGCCAGCATGGAGAAGCACAGCCCGCCCGGCGGCGCGGCCCTGCAGGCGCGCTACGCCGCCACGCTGGCACACGCCCACGCCGACCGGCGCCCGCCGGCGTGGCAGCGCGCCGTGCTGCTGCTGTTCCTCGCGCTGCTCGTCTACCACGCACTCGTCGGGCGACAGCAGCTGGGAGAGCTGCGGCATAGCTTAGCTGAGCTGCTGCACCTTGAGGAGGATGAGGAGTGACGGCGCGCCAAAAGGAAGCATCAAGCAGGAGAAAACGGCTCTCCCGTGTGCACCTACCACCACACGCGGCTAGCCAGCCGAGACGCTACGACCGAGGGCAAGACGCAAGAGACGCAAGGGTCTCGGTGTCAGGCATTTGCGAATATTGAGACCCAAAGCTCGAGCACAGAGCTGACGCACGAACGGGCGGACGAGGACAAGTCACTCTGAATGCGACCCCGCGTCCCTGGCCGTCTGCGAGCAGCATTCACTCTTCGCTTCCGGGAACCTCGACCGACCACGCCTTACCTTCCTCAAGGGCCTCGACAGCGTACTCTGCGACCCACCTCCGCCGCCAATGCCGCCGCAGGAGCGCGCGGCCGAGGCGGCTTTGCTCGCGTGGCTGCGGCGACGCGGCGTCGCGGCGAGATTGGCCGCGTGCGGGGAAGGCGAAGGCTGCGATGTGGAGACCCCGTCGGCCTCGACGGCGAGTGCGGGGAAGCGGCACGGCGCTACACAGCACTGGCGCCAATGAGATCTCGTTGCTTGTCGCAAAGGCTCGAGGGCCGAGAAGCGCCAGAACAGCAGCAGCACATGGGCGACGCCCCGGATGAATCACACACTGCGTCCGCGCTAGGCGGAGGTGACGGCGCTCCTGGCTGCGCACAGACGCTTTCTGCTGCTCTCTTTCCGTCGGAGCCCGGTGAAGGTTGGCGCTCGTGAGCTGGGCATGGCTGGCCCTCTCGCATCTCTGTCAGCGCGACTGCTCCGAGTCGAGTCTCGACCATGCGGGCTGAACGGAAATGCCTCAGGGGGCGTCGCCGCCTCGGAGCAGCGCCAATTTGATCTGGCGCCCGCGAGATGGGTCGCCGATCCCGTATATGGGCGGCACTGCGGCGCCTTCCCGCTTCGGTGCATAGAGTGCGCCGCAGCAGCCGCGGCAGCGGAGGATGAGGAGCAACTCCGCCCGCTGCGTGGCGCGACGATGCCGGCCGGCACGGCGTGTGGCTGCGGCGTGCACAGACGGCACTCGACTCTTCACTCTGCCCTCACTCAGGGCGCAGAAGCAGCCTCGGGCCAGGGCTAGTGCTGCACTCAGACCGAGTGACTGTGAGGGGCCATGGCGAGCTCGTATGGCCGCGCGAGCCGCAGCCAGCGCTCGCCGCCGCCCGCAGCAGCGTCGAGCCACGTGCCAGCGCACGAGGATGGCTGCGATGGGCAGCGACGTCGCCGTCGCCAAAGGTCACCGAGCTCGCTGCTGGGCGATGCGGCGACCAAGACGAGATCGCGTGCGGGGCGTGGGAGGCCGGCGCCGATCGGCCGTGACGGTGCGGCGCCCGCCCTAAAAGCTGGGGTTGGCGGCGCGCGTGGCTCTGACGGGAAAAGAGCCGCTGCTGTGCCCCTCTCGATGCAGGAAGGCAGCAGCAGACGCTCGGCGTGGGGGCGCCGCGAGATCAGCCAAGGGCTTGGGACGTGCTCCACAGCGTCAGGCTGTGCCCCGCGGGTGCTGCGTGCGCATTGTGCGGGTGCTGCGGCGCGGCCAGCACCACGAGAGAGAGGAGCAAGGGCGGAGACGACGGCGGGAAGCCTCTGCCGCGGCTCGCTGCAGCGGCACAGCGGGGTGCGGCGTCTGCGGCCGGCTGAGTGGAGCGCTGGCCGGCGAGCAAGCACGGAAAGTGCTGGCTGCAGCTGCACCTGCTGTGCTGCGACATGCTGCTTGTGTGCGCGGCGCCTCCGCACTCCGCACGAGAGGCCGAGTGACGTGCGCCGAGGCGCGCGACGAGCCTTGAGATGGACGCGGCGGCGCCGGGCATCACGGCTGCGGCGGCCGCGGTCTCTGCCGCCGCGCCAGAAGCCGCCCAAGCGGGCACCGCAGCGGCGCCGGCGTTGGGCCCAGCGCGGCCGATCCGGCGCGGCTGCCCGGCGCCGCGCCATGCATCGCGCATGAGGGCACATTCCCCGCAGAGCGCACCGCAGAGCGAATGAGGGGCCGGCGCCGCGCCGCTGGGCCGCCGGTATGAGGTCACGGCGCACGGCGCAGGTGCCCGCCGCCGGCGCTCGTTCTCTGCTCGCCCCGTATTGACGCTGCCGGTGCGCTTGCAAACGGCACTTTGTCCCTCTGCCGCTGCGTGGCCGCCCTGCATTCGGCAGCGGCCCTCTGCGCAAGCCTCTTAAGCCGGCCGTTGCCGCGCGCGCCCCGCACTCTCGCTCCCCACGCACAACGCAGCAGCAGCTCTCTCCTCACACACACCCCTCGCAGCACCACAGCAAGCAGCCATGTCGCACGCACAGGAGCACAACGTCGAGGCGCAGCAGCCCGAGAAGGTCTACTCGGGCGGCGCACCCACGTCGCGCGCCGTCACGCCCGGCGGCCACCCCGTCGACACCAGCCAGCCCGCGTTCCCCGTGTACCACCGCAAGATTGCCAACCCCGCGCCGCTCGGCCTCTTCGCCTTCGCCACGGTGAGCAGCGCAGAGTGGGCACTGGCAGAGAGCCGCTGCTAACCCCACGCGCAGACCACGTACTGCCTGAGCCTGCACAACGTCGGCGCGCGCGGCGTCAGCGAGCCCAACTTCGTCGTCGGCCTCGCCTTCTTCTACGGCGGCGGCGCCCAGGCCATCGCCGGCATCTTCGAGTTCATCGTCGGCAACACGTTCGGCGCCACGGCCTTCCTCAGCTACGGCGTGAGTGCCTGTGCGCGCGCGCGTCGCTGCGCCTTATGCTCACCCCTTTGCGCGCGCAGGCCTTCTGGATGGCATACGGCGCTTTCTGTGAGTGTTGCGCGCGCGCTTGTCACTCGGGAGCACGACGCTGACCCCACGCGCGCAGTCGTCCCCAGCTTCGGCATCGCAGAGGCCTACGCGGCTGACGAGGCTATGCTCACCAACGGTCTTGTGCTCTGGCTCTCGGCATGGTGCGTCGCTGCTGGCTGCCTGCGCAGTGTCTGCGCCCCGCTCACACTGCCTCACAGGGGCATCGTGACGTTCCTGCTGCTCATCGCCTCGCTGCGCTCCTCGCTCGCCCTCGTCTCGGTCTTTTTCTTCCTCGACATGTGAGTCTGCCCTCACTGTTAGAGAGGATGAGTGCAGTATGCTAAACATTGCCTATCAGCACGTTCTGGCTCCTCGTCGCCGCCGACGCCACGGGCAACGAGACGGTCCTCACCGCCGCCGGCAGCTTCGGCCTCATCACGGCTGCCTGCGCATGGGTGAGTGTTGCGCGTGGGTGAAGGTCGGGCTAGGGCTGGCGCATCGCACGCGCGTGGATGCTCGCGGGGCTGCGCGCGTATGCCACTTCCTGCCTCGGCACTCTTACTGACACCACGCCCGCAGTACACCGGCACGGCCAGTCTGCTCAGCCCCGACGCTGCGTACTTCACGCTCCCGACCGGCGACCTGTCGCGCAAGGACTAAGCGTCTCGGCTCACACGAAATCGGCTCTTCGCACCGGCCCGCGCCCGTCTCTTTCCAGCTTTATCAAGTTGCCGCGCCCCTGCGTCCCCGCTCTTTGCTCTCTCTCTCCGTCTTCTCTCGGCGCGCCGCAGCCTCGTCTCTGACGGCCACTCACTGGCGAGCGGCGTGCGCGCCTGTATTCTCTCTCTCTCAAGTCTTCAAGATGGCTCGAGGCACCCTCTTTCGCGCAATACCACTGTTTCCGCCTCGCGAACGTCGCTCGAGCGTCTCGGCACACACTCACTGCGCTGTGCAGACTCCAGACTCCGATAATGACATCGCCCACTTTCTCTCATCTGCTGTGTGTCGCGTGCCCTTGGTGTGAGACGTTGCTGTGCTTCCTGTTGAGACTGGAGTGCAGGCTCGCTGTGGGATGTCGCAAGAATGAAGGAGCATGCCCACACTCTGGCCGATCCGACCAGAGCCTGAAGTAGAATGCTGTCCTTGCCTCCATGCAGCTGCGCAGCTGCTGATCGCTGGTGCTGCGCCTGCGCCATCGCGCGTCTGGCCGCCGTGCGGCTTTGTGCAGGCACTTCCAGCGTGCCTTACGCTCGCGAGCTACTCGAAGCAACGCACTCAGCTGCAGGCCTCATCTGAGCTAGAGTCCGGGTCCGAGCGACGCTACTTGTAGCAGAACAGAGGCTGGTGGAGCACAGCACATCGACGACCTTGCTCGCATGTGCAGGTCGCAGTCCCGCATGTGCAGAGCCTCTCGCCTCTCAGCCGTCGTTGCTCAGCATTCTCCGCCGCATGCCGCTTGCACCCGCTTCATGTACCTTCTCACCCATCAACGCCAGTCCAGCTTCGCCTCGGAAGCCCGCCTGAGCACTCGCGCCCGCCAGCTGCTGAGAGATGGGTCTGGATTTTAGGCGAGACCGAGGGTCGCTAGCGCCGCGCGCGTCCAGCCAGCGCGCGACTCAGAGCACGCAGTGCGATGTGTACATGACGCATGAAGAGGATGGATGTGGGTGATGTGTGCAGAGATGAACCGGAGCCGAGACGAAGACCGAGACCGCTTAGCGGTACTGCGATAAGTGGAGCGTCAGCAGCCGTGCATGGATGCGGGAGAGGAGCGGCGATGCGACAGCGCTGCCATCCGCATGACATCGAAGGCGCAGACGGGCTGCGCTCAGCTGCACTCGATGCTCTACGACCAAGTGCGGTCTGCGCAAGGCCATCGCCGTCATGCATAGCCGAGGGATGCGGGTCCGGACGGCATCCGACGACACGAGATGCCGCTCTGCGCTCGTCGGGCCGCAGCCGGACAGCAGGCGTCCGCAAGCCGGCTATCCACAGATCTGCATTCCGTCCCCACTGGACAGGATGCGGCGATCTGACCGCGGCGTCGTGATCCGTGTCGCTCCGCCTGCGTCCCATCTGTCTGTTGCTGTATGCCGCACCGCCTCGTTGCAAGCCCGCCATCGCAGCGATAGCGAGCCATATCGTCGCCATGCCCGCTCGGTCGATGTCTCCTTGGCCTGCATCCCGCTCGCCGCTGCCCCGCCTAGTCCTCTCGCAATGCTCACCTTCACGAAGCCGATGGCCTCGGACTTCTCGCGGAAGCACTGACGGCAGATGTTGAGGCCTGGAGACGCAATGATGAGCCGCATGTTCGACGATGCCGCATTCGACGGCCCGTGACCCGACAGAGCCCAGTGAGAGCGATGCGCCGCGACACCTCATGCACGCTCGTTCGGCGCATCACTGGACCCTGCCTCCGCACTCTGCCCACTCCAGCTCCTCAGCACCGACACGCATGCTCACCGTACTTGCGGACAATGCCGCCCTGGTTGCCGCAGACACGGCACTGGCGCGAGCCCTTGCCGTACTGGCGCGGGTGCGAGAACCACACAGCAGCGTGAGTCCTGCAAGAGAGGGCATGCGGCGTCAGCGGTCTGGTGCTCGTCTACTCATTGATGGTCTCGCCGCGCGCCCATCTTCCACCTCCTGCCCTGCCAGTCCCTCTCATCTCTGCGGCTGCTGCCCTTCCCACACGCAGCACTGCAGCCACCAAAGCGGCCCTGCTGCAGCTGCTCTGCCGCAGCTGCCGTGCAATGTCCCAACGCAGATTCCTCCGACGCGCGCTGCGACACGCACATGATGGGCGAGGAGGAGTAGGGCGAGAGGCGGAGGAGGGGTGCTTGGTGACTTGCGACGGTGTGGTGGTAGCAGATGGGCGGGACGCGGCGGCTGGCGCTGCTGCTGCCGGCGCTGGGCGGGCGCAACGTCAGCCAGACGGCGGCGGCCGCCTTCTGGCGCGTCGCGGCGCGCGCGTGCGACTCCGCCGCGCGCTCGTCGCCCTTGGAGCAGAATGAAGCTGGCGCGCACGTGATGCGTGGCTCGTCCCGTGCTGCGGCGCGGCTCGTTCCCACGACTGCCACTCCTTCCGCCATCGCCGACGACGAGCAGCAGCTGTATGCGATTCGCGACGACGATGGGCACAGGCGATACTGGGGGAGGGGGGAATCATGCGTGACAACAGTATACAGGGGGCACAGGCGCAGAGCAGCGAGGTCGTGTGTGTAAGGTCGTGAGAGGGAGCAGCGGGCCGGGCCCAGCATCAGGGGCAGCGCTCAGGTCGAGACGAAGTCGCCAATGTCGTTGAGCAGCTGCTTCTGATAGCGCGTGGCGCCCTTGCCGCCCATGCCGAGAAACATGGCCGCCACTGCCTCGGCGTGGCCCAGCTCGCGGTAGGCGCGCAGGCGCACGCTGTCGACGCCGCAGCCGACGAGCAGCGTCTTGAGCAGCGTCGACTGCGAAATGTCGACGCACGCGTCGCGCCCGCCGTGGATGAGCAGCACCTTGGGCGGCAGCAGCGAGGCGTCGAGGATGTTCTTGGCCGCGTAGAGCAGGTGCGCCGGCGAGTGCAGCTGCCGTGGGGTGAGCAGCGGCAGGGCGTGGCGCTCCCTCGGACACTCACCAGGCACGACGTGTGGCTCGGGCCGCAGGCGCGGCGCAGCGAGCTGAGGTGCTCGATGCCCCGTTCAGACTGGGTCCAGCATTAGCAAAGATACATCTGCGGCTGCCCACTCGCACTCACCTCGTTGCGGAAGCCCTTGATCACATCGCTCACACCCGAGCACAGGATCAGGCCGGCAATCGGCGGGATGGCGACCTCGGGCGCGTAGATCTCCACGCGCTTGAGGCCATTCGGGATGCTGCTCTCGGCGTTGGCCAGCGACTGCTCGCGCGTGGCGGCGCGCTGCTCGCGTGTCGGCGATGTGCCGTGGTGCGCAGCGTCGGCGCCTGCCACCCTCCGCGGCGTGCTGGGCGCCCCCAGGCTGCCCAGCTGCGTCGCCAGGCGCGCCGAGTGCGACATGCCCGCGGCCGCCGACTCGGCCATGACGCCGCCGGGCGGCAGCATGTCCGAGTCTGCCTCGTCGACCCACGCCGTGTCCTCGTGCGGCGGCTCGACCGGCGGGCCCTGCTCGCGCCCGTTGCCGCGCGTGGCGTGTGCGCGCGACTTGGGCGCATCGTCGTCGCCCTCGTCCCAGCGCAGCATGCCCGACTTCTCCAGCTCGCGCTCGTACGCGCGCTCCATGTGGCCCTCGCGGCTCAGCACCACGGCCTCCTGCGTCAGCGTGAGCATGGCGAGGTGCGCCGAGAGGCCGTGGCCCATCAGGTGGATGCGGTGCGGGTCGCCGCCGTAGCGCGTGATGCTCGAGCCGACCCAGCGCAGGACAAGGCGCAAGTCGGTCACGGAGCTCTTGATGCGCGCGGAAGGGAAGTAGGTCTGCGCAGGCGTCAGAGAATGCGGGCTCGCAGCACACACAGAGCTGCTCACGATATCCGGCACGACGACGCAGTAGCCCATCCGGCGGAAGCGCAGGGCGAGCTGCAGATACGTCTTCTGCACTCGGAAGGGGTCAGTCGCGGCCAGCACACGCTCTCAAACACCTGCACGCACCCGCTTGCCAGTCCAGGTCAGCGGCGGGATCGTGCTCGGAAGGAAAACAATCACAGCCGCTCGCTTGGCCCCAAAACCGCGCGCGTGGTCCTGCGGCGTCGGTCCCTGGCCTGCCGCCGCGAATCCGTCGGCAAAGAGCGTGCTGTGCTTGCGGCTGCGCAGGCCGGGATGCGCGGACGCCTCGCTGCCATTGGCCGGCGTCTCGGGCACATGCGACTGCGGCATGTACACGTCGAGCCGCATGCCGGCAGTGGGCGAGCCGTAGTCGATGTTCTCCCTGGTCATTTGCGCGTGAGCACAGCAAGCATGCGGCCCCTGGTACGCGCACTCACTTGATGATGCCTGCGCCGCCCTTCGTGCCCAGCACCATCACGCGCCGGTAGCTCCAGTCAAGCACGGCGGGCAGCGCCACGCGCAGCGCCGTCGAGGCGTAAAGGAACGCAGCCCAGTTGATCTTGAGGCAGCGCATCGGGCTGTACGGCAGGAAGGGCAGGTAGGCGCCGGCCAGGCCGCCGCCGGCCGACGACGGCGGGTCGGCCTGCGCAAGAATGAGGTAGGAGAACCATGCGATCGAGTAGAGCAGCAGCACGGAGAGCAGCAGGAAGAGCGGGATCGTGCTGCGCGAGAGGCGAGCGTGAGCGCGCCGACACCACCCTCGAGCAGACGTGCGAGGCCCAGAGGTCTGCCTATGACCTGACACAGCAGCAAGACTCGTGGCCAACTTGGAATGTAGCCCTGCCGAGATGTTTGCCCTGCACCAGCTCCTGCAGCGGCTGCAGACTTCGCAGCTCCCGCGAGGGGCCGCCCTCTCTGCTGCATCTGGGAGCTGCCGCAGCTCTGCGCAGGACCGCTCGCAGCCCGGCGACGTCGCCCTTCACACTTACACAATGCCCACGACTGGCACTGCATCGCAACGTCAGCACACTGCTTGCACACCCCCACGCCGCGGCGCCACTCACCGGCACAGAGCAGGCCGAGCAGCGGCCAGGCAGGCACGCCAAAGACGATCGTCGGCACGAGCACGACGCGCAGGAAGGAGGCGACGAGGCGCGAGATGCGCCCGGGCATGCTGGGCGACGCGTCCGGGTGCGGCGAGCGGGGTGTGTGAAGTGTGGAGAGGTGGTGGTGAGAGGCGAGGCCGCCGTCGCTGGGCCTTGAGCCGGTGCTGAGCCTGCCAACGTCGAACTCGCCGAGGCGCGCCGGCCAACACGACGCGAAGCAACACGGGCACGCCGCCTGTGTGCCGCGCCGCGCGCCGCGTGTGAAACGAGCACGGGCCGAGCGGCGCGCGGCACGACGGGCAGCGCCGACTGCGACAGCGAGCGGCATTCAACGCCGTCGAGGGTCCACCCAGCGCAGCAGCGAGGCTTGACAGGCAGCGCTCACCAGCTCACAGCGTCAGCGTGCGGCCATCCGACGACGCAGCTCGCGGTGCAGCTGAGCAGCAGCAACACCGGAGCCTCAGCGCGGCTCTGCGAAGTCACGCGCCGCATCGAGGTCGTGAAGCGGATCAAATGCAGCAGATAGACAACGGGAAGGACGTGACGAGTGAGACCAGGAGCAGAGAGGGATGAGGAACGAGAGACAGCACGCATGTGCCTCAGGCGCGCTGGCGCTGGCGCGCGCCAATCGTCTTGAGCTTGGCGTACACCTTGCCCGGCGGCGCACCCATGATCAGCGACACGACGGCGTCGCGCGCAATCTTGATGTTCTGGAAGCTGCCGAGGATGTGGATCTTGCTGCACAGGGAGTCAGACACTGCACAACCGGTTGCCGTCGCTGACCACTCACGTATCGGCGAGCACCACGCGCGTGCGGCTAGCATTCTCAATCGCGAAGCGCGTGCGCCCGTCCTTGCCGGCAATGCGCCCAATGGCGCGGCTCAGGTGGTCGCCGTGCAGCGTCTTGACGTCCTTGATCTCAAACGTGTCGACGAAGAGGTCGTCCATGCGCAGCAGCGCGATGGCGTCGTCCGCCTCGAAGCCCAGCGCGAAGGCCTTGACGAAGTCCGCGCCCTTCTGCAGCATGCCGACGTCGCCCGTGTGCTTCGACGACTGCAGGTGCGGCACGTGTCAGAGAGCGACAAGACGGAAAGGGCCAGGACAGAGGGCGAAAGGGTGCAGCAGGAGCGCAGCCCACCCAAACAAGGCAGCCAGAAAGGATACATGACGAGAGGCTGCACCTGCGGAATAGCAATGGCGGCACCGCAGCCAGCTCGAGCGCTGCGAGCCCGCGTCGCGCCGCACTCATCGTCAAAATGTCTTGAGCGAGCACCACACCCAGCAGATCGCAAAGGCTCGCTTCTGGCCTCCGTCGCGCCCTGTCGCAGCTCGCCATCCAACGTGAACCCACGATCCAGCGCAATCCCCTCCACATCACCACGTCGCATTCATGTACTCACGCGGATCTCGACGGCGCGGCGCTGCACGTTCATGCGCACCTGCAGGCCGGCCATCTCGACGAGCGGCGTGTAGATCTTGGCCCACTCGTTCTTCAGCGGCGTCATGCGGTGCGGCGGAATGGCAATCTTGCGCAGCTGCCCGCGCGTCACGGCGCCGGCGTCGGCGGCGGCCTGCTGCTGCGCACGGCTCAGCGGCGCAAAGCTCGGCTTGCCGGCGGGGTCGAGCGACATGGGCGCGGCGTCGCCGCTGCCCGACGACGGCCCCGCGGCTGCGCTGCCCTCGATGCCCGGCCGTGCGCCGCCCGAGGCGCCAATGAGCAGCGCATCGTCGTCGTCCATCTCCATGTCCTCGCCGGCGGCCGCATCCGCCGCGGCGTCGTCATCGTCAGAGTCCTCGGCGCCGAGCGGCGGGCGCGCAGCAGGCGTGGAGGTGGATGCCGTGGCGGGCGAGGCGGCAGCAGCGCCGAGAAGCGCCTCGCGCGCCGAGGCCTTGCCCTTGCCCTTGGCGGCGGCGCTGGGAGAGGCGGTGGACGCAGCAGCGTCGGCGAAGGAGCGGGCCATGATGTGTGGTGTGGTGGGAGCAAGGCAGGTGTGAGGCGCCGGCAACGGGGCGGCCAGGCGGGGATTTCGGCGCCACGCCGCCCACTTTTTTGAACGCGCCCGTCGGCCGATGCGCCGTGCCGGAGTCGCGCGCTTGGCTTGCCCTGCACCCCGCACCTCCACCTCGAACGCACGGCCTGCCTCAGCACCCTCACCCGCCTTGTCTCTGCCTGCTTGCTGTCCATCTCCTGCTCGCCGCTGCCGCTCCATGCCCCCCGCCGACAACCTCGACGGCAACGCCTGCCACGCCCACGCCTGTGCGCTGCAGTCGTGCATGCAGAAGACGCTCAACCAGGACAAGTGCCAGCACCTCGTCACCGAGCTCTACCGCTGCTGCGCGCGCTTCTACGTCGCAAAGGGCCCCCGGGCCGAGGCCGACGGCTGCCCGCTGCTGCCCGTCGTGCGCCGCAAGCTCAAGGCTGTGGGAGAAGAGCACCTGCTGGACCGCGTGCCGCAGCAGTAAAGGCACTGCGAGCCGACCGCGTCAGGAGCCGCCGCCGCTGTCTGCGCACCCGACGATCGTCTCATCACACAAGCCGCGGCTTAGCCCCGCCACCAGCGTCACCTCTCATCGACTGCTACTCCAGTCATCTTTCTCCAGCATGTCCTCGCCGACCACCTCGGGCGCCTCGGCCGCTGCATCCGCCGCGGCCGACGCGCGCCTTCGCGCAGCAGCAGCACTGCGTGATACCGCCACTGGCGGCCTGGACGAGTCAGCATTCAAGCTCAAGGTGAGGCGCATGCATCATTCATGGCGGAGCAGAGCTCACACGCGCTCCACCAGGTGAAGCGCATCGTGGACAAGGAGATCTGCGCCAGCGCGAGCTCCGAGGTGGCGTCCAAGTGCATGCGGGTGAGCACGCACGGATGCGCCCCACTGCAGCCGCATCTGACACTGTGCAGCTCTTCCACACGCTGCTCTCCAACATCGTCGATCACCCGACCGAGGGCAAGTTCCGCGCCTTCAAGACCGAGCAGCCGCGCATCAAGCGCGAGCTGCTCTCGGTCTACGGCGCCAAGGACCTGCTCGTGCTGCTCCTCTTCCGCACGCGCACCGCCGAGTTCAAGGAGGAGTGGTACTTTGCCGAGACCTACCAGCCCGGCTGCGAGGCGTGGCGCAAGCTCGAGCTGGCGCGCAGCGCTCTGGGCGAGTATGCGCGCGTCAAGGAGGATACGGCGGAGCGGCTGCGCGAGATCGCTGAGCGTGAGAAGGTGGCCGAGCAGACACGTGTGGTGAGTAAGAGTGTGTGGTACCAGATGCAAACACGCTTCTCCGGCTCATCATCCTCTCTGCGCTAGGCACGCGCGATGGCAGCAGCCGAGGAGGACCGCGAGCGTGTGCGCCAGCGAGCAGAGCGCGAGAAGCACGCGCGTCAGGCTCGTCAGAGCGCCGCCGCGGCACAGGCTCAGGCTGCGGCGCAGCAGGGCGGCGATCCGGCGAGTGAGCAGGCCAAGGCGGAGCCTGCCGATCACAAGGGCTACAGGCCCGTCGGCCACTACGACGAGGACGAGGAAGAGGGCAGCGACGAGGGCAGCGAGCCGGACTTTGGCACGGGCGCGGGCCGCAGGCTGGGCGACTGAGCAATGACACCATACGATTAGCCATCTACCGGTCCTCGGCGCGCCCGCGCGGCCGCTCTGCGTCTACGTCAGAGACGGTGCCGCCTGCTGGCAGCGCAGCCGTCTCGTTGTCCACTTGCCGCGAGAGCAGCGCGTTGTCTGCGAGGCCCACGGCCACAAAGGAGAGCTGAGCGCGGGTCAGCTTCCGCAGAGGTCAGCGCGTTGCCGGCGCACTCACCAGCACCATGACGCTGCCAGCGTCAGCCTGCAGGCCGCCCGAGTGCGAGCCGCGCGCAATGTCGCCCAGCATGGCGAGCGGGATCGTGAGCGACAGGCCCACGGTCGCGATCAGCGGCGAGCTCTTCAGCATGGCCAGCAAGTAGGCGAAGTCGCTGAGGCACGCAGTAGAGTCAGCGGCCGCCGCACCCGACGCGAGACAGCGCACTCACGAGACAAACGTGATGCACATGTTGACGCCGATGCCGGCCCACGTCATGCCGTCGGCCGGCACCTGCGCCACCTCGGTGCCGGTGAGGTGCAGCAGCAGGCCGATGGGCCACATGCCGAGCACGTTGAATGCGCCGACGAAGCCGAAGAAGAGCGGCATGCTCACGCGCTCCTCGGAGCCGATGCGCACCTTGAGCAGCGAGACGTAGGCGGCGTAGAAGAAGGCTGACAGCAGCGCCAGCGCATCGCCAAGCGGCGCGTTCGCCGGCGCACCGAGGCCCGCTTGGGCGCTGTCGGCGCGCGTGACAAGCACGACGCCGGCGAAGGAGAGCGACACGGCAAAGAGCTTGGGCAGCGTGAAGATCTCGACGCCGAGGATGCTGCCGAGCGCGAGCGTGAAGAAGCCTGAAGCAAGCGTCAGCAGAGGGCAGGGCATGTACGCCAGCTGGTCACGCACCACTGGCAGAGCTGAGCGTCGTGCCGCTCGCGACACTGGTGAGACCCAGCCCGGCGTTGAGGCTCCAATTGGCGGCGAACCAGACGAGCGTGAACTGCGCCGCAAGCCAGCCCGTCTCGCTGAACGTCAGCGGCGGCTCGCCCAGCGGCGCTGCAGGTGCGAGCGCGACGATGGGCAGCGGCGCGGCCGTCGAAGCATCGATGATCGAGCGTGGCCGCCGCCCGTCGATGCTGCTCGGCCGCGGCAGCAGTGGCCGCACTTCGAGGCTGCCGCGCGGATAGGACGGCGAGAGCCGCCTTTGTCGCACTGCCAGAGCAGGCTCGCTCTCACTCGGCAGGCCCTCATATTGGCCTCTGCGCGAGCATCAGCGGGGTGTCTGAGCTCAAGGCGCGGCAAAGCTCACCGGCTCGCCGAGTCCTCGACGTCTCGCCGGCCGCTCTCGGGCAGGCGAAAGCCGATGCGCGCCCAGAAGGACTCTTCTTGTGCGCCATCGGCCTTGGATCGACTGCGCTTCCGCGAGCGGGCACACGCAAAGGGAATAAGATACTGCCCTCGTGGGGTCAGCGGCGCCATGAGCGTGCAGCACTGGCCGTGCTCACAAGCGCAAACGACGACGTGTTCAGATAAGTGACGGCGAACGGCTTGTTGTATGCGCCGGTGAGCATCGTGTTGGTGAGGAAGTTGCTGCCTGCAGTGCCAAGCGTCAGGGGACGCTTATCGGCGCACATGTCAGCGGCCACGCACCCGTCCAGAGCAGGACAACGAGCAGCAGCAGGGCGACGCCCGCGAGGTATTCGCTGCGGCGATGCTGCGCTGCCCGCAGCGCGGACGATGACGTCGAGTCCATGGCCGGCCGCTGATGCCGCGAAGACGCGCTGCTGCCCGTGCCGTGCTCGCCCGCGCCGTGCTCGTGTGTCGCCGATGCGGCGGAGCGGCGCACTGGACGCAGCTCGATGGCCGCAGCGCTGGCTGTCCTCTTCGGCGACGGCGTGCTGGCGGGATGCGTGCTTGCGTTTGCCACTGCTGCGTCTCCTCTGTGCTCTGCTCGCTGTTCTCTGTCTTGAGGAGGTGGAGAAGATCGCGCCGGCGGCCGGCGCAGTGCCGGAGAAGAGGCCGCGGCCGGCGCCGCGCCCCAGGGTGTGGAGCTTCGCGCGTTCCCACGCGCCAGGCCGCGCGCACGTGATCGATGTCGTGCTAGGGAGCGACGCCGAGGCAGCGCGTCGCACAGGCAGCGCCCATCTCATCGGCAGCCACAGGGCCTCCTCTCTCCACTTGCTGCCGCTCGTGCGCGTGCATTTGGAGCGAGCAGAGGGTGAAATGCTTGGATACAAGCAGGAATGACACGCATTTGTGGAGCTGCCTGTCTGTCCGCTGCTTGCGTTGCCCACGCCAGGCTGCCAGACGCGCGCCCGCCATCGGCCGCGCCGCCCGTGCCTCCCGCGCCGCGCCGCGCGACGCGCCGTGCCTGGCGCTGCTCCGCCTCCTCCCTCGTGCTCACTTACACGCGCCGCTGCTGCCGCGTCCCACGCATCCCGGCCTCCTTCCAGCTCCCAGAGAGCAACACTCCCGCTCCTCCGCCCTCCACGCCGCTCCCGCTCCGCACGGCCGTCGCGCAGACCAGTGCCGACGCTCCGTCCGTCACCCGTGTCGCGTGGCGCAGCGAGCCGTGCCCGTCGCACCGCACCGCCGCGCCCGCCCTCCAGCTCCACCAACGTCGGCCACCGCGCCGCCGCCGCGTCTGAAGGCCGCCGCTGCCGCCGCCTGTCGCGTCTGCCGCGAGCGCCGTCCGCGCGAGCGTGTCGCCTGCACGCAGCATGTCGGCCGCCAGTGCCAATGGCAACGGCGCCGTGCCGTCGTCGTCGAGTGCGCCGCAGGGTGCTGCTGCGCCGGCTCCCGATGCTGCCGTCGCGGGGCCCGCCGGCATGCCGCACATCCCTGAGCATGTACAGCAGGCCCTCAGCGGCCTGAACAAGCAGCGCCTGCAGGGCATGGTGCAGGTGAGTCGGCCGCTCATCGCTGGTCCTTTGTCTGGTCGCTCATCGCATCTCTCCGGCTGCGCAGCGCATGCAGCAGCTCAAGGCCGCCGGCGAGACGGAGCAGTCCAGCCAGGAGCTGGCGAACCTCGTCAACATTCTGCGCTACTTCCAGCAGGTCCAGCTCATGAAGCAGCAGCAGCAGCAGCAACAGCAGCTGCAGCAGCAGGCGCAGCAGAGCGCGTCGCAGGCGAACGCGCAGCAGGCTGCCTCCAGCTCGTCGTCACAACGTGAGTCGCTCGTGAAGGAGCACCTGCGGCGGCCGATGCTCATGCGCAGTCCAGCGGCCGCGAGCACATCACAAGCGGCGACGCCAGCAGCGGCAGCAGCCTCGACGCCTGCCGCGCCCGCGCCTGAGGCGGCGTCGACGCCCGCTGCGGCTGCGAACGGCGATCACAGCAGCGCGAATGGCGCCAACGGCGTGGTCGCGAGCGCCAGTGGGCCGGCGAGCCAAGCTGCCTCTGCCGCGGCGCCGTCACCAGCGGCCAATGGCACGCCGACGACGAACGCTCCATCGGCATTCACGCCGGAGCAGCTGGCAGCGCTCAAGACGCAGATCATTGCCTTCAAGCTGATCTCGCGCAACATGCCGCTGCCGCCGCATCTGCAGGCCGCTCTGCTCAACCCTGACGCGGCGATTGACGAGATCCGCGGCGGTCTGCCGGATCTCCAGTCGCTTGGCGAGGCGGGCGCCGTCGCGGAAGCGGGCGTGGCCGCGCACCAGGCGGCCGAGCTCGTCTCCACCGCGAAGGAGGAGGCCGCGAAGGCAGCGATGGTGAAGCGGCCGGCGACGCCGAAAGACGACACGTCCAGCGCCGTGTACCCGTACAACGCGCTGCGCCAGCCCTTCACGTACCTTTCGAAGCCGGCCACCGGGCCGGAAGACTCCGCGGCGACGAAGCAGCAGCGTCTGCTCGTCCCGAGTCTCCTGCCGGCTGGCCTCGACCCGCAGCTGCTCATCGCAGAGCGCGACCGGCTGATTGCCGCACGCGTGCAGCAGCGCATTCGCGAGCTCGAGTCGCTGCCGTCCACCATATCGCAGTGGCCGACGTTGCGAGGCGCAGACGCCGCGGAGATGAAGCGAGAGCATGACGGGCGCGACGAGGGCGAGGACCTGTGGGAGAGCAGCACGTTCGAGGCGGACAACGCCAAGATCAAGGCGCTGATCGAGCTCAAGTCGCTCAAGCTGCTGGAGAAGCAAAAGGCGCTACGGCACTCGCTCGTGCGCGGCTTCAGTGCGGCGTCGACGCTCGCGCTCGACCGCACCGCATTCCGCAAGTTCAAGAAGCAGACGCTGCGCGACGCACGTCTCACCGAGACGCTGGAGCGGAAACAGCGCGCGGACCGCGAGCGGCGCACGCGCCAGAAGCACACCGACTATCTCAACACGATCGTCGCGCACGGTCGCGAGCTGCAGGCGGCGCACCGCAACGCGCAGAGCAACGCGCAGCGCATCGGCAAGTCCGTGCTGCGCCTGCACGCCGAGACGGAGAAGGAGGAGGCCAAGCGCCTGGAGCGCATCGCCAAGGAGCGTCTGAATGCGCTGCGTGCCGACGACGAAGAGGCCTACCTCAAGCTCGTCGACACGGCCAAGGACACGCGTATCACGCATCTCATCCGCCAGACCGACGCATACCTCGGCTCGCTCGCCGACGCCGTGCAGGCGCAGCAGAACGACGACGTGCACGCCGACGCCATCGCGGCCGAGCGCGCAGGCATCGCGCCGCCGACAGCCGAGGAGCTCGCCGCGCAGACAGCCAACCAGCAGGTCGGCGTGGCCGTCGATGAGACGATGTTCGGCGCGCGGCGCGAGGACGACCCGGTCGAGAAGGGCAAGGTCGACTACTATTCCGTCGCGCACCGCATCACCGAGCACATCACCGAGCAGCCGACGATCCTCGTCGGCGGCAAGCTCAAGCACTACCAGATCAAGGGCCTGCAGTGGATGGTGTCGCTGTACAACAACCGGCTCAACGGCATTCTCGCCGACGAGATGGGCCTGGGCAAGACGATCCAGACGATCTCGCTCATCACGTTCCTCATCGAGCACAAGCGGCAGCCCGGCCCGTACCTCGTCATCGTGCCGCTCTCGACGCTCACAAACTGGATCAACGAGTTTGAGAAGTGGGCGCCGTCGGTCAACACGCTCGTCTTCAAGGGCCCGCCGCTGGCGCGCAAGCACCTGTCGAACCGCATCCGCGCCGGCAACTTCCAGGTGCTGCTGACGACGTACGAGTACATCATCAAGGAGAAGGGCCTGCTGGGCAAGATCCGCTGGACGCACATGATCATCGACGAGGGCCACCGCATGAAGAACACACAGAGCAAGCTCACGATCACGCTCATGCAGTCGTACGTGTCGCGCTACCGCCTGCTCCTCACGGGCACGCCGCTGCAGAACAACCTGCCCGAGCTGTGGGCGCTTCTCAACTTCGTGCTGCCCAAGATCTTCAACTCGGTCAAGTCGTTCGACGAGTGGTTCAACACGCCCTTCGCCAACACGGGCACGAGCGGCGACGGCGCGATGCAGCTCAACGAGGAGGAGGCGCTGCTCATCATCAAGCGTCTGCACAAGGTGCTGCGTCCCTTCCTGCTGCGTCGTCTGAAGAAGGACGTCGAGAGCGAGCTGCCGGACAAGGTCGAGAAGGTCATCAAGTGCAAGATGAGCTCGCTGCAGCGCAAGCTCTATCAGCAGATGAAGAACCACAAGATGCTCCTCGCCGGCGACGAGGCCGGCCCGGGCCAGAAGCAGAAGCAGCAGGGCATCAAGGGCCTGCAGAACGCCATCATGCAGCTGCGCAAGATCTGCAACCACCCGTACGTCTTCGAGCAGGTCGAGGTGGCCATCAACCCGATGAAGCAGAACGGCCCGGACCTCTACCGCGTCTGCGGCAAGTTCGAGCTGCTCGACCGCCTGCTGCCGAAGCTCAAGGCGACGGGGCACCGCGTCCTGATCTTCTTCCAGATGACGGCCATCATGGACATCATGGAGGACTTCCTGCGCTACCGCAACCACAAGTACCTGCGCCTCGACGGCTCGACGAAGCCCGACGACCGCTCGCTGCAGCTCAAGGAGTTCAACGCGCCAAACTCGGACATCTTCTGCTTCATTCTCTCGACGCGCGCCGGTGGTCTGGGCCTGAACTTGCAGACGGCCGACACCGTCATCATCTACGACTCCGACTGGAACCGTGAGTGCCGCGTGTCGGCGCGCGTGTGCCGTTGCTGACTAGGCTCGCGCACCACAGCCCACCAGGACTTGCAGGCCCAGGACCGCGCGCACCGCATCGGCCAGAAGATGGAGGTGCGCATTCTGCGTCTCGTCACCGAGAAGTCCGTCGAGGAGGCCATTCTCGAGACGGCGAACCGCAAGCTGCAGATCGACGGCAAGGTCATCCAGGCCGGCAAGTTCGACAACTCCTCGGGCAACGAGGAGCGCGAGGACCTGCTGCGCGCGATGCTCGAGGCGGACCAGGACGAGGAGGAAGAGGAGGAGGGCGAGCTGGGCGACGACGAGCTCAACCAGATTCTCGCGCGTGGCGAGAACGAGGTGGGCAAGTTCGAGGAGATGGACAAGCAGCGCGAGAAGGACTACGCCGAGGAGTGGCGCGCGCGCGGCCACAAGGGCAAGATCCCCGAGCGCCTCATCCAGGAGAGCGAGCTGCCGTCCATCTACCAGCAGGACTTTGACGCCGTGGCGCTCGACGCACCCGTCGAGGAGGAGCCGCTGGTCCGCAAGCGCAACGTCGTGCGCTACGACGACGGCCTGACGGAGGAGCAGTTCCTGCGCGCCCTCGAGGACGACGACGTCGACATGGCCGAGATCGTCGAGCAGAAGCGCGAGCGTGCAGACAAGCGGAAGGCCAAGCTGCTCGCCGCATCGCGCGAGGACTCGCAGACGGCGACACCCGAGCCGAGCACGTCGAAGAAGAAGGGCAAGAAGCTGCTCGGCGACACGCCCGACGCCTCGCCCGGCCCGTCCGGCAGCGCCGCGCGCAAGCGCAAGCGTGCCGCCGGCCCCACCGACACGCCCACGCCCGACCGCGACGAGTCGCCGGCACGCGGCGGCGCCAAAAGCGGTGCTGCTGCGGGCGGCAAGCGGCAAAAGACCGCCGACGACGCGCAGCGCGACCGGCTCAAGGATGCACTGCTGCGCTGCTACCGCGCGCTCGAGAATGCGCACGACGACGACGGTCGCCAGCGCTGCGCGCTCTTCGTCGATATTCCCAAGAAGCAGGACTACCCCGACTACCACGTGTGAGTACAGTACGCGCTGTTGCATCACGCCCGACCTGAGCTGACACGCGGCCCACAGCATCATCCAGCAGCCGATCGCGATGCGCCAGGTGAAGCGCCGCATCGACAATCGCACCTATCGGCAGGCGTACAAGTGCCGCGACGACATCCACCTCATGGTCAAGAACGCCAAGACGTACAACCAGGAGGGCTCTTGGGTGTGGAACGACGCCGTGGCGCTGCTGGAGGCCTTCGAAGCGGCCTACGACCTGAACGTGCGCGGCACGGACCTGCCCGGCATCGAGGAGGGCCAGGAGGATGCGCCGCCGGCGGCCGAGGAGCCCGACGATGCGCCGAGCAGCGCGCGTCCGCGCATCAAGCTCTCCGTCAAGCGAGGCCGTGTGGCGCCCGACGATGAGTGAAGCAAGCCCGCTGCATCGTCTGTCCCAGCATGCGCCGTTCTGTCACCTGCGTTGTGTTTCCATCCGCCGCGGCCCCCGCGCCCTGCGCCGAGCCGCGTGCGCCCTGTACCAGTACCCGTAGATCCCACTCGCAGCAAACGATGACATTGCTCCTTCCGGCGTGGGGCGCTTGCCTCACTGCTGTGCCGCCAGCTGCTGCTCGACGCCGGCGTACGTCAGCATGCTCATCATGTAGCTGACCTCGTCCCAGTCGCGCATGTACTGCGCCTCGCCGGGCGCAAGACAGCCGTTGAGCATGCGTGCGGTGCGCTGCACCATGTGCGCGCGCGGCGTACGCACGGCGACGAAGGCAGCGAGGGCCTCGTCGAGGCTCGCCACGGCGGCCGCCTCCGTGCTTGCGCTGCTGGGCTCGGCGCGCAGTGGCGCCAGGAGGTAGGAAAGCGCCTCGGCGTCCTCGAGCGCCTGTGCGCTGCCCTGGCCGGTGTCTGCGGGTTGTTAGCTCACGGCGAGGTCGCTGCACCGAACGTGCTCACGAGGAAGCGTCGCGTGCGCTGCATCGCCCACGAGCACCGCTCGGCCGGCAGCCCAATTGTCGAGGCAGGGTGCATCGCGAATCTGCGCCAGGTCAAGCGTCGGACATGATCTGTGCGAGGGCGTGAGCACGGGTCTTGCGAGGGTGAGTCTGACTCCTCACCGAAGCAGCTCTTGCACCTCGGGAGCAAAGGCGGCAAACACCTCTGTGGCTTCCTTTGCATCAACGTCGCGAATGAAGCCGGCACGGCTGCCATGTGCGCCTCCTCGTGGGAAGCGTTCGAGCAGCGCAGCCGTGGCGGGCTGGTAGGCGAAGAGCTGCAGCGCATCGTCGCCGAGCGGGTAGAGGATGAGGCGCTGCTGGGCGCGGCCGCGGCGAGCCATCTCCGCGGCCTCGTCTGCCTCCTCTTCCGCTGCGTGCGGCGGGTCCCACGTCCAGTTCGCCAAGCAGCCACGGGGCACTCCGTCGTCGTGCAGGTGCGAGAAGGGCGCCAGGGCCCTGGCGGGTACGAGGCCCATGTACGCCAGCTGTGCCGTATTGGCGTCGCGCAGCTCGGCGGGCAGGCCATGCGCATCGACGACGGCAGCCCGGCCAGCCTTCGAGAGGCCGTCAGCGAGCACAATGAGATCGCCGCAGTGCTCGCCGTAGCGTGCGGTCTGGACGTCCAGCTCCGCCACGGGCACGTTGATGTGGATCTGCACTGCTGCGCCAGGCAGCATCTGCGCGGCTCGTCAGCGCTGTGCCGTAATGCGGAGCGCCAGGGGCCTACGCACTGGCGAAGCGGCCGCCTGAGCGAGTGTGCGGACCATCGCCGAGCGCCGGCAGAAGAAGGCCGGCGCCGAGGGGTCCAGCGGGTAGGACGAGTTTTCAGACTCCTCATTCTCAGCCGAGCGAGTCGAGATCTGAGGTGCGTGTCAGCGGCCGAGGCGCACACACCCGCCGCCACACCAGCGCACCTCCTGCAGCGGCTTGCCTCCGAGCGCAGCCACGGGATTGGCGACGCCGAGGATGTGCAGCATGCGTGTGCCGTTGGGCGCAATGGCGATGCCGTAGTCCTGCGCATCGGGCACGTCGCTGTGGCCGCGCTGCAGGCCGCTGGCGATGAGCGCCGCCGGCACGCCGGGCAGCGAGCCGCGCTCCAGCACGACGACGCGGTGCTCGCTGCGCTGCCGCAGCGCCGCAGCGAGCGCCAGGCCGGCGATGCCGCCGCCGAGGATGAGGATGTTGAGCGGGCGCGACATGGTTGATGTGGTAGAGGGGCGCCAAGAGGCACAGTGTTCCATCCGACGCTATATGAAGGCCCTGGCGCCCCGCCTTTCATGCGGCGTCGAGGACAAAGGATTCGCGCCGGCCACAGCGCGATGCGAGAACAAGAAGAAGTCGCGGCCGGCGGAGGCGGCCGCGCGCATCAGTCGCTGCATCCTGCGCTGGGACGCAGCTGTGCTGCTGTCAGCGACGGCATGCCCGAGCGGCAGAACAGGCGGGCACAAAGTCTAGTGCCTCAAGAGCCGCGACGACATTCGGGTGCCGAGCTGGGTGCTGTGTGCCGGGCCCTTGCGAGGAGCACCCCTGACAAGCCCCTTGAGCACACGCGCAGCTGTAAGAGAAGCGCGCGCCGGCACTCGGGACAGGGCCTGATGTGCCGCGGCAAATCCATCTCGTGCCTGCGAGAGCTTCAAGCAGCGCCCAGACCAGGCGCAAGGCGTCATGCTCAGCAGCCCAGTCTGCGTGTGCTGCTCGGGATGCAGAGCAGCCTGGGCACCGGTCTGTCTGGGCGCGTCGACGAGGGGGATGGGCGACCCTGGCGGCTGCAGCGCGCTGCCTGCGTCCTCGACCTGTTCCCACGCTCCGAGAGGAGATAAGCCGCGCCGCCCGCGCGCCGCGGCTGGCGCGCAGCTCGCAGGTGCGCGGTGCTGCGCCGAACGTGCCTCTCGTGTGGTGCCTGCCCCATGCGCTGCTGGCAGGCCCGAGCGATCTTCCGGGCCCGCCTCCTCGCCTCGCCAGCGCAGCGACACCTTCACCCTCTTCCTCTCGCTGCCCGCCTTGCCGTCGCCGTCACCTCACATCACCTCTCGCTGCCTCGGCGGACGCAGCGCCGCACTACTCTCGCATCAACGTGCGCTCAGAGCAGAGTTCGCTCGCGCCATCTCCCATCACATCACATTGCGCACCAGCACGCCACGGCCGCCGCATCACACCGTCTCTCAACGCCCCTCCGCTGCAGCAGCCAAGCACAAGCCGCACAGGTCGCCGCAGCACCGCAGCGCCTCGCTCCACGCCCGTGCCTGAGACGCAGGTCCCAGCCGCGTCTGCCGCGCCCCTGCCCTCCCGCGCGGCCTGAGTCAGCGATCTTTCAGGCGCCGGCAGCATGGCGGGCAGCCACAGCACCGATGAGGGTGAGTGCTGCAACTGCACGAGTCGGAGTATCGTGCTGGCTGTGCAAGTGCTGTCGCGAAGAAGCAGGGGCCCATGCGCCTCGCTGGAGAAGACGTCCAGCCCTGCACTGCCGCTCTCTGTCCGCATCTGCCTCAGCACGCTGCACCTCACGCCCAGCACCTTTCGCATCTGACACCGGCGCATTCCTCAGGTGCCTCGCACTCCAACGCACCCTCCAACCTCGCCGCTCAGCGCCCGTCCGCGCCGAGCTCGCCGGGCCCGGGCTTCTCGCGCCCCGCTGCCACGGCCAACGCGCTGCGCCGCGCCTCGGTGCAGCCGGTGCCGACGGCCAGCAGCGACGGCGGCGCCGGCAGCCCCTTCTCGGGCGCCGGCGGCGCCGGGCGTGTCTTTCCGCGCAGTCTGACGCACGACGTCGCCAACAGCGGCCACGGCTTCGCACCGCCTGCGTCTCCGGCGCACGGACGCCGCTCTTCGATTGCTGGCCGCGCTGGCCGCCAGCAGCAGGGCGACGCCGAGGCGGGCGAGGGCGAGGCGCGCTACGCCGGTGCATCGGGCTTCAACCTGGAGGGCCGCAGCTAGTGAGTGGGATCGCAGGCCGCGCGGTCTCCTCGGATCGGCTTCTGGCTCCAATCTCTTGTGTGAGCCGCCTGCGGAGCGCTGCCTGACCTCTTCCTCTCAGCCGCTTCCAGACGGCAACGCACGACGGCACGCAGCTCGGCCGCTCGTACACGGCCACGTCGGGCACGATCCGCGACAGCACGGCGCTGTTGGCGGGCATGGCGCTCATGTCCGACGACGACGAGAGCAACTCGTCGCGCATCGAGGAGCGCGACGAGGGCGAGGCGGAGCTCACGGCGCCGGCGCGCCTCGATGGGCTGTCCAGCAGCGCGGGCGGCAAGTCAGGCTCGTACCTGAGCGCCGAGCGCGGACCTAGCAATCTTAGCCGCGTCATGGCTTCTAGCGCCGGCACCAGTCCGGCCACCGTGCGTGCCGTTCGCAGCAACGAGGGCTCGCCGCGCGATGCAGATGCTACGCCCAAGGCACAGCGCTCGCCTAACTCGGGCCAGGGCAAGTTCATCTCGCCGCAGGCCCCGGCGTCGGAGACTACGCCCTTGCTTGCGGGCGCCAACGAGCGCATCGGGCGCGACCCGCAGCTCTCCAGCTCGCAGAGCCAGCAGAAGCGCGATCGCAGCACCAGCACGAGCAGCAGTTCGCGCTCGGGCGGTGTGGTGCGCGCGCTGCGCGGTGATGCGCGCAAGATCGTCCAGAGCCCCGGCGCCGTCTCTGGGCTCTCGATTCCGGCGTCTGCTGCGTTCGGCGACGCTGTGGCTGCCAACGAGTCGGGCTTCAGCCTGCGCGGCTCCAACAGCGGCTCCGGCAGCGGCGTGCGCAACGTGTACGGCTCTGGCGCGCTGGCGCAGGCGTCTGCCGAGGCCGAAGCGGCGGGCAGCAGCGGCATCGAGACGCAGCGAGCCGGCGGCGACGGCGACGGCTCGCGCATGTCGCTGCCGCCGCCGGGCCCCAACTACCAGGTGCACTGGGCGCTGCCGGACGACACGGACTACGACACTGAGGACCGGCCGATCTCTGCTGCCTGGGCCATCGTGCCCACGGCGCTGCGGCCCGGCAAGGGCGCGCGCCCGCTGCGCGCCGGCTTCTCGCCGTCGGACTACGTGCGCTCGGGGCGCGACTCGCTGAGCAAGCTGACCTGGACCGACGTGCTTGAGGCGGGCAAGGAGCCCGTGCGCTGCCTGCCCGCCGTCATCCTCGGCCTGCTGCTCAACGTGCTCGACGGCGTGTCGTACGGCCTGATCATCTTCCCAAACTCGTATCCCATCTTCTCCGACTTTGGCGGCGACGGCGTGAGCATGTTCTTCGTGACCTGCGTCATCTCGCAGCTCGTCTACTCGCTCGGCGGCTCAATCTTCCGCGGCGGCAACGTGAGTGCTGCTGAGGCGCTGCTGTCCTGCGTTGCTGACGCGTGCTGCAGGCATCGATGATGATCGAGGTCGTGCCCTTCTTCCACATTCTCGTGCAGGGCATCCTCGACGAGCTGGGCGACAGCGACCCGGCGGCCGTCATCTCGACGACGATCGTCTCGTTTGCCATGTCGTCGATCTTCGCCGGCATCGTCTTCCTCATCCTCGGCTGGTTCCGCCTGGGCCTGCTCATCGGCTTCTTCCCGCGCCACATCCTCGTCGGCTGCATTGGCGGCGTCGGCGTCTTCCTGATCGAGACGGGCCTCGAGGTCAGCAGCCAGCTGCGCTCCGAGGAGGGCTTCCAGTGGAACCTCGAGAGCTGGAACTACCTGACGCAGTCGTGGGACATGGTGGCGCACTGGGCGCCCGCGCTCGGCCTGGCGATCCTGCTGCGCGTCATCACGGCGCGCTACCACCAGCCGCTCATCTTCCCGACCTACTTCCTCGTCATTCCCGTCATCTTCTACATCTTCGTCGTCGGCGCGGGCCGCCAGTCGGTCGACTCGCTGCGCGAGCACGGCTGGGTGTTCGACATCGGCAATGCCGGCGACGTGCCCTTCTGGCACTTCTACACGTACTTCGACTTCCGCAAGACGAGCTTCCGCGCGCTGTGGTCGACGATGCCCACGCAGCTGGCGCTGACGTTCTTCAGCATCCTGCACGTGCCGCTCAACGTGCCTGCGCTGGCGATCAGCGTCAACGAGGACAACCTGGACACCGACCGCGAGCTCGTGGCGCACGGCATCTCCAACATCCTCGCCGGCTTCGCGGGCTCCGTGCCCAACTACCTCTGCTACGTCAACTCGGTGCTCTTCTACCGCGTCGGCGGCGGCAGCCGCACGTCGGGCGTCATGCTGGCCGGCGGCACGTTCGCCATCCTGCTGGCGGGCCCCGGCGCCATCGGCTACCTGCCCATCGTCGTCGTGGGCGCGCTCATCTTCGTGCTCGGCATCGACCTCGTCAAGGAGGCCGTGTGGGACACCGTCGGCCGCGTCAACGGGTGGGAGTACTTTACAATCTGGGTCATCCTGGGCACGATGACGTACTACGACTTTGTCGTGGGCATCCTCGTCGGCGTGATCCTGGCGTGCCTCTTCTTCGTCGTGCAGACGAGCCGGCGCCCGTGCGTCAAGTCCATCCTCGACGGCACGGTGGCGCGCAGCACGGTGCGCCGGCACACGACGCAGCGCCAGTTCCTCGACGCCGTCGGCAGCCAGCTGCAGCTGCTCAAGCTCAACGGCTTCCTCTACTTTGCCAACATCAGCTCCGTCGAGGAGCTCATCCGCCGCGCGCTCGACATCGCCACGTGGCAGCACACGCCGATCCGCTTCATGATGGTCGACTTTTCGCTCGTGTCCGGCATCGACTTCTCGGCTGCCGAGGCGTTCACGCGCATCCAGCGCCTGCTCGAGACGAAGGGCGTGGTGCTCGTCTTCTGTGGCCTGACGCCGGAGAGCGACGTCGGCTCTGCCCTGCGCGCCGTCGACATGTGGCCCGAGGTGTTCCAGAATCTCAACGAGGCGCTGACCTGGACCGAGAGTGCGTCGTCTGGCCGCTTCCTCCGAGTACACCACTGACGCCAGGCTCCTTGCTGAACAGACAGCTTGCTGCGCGGCATGTACGCATCGAACATGAGCGCCGGCAAGCAGTTCAGCCAAGCCTCGCTTGCTGCCGGAGGCGGCTTGGGTGAGTCCTGCGCGCGCCATCGAGCCCGTGCAATGCTGACAATTACCTCATAGACGTGCCGGATAAGAAGCGGCAGCCCGCATTTGTGCTCGACGAGACCGTCGAGAACTCGCCTCGCCGGCACCACCTGCACCAGGCTGCGCTCGAGGCCACCAAGGGCTCATCCTCAGCAATGGCGGCGGTGCGGCGGAACGCAGGCATTGCCGAGGGCGGCCAGGCGAGCGACCGCCAGGCGTCTGCACCGCGCACCCAGCCGCTGGCACTGCTGCTCGTCACATTCTCAGCGTACGCCGGGCCAGACGCGGACGAGGCGCTCTTCGCCGAGCTGGCCTCGTACTTCCGGCCCATGCACGCCGCCGAGGGCGAGACGCTGTGGGAGCAGGGCGACGAGTCCGACTCGCTCTACCTCATCGAGGCCGGCATCCTCAACGTGCGCTACGACTTCGAGGAGGGCTTCGAGCTCAACGAGCGCGTCCTCGCCGGCACGCTGGCCGGCGAGCTCACGTTCCTCTCGTGCGAGCCGCGCAACACGACGGCGCACGTCGAGCTCGACTGCACGCTGCATCGCATCGACCGCGCCAGCATGAAGGAGCTCGAGCAGAAGTCGCCCGCCGTGTTCGGCGCCTTCGTCCAGATGCTGCTGCGCGCCACGGCCGAGGAGCAGAGCCAGCTCATGAGCTACCTCGTCTCGCGCCTCTCTTAGACTGCTCGCTACTCCTACACGTTCCCCTGCTGTCCACCCAAGCTTTGCCCACTGCCCCTGACGAATGAAACAGATAATAGCACAGGCGCGAGTGCGCGCAGATATACAGAGCATGCGGGCCACGCGGGAATCATTGGATCATGGAAACGAGAGGGGTCAAGGAGCAGCGCTACTTGCGGCCCGAGCGGCGAGCTGCAAGCAGTGAAAGTCAGCGCACGTCCGAGACCTGCAGTCAGGCAGGCTACGCACCGAGGCCACGCTGCACGTTGCCCAAGAACTTGAGCGACGCTTGCCGGTCGAAGCGGATCGTCCTGTCGGCGGCGTCAGCAGATGCTCGCGCTTGTTGCGCAGCGCTACACTCACTCGAGCAGGTACGCAGGCATGCTCTCCGACGCCATGAGCTCGGCATCGCGCTGCTCGTCGAGGTGCGGGATGTACACGAGGTCGTCGCGCTCCTTCTCCGGCGCCGCATCGTGGCCGTCGGCGTAGCCGGGCAGCATGGATCGCGACTCCTCGAGCGTGAGCTGCAGGTCTGTAGGCCAGACGGCACGGTGAGCTGAGGCGCAACACGGCTGCACCGAGTGACGCACCATGGTAGCCGGAGCAGGCAAAGACAGACTTGAAGCGGCGCAGGCCGCGCTTCGTGTCGTAGAGCTCCACGCCATTGACAATGAGGCCCGTAAGGTCCTCGTACAGCCGCCGCACGGCGCGCTCCTCGGCGGAGGCGCTTTTGCTGCCGGCCGCTGCAGCAGCAGGTGCCACGGCAGCCGGTGCGCGCGACAGGAGCGCCCGCGAGCTGGCCACCTCCGTCCGCAGCTCGAGCTGCAGCCGCTCGACTGCTCGGCAACGCGATCAGCTGTATACGCAGGCCACGCTCCACCTAACCCTACGCACCTTCTTCTTGCAGCTCGCGCTCGCGAGCACGGCCGGCATCGCGCTGTCGCTCCATCTCGCGCAGCTCGTCCTCATCCGCTGTCCGTGTGCTGCCAGAAGCGGCAGCTGTGGCGCCGCCTGCCTCGAGCGCACGCACCCGCCGCTCGCTCGACTCCAGGCGCGCCTTGAGCGTGCTGATCAGCTCCTGTGCGTCTGAGCATGTCCTGGCTGTGAGCGCGATTCGGCGAAACGCTCTCGCACAGACTCACGCCGCGACTTGGACTCGGCGGTCCGACGCCACTCGCTCAGCGCACGCTCGGGCTCCGTCTTGCGCAGCTCGCGCAGCGAGTCGAACTCGGCCTGCACCGCGTCGCGCTCGGCGGTCATCTGTGAGGCGGCAGTGAGCCGCTGGCTGGGACCACCAGGCCTCTTCTCCACACGCACCTGCTCGAGGCGCCGCTCCAGCGCGGCCATCTTGTCTTCCGGCATGCTGCTGCTGCTGCCCTTGCTCGCCGACACGGCACGGCGTGCGGCGCTGCTGCTGCTGCCCGACACGACGCGGCGCGACTTGCTGCTGGGCGCGCCGGCGTCGGCGTCGGAGTCGTCGGAGCGCTCGGCGTGCAGCGCAAAGGCGGTGCCGCGGTTCTCCTTGTTGGTGGTGCTGCGGGAAGATGCAGCGACGGCGGGCATCGCGACGAGGGGTTCAAGCGGGTATGAGAGTGCTGCGGGAGGAACAGAGTGGCAGCGCCGACGAGCAACACGACGAGACGCGCCGAGATACACACAGCGAGTCGCGCCGGCGCCCCGCATCACGTGCCGCGCGCCTCCTCCACCAGCCAGCGCGCCCGGGCCAGCACGCTAGGCAGGCCCAGCAGCTTCCCTCGCGACTGCCACCATCCCTCCAACATCGCACGCCGCATCTCTCCCGCACTGTGCTCTGCTGCACTCACCACGCATAGCTTCCTCGCACGCCGCCGCTGCGCCGCCGCATGGACATTCCGCGCAGCAGCACCGCGCCCGCGCGCCGCGCCGGGCCCTCGAGCGCCTCGCTGCCCTCGACGGCCGCGTCGTCGTCGCGCGCCTCGGCCTCGGTGTCGCGCTCGCGCGCCGGCACCGGCACCACCGCGGGCGCCTCGACCTCACGAGGCAACACGGCCACTGGCGCCCGCCGCGCCTCGGCCGGCAGCCGCGACCGCCATGCCGCGGCGCTCGAGGCGATCCGTGACTTTCTGCGCGGGCGCAGCAGCTACGACGTGCTGCCCGTCAGCTTCCGCCTCGTCGTGCTCGACACGCGCCTTGTTGTGAAGCCGGCGCTCGACGTCATGTGGCAGGCTGGTGAGTCGCAGCAGCGGCGTGTGGCGATGGCAAGGCCAGGATGGGCCCTTGGCTGCCGCGTTGCGATGAGCGATAGGACGCCGGACCTAGACCGGGCCGCTGACGGTGTTCTCACTGCAGGCGTCGTGTCTGCACCTCTCTGGCACTCACATCCGCCAGCGCCTGCGGGACCGCCTGCCGGCGCCGCTCCGAGCTCTGCGCCGCAGGACGGCTCCACCCTCGCCAGCATCGAGGAGGACGAGGCGCGGGTGCCAGGCCCTGCCGGCGTGCTCTCAGCAGCGTCACGCTCCAAGGCGCCGACGCGCCAGGGCTTCGCCGGCATGCTGACCGTCAGCGACATCATCCACCTCATCCAATACTACTACCAGCACTCGAGCTACGACGACGCCGCGCGCAACGTCGAGCGCTTCCGGCTGGAGATGCTGCGCGGTGAGTGGCGGGCTGCTGGCAGACGATGCGGGCGGGACTTGCACTGCATACGCATGCAGAGTGTGCTTGAGCGCAGCAGAGCATTCTATCAGACAGGACAGCATGGCTGATATCTCTTTTGCAGACATCGAGCAGGCCCTCCATGTGCCCACGCCGCCACTCGTGTCCATCGCGCCGCTGCGGCCGCTCTACGAAGCCTGCCAGCTGCTCATCCAGACGCACGCGCGTCGCATGCCGCTGCTGGACCACGACGAACAGACGGGCCTTGAGACGTTGATCTCGGTCCTGACGCAGTATCGTGTGCTCAAGTTCATCGCCATGAACGTGAGTCACGCGGTGTACCGCAACTAGCGACGATGCTGACTGCTCCGCAGTGCCGAGAGACAGCAGGCCTGCATCGCTCGGTGCGCTCGCTCGGCATCGGCACGTACGTGACGGGCACGCACGGCGTCGGCACGCTGCGCAACGGCCCATCACATCGTGGCTCGCGCACAGGAAGCGGTGGCAATGCGGCCTCGCGCTCACGCGTGGGAAGTGGCAGTGCGCCGGGCAGCGGCAGCGGCAGTGTGCTCGAGGCGCCCGCAGAAGGGCTCGGCGAGGCAGCAGAGGCGCGTGCCGCTGTGCGCGAGGAAGCGGTGGAGGATGCACCAGCACCAGCACTGCCGACGCCACCTGCAGCTGAAGAGCCGGCACAGCCTACTACACCAGCGACGCCGACGGGCCACCCGTACGAGCCGCTGGCCACGGCGACGCTCGACACGACCGTCTTTGACGTGGTGCACATGTTCAGCGAGCGCGGCATCTCGGCGGTGCCGATCCTCGATGACGAGGGCTACGTGGTGGACATGTATGAGACTGTCGATGTCATTGTACGTACGGCGTGTGGAGCGCTGCTGCAAGATGTTGACTGTCCCTCCACAGGACCTCGTGCGCTCCGGCGCATACCAGTCGCTCGACACCACCATCCGGCAGGCCCTGGCGCGGCGTCCAGCCGACTTCCCTGGCGTTATGACGTGCGGGCCAGATGACTCGCTGGCGTCCATCTTCGCACTGCTGCGCTCGCGGCGCGTGCACCGCCTGCTCATCCTCGAGCCGCCGCCGCGGGAGTCAGGCGTGGCGTCGCCGCCGCCGACGGGCACCGACGATGCCGGCGAGGCCCTGCCGCCGCCTGTGCGTCCACGCGGGCGCCTCGTCGGCATCCTCTGCCTCAGCGACATTCTGCGCTATGTCGTCGGCGTCGAGCACACGGCGCAGGCGCCACGCGAGCGCACGACGAGCCAGAGCAGCGCAGCCATGTCCACCTCGGGCGTGGGGCGCCCGCAGACGCCCAGCGCCTCGGATGCACAGGACGACGTGGGTCGTGCGGCCGAGCTCGCCGAGCAGGCCGACGTGCCGTCGACGATCCCCGAGGATTCGGTGCCGCCAGAGGCGCGCGACGGCGCCGAGGCGGCCGACCCGCTCCTCACTCCGCAAGCAGAGGCAGACCGTTCGCTGCGCGCCGACGACGCCGCAACGCTAACGCCACACACCGAGCTCGCCACCGTGACGGAGGGCGAGGCGAAATGATCGCCCACGTCCGCATCGCACCTGCCGCGCCCTAGATGCCCTTCCACGCTCCTGCCGTGCCATGATTCCCGCCCACCCGCTAGACGCCATCTGCAGCCTCGCGCAATTGATCTTACCCTTGCATCATCCCTCCACGCAGCTCGATTGGTGAATGGTGGACATTGACGGCGTGAGCACAGCAGATCGGAGACACTAGCATTACACGGCGACGAGAGTCGCTTTGCTCGCGACAGCAGCCTATGTCGACATGTTGAGGCTGTGGTGCCGCACGTCAGTCTCAGCGCCCGCCACAAGGAGCGCTCGGGCCCACTCACAGCATGTTGCTGCCGCCCGGGATGTAGCTGACGTTCCGTGCGTTGCTGAGCGTCTGGGCAATCTCCTTGCTCGCCTCAATGCGACGGATCGTCAGCAGGCCGTCGCCCGCCTTCTCGAGCGCCTTCGAGATGGTCTGCGCCGCCTCGGCCTCGCCCTCGGCGCGAATGACGGATGCCTGACGCTCTTGCTCGGCCTGCGAGAGGAGATCGTCAGTGCTGTGCTCCAGCCTGACGCAGCCACATCGCCTTGTGCGCTGGCAGCACTGCCTCGCCGCGCAGCGTTCTTCTGACGCCCTCAAGCCGTGCACGCACCTTCTCGACGACGAACTTGGCGCGCTCGGCGTCCTGCTGCGCAATCTGCTTCTGCTCGACGGCCTTGGTGAACTCCTGGCCGAAGGTCATGTGCGTCTGTAGGGCGCACGTCAGTCGAGGCAGAGCGCGCCGCATGCAGCGCCACGCACGATGGACACGTCCTCGAGCTTGATGTTGAACTCGCTGGCACGCTTCAGCAGGTCCTCGCGGATGCGCGAGCTGACGACCTCGCGCTGGGTGATGAGCTCGGCGGCGTCGAACTGCGCGACGATAGCCTTGAGCACCTCGTTGCCGATCGACGGCAGCACGCGCTCGTCGTAGTCGAGGCCGAGCGACTGGTAGATCTTGCTCAGGTGCGCCACGTCGGGCCGCGAGAGGACACGCAGCGTGAGCGAGACCATCTGCAGGTCCTTAGAGCCCGTCGTCGTCGAAATGTTCTGCGTGACCGGCGTTAGTCGGGCGATGGAGGGCTTCGTGCGCTGCATACGCGGCCGCTGGCTGTGCGAGCCATTGACAGGTCCTACAGACGAGACTGCTCTCGCCGTGTATGCGCTCCCCAGCTGCGGCCGCACTGCCCGCTCTCCGTACACCCCACGCGCCGCCACTCACACGCGGCTTGACGCGCACGTCGTAGAGGATGGCGCGCTGGAGCCAGGGCACGAGGAAGTGCGTGCCCTCGCTCGTGGCCTCGTTGCGCACGCCCGAGAAGCGGTCGAACATGACGGCGCGGTAGCCGCCGGGCACGTCGTACAGCGCCGACTGCAGCGTGATGGCGGCAAGGCCGAGCGGCACGGCGAAGCGGGCGAGGAGCTGCGACATGCTGGGCGGGGGGTGGGTGAGGTGGGGGAGGAGCGGGTCGTGACAGGTCCTTTGTCGCAGCTGCGCAGCGCCTGAGCGGCTGTGGAGCGTGCGCGACGCTGACCCAGCCGTTTCGAGGGTCGACTACACTTTTGACAGGCGCATGCAATACAATCCGGGTCGCGGCCGAGGCTGATTTTGTATTCACCCTGACGCCAGCTCTCGCGCGGGACTGGGCCAGCTTCTTCCTCTCTCTCCCTGTCCAACGGTCAAGACAGCCGCCTCAAGATCCCAAATCTGCGCCGCTATGGCGTCCGTCATGCTCGCAAGCAGCAGCCGAGTGGGTCTGGCGCTTCTGAGCGTTGGAACTAGGATACCCGGTCTGCAGGTGCAGGGCATCCGTGCCGCCTCGTCCAAGGGCCGCAGCGGCTCGTCCAACCGCTGGCTCGCAAGGCAGAAGGCCGATCCAGTGCGTGAGACAAAAAGACCGGAGCCTCACCTAGCTCATACCTAGTCCTAGTTCGTCGCGGCTCGAGCAGAGGAGGGCTTCGTCTCGCGCGGAGCGTTCAAGCTCGTGCGTGAGCCCGCTTTGCACTTTGCACGCCGAAGCTGACGCCGTCTACAGAAGCAACTGGCAGAGCGAACGTCGCTGCTGGGCCGCGGCAAGTGCATCGTCGACCTCGGCGCTGCGCCCGGCGGGTGGACGCAGGTGGCCGTGCAGAGCGGCGCAAAGGTCTTCGCCGTCGACCTGCTGCCGCTGGACCAGCAGGCGGCGTCGGGCGCTACTGTGTTGCAAGGCGACTTCCTCTCGTGCGTGCAGAGCGATCGGTTGCGGCTGCCTACGAATTGACACCGAGAATTAGCGAGGAGCTGCACGAGGCATTGCGCAGCAGCATCCTCAGCTCCTACGGCCGGCGAGGCGATGCCCGTGAGGGCGAGGAGCTGTCTGCGCCCGAAGCGGAAGCTTTGAGAGGCGAAGCTGTCGGCAAAGACGGAGCGACGTCCAAGACGCAGAGTCAGCAAGAGAGAATCAGCCTGGATGCCGAGCGGCCGTTGGAGGACCCCTCTGGTGCCCAGACGAAGGACGCGCCTGCGCCCAAGGACCGCGATGGGCGGCTCGTCGACATTGTGCTGTCGGACATGATGGGTGCGTGGAGCAGCTTCCGCACATTCCCGCTTCGCTGACCAGCGCACAGCCAACATGTCTGGCAACCAGGTGCGCGACCGCGCCAACTCGCTCGACCTGCTCAAGGCCGCCTTTCTCTTCGCGGCGCGCAACATCCGCTGCACGCACGGCTCGAAGCTTGTGATGAAGTACTTTGAGTCGCAAGAGGCGCAGGACTTCAGACGCAAGGGTTTGTGCTAGAAGAGCCCTGCGTCTTACTCCATTCTGACACGTCGGCTATGATGCAGTCCTCGAGAAGGCCTTCAATAGCGTCACGACGGTCAAGGTGGCCGCGAGCCGCAAGACCAGCTCGGAGATGTACCTCGTCGCAAGCGGGCCGCGACGCAGCGTGCTCTCGCAGAGCGCAGAGGAGCTCGAGGTACTCATGGATGTATAGACAGCGGGCTCAGGCGCGACGAGTCTGCCGATTCAAGCCCGCAACCACCAGCCCGCCAGCACTGCAATGACGCCGAAGAAGAGTGCGGCGCGGCGCAGCACACGCCGCTGGGCAGCCTGCAGCACGTCTGATCGGCGCTGGCGTCAGCATTGGCCACGTCGCTGCCGCAACGACGACGCACCTTCCCACACGGCCTCGGTCGCCGCTGCGTCGTTTACGTGAGGCATCTTGACCTGCGGCACGGGCCGGCCCAGGAAGGTGCACAGCGGCTCCCAGCCGTCCTGCGGGCCCCAGAGCAGCAGCCTCTCGGGCGGAATCGTCGCGATGATGTCGGCCTGCCACGATCGGTGTCAGTTCCCGCCTCAGCACCCGCCAGGATACCCAATGCACGCACGTTGTGCTGCTCGTAGATGCGCCGCGAAATGGCGCTGTCGCGTGTCCAGCTGGCGCTGTCGCTCGTCGAGTCGCTCTTCCAGAACTTCCAAGACTTGCTCTTCTTCTTCGATTCGACCTCCCAGAAGTAGCGTGCAGCAAGCAGTGTGTGGCGCAGCATCGCCCGCATCGGCGCGTCGAAAACGTACAGCAGCTTGAGGCGCAGCGTTGGCGTGAAGCCCTTGACGACGACGAGCCACGACTTGTGCCACGAGTCTGCGGCGCGCTTCGCTTCAGCAGGCACAGCAAAGCCACGCTCTCTCTTCTACGCACCGGTGTTGCGGATGTTGAGGATGATCTTGAACTGCGGCAGGCCTCAGTGCCACTCATCGACGCTTGACCTCCACGCGGCTCACCTCGGGGTCGTCCTTGTGCATCTCCCACAGCTCGCGCCAGAAGATGACGACGGGCATGTCGCCGGCGGCCTGGCAGCCGCCGAGCAGTTCGTCGAGCGTGCGGTGCAGCTCGAGGGTGCGCTTCGCCGACGGCGGCGTCTCCCACTTGAGCTGGCACGCCCGCAGCCAGCGCGCTGCGTCCGAGTTCGCATGGCCGCCTCGCAGCGGTGCACGCCACGACTTGAAGCCGTGGTAGCTCGGCGAGTCTGCCCGCCACATCAGTGCCGCTCGAAGCGCGCCGGTATCACGCTCGACTCACAGCCCAGCTGCACGAGCGCCTGCTGCGTGCTCGACGTCGCCGTGCGGCTCATGCCGAGCGACAGGACGCGTAGCGGCACGCGGCGCGGGCCCTCGTGGTAGTGGTCGTCTCAAAGCGAGCGTCAGACGAGGGCAAGTGCGACGGGGTGCACGGCTCACTGTACGGATCGAGGGCGTCGAAGGTGGACATCTTGAGCGATGGAGGTGAGAAAGTGACCGAAGAGGCCGGGCGGCACCGTTGCTGCTGCCTTTAAGCGTCTCTCCGGCAAGCTGCCGCTCTGCCTCGCAGCACTTTACTCCACCTGCTCAGCCCTCTCGCCGGCCCGAGCACGCCATGCCGCCGACGCCCTCCGTTGGGCAAGCGTCACCCGGCCGGGTGAATGACGACTGGAGGAGGAGAGCCGTGCTTGCGGGCGGGCAGCAGGCGGCAGAGCTATCGCCGGCGCCGGCTGGCAATGCCACTCAGGGGGTCACCGCCGCCGGGCGCCAAAGTGGGCGGTGGCGTCGCTCTGGCGCGCGACTCCCTCGGCAGCAAAGAAGAAGCCCGCCCCTTTACATATCCCGTCGCCGTCCGACCGGCCCTCCTTACCGTCCTCGCCAGGCGGTGTGCTGCTGCAGCGAAGCAGCAGACGCGCGAGGGCTCCGCGCTGTGATGGACAGGAAAGAGCACTCGACTAAGGATGCCCTCTCAACGGCGTCGGCGTACCTTCAGCTGTGCGAGCGACAAGCGTCGTGTTAGCAGATGCAGGACTAGCTCCGCAGACGGACATTGAAGCGCGGACTGCGCGGCCGTGGCTGCCGCTCTCACCATCAACACGGACGCCACCGCAGCACTCTAGCTGCGCCGCGTCTGCTGCTCAGGGGACCACGGACGCGCGTCGCTGCGCCGCTCTCCTCGCGCAGGTGCGCAAGGAAAGCAGGCCTCCGGTCACCGCATCTGTGTGCATGGCGGTCCTCAACTCGCGAAGGATGCATGGCAAGTCGGAGCAGCCAGGCGCGAGAACGGGCTGCGACCGCTGTCGCCGGCGACGCCCGCGTGTCGTCACGCGTTGCCAAAACGGGCGCGTCTATTCGTGGCCTGCGGCGTCCAGACAAGCTCTGACACGCCGTGGAAGAGTGCACTCACGCTGCGATGTGCCAAGGGTACACATCCACTTATAGCCCTTCATCCTTCCTCGACGATCGGTCACCGAGCAGAGGCAGGCGGACGGCAGCACGTCCGTCCAGGATCTCGGGCGCGGCACGGCTACTTCTCGGCCCAGCCCACCCTCTCCCGCACAAAGCACCCCGTATCACTCGCTTTTCCCGATCTCACACAGAGTGCCCACGCTCTTCATCTGTGCTCGCAACACCGCGGAGCAGGCAGCACGGCACTGCACGAGTCACAGCAGGCAGATGCCATGACGGCACTGGACGAGCGCACGGCGACGCTGCACAGCGCTCGCAGACGTCGAGCGAGACACAGTCGGCCGGCCGCCAGTGACGGTGACGTCCCTCGCCACCGCCTGCACAGGCGCACACGGCAGCCTAATGCGCCCGCCATGAGCTGCCCTTCGCCTTCTCGTCCGCCTTGCCACCGCTCTCTCGCGCCCCTCGCACTCTCCGCCCACGGCCGCCATGATCGACGTGCCGCTGTCCAACATGCTCGGCCTCTGGCCCTTTGGCGAGCCGTCGCCGCAGAGCGAGCCCGAGCATCTGCTTGCTGGCCCGAGTGAGTCGCTGTGCCGCGCGACGGCCGTGCCTTGCGCAGCTGTTGACGCCCGTGCCTGCGCCGCAGTGCTGCCGCAGCCGGTGCTCGATGCGCGCTTCCTCGCCACGCTCATGGGCAGCGAGTCGTCCGCAGACGGTCCCAAGACACCGGACAGCGCAGCACCACCAGCGCTCCCACGCCCGCAGCCGCAGCCGTGGAGTCTGGCAGCGAGTGGCAGCGACGGCGCCGCAAGCAGCGTGTCGCAGGCGCCCAGCACATGTGTCGGTCAGGCAAGCTCGGTGAGTGCACGCACAGCTTCGACTTTAGCGGCAGCATCCACTCAGACCTCGTCGCCAGCCCTTCCGCACGCTCGACGACACGACGGACGCACAGGATGCGGCAGCTGCCGGCTCGTCGCGTTGCAGCGAGCGGCTGCGGCGCAAGCGTCCCAGCTGGCTCTTGTCGTTCCGCGCCGCCGCCAATCTGGGCGGACCGTGGGACGAGTGGGAGTTGCCGGCGACACTGACGACGGCGGCGGGCACCAGCAACGCCGTGTCGGCCGCGCGCATGCTCGACCACCTGCTGGCACGCTTCTACGCGCAGCCGAGCTTCAACAGCCTCGTCGTGGCGCAGCCGGAGCGCCTCATGGCACGCCTGCGCCGCGACGCGCCCGACCCGGCGCCGGGCTTCCTGCTGCGTACCATAGCAGCGTGCGCGGCTGGCCTGCCGGAAAGCGAGCCCGAGCTGCGTGCGTGCGCCGCGCGCCTGCTCGACGAGGCACACGAGGACGTCTGGGATGTGCTGCGCGCCGGCGAGGAGTCGCTCGAGCTCATCCAGGCGCTGCTGCTGCTCGCCGCCAACTGGCCCGGCGAGCCGGACTGCGAGCCGCGCCGCAAGTGCCTGCACAGCGCGCTCGAGCTTGGCGCCGCGCTGGGCCTCGAGCGCACGTCGCAGCTGTACGAGTCGCCCGGCCCGCCGGTGACGCGCTACGTGCTGCTCTGGTGCCTCTACCTCGCCGACAAGCTCGACTGTGTCGCCGTCGGCGGTGAGCCGGCACGCCTCAAGGCCGCGCGCATCGACTGGTGCATGCCCACGCCCGAGCGCGTCGCCGAGGTGCTGGGCAACGAGCCGGGCCCGCACGCACTGCGCCTCGCTCAGCTCGCTGCCGGCGGCCTGGCACTGGCCCGGGTGCTCGAGGACGTGCTCGAGGCGCTCTACGCGCCCATCACTGCCGTGCCGCCGACGCTCGAGGAGCTCGAGCAGCGCACGCGTGTCATGGAGCGGCGTCTGGAGCAAGGTGAGAGACGCGCGAGGACCGGACCCGACCTATGCTGACACCTCTCGCTAGTCTGCTTCTCACAGCGTCACCTGCTCCACGTGCCGCACTGGCCGTGCGCCGTAGATGTGCTCTGCATCGACACCATCTCGCGCCTTGTTCATCTCATCCAGCTCATTCTGTACCGCTCGGTGCTGGTCGCAAGGATCTGCGCGACTCTGGCCGTAGCGCACGCTCAAGGACGCCAAATCAGCACGCACAACTTCGTCAACTTCAGCGACGCCACCGAAGAGCGAGCGCTGAGCGCCAGCATCGAGAGCGCCTGGCACCTGCTGCACCCGCCCGGCTACCGGCTGCAGACGCTGCAAGTCGCCTCGGTCGCATCCTTCTCGCGCGCCGCCATCGCGCCCGATGCACGCCTCGACTGCGCCCGCTTCGGCGCCGTCATGGGCGCTAGGCTGCTGGCCTTCGTGGCGCGCTACTGGTCCAGCTGGGAAGAAGGACTCGGCGTCGTCTTTGCCGTGCCGCGTCTCGTCTCGTCGCAACAGTCACGCCAGGCGGCTCGCCAGCTGCGTGCCCGCGCACACACCGACCCGGGCGCCGAGCCGCTGCGCTGGCGCACGGCGACGACGCCCGCTCGTCCCGCCGCCGAGCTGGCACTGCATCCTGCGATTGAGCAGCGCACGCCCGTGCAGGCCTTCGTCAATGCCGGCGCCGCGCGCCGCGACGAGTCGCTCTCGCCAGCGTACAGCGTGTTTGGCGTCGACGTGCAGACGTACCTGCACGGCGTGGCGCGCACGCAGCGCCAGCTCTCGCACTCGACACGCCCCGGCCTCGCGCCGCTGCCGCCGCCGTCGTACGAGGCGGCCGTGCAGCAGCAGCAGGCCGACTACCGCCGGCAGGCGTCCGCCTCGCTGCCTCGCACGCGCAACATCGCGCCCTACCCGCTCGCCCGCCGCGCCGCCTCCTGATCGCTTCTCGCTTGCCGACCCGATGCCCTGACCCCGATGCCCCATCTCTCTGCCCGATCTAAGCGCCGCCAAGGACGACGCGCTGCACCATCTCAAAGACCCGGACCGACACGACACGACCAGCACACCGCACCACACCGCACGCACCGCAGCGTCACAGCTGGAGAGGGCGAGATCACATGAATTCCAGAGCGGGCGCAAGTAGGTAAAAATACAATGTTGTGTTGTGAATGCGAGGTTGAGCGGCGAGTAGGTCGTGGTCAGAGGCGATGTGCTAAGATAGAAGTCGGGTTGCCTGCGGCGAGTGGCGGCAGTGACGGAGTGATGGTGTGAGAGAGAGCGTCCGGCGCTCAGCAGGCCCAGACGCGCTGCAGCGCCCGCTCGTTCCACGTCTCGAGGCCGCCGGCGTCGGCAGGAGTGAGTGAGCGCACACACGTCTTGGCGGCGTCCTCGTCCTCGGCGTAGAGCACCGCGTGGTGCGCGATGCCGAGGCGACGGCGCAGCGCCGCAGCGATGCGTGGCGGCGCCGCAACGTCCAGTGCGAGGCTTGGACGCTGAGCGAGCAGTGTGCGCAGCGCAGTGACAAGGAGCGCGACCTGCGTGCGGAACGGCTGCTCCTCTGTGCCACCCGCGGGCACGAGGCGCAGCTCGAGCAGTGCCAGCTTGGGCAGCGCCAGCAGTGCCGCCGTATGTGCCGATGTCAGCTCAGAGACGAAGAGCGTCAGGCGCGTCGTGTGCGCAAAGAGCGGCAGCGCCGCGCTTGGCACGGCGTCAAGCAGCACGTGCGCGGGGCGTGCACCTGTGCGTAGGCGTGCACATGGCGAGTTGAGCAGCGCCCGCTGTGCGCGCCGCGAGAGCGCCAGCGTCTGCAGTGCCGGGAGCAACAGCAGCAGCTGCTCGGCGGCACCCGCGTGCGTGGCGCCGAGGAAGAGCACCTGCGGCAGCGTGCACAGCTTCGGCGACGCGAGCAGCGCGATGCGTGCCAGGTGCATGGCGGCCTCGGAGCGCAGCGCCACATGCGCCAGCAGCAGGCGGCGCACGAGGGCGGCGTGGGCGTGCGAGAGCGGCGCCACGTCGCTGGGGCGCAGCGTGCCGTCGCCGAGGCCGAGGCGCAGGATGTGCATGCTGAGCTCGGGCGGCAGCGTGCGGAAGCACGCACTGAGCGGCGGCGGCGGCGCGTGCCGTGCGGCAAGCAGCGCCCTAAGCGGCTGCGGCGTACGGGCTGCGAGCCAGCTCTGTGCAGTGTCCCTCAGACGCGGCGGCGGCGCGTGCATCTTTGCGAAGCTGCGCGTGCGGTGGGCGTAGCGGTGCGGCGGGCGCCGCGGCGGCACGTCGGGCGTCTCGGCACCGAGGCCGGCGACGGCGCGGTAGAGGTGCAGGGCGAGGAGCACGTGTGCGCCGGCGAGGAGCGCGAGGCCGTGCGTGAGGCGCTGCAGCTGCTGCACGGCGCCTGACGGCGGCGCCGGGACACAGGCGGCGATGCGGGCGCGCAGCAGCACGGCGAGCGGGAGCAGCGGGGCGAGGTAGGCGAGGTAGGGCGGCATGCCGGCAAGCGAGGGTATGATGGTGGGTGGTGGTGGTGAGAGCGCAGCTACAGCGCGGCCGCTGCTCAGGCGGGCGAGGGCATCTGCGTGCGGCGAGTGGCGGCGGGCAGAGATGCAAGATGCGCTGCGCTGGCCGGCGGGTGACGGGTGCGGCCGCCGGGAGGAGATGGTGGGAGATCAACAGCGAGATCGCAGCGCGCGTGTTAAGATGCGGTGCAGTGGCGCCCCAGACCAGACGCGCTCGCTGGCCCCGCCAGATTTTGCGGGCACTCCGCCTGTGTGGACCCCTGATGGCGACTTGAGGCCCCGCCCGCTAATCGCACACTCGCGCCGTGCCCGCGCCCCGAGATCAGATGCGCTTGGCCGTGGGACCGCTTCGGCCGCCGCATCACGTGGCGCCGCTGGGATGCCGATAGCCCTCCTCGAGCCATCCTTGGGGCCTCACGCGGAGCACAGACGCCTGGGCGAGCTGATGGCATGTCTTTTTTTCGGTCCGGCGCCGCACGTCCTCCCCGGCGCGGCGACGTGCGCGCGTAGAGTATGTACAGGAGCTGGCAGGCAGGCAGGCCGGGACGGAGTGGGATGCGGGCGACGGGTCGGCGGGCTTGGGGGGTTGGGCGAGAGGGTAGGAGCGCACGCGGCGCACCAGGCGCAGCGGCGCACCATGGCAAGGCGGAGATCGGGAAGAGCGGGAGGAGAGTTCGAGCGGGACGGAGCGCTGGAGCGGGAACAGTGAGAGAGAGAGACAGAGACGGGCGACTTGGATCGTGAGATGGGAGGGAGGGCCGCTGGTGCGGCGTGCTGGCGAGGGAGAGGAGGAGAGGGGCGGCCGATGCGAGCATGGCAGCAGCGTGCGTGCTGACGCGCGGCCGAGAGCTGGTCGATGGGCTGCCGGGACGCGGGAATAAGAGAGCGTGAGGTACTGTAGGTCTTGATCGCGCAGGCCGAAGACGGACGGATGAGAGAGCGTGGAGGGATGGACGGAGCCGGGTCGGAGACTTGTAATGCATGGCGGACGCAGCGCCGAGGCGCAGATGGATGAGGACGAGGCAAAGGGGGCAGACTGAGAGCGTGGCGGGAGAGGCGGCATCGTCCTTGGAAACAGGATTCGGCTGGCGAGACGCAGCGCCTGAATCGGTGATGAAGGCGCTCGTCGAGGAGCTGAGCGATGTGCTCGTGCGGACGCGTCGGGCTAAAATAAAGGGCAGGCAGGAAGAGCAGCAGCGGCGCGCCGCCAGAAGAGAAAGGTGTGCGGGGTGAGCGTCTAGACGAAGAAGTGCGTGTTGATGCGGCTCGTCGGCGCCACGGCCATCTCCTCCATCTTGTACGTGTTGAGCTCCTCCTTGATGCGCTGCGCCAGCAGCGGCGTGAGGCGATTGCACGTCGCCAGCTCGCCGCGGCGGTCGTACACGTGTGCCGGCCACGTCGAGTGGAAGATCTGCTGCTCGGCAAAGATGATGCGCTTCTTCTGCGGCGCCGTGACGGAGCGCTGCGGCACGCTGTTCGACGAGCCGGGCTTCATCATGAGCGAGAGCGTCGGCATCGACGAGTTCGAGTGGTGGCCCATCGGCGCGCCCGACGGCAGGTTGCGCGCGCTGCCGATCGGCGACTCGACCGTCGGCGTGCGCTCGCCCGACGCCGGCGAGTCGGGCCGCAGCGGCGCCACGCCGTCCATGCGGTCCGTGCCCGCCGGCGTCTCAGACATCTGCGACATGAGCGGCACGCCGGGCGTCACACCGCCAGCGGCCGCAACGGGCGGCGCGTCGTACGAGTTGGCGCGCAGGCGACCCGCGAATGGCTTCTCGAACGCACCGACGCCAGCGGGCCCGCTCGGCCGCTCCTGGCCGGTGTTCTTAAGGATGCCGCGCACCGACTTGATGTTGGCGGCGCTGGCACGCGCCTGCTCGATGCCCTCGCCCCAGTGGCGCAGGCTGTCGGTCTCAAACTCGTCGCCAGACTCCTCGCCGCCGCGCGAGCCTGGCAGCCGTGGCGGCGCCAGCGGCTCCTCGTCGTCGTCGTAGCCCGCACCGTCATACGCCTGCTCGTCGTAGCCGTTGGCACTGCCTGCTGCGGCGCCTGCGTAGCCGGCGTAGGGGGCGTGCTGAGGCTCCTCCAGCGGCGTGGAACCTGCTGGCGACACCTGGGTGTACGAGCTCGAGGGCATGGTCTCAAGGCCCGTCGGAGCAGCGGCAGCGGCATCGGCGGCGGCAGAGCTCGTCGACGACCCGACGCCGAGCTTTTTGCGCCAGCCGCGCTTGCTCTTCAGCCGCTCCTTCTCGCGCTCGACCATCTTCTGCCGCGTCTCCATGACGTCGTCTGTCGTCTTCGTCTTGGACGCACGCGCGCGGGCCTCGGACTCAGCGGCAGCAGCGGCGGCAGCAGCGACACGCTCGCGCTCGGCACGCGCCTCGGCCTCGGCCTTCATCTGCAGCTGGTGTTGCCGCACGTACGAGGCCGCCGGCGTCATCATGTCGGACGACTCGAGCTCGACGGTCGCGTGCGAGACGGAGGCCAGTGCCGGCGCGCCCTTCTTCGTCTTGCTCGCCTTGTCGGCCTTCTTGTCTTTCTTGCCGAACAGCGTCGAGGACGAGGACGACGCCGCGAGCGTCGAGTCGTCTGCGGCGCCGGGTCCGCGCTCCGGGATCGTGCCGAAGGCGTCGCCCTGCATGCCGTCGCGGCCGCCGTCCTTGTCCTTGTTGAACATGTTCGTCAGGCCCATGAGGCTGTGCCGGCGCGCCAGCTTGCCGAGGTTGCCGACCTTGCGCAGCATGACCGAGGCGCTCGAGACGGTCGACGAGATCGAAATGTTGTCCGTCGACGAGTTGAACTTGCGGTTGAAGAGGCTGCGCTTGCCGCCGCCGCCCTCGGCCGAGCCCGACAGCGGCGGGCGGCCGCTGCGCCGCGAGCTGATGGACGCGGCGGATGAGGCTGGCATGACCGGTGCGCCGTTGTCGGGCGTCCGTGGCGGCGAGGTGGAGCGCGTCGAGCCCGTCGAGCCGTTCGTGTCCGCCGACGAGTTGGAGAAGGCCGGCGGCTGGCTGGAGACAGCATCAGACTTGCGGCCGATGACGCGGCCGCCCTGCTGCCGTTCCGGCGCGGCAGCGGCAGCCTCGGCAGCCTGGATCTCCGACAGCGTCGAGAACGACAGGGCTTTCCTCAGCTTGCCCAGACCTCCCTTCTTGGCGGGTGCGGCGGCGGCAGGCTGCACTGGCGTAGCTCGCCCGTCGTTGCCGTCATCGCTGCCGCCGTACACTGCAGCAGAGTCGTCATCGTCATCATCTGCAGTCGGCTGCGCCCGCTGCGATAGCGGTGACGGCTTCTTGCCACCGACGCCGGCGTTGGCCGGTGTCGGCGTGGTGCGGCCGCCGGTGGAGCTCGCAATCGAAGACGACGACTCTTGCCGCGAGTGGCTCGGCGGCGTCATGGAGCCCGAATCGGAGCGCCCGCTGTCGGAGCGCGAGGCCTCGGGACGGCGCGGCAGCGAGTCGCTGCTCGACGACGGCAGTGTCGAGGAGCGCGAGCCGGGACCGCGCAGGTGCGAGAGGCCGGCCTGCGGCACTGCTTGCGAGTGAGGGGCAGCTCGTACACTGCCGGCGGCGACGGAGGAGTACGAAACAGGTGCCGCGCCGCCCGTGCGTGCCGATCCGCTGCCCGCCGAGGCGGTGCTAGACGAGCGCGTGCGTGGCGGCAAGCCGGCATGGAGCGAGCCATTGAGCGTCGGCGAGGGCAGCGGCGATGCAGTCGGGTGTCCGAACTGGATCGGCGCAGGGTTGCTGGCAGCGTCGGACCGGGTCGGCGCGCGCCGGTACGGGTGGAAGCCGCCACTGCCGTTGCTGCCGGCCTGGCTGCCCGAGGAGTTGTTCGACGAGCCTGACGAGTGCGTCGACTGCGGCAGCATGCCGCTCGGCGGCAGCGCGCGCATCGCCGCGTTGGCCACGTACACGCCCGGGTACGCCTGCTGCGTCAGCGTGTCGTTGTAGGTGAGCGGCGGCGGCCGCTGCGGGCCGGACGTCGTGCGTCGCCGGCGGCCGTCCTCCGCCGCGCTGGAGCCGCCCGAGTGGTCGCTTCCGCCGGCGTGGTGCCGAGCCTGCGACGCCAGCATCTGCTGGTACTGCGCCCACGCGAACTGGTTTGGCGGTGCCATCGGCGCCGGGCCGCCCATCATCGGCGCCTGGCCGAATGCAGGCATGCCGGGCATCATCTGCGGGCAGCGTGTCAGCATTGTCGCTCAGCGGTCCTGCCGGCACACGCGGCACGCCGGGCACTCACCTGCGACGAAAACGGCGCGCCAAAGCCGCCCATGGCGGGCAGCTGGAACATCTGCTGCTGCTGCATCTGCTGCATCTGCTGCTGCTGCATGTGCTGTTGCTGCTGCTGCATCTGCTGCTGCTGTGGCGGCGGCACGGATGCGGCGCGCGTCGGCTGCTGCTGCTCGGCGGCGGCGGCGTAGCTGCGCGGCTGCGGCGACGTGCTGTTGCTGCGCACCGTCGGCGGCGCCGCAAGGCCGTGCAGCGACGACGACGAGGCCTGATGCGCGTGCCGGCGCGGGTCGCCGCCGCCCTGCGCCGAGGATGTCGAGCGCCGCGGCTCGCTCTCTACCGCGCCGTGCACGTTTGGTGCGTCGTCGAAGAGCGGCGACGAGGGCGGCGGTGACCAGTTCAGAGCGAGAGACATCGCCATCAAGGTCGCAGACGCAGCGAGCGGGCCAGCAGGTGACTGAGAGCAGGCAGCGTGAGCACGCTGGCCGCAGAGCGCTCCGCGAAGAGCCGCAGGCAGCCCCGCCAGCGCCACTCTTCCCAGAGGCCACACTCACCGCTCGCAGGTGGACGCCGCAGTGCTCGGGCTAGAGCAGAAGTGCGGGCGATAGCAGCCTAGGAGCTAGTGCACGAGCGACAGCAGTGCGTAACAGAGATGCGCTGAGGCTGCTGTGCCACGAGCGAAGGCTGCGTCTGCGCTGGCAGCGAGGAGCCAAGGCAAGGCGCTGGCGGAGTGCGTGCGAGAGGCGCGCCCTTGCACCAAGCCGACTGGCGCTCTTGCGGCAGAGAGAAGAGCTCGCCGGCAGAGGTGCAGTCTACGTGAGCGAGTCGCTTCTCGTCGTCGTCGTCGCGGTCGCTGCTCGGCGTGAGCTGGCGGCGAGTCGCACGTGCAGACGCGTGTGCTCTCGCGTGGCCGGCGCCACTGGGAGACGGCGCGGGAAGAGGGCGCTCAGAGGCGGCGCTGCGAGGAGGAAGGGCGCGGTGCTGTGTCGAGGGCTGAAGCACCTGCTGGGGTCGTCTCGGGCGCGGCGGGAGGGAGGTGCGGACGGAGGATAGCACGAGCGAAGGCAAGGGTGCGGCTAGCAGCTTGGTGCTGGCAGCAGCGCGCGCGTTCAGGGCGCTCTGCGGCGGCGGCGACAGCGGCAGCGCGCGGCGGCAGCCCCCAGCCGCAGCCGCGCGCCGCGCGCCATCACAGCGTTGCGCGGCGCCGCGGCCTGCACCTGCCGCTCAGGCACTGCGCGAGACTTAGAGCCTCGGCCGGCCGCCGCCCCAGCCGGCAGGTGCAGGCCATCGTGCATGCGCGCGCGCGCACGGCTCGAGTCGAGTGTGCTGCGCCGTGATGCAGCCGCAGCGGCAGGGCAGCAGCGATCGCGCTCCGCCCGCCTACCGCCCTGCTGCCGCTGCCGCTGCAGTCCCGGCGACGGGACCCCATCACGCCTCCTGCAACGCCAGCGCAGCAGCGAGGTGTCGAAGCGCACGCTCGAGGCTCGAGGGGTCGATGCTCTTGCCGCAGCTGCGCTCTGGCCGTCGGAGCCCAGCGACACTCTCGCCCACCGCGGGCGCTGTCAGGGGGTGCATGTTTGTATTCCAGATTCGGCAGGTGTTGCACTGACCCCCTTCAACGCTGCAGCAGCGTTAATTCGGCGGCCTTATCCAGCACCAGCGCCGCAGCGGGCGTGGCCGCTATGACGCAGGCGTGCGCGTGCGTCTTTCGTGCGGCAGCACGCGCGACGCGGAAAGCGAGGTACGGCCGCGCCAGCGCTGGCTCGCCGTCGGTTTCGAGTTTCGTTTGCACCTCGACCGCGAGGGACACGCGCGAAGGAAGCGGCCAGCAGCGGCCAGTCACGCGCGCCTGTCAAGCTGCGACGAGAGCGCTGCTCCTCTCCTGTTGAAAGGCGCCAAGCGGCGGCGAGAAGGTGCCGTCGCGCGCAGAGGGGCGTCTGCGAGCCTCTGATGGGATGGGATGACGCACCCGCCCGGATGCCTCCTGTGCGCGAGGTGGTGCGGCCGTGCGAGGGCGATATCAAGCTGGACCTCCGCCGCAGCGCCGCAGCCTCGATCTCAGCAGCAGGCGGAGCGCTGACCGTGCCGATTGCTGCTTTTGTGGCGGCCTCGCTCTCCCCGCGGCAAGATGGAGCGCCGTCGCGGCAGGCGGGGCCGCCTCGGCATCGCGCATGCGCCCCCTGCGCGGAAGCAGAGGCGCAGCGGCGTCCGCACGCCGCCAAGCCATCGCGGGCACGCGGCTCGCGGCGGCGGCTGGACCCTGAGCGCGAGGCCGCTCCGCCCCAGCAGCAGCACCACGCCGCGCACTGCTGCTGCTGCTGCCATCTGGCGCTGCCCATCTCGCATGAGAACAGCCGCGCCTCGGCGTGGACATGCTTATGAGATGCCGTTGAGCATGTCACGTCGGCGACAGCCTCGGCGACGTCGGCAGAGGCAAGCTGCCAGCCAGAAGCAGCGCATCCGCTCCGGCCTCTCGCCGAGTCCACGCGATGGCTTCCGCGGGTCGAGGCGCCTCGCCGAGCGGATGGTGCGCCAGAAGATCGCCGGCCAGCAACGCCTGCACACGCCTGGTGCTGCTCGATGGATAGGTCTCGATAGGCAAGTCATGAGGCTGCCAATGATGAGAGCGGCTTCTCAGCAGGCCGGGGCCTGAGGCTTCCGCATGGTCAGAGGCTCCTCCCTCGGCACGAAGGGAAGCATCGCCTCGCTGAATGACCGGAGGACTCTTGACAGAGGACCCTTGACAATATCGCGGATCTCGCAGTCGGCCAGACGCAACATTTTGCTGATGCCGGGGGCGTGCCGAAGGATCGACGCTGTTGCACGTCTGCGTTGCCAGGCGAGCGGCCCGCGTAGCAGAGAGATCCCGTCTGAGAGCATGCTGCAACCGCCAGAGATCGGCGCAGGACCTGAACTCCATGCACAGCTGCTCTCAGCATTTGACTGCCGAGCCCTGCAGACAGACCTTTGCTCATAATCGTCTGGAGGCAAAGGACCGAACAGCTTCGCACGTCTCCGCGCGCAAACGCTGACCAGTTCGTCGCTTCTCGGTCTTGCGGAGCGCGCACCTCGTTGGTCCGCCACGCAAGCTGCAGGTGTGGTATTGCTCCGTCTCTGCTGGATTATGAACCCAAAAGCCAGGCCTCGTAGGTGAGATAGAGCGCCGCAGAGGAGGCGAGACGACGATGCCGACTCTTACTGCGGTGGGAACAGCGAGAGCGCGGCGGCGGCGGCGGCTCGTGCGCGCCGCGCGGACCGGGTTCCGCGGCTTTAGGTGCGGGCGCGCCGACGCTTCCTTCTCGCCCGTCTGCTCTGCCTCGGCCAGAGCACACGCAGCGCAGCGCGAGCAAGAAACGGAGTCAGCAAGCAAGAGGACATAAAGGAGGTGGATGGTGCCTTCGTCCAGGGGCAGGCTTGAGGTGAGGTGGCCGGGCGATAGCAGACGGCGGGCGGATCTCGGGACTTGGCGCGTGCTGGCGGCGTGCGCATGCGCCTCAAGTTGGCCGCTGCAGGCGGCCGGCCTGCGGCGGCGCGGGGCTCCTGAGAGGCGCACTTTGTGCGAGCTGGCACTCTTCTCGCTCCTCTCGCTCACACCTCCATCACCACCCAGGCATGCTCCGTCTCGCCCGTCCCGCGCTCTCGCCGCTGCGCAGCGCCGCCCGCGCGCTGCCGGCCGCTCGCTGTGCGCCCAGCAGCCGCGCGCTGCATGCCAGCGTCGCGCTCGCCAACCACGCGCGCACCGGCCTCTACGACTTCCACCGCAAGCACGGCGCCAAGCTGGTGCCGTTTGCCGGCTACGACATGCCGCTCTCGTACGGCGACGTTGGGCAGAGTGAGTGTCAGAGGTGCAAGCAGAGAGCGGCGCCGGCCTGCGAGAAGCCCATCTGCCCAGAGGCTGGGCGCCGGTAGCAGCTGCCAGGCAGCAGGAGCAACTGCTCACGCGCCGCTGCAGTGGCCAGCCACAAGCACGTCCGCACCGCTGCCGGCCTCTTCGATGTCGGCCACATGGTGCAGCACCTGTGAGTCTCGCACGGCCCGCCGCACTGTGCCCCGCCGGCTCACGCCGCCGCAGCTTCACGGGCGCCGGCGCCGGCGCCTTCCTCGAGTCGCTCGTGCCGACGTCGATCAGCAAGCTCGAGCCCTACTCGTCGTCGCTGTCCGTGCTGCTGAACGCGCAGGGCGGCATCGTCGACGACACGGTCATCACCAAGCACAGCGACGAGCGCTATTACGTCGTCACCAACGCCGGCCGCCGCACCGAGGACCTCAAGCTCTTTGCCGATGCGCTCAAGGCGTGGCAGGGCGCCAAGCTCGAGCACGAGGTGCTGGAGAACTGGGGCCTCGTTGCGCTGCAGGGTGCGTACGGCTGGAGTGCGACAGGAGCAGCGGGCTGATCGCTGCGCACCAGGGCCCAAGTCGCAGGACGTGCTCGCCTCGCTCACCAAGGCCGACCTGGCCGCGCTCACGTTTGGCAAGTCGACGTACGCCGACGTTGCTGGCGTCGAGTGCCACATCGCTCGCGGCGGCTACACGGGCGAGGACGGCTTTGAGGTGCGTCCTAATCTGTCTGCTGCGCCTTTCGCCTGCTCATCACAAGGTGCAGATCTCGATCCCGCCGGCGGAGACGGAGCGCGTGACGCAGGCGCTGCTCGACGTGCAGCCGACGCAGCTGGCCGGCCTGGCGGCGCGCGACTCGCTGCGCCTCGAGGCGGGCATGTGCCTCTACGGCCACGACCTCAACGAGAGCGTCTCGCCGGTCGAGGGCGCGCTGGCCTGGGTTGTCTGTGAGGCCGCCGCATGGTGCAGATGACTGGTGCAGCACTGACGCGCCGCCGAGCAGCCAAGGACCGCCGCGAGAAGGCCGACTTCCCGGGCGCCGAGCGCATCCTGCGCGAGCTCAAGGAGGGCCCGCCGCGGCGGCGTGTGGGTCTCGTCGTTGAGGGTGCACCGGCCCGCGGTGCGTTGCGCGAGACTGTGCTGAGGCGCAGCTGCTGACACGAGGCATCTCCTCTAGAGGGCGCGACGATCTATGCCTCGGACGAACGCACTGCTGTTGGTGAGTTGCCGCGAGCGTGCCTCTCGCAGAGCACGGACTGACTCTCTCCTGCGCCCAGGCGTCGTGACGTCGGGCATTCCCTCGCCCACGCTCGGCAAGAACATCGCCATGGCCCTCGTGCAGAACGGCTCGCACAAGAAGGGCACACAGTGCGTCGCTGTCCGCAGCCTTCGCTCGATGAGATGCGCAACTGACTCCTCGCCGCCTGCAGACTGTTCGTCGAGGTGCGCAAGAAGATGCGGCAAGCGACCATCGAGAAGATGCCGTTTGTGCCCAACAACTTCTACCGCGGCGCCTAGACCGCCTACGCGGCTGCCGCGGCCAAGGGAAGAAAGCGTCACCAGAGACCTGCTCAATATCATATCGCGATCGGAGGAGAGAAGCGTGACTAGGATTGTGAAGGAGACCTCTCTGGCGCCGCTGCTCCAGCCTCGGCTCATGTGCGAGGCGAGCTAGCGCGCGCGTCCCGGCGCCCATCAGCCCCACAGCCCGCCTCCGCCGCCATACGCCTGCTGCTGGCCCCACTGTTGCTGCTGCGGCTGCTGTTGCTGCTGCTGCCCGGTGCCCGGCATCATGGCGTTTGCAAACGCGCCGAACTGCGGCTGCTGCTGCTGGCCCTGTGCCTGTTGTTGCTGCCCGAAGCCAGCCGTATAGCCTGTGCCGGGCGTCTGCGCAAAGGGCGACGAGGTGCCGTTGGCGTGCGAGATGCCGTTGGCCTGCTGCGGGAAGTTGTAGTCCTGCTGCGCGTTGCCGAACGCCTGCTGGCCGAGCATGTGGCCCGGCGACATCATGCCCTGCTGCTGCGGCGCAAAGAAGGGCGAGTTCGACTGCGGCGCATACGGACTCGTCGGCGAGAGCGAGCCAAAGGCACTGGCGCCGAGCATCTGCGCCTGCTGCTGCGGCGCCTGCTGTGCGAAGAAGGCATGCTGCCCCAGCCCCACGGGCGAGGCCATGCCGCCCATGCCCGTCTGCTGCATCTGCATCTGCTGCATCTGCGCTTGTTGTTGTTGTTGTTGCTGCATCTGCTGCATCTGCTGTTGTTGCTGTTGCTGCTGCATCTGCACCTGCATCGACATGCCGCTCCACGGATTGCCGGCCGCGTGAGTCATGCCCGCGCCGGCTGGCGGCAACGGCGATTGGCTCTGCAGCGAGAGCAGGTCGTCGAAGACAGACGAGCGCGCAGCGTACGAGACGGGCGGCGGCCCTGATGCCGAGACAGCAGAGGCGGGCGTGGCGAACTGCATCGAGCTGCTCGAGCGTGCTGGCGGCACGGCCATGGCGAGGGCCGACGAGGAGCGCGCCGGCGGCGCAGTCGCAGCGGCACTGCTGCTGCCTGGCACGGCGAGGCTCTGATTGCGTGTCGGCAGCGGCGGCGCTGTTGCCTGCGAGCTGCTGCGAGCGCCACTGCCGCTGGGAATGGGCGCAGTCCGCGAGCGTGCGATGCTCTCGATGGCGCTGGCCGACGGCGCGCGTGCAAAGCTGCTGCCGGCGGCCGGTGCTGTGCCGATAGACGAAGAAGATGGCGAGAGGCGCCCAACGAAGCCTGCATCCTTCGACGGCACGGGCGGCGGCAGACGCTCGGCGAACTGCCCGCGGTACTTGGCGACGATGAAGCGCTCGAGCTCGCTGCGAGCAGCATGTCAGCACTTCGCGCAGCACGCACGGCCGGCATCTGACGGATCGTCTCTCGCTGTGGCTGTCTATGCCGCGCTCATCACCCTGCTGGGCGCGTGCGCCTGGGCGCTGCTGCAGCCCAGATCGCCTGCTCCTGCTTCTGGTGCTGCGCCTCGTCCATGACCCTGCGCTGACCGCGCCCACCGCCTGTGCCGGCCTCACCCGCCTTCAGTGCCGCCCGCGCTGCTCGGACGCACCTGTGCCGCTCGCCCTCCTCCATGTTCGTCGGCGGCCGGTGGCGCTTCGGGTCCGGATTCCACTTGGCATTGCTGGCGACGTTGCCGACGGCGCGCATGCGCTCCACCTGCTCGCGCGTCCACGTGTCGAGCGTGAGCGACTTGACCTTGGAGATGTGCCTGGGGCGCGGGCGTCAGCGGCGCCGGGCCATCGATACAGCAGCGGGAAGGAGAGAGATGGTGGCGTGCCCAGCTAGCGATGGCTTGTGATCTGAGTTGCCATGCTCCACCAGGACGGCGTCACGCCAAAGACGTTGCGCTGCCACGTGAGCATGCTCCGGCCGGCTCGCGCCTCTGCACTTGCACCTGCCGCCATGCGCCCTGTCTCCTTCTCGCGTGGCCCACTCACGTGCCCATCTTGCGGTGCACGCCGGCACACTGCACGCAGATGAAGACGCCGAGGCTCCAGCTGGCCCAGCGCGGCGCGCGTGCGCCGCAGTCGGCGCAGGCGTCGTTGCCGGGCGCGCGCACGAGCTCGAGCACCTGGCGCCCGTAGCGCTCGGCCGACGCCTTGGTGTTCATCGCTGCCAGCGGTGTGAGTGGCGCAGAGAGGAGAGCGGCGAGTGGCGCAGCGAGTGGCGCAGGCAGGAGCAGGCCAAGAGCAGGCGGCGATGGTGGAGATGGTGGTGCGCCGGGTGCCTGTGCCGGGCTGCGAAGGACTTGAGGCGGTGCCGCTTTGTCCGCCTCTGGCGCTGGGCGGTCAGGAGGAAGCAGGCCATCACGTCGCGCACGCATCACAGCAGCAGGCCGCCGGCCGCCGGCGAATTGCCGCGGCGCCGCCATGTGACCGCCGGGCGCAGCGTGGGAACACCGGCCTGCCTCCCTGGCGGGCGTCTGTCCCCCCCGGGCAGCCTGCGCGCGTGGTGCAGACACGGCTCCGCCTCGACACATCTGGGGAGGCGTAAGGGAGGCACGTCCGCCGCACTCTGCTCAGCCTAGCGCACTGCAAGGATGAAGGGGGAAAGCGCCTCCCCCGGCGGCAGCGCGCGCGCGGGAGTCGCGCCCGCGCACGCGCCGCCTGCCCAACGCGTCGCGCGACGGCATCCGCATCCGCACGGGAGCGGCAGCGGGCCCGAGGGTGCCATCTCCACGCCCGCCCTCCGCACCTTGACTGCGCACCACATCCCCCTCTGCCCGCACCATGCTCCTGCCGCTCCTGCGCACGCGCGCACCACAACTCCTCGCGCTGCGCCGCCTCGCGCCCGCCGCCGCGCCCGCCGCGGCGGTGCGCGCCTTCGTCGCGGCGCCGCGTCTGCTGCAGGCCGTCGCCGACGAGGCCGTGCCCGCCGCCGCCGTGGCGCCGGGCGCGGCCGTCGTGCACAAGAAGCCGCGCGCCGCACGCAAGCCATCTGCTGCTGCCAGCGGCACCGCAGCCAAGAAGGCGCCGCGCGCCGGCACCAAGGCGGCCGCGGCGGCACAGCTGCGCAGCGACAGGGCCGCGGCCAGGGCGCAGAAGGCGCAGGACAAGGAGAAGGCCGCAAAGGAGAAGGCCAAGGAGAAGGCCGCAAAGGCCAAGGCGCGCGAGCAGCAGAAGAAGGAGGCCGCACGTGCAAAGCAGGAGCGGACAAAGGCCGCCGAGCAGCGCAAGGCGGCGCGCGCCCGGCCGTGGGAGCGCCGAGACGAGGCCGGCAAGCTGAGTGAGTGCCGGCGACGAGGCGGCTGCTGTGGTGCGAGCGCAGTGCAGCGCGGCCGGAGCTTCGCGACAGGGCAGTATCTTGGCACAACGGCTGGCCTCTCGCGCGGCTGACAGCGGAGAACGATCGGCGTTGACCTCTGCGAGGAGCGCAGTCTCGGCGAGGGCGCGGTGTGCCCTCTCTCATCCGCCAGGCGCTTCTGCTCTGAGGGCGGCCGGTGCTCAGCGCGCAGCGTCGACTTGCCGAGCCCGTCATAGCGGCCCTTCTGCCTGCACCCGCCACGTGCTGACCTGCATCTCTCTCAGTCCCGCTGCCGTCCGAGACGAAGCCCGTCAAGGTGCTGCCCTACGCGCTCTTCGTGGGGGAGCAGGCGAAGCTGCCCGAGATTCTCGAGGATCCGTCCGTGTACATCACCAAGCCCGACGGCTCGAGAGCGCGCAGCCTGACTGCGATCGCCAGGCACCTCTCGGCCAAGTGGAAGGCCTCTGAGCAGCTGCAGCAGGTGAGTCGCAGCGCGCCGTGTTCCAGAGCGAGCGACGTATCCTGGACGCTGACATTGCTTCCGTGCCGTCGCACAGTCTTACAAGGAGAGAGCTCAAGCGGCGCTTCCCGAGTACGAGCGCAAGCTTGAGGCGTGGCAGCGCAGCCTCACGCCCGACGATGTGGCGCGGCAGCACCTGTACGCGCTGGCGCAGCGGCGTGCCGGCAAGACGAAGCGCCAGACGCAGACCGTGCGCGGCTCGGCCCAGCCAAAGAAGCCGTACACGGCCTTCTTCCTCTTCCTGCGCCAGCACCGCGCGCAAGCGGGCGAGATGAAGGTGGTGGATTCGGCGCGGCAGGCGGGCGAGCAATGGCGTGCGATGAGCGAGGCCGACAAGGCGGTGAGTTGTGCTGCCCTCCACACGCCTCTGTCCGGGAGCGCTGACACGCCTCGCTCCACACACAGCCCTTCGCCAAGGAGGCCGAGGAGCTGCGCGAGCAGTACGTGCGGGACATGGCGGCGTACAAGCGGAACGCAGAGGCACAGTCCTGAGCGCCGGCGCGTGGCGCCGAGCCAGCCTCTCTTCCTCTTGCCTGTCTGCTTCGCAAGCACCACCACCACCACCTATCCACTCAGCATCTGATATCTCGCCTGGCTTCTCCGCGCTGCGCCGCGCTGCGCCGCACTCGCGCCACGCCCTACTCTCCTTTCCCGCACACCTCGTGCCAGGCTGCGTGCTGCTCGCGAGCCTCGCTGTCACGCTCTCGCCTCTCTCGCCGCGTGACTCAATGCCCATTGCCCACTGCTCATGGATCCCAGCCGAACTGCAGGCGATAGCCGATGCCGCGGCTGCGCGCGCCGAGGCCGAGCCACCACTCGCGCTTGCGCAGCAGGCGCCGCAGCCAGGGCCGCGCGGCGCCGGCATGGGCGCCAAGGCCGCTGCCGCTGCCCAGCGCCGGCACGGCGGCGCGCGCCATGGGGCGCATTGGCGCGGCGACGAGCGAGGAGAGGCAGAGCCAGCAGGCGCTTGGGGCGCGCGGCGAGGGCGCGGCGCAGGCGGCCGAGGGACCCAGCAGCGCGCTGAAGGGCGACGGCGCCGGCGAGTAGTCTAGCACCTGTTCCGGCTCGCGAGGCGGCGCAAGCGCGGCGAGCGACGGCGCATACCACGCACACGTCGAGACGAGCAGCAGCGTGAGCATGATGAGGCAGTACGCGCTGCCGGAGAGAGGCGTATCAGCGGCAGCGAGAGAGCGAGGCGCGGGTAGTACGGCGCAGCGATCTTTCCGGCGTCGTTCAGCGTAGATGCCAAGATGCAGCACAGTTGTCCTGCCCGCCGCTACCTGCTCGTGCTCGCAACGCCTCATCGCCGAAGCCGGTGCTGCATTTCTGCTGTGGTGCACTCACCAGGGGCGCGAGCCAAGCGCATAGCACACGGCAAAGAGCAGCGCCGCCGCTGGCCGCGCAGCAGGCAGCGGCAGGAGCAGCAGCGGCAGCCACCAGCGCTGTGCGGGTGCGTCAGCTCGTGGTCCGGGCATGTCGGAGCGGCTGTACGCACGAGGCAGTGCATGGCCGGCGCTGCTGAGTGATGCGAGGACAATGAGCTCAGAGGCAGGGCGCACGCGGCGGGCCGCTCGGCTGCACGAGACAGGCGGAGAGCGTCGAGCGAGGAGCGGGAGGATGTGGAGTGGAGGTGAGCGGCGCGACCGCTCGAGCGGCGGGGCTTGAGCCGGTCGGTCCGGGGTTCAGGCGGCGCAACACGTGACGCGCGGCGCGAACTGCCGCTTTGCGAGACACGAAGGCGCCTCCACCTGCGCTCTGGCCGCCTTCCTACCACCACCGTCTCCCTCGTTCTCCTTCCCGCTGCGTCGCTGCTCCCTGCGCGATGCCGTCTGCCGCCACGCGGCCGTGCGTGCAGTGCGCCGCCGCCGCCTCGCGCTACAACTGCCCGCAGTGCCGCGCCTCGACGTGCAGTGCGCCCTGCTCCAAGGCGCACAAGCTGCGCGCCCACGGCAGCGACGCCGCGGCCGGCCCCAGCTCGGCAGCCGCCAACGGCATTCCCACCGGGCCTCGCAGCATGGTAGCCACAGCGCCGACCGGGCCGCGCAGCATCGTCGCAGGTGCGCCCACGGCGCCTCGCGTCATGAGCGCCGCGGCCGCTCAGCCGGCACTCAGCGTGGCCAAGCGGCGGCCGCGCGACGGCGCCGAGCTGCTGCAGGACCTCGGCCTGCTGGAGCACATCGGCGCCGCCGTCTCCGAGCTGGGCCGCAGCGCCGTGCGCGACGGCCTCTACGACGCCTACGACGCCTCGCTGCAGACGCCCGATGCGGCACGCGAGGCAGCGGCCAAGGGCGGCCGCGCGCCGCGCCTCACGCACGGCCAGATGAAGCGCCAGACACTCAGCAAGCAGATCGGCTGGAAGCGCCTCTCCGTCATGCTGCTGCCCGACGGCATGCAGATGCGGCAGGAGAACCAGACCATGTGGAAGAATCGGTGAGCGAGGCGCAATCGTGGAGCACGGCGAAGTCAGTCCGCTGACGATGGCACACACAGCGAGCAAGAATTTTCCTTCACTGTTGATCTGCGCTTCCCGCATGCTCCTGCAGAAGCGAGCGGCAGCGTGCTGGCCGCCAAAGATGCGCAGGCAAAGGAGGGGAAGGTCTCGCGCATCCTTCTGCATCGCGTCGCGGGAGGGCGCCACGTCCACTCTCTCTTCGTCGAGGAGCTGCGCAAGCGGGCGCGCAAGGCTGCCGACGTCCCGGCGCCGGTCAAGGCCCCTGACACGTCCGCAGCCTCGAAGGGCAAAGGAAAGGGCAAGGGCAAGGCTCTGAAGCAGGAGCCGGCTGCCGCGCAGTCCTCGGCCGAGGAAGCGCTCTTCGCCGACGGCTTTCCGCCAGCTGTGCTGATCAGCGCCGGACTGGATCCGGACGCATCAGCCAGCACGAGTGCTGCAGGCGCTACGCATTTGCCCAGCGGCGCCGTTGTGCTACTCGGCATCCACGCCGAGCGTCTGCGCAACGAGAGCACACCCAAGTTCTTGCGCTGGTGGGAGGGCCAGGTGCGCCGCGGCACCGTCGATGCCGGCAGCATCGAGACATTCGAGGAGCAGCAGGCGGCACGAGCTGCACTCGAGGAGCAGGAACAGCAGCGCGTGCGTGACGAGCAGCAAGCGCAGCAGATGCAGCAGCAAGCGCAGTGGGCGCAGCAACAGGCCATGGCCAGGGGACCGCCGCCTGGTGGGTATGGCGGCCCGCCACCCGGCGGCTACAGCGGTCCACCGCCGGGCGGATACGCCGGCCCGCCGCCGCCGTACTACAATGGTCCACCTCCAGGCGTGCCATTCGGCGCGGCATCGTCGTACCAGGAGCCGGCGCCGGCCGCACCGCAGCACGCACTCTCGCGTCTGACCAGCAGTTCGCTGCTCGGCAGCCTCGGGGCGAAGCTTCGCGGTCCAAACGCAGCACCAGCGCCATCGGCAGCCTTGCCTTCTCCGACGCCTCAGGCGGCCCAGCAAGCTTCTCCTGCGCCTTCTGCGCCCATCGCGCCCGCTGAGCCGGCGAAGATGCGCCCTCCTGTCGAGAAGGCTTCGGCAGCTGCGCCAGCGCTGAGACACTTCGTTGCCATCCGCGATGCGGCTCTGGGCCTCGAGGCAATGCTCTCGCAGCTCCCGGCCGGCTTTGCCGTCGTCGAGTACGCTCAGCTGGAGCTGTGGCCGCAGGCGCGCGTCGAGACAGCCGAGAAGGAAGGCCTCATCCGCGTGCACGAGCTCGGCGAGAGCGTCGAGGCGCAGGCCGACAAGAAGCGCGAGCGCGAGGCTACCGCTGCGGCAGACGAAGAGTCGTCCAGCAAGCGCACCCGAGTCGTCAAGGCCGAACAAGAATGCATGCCCGCGCCAGCGGCCAGCGTACCCTCCGTTGCTTCCCAGCCAGCCGTTTCAGCTCCGCCAATCCGCAGTGCGCCCGCACAGGCATCTTCGGGCCTGATGGGCCTTGCAGCCTACGACTCCGACTCGGACGCAGAGTCAGACGAGGAAGAGTCGCCGCCAGCCGCGTCTTCGTCGCGGCAGCTCTCGCCCGAGCAGATCCGGTCGCGGCAGATTGCGCGCTCTGAGCTTCTGTCAGCCGCACCGCGAGAGCCTTCGAGCGAGCCGGACGAGGAAGATCTCGAGGAGGAGGAGGCGCGAGGCAGCGTCGCCGACATTGCGCGTCTGCTTGGCATCGCGCCGCCAGCGCCAGTGAAGCTGGAGCAGAAGGCGTCTGTCGTGGAACCGAAGTCAGCTCCAGCAGCAGCTCTGGCATCGCTGGAGGATGAGGTCGACTGGGGAGAGGACTAGCACGTCGCATCGCAGTCCGGCAATCTTCGTCGTGTCACTACTACACTAATCGTCAATCATCATTCAACGTGGCGCACGGAGGGTATGGGGTCATGGGTATCGAGCGCCGCGCGGGCGCGGCTCGTCGTGCAGCTTGACACTGAGGAACTTCGGCTGCGGCTTGGCGCCGCTGAGGCCGACGGTGATGTTGAACATGCGGTCGAACAGCAGCTGAAGCGACGAGACATGTCAGTCTGCGCCAGTGACAGGCCCACGCGCGCTGCTCACCTGCACCCAGGCCTGGCTGGCGCGATGGCAGCTCGCCAGTGGCTGACCGCCAGCACCGTCGAGCTCGCGCAAGTGCCGCCAGATGACGCTCGGCTGCGAGAAGGTGAGCGAGTGATGCATAGCGAGGCGGCACAGCACGCACCTGCGGCGGACCGAAGCGGAAAGAAGCGGCATATGCGGCTTGCCAGCGCTCCTGCAGGTTCCGTGCGCAGCCCTGCGGGTCTGGGCAGCCGGCATGGCACTCGTAGTCTGCCCATCGCAGAATGTCAGAGGCGATGCCAGCGAGGAGAGACGCGGGCTCTGCCTCACCTCGGGCAGGATTCGCGAGGCCCAGCTTCAGCAGGCGCTCGAGAAACCAGGTGCGCTTTCTCTCCAGCTGAGAGGGCTTGTCAGTGAGAAGCGAGCGCGGGCGAGGCAACAGACACACCTTCAGCAGCGTCTCGCCGCTGAGCACCGCCAGCTCGTCGCTCTTCCAGCTCGACATGTTGTCGAGCACGTGTCTGCTGGCCTCCTTGTACTCGTGTTCGAGGCCATGCTTCTCGCCCAGCGCCATGGCCTCGATCGGCCGGCCAGCGAGCGCGGCGCGTAGCCAGGCCGTGCAGCTGCGGCGCAGGAAGGGCACGCCAAACTTGGCCTCGAACGTCATGAGCGAGGCGACATTGTACCTGCGAAGGGCGATGAGCAGGCGCAATGGCGATCGGAATGCGCGTGACGCACCAGGTCACGCAGAGGTCCAGATCTGCAGAGAGTGCCAGCTTCAGCGAGGCGCGACTGAGTCGCGGTGGCAGCACTCACGCGGATAGACGTGCGATAACACATCCTGGAACGTGCCCGGATCTTCCTCCGGCAGATTGACCACCGCCACCGGCGGCTTCTGCCGGCGCCGCTGGCGTGCAGCAGCCATGGCAGGGGGCAGGACCGACGCAGCGGCATCCGGCGAACGCGGCGGCGTTGCGAGGCCGCGCAGCCGAGTCACGACTGTGTCAGTCGAGCTTGAGCCCGTGTTCACCAGTGTTGCAGCCGTGGTCGTGGACTCGGACGGCGTCATGGGTGCAGAGGTAGAAGTGACGCGCGCGGAGCGCGATCTCTCCATGACGACGTCCGATCCAGTGAGTCGGCTCAGAGCAGCATCGACACCCGTGCTGACGCTGCGCTGGCGCGGAGACGTGGAGAGCGCCGACTGAGTCATGGCCAGGTCCTCGAGATCGTGCGGCAGCGAATGCAACGCGGAGTGGAAGCTTGCACGCGGCGATGCGCCTCTTGTGCGAGGGGACGGAAAGGACATGAGATCGCTCTCGTCCGAGGTCAACTCGTCAGCATCAGCATCAGCTGCAGCGCTGTCGCCGGACTCCAGATCGGGAAGCGGCTCATCAGCGTGGGGCGACGAGGATTCTGCAGTCTGTTCTTCATCTGCTTGCTCAGCACCACTTGCGTCCAGTGAGCTGCGCCGCGAGTGTGTCGAGGAAGCGTCGCTGGAACGCGAGTGGAGCGAAGGATGCGACTCCTTCCAGTCGCCCTCGAGCAGAGCGCGGAAGAAGGGTGAGGCGAAGTACAGAATGCTGCAGCATGCGTCAGCCAGACGTCGCACGCACCTCGGTGGTGTCGACCACTCACTCGCGATGCACCCAGAACTCCACGCCCGACACACGCACGCGCACGTCGCCGCGGTTCGGCGCGTCGGCAGAGAAGTCGGGCAGCGTGCAGAACTCCGGCTCAGCGGCTGCTGAATGCTGCTGCTGTGCAAATGCGGCATGCTGCGGTGCCGTGTATGGTGTCGTCGGTCGGCGGCGGGCCTCGCCAGCTGCGACCGCTGCTGCGAAGGGCGACTGCGCATGCGAGCCGGAGACGGTGGTGAGCGACGGTGCAAGCGGCGGCGCACGACCGCCAGCAGGGCCTAGCAGCGAAGAGGTCGGGTTGCGGTCGGGCGTGCTCATCGCCGGTGCGCTCGTCGTCGGTGTCGCCGCCGCAGCGGCAGGTGGCAGCGGCGGCGGCGAGGCGTGCGCGCAGGGCAGCGAGAGGGCCGGCGGCAGCGGTGCCGCTCCAGGCGAAAGCGGCGCGGCAACCAGACGGCCGCGGCTGGGATGTGCAGACAGCGCACTGCCGCTTGTGCCGCTGCTGGTCATGCCGGCTGCTGCACTGCTGGCGCCGGCGCCGCTGGCGAGCGAGAGGCTGGGCAGCAGCGTGATGCCGAGCAGCGAGTGCGGGCCCGACGGCGACTGCGCCATGCTTGCGGCGCTGCGGCCGTCAGCCGTCGACAGGCGGCAGTGTGCGCTGCAGCTATCCGTAAGGCAGGCCTTACTGGCGAAGGCTGCTAGCTTGATGTGGTGCGGAACCAAGGCGGTGCCGCCCGATGTGTCGCAGCTCGACGTAGCGTGCTCGCAAATCGGGACTCGAGGCGCGGTCCGCGCCGTCGTGCCGCGTCCGTGCACGATGTGCCGCGCTTCCTTTGCATCCTGCCTCTCGCGACCCACCTCCACCACTCGTGTCCCCGCCATGGCTGAGCAGGCACAGTCCGACGACGCCCTGCGGCCGCAGTCCTCCGCCGCCGGCGAGCTCGATGCGCTCTCGACGCTCTCTCTCTCGCTCTCCAACCTCGTCTCCATCGCCGGCGCCGCGCTCTCGGCCCTACCACTGCGCGCGCTGCCGCTGCAGATCAATGCCGCCCTGCCCGTGCATGCGCCGCCCGACGCCACGGCGCACATGTATGCGCCGCCGGCAATGAGCGCCTTCATCGACGAGCTCGGCGCAGACCTCACCACCGAGGCCGAGCGTGCGCGCGACATCATCGCGCGCCTCGACGTGCGCGAGACGGACGACGAGGCCGACGCGCGCGAGCTCGAGCAGCTCGAGCAGGAGATGCGCGCGGCGAACGAGGAGTTTGCCAGCGCGGCGCAGGATGCTGGTGAGTGCCTATACTGCCTGCCCTCGCTGTGCCGCATCCTCATGCCTTTCTCACAGCGGACCTGCGCGACGAGCTGCGTGCCCTCGTCACTGCCACGGCCGCCGAGCACGCCCAGGCGCGGGCCGAGCTCGCTCGCGCTGCCGAGCCGGCGCCGTCTGGCGAAGCGAAGGCAGAACTCAACAGCTGAGCGTCTCGCTTGTACGCTGCGGTCGACAAGCGCAGTCCTCGCTAGAAGGCTCAGGTGGGCGCGATCCTTCTGGCGTACTGGGCACGTCACGCACGCGGCGCGCGCGGCACGCCCTGCACACCTTTCCGCCAGAGTGCACCCTCACAGCGGCACGCAAAGCCAGCTCGGCGACGGGCTCTGTGCTCGCGAGCTTTCTGGGAGCACTAAGACTGTGCAGAGACACAAGAGCTGCGCGTTGCCGCTCAACCAAGTCCGGCTTGCACACGCGCAATCTTCGGCGCTGCTCGACTCAAGCAGCAGCACGCGCTTCTCCTCTTGCCCACGAAGCACAGGCGCTTCAGTCGCGGCACCACATGTATTGCACAGGCAGCAGCCATGCGAGGAGACAGAAATGCGAATGGGTTGGAGAGGGAATGTCCCGTCGCCCAGGCCAGCGCCGTGCACAGAGCAGGCACGGCGCCGTCGCGCACAACAACATTGCACGCGGGCCAGACAGTCGGGGATCGTGGGCACTCTGCCTCCCAGCGAGCACCTGCGTTACCCGTGTGGAAAGTTGAGGGTGCAAGCGACTCTATGAGCCAGGAGGGTACATTGTGTGAGGAAGCAAGCGCCGGCCGCGCTGCGGGCGCTGCTCTTGGGCGCGGCGAGCGAAAAGCTGCAGCAGCCTCTCGGCCGAGTCGCGCCTCGCAGAGGTCCGTGGCGCGGCACGACGCCGCGTGACCCCTTTTCGCTCTCTCACGGCGCTTCAGCGCAGTGGCTCGGAACCTCGAAAAGCAGCCTTGAGAGCTGGACGCCGACGAGATGTGTCCTCCTGCGGCTCGCAAGATGCCGGTGCTCTCAGGGCGCATGATGCCCAGTCCGGCCGTTGCGTCTCGGCCGCATCGCCGGAGAGCTGGCCTGCCGCGGCACGCGAGGCGGCCAAGGCGCGCTCGGCGCCCGGAGAAAGCGCGCGCGTGCTCGGACTCCGGCGGAGTGCGGGGCGCATTGCCGCCACGGGAGGCGCGGTGACCGGCGAGGTGCCTGCGAGAGAGCAAGCGCTGCACGCCTCGGGCCGTCCGCCTGCCGGGCCCGGAGGGGGGCTCATGTGCAGCGCGAAGCGAGGCAACACCATGCGTCCTGCCTCAACACCGCAAGCATGTCGCAGACAATGGAAGCAGCGCCGCCGCGGACAGACGAGCACGACGAGGCGATGCAGGTGCTCGACGACAAGACGATGAGCAGCAGCGCGCCAGGCAGCGAGGCGCAGGCGGCCGCGCCCGAGGAGCTGCCGCTGTACCTCACCATGCCGTGGCACCGCAAGATGGCGACCTACATCGTGCTGTGCATCATGACGCTCGCGCTCACCTACTCGTCGACGGCCTATGTGAGCCTGGCGGGTGCTGTATCACGGGAAGTGCGATAGCTGAGGCTTTGGCACAGGCTTCGTCAATACACAAGCTCCAGGAGCACTACCAGGTCGGGCCTGTCGGTGCGTCTGCCCCCGAGCAGCGCTCTGTACTGAGCTCACACGCTGTAAGCAGTGATCTATCTCGGCATATCGCTGTTTGTGTGAGTTCTGCCGTGAAAATGCGGCATCGCCTGCCTCTGACCCGGCACTTGCAGTCTCGGCTTTGGACTTGGCCCGCTCGTCTGTGGCCCATTGGCTACGATCTACGGCAAGCGGCCCGTCTATATTGCGTCGTACACTGCTTTCACTGGTGCGTGCTGCGACACCTGGGGAATCTTGCGCTGACGGGAGCCACAGCATTCTCGTTTGGAGCCTCGGAGACAAACAACATTGGCGTGCTCCTCGTTATGCGCTTCCTGGCCGGCGCATCGGGCAGCTCGTCTCTGAACAACGTGCCGGCTTCGATGAGCGACGTGAGTCAAGCAAGGCATGCTGTGAGGCATAATGACTCAAGCATACCCCTCCGCAGATCACCGACCCGACGCAGATGGCAGGCACACTCATCTACTACGCGCTCGCTGCCTTCGGTGGGCCTGGCCTCGGCCCCGTCATCGCTGCTTTCATCGACCGGCGTGCCGGCTGGCGCTGGAACCTGCGCGTGCAGGCCATCTTCGTCGCCGTCATGACTGTGGCGTGCATCCTGCTCGTGCCCAAGACGGAGAAGGCTGCAGCCGTTGCCGTCAAGGGGAGCAAGGCTGCCGAGCGCGAGAAGATGAAGCGAGTCTTCAAGCGGGCATTCAAAGGGCCGTTCGTGTGGCTCATCCAGGGTAGGTGGGCCGTGCTGGGAGGTTTGGCCGTCGAGCTGACTCTCTCCCTTGCGCTCCGACAGAGCCCGTCGTGCTCGCCATCTGCATCTACCTCAGCGTCGTGAGTGAGGCTTCCTCTGGCCTCTTGTGATGACGCTGAGCACCAAAATCTAGCTGTATAGTATCCTGTACTGTTTCTTCAATTCGTTCCCCGCCGTTTTCGTCGGTATCCGGGGTTTCGGTGCCGAGAGCGCCGGCCTGGTGTTCATCAGCCTCCTCATCGGCTTCCTCGGCGCCACGCTCGTTGCAGTCTTCATGCAACAGCCCTACGAGGACCGCGAGCGTGCGAAGCTGCCCAAGGGCACGCCGCTGTCACCCGAGGCACGCTTCCAACAGGCACTGTGGGCCGCCATCTTCGCGCCCATCGGCCTCTTCCTCTTCGCGTGGACGGCGCCGTTCCCGCGCGTGCACTGGATCGTGCCGTGCATCGGCATGGCGCTTTTCGCCTTCAGTCAGTGCGACTCAGGATGTCGCGCAGACCCTAGCTGACCAGCACACCCTCCAGGCATGATGACGATCTTCACGAGCCTGATTCCGTACCTCGCCGCCTACGCCGGCCCCGTCGACGCGCCGCTCGCGCTGGCCGCGGGGACGACGTCGCGCGCCGTCATGGCCGCGTCGTTCCCGCTTTTCTGCCCAGCCATGTTCCGGGCCCTGACGATCCAGGGCGGCGTAAGCATGCTGGCTGGCCTGACCCTCATTCTCGTGCTCGTGCCCCCTCTGCTGCGCCGGTACGGGCCACAGCTTCGCGCGCGCAGCCGGCGAGTGCAGACGTGACGCTTCGTGTAGACGTGTTGTAATTCTAGGATCTGCATCTGTGCGCCAGGCGAAGTGATTGCGCGGCTGAGCCCTGATCTCCTTCTCGTCATGCTGGCTGCAAGTCTGGCTCCAGCATCCATCTCCTGAGCAAGCAGCCATCCAGTCGAGTGCAGACGGCAGGTGATGCACGTGCGCTTGCTGGCGTCTTGTGCGCGCGTCCACTCGGCCTCATCCATCACATGCCTCCGAGCGGCGCTGCCACAGATGCAGCTTTAGAGCTCGGAGATGTGAAGAGCCGGACAGCTGCGTCGAGCATGTTCACGTCCATTTTCAGCTCGGCGAGGCGAAGCGGGCTGCCGAGCTCGTCGCCAAGGGGCGATGCGGAGCTGACAGGCTCGCGCCCGGCGTCGCGCACGCAGCCAGCGGCAGCACGTCACGGCACTGCCGGCGGCGCACGGGCGCAGAGCGCGCAGCGATCGCGCATCCCGCGCCGGCGCGAGCGGCGAGCGCCCTCCACTCCCACCACCACCGCCTCCAGACACCGTCTAGCCACCCCATCACAAGTGCGCACCGCGATGCAGGCAGCTGCGAGAGAGGCGCCCGTCTGACACCGCGCCTGCAGCACCTGCAGCCATGCCGCTCTTCGTCCTCAGCCCCGCCTCGCTGGCCCACTCGGCGCTCTTCGCCGGCTACTACAGGTGAGCGTGGCGTGCGCAGTGCACACGCAGGCGCGCTGCTGACGCTCTGCCGCAGCTACCTGACGTCCAACGTCGTCGCTGTGCGTGTGTGCCGCATGTGTGCCTCGCGCACCTGCTGACCTCCTTTGTCCCGCTCCAGCTGCGCCTCAAGACCGGCGTGATGATCGGTGACGGCGAGACTGGCAGCGTGAGTGTCAGAGCAGTGAAGTGGCTGGGACTCTCTCGTGCTGCGCGCCGTGTCGTTGCTGTGGCGGCGTCAGATGCGCGTTGCGAGTGGAGCTCAGTCAGACGCATGTCTGCAAAGCGCCACTCGACGTGTGCAGAGGCCGCCGCGCTCCGACCTTGCTTCCTTACGCTGGCATACCTTGCTTCGCTCCACTTGCATGCGATGGCAGAGGCTGATGGGCGTCTCACACAGGTCCGCGACCCCTCGCACAAGGAGTCGCCCACCGACAAGCAGGACGAGGCGGCGCTCAAGCGTGCCGTCCGCTCCGCCGGCAACTTCTCCGAGCACACGCCCTTCGCCTTCTTCCTGATCTTCATCTCCGAGCTCAACGGTGCGCCCACGGCCATCGTCCACGGCGCCTACACGACTCTCTTCCTGGCCCGCGTTGCACACGACATCGGTATCAAGGCGCCCAACTCGGTCGGCCTCGGCAGGCCCATTGGCTTCGCCGTCACGGCGCTGCTCACTGTCGGCGCGGGTGCCTACAACGTGAGTAGATCGGCGCGGAGGGGAGAGCGGTGGCACGGCGTGGCGATCCGCTGGATCTCGGGCCTCAGCTGGTGGTTGCCGGCACCGGCGTAGGCCGTCTTGCATCGTGACGTTGCTGACAAACGCGTCGCTCCACAGCTGTCGCTCGGCTGGGAGCCCCTGCGCTCCTTCCTCGGCCTCAAGTAGATGCACTCTTGCGTCTCTGAGCTATGTACCCCGCGTTGCCCCTCGGTGCTCGGCTTCCACACTGCGCGTCCAGTGCGCAATCGCTGGACGGAATGTAAATCGTTGCCTGACGTCGAGCACGTGCGTGTCTGTGTCTGACCGTGCTGCCGAACGGCGTGGCTTGCATGCCTGGAGCACAACACGCGTCCTGTGCCAGCAGCTGTATGCAGAGCCAACGTTGCGACACTCGCTCTGCGGGTCCAGCCGCTGGCGCTTTGCTGCCAGACGCCGCGAGATCCACAGCAGCGGGTTGACAAAGGCACGCAGCTCCACCCGCTGCCTTTACGACGCGGCACACGCCTCACATACTCGTGGCGGTGACGATAGTATTCCTACAGGCCATGCGTCGGCTGCTCGGCCTCGCACTCCTCCTGGTCTAGCCTTGTGGTGCGTTTTGCCAGCACCTCCCACTTGGGCAGCCACTCGCGCTGCACGTCGGCCCAGACACGCTGCTCGGCGTACAGCTCGATGAACTCCTGGTCCATGGAGCGGCTCTTTGGCGCGCTGAAGCGCCGGTACTCGTCGAAGATCGTCGTCAGCGACCACTGCTGCAGCTTGCGCAGACAGCCAATCAGACAGCCTGTCCGGTGCTGGTGAGGGAAGGGCGTGAGCATGGGTGGGGCACGGCATATTTGCACGCCTCACCTTGCCTTTGTTGCAGTGGATCAGCATCGGGTGGTTGCGCTTGTCGAGGATTGTGACGAGCGCAGCGGTGATCATGTCTTCGGGAACTGAGCAAGGAGGGCTTAGCCACGCAGCGCATTGAGATGCACAGCGATGGACGTACTCTGCACGAATGGCTCCTGCGATGATGGACGAGCGGCCGTCAGAGCTGCACGCGGTGCCAGCGCAACCAGCCTGTACGCACCTTGTTGCCCGGTATCCCGAACTGGAAGAACTTGATGCCCTCGTCGTTCAGGAAGCGCATGTTTTGCTCCGGATACTCTTCCAGAATCAGAGTGCTGGCGTGGCAGGTCAGCTATGGTGCTCGAAAGCCGCGATGGGCCGCGCGCCTCTGTCAAAGCCTCTGTCGGCTCCCAAGCTAACCCCCGCCCAGCCGTCCATGCCTCTTGCTGCCACTCCGCTGCGCCTCTCACACACGCGACATACTCACAGCACGCTCTTGAGGCCGAGCGTCTTGAGAAACTCAAAGTGCTTCTTCTTGGGAAAGCTGCTGCGGTACACGAAGCTCGAGACCATGGCAAAGTTGTCCGGCGGCACGAGCGTCGGGTCCTCGTCTGCCGGGCGCGGCGGCGGCGGCGGCGGCGGCGGCAGCAGCTGCGACTGCGCCAGACTGTCGCCGCCTGGCGGCGAGGTGTTGTTGCTGCCGCCTGCGGTGGATGTGCTGGCGTCGGACGTCTCGTGCCCGGCGGCTGACGCCGGCCCGTCGTCCTCGTCGTCGGCGTGGTGCGCGGCCCGGATGCGCCTGAGGAACGCGGGCATGGGCCGCGGCGGGGCGCGCGTGTGCGACGGCCCGGCGACGGCGCTGCGCTGGGCAACAGCGGCCATCGTGGAGGAGTGCAAGAGCGCGAGGATCGGCGGCGATGCGGAGAGGACGGGAGGAAAGCCGAGCGAGGCCGCGGCGTGTGGAGCACGTTGCCGTGTCGCACGAGCCCGCCTCGGAAGTCGGGCTTGCGTCGTGGAGCAGCACCGGCATCTGCCTCGCCTTGCAGGCTTCTTGCCTCACACCACCACCTCAACCGTCGTCCTCGCCCCAGTGCACATGCTGCGCACAGTACTGTGCCGGCGCGCGGCTCTGGCCGCAGCTCACCGTCCGGCCGGCCGCACGCTGCCGGCCGTGCCGGCGCTTGCCGAGCGAGCGAATGTCGCACCGCGCACGCAGCCTAGCCGGACAAGAGCGCTCTCCTCCACGCCGGCTGCACGGCTGGCGTCCACTGCCGCCACTGCCAGTGGCTCCGGCTCAGGCGGCAAAGCTTCTGCTGTCGCCGCAGCGCAGGATGCCTCGCTGCGCGTCGAGGTGCCGACGCAGGCAGCGGGCACCGTGGGTGACTTGCTGAAGAGTGAGTGACCCAGGACAGGCCCGGACCTGCCGGCTCTGACTTGGCCCCGGCAGGCCATCTCGAGAAGCAGCCTGGAGCACCAGCTTCGGACTATCTCGTCGCCTTCGCAGACGACAGCACGCATGCACTCTCGATGCTGGACGACGTGCCCGCCGGCGCCTCGTCTTTGCACTATCACACATTCGACTCGCACCCAGCAGCGCGCGATGCCTTCTGGCGCAGCGCTGCGTTCCTGCTCGCGGCTTCGCTCGCACATCAAGATCCGCAAATACGCATCGCCAGCCCGCCGACACTGCAGACCGCAGGCAGCGGCGGCGATGGCTTCGCGCTCTCGTGGCTGCCGGCGCAGGAAGCGGACTCTGCGCCTGCCGCAGGCCAGGCCTCGTCATCAGCTTCTGGGCCGCTGGAGGCGGCTGCAGAGCTCGCTAACTCTCAGCCAACAGCCAAGCCGCTGTCTCCCGAGCAGCTTCAGCAGGTTGCAGGCGCCGCGATGAAGGCTGCCGGGCTCAACATGCGCTTCGAGTACGTCTCGTTGTCGCGCGAGGCGGCAGCGAAGGAGCTGGGCGCGAATGCATTGAAGCTCGAGCAGCTCGCGACGCTGCCCGATGAGGAGGTGCGGCTGGTGCGGCTTGGTGTGTACGTCGACATCTGCCCGCCGCCCGGTCAGCCCCTGCTGCCGGACACGCGCACGCTCAAACGAGCGCTGCAACTCGTCGACTGCTCGGTGGCCAGCTGGGTGCCGCAGCTGCCCACCGCTCCAAAGTCCTTTACCTCCTCGTCGCAATGTCTGCTGCACGTCCGCGGCATTGCCTTTCCGAAGAAGCCGCAGCTGGCGGCGCATCTCGCCGCCGTCGCCGCCGCTGCCCGCGAGTCCGACCATCGCGAGATCGGCAAGGCACAGCGGCTCTTCATGACGAACCCCGCCAGTCCAGGCACGCCGTTCATCCTGCCGCACGGCACGCGGCTAGGCCGCAAGGTCGAGCGCGTCGTGCGCGACCTGTACGACGTGTGGGGCTACGACGAGGTGATCACGCCGCAGCTCATGCGCAAGTCGCTCTGGCAGACGAGCGGCCACTGGGAGAACTACCGCGCAGACATGTTTGGCGTGCGCGGCTTCGTCGACGTCGATGCGCCGAGCGAGCCGCTGGCCTCTGTCGTCAGCAGTGCCGTCGCTGAGGAGCGCAAGGGCTGCTGCGCCGCACACGACACGCCGGCCGAGACTGCGGCGCAGGACGAGTTCGGCCTCAAGCCGATGAACTGCCCCGGTCACTGCCTCATTTTCGCCGACGAGGAGCGATCCTATCGTGTTTTGCCGCTGCGTCTGGCCGAGTTCAGTCCTCTGCACAGGTGAGCTGGCCGCTCGGAGGCGCTGAGCCTGAGCTGACATTGCGCGCGTTCAGGAACGAGTCTTCCGGCTCGCTCTCGGGCCTCACTCGCGTGCGCCGCTTCCACCAGGACGACGCACACGTCTTCTGTCGTCCGGACCAGGTGTCTGCTGAGATCACGTCTATGCTGACGATGCTGGCCGCGGCCTATCGCACGTTTGGCTTCTCGTCCTTTGAGCTCGTGCTCTCGACGCGCCCGGCTAAGTACATCGGCGATATCGCGGTATGGGACGCCGCGGAGAACGACTTGCGTGCTGCGCTCGACTCGAGCGGCGCCGAGTGGGCGCTGAACGAAGGTGACGGCGCCTTCTACGGGCCGAAGATCGACGTGCGCCTCGTCGACGCTCTCGGCCGCAAGCACCAGACGGCCACGATCCAGCTCGACTTCCAGCTGCCGGAGCGCTTCTCGCTGTCGTACAAAGACCCAAAGGCGCCCGACGGACGTGCTCGGCCTGTGATGATCCACCGCGCCATCCTCGGCAGCCTGGAGCGCTTCATGGCCATCCTCATCGAGAGCTGCAAGGGCCAGTGGCCGTTCTGGATCTCGCCGCGCCAGGCGATCGTCATGCCGACGCAGCCCGACAACGAGGAGCAGCTCGCGCATGCGCAGCGCGTGCGCAACCACCTCTCGCTGGGCCCAGAGGCTGCGCGCTACATTCCAATCGTCACCAACAGCACCGGCATCCTGACGGCCAGCCCGGACGCCGAGCGGCCGCCGCGCCCGACGCAGGTCTTCCACGTCGACCTCGAGACGTCGAAGGACCGCCTCGGCAAGCGCGTGCTGCGTGCGCTCAAGGAGCGCTACAACTTTGTGCTCATCATCGGCGACGAGGAGGTGGCCAACGGCACGGTGCGCGTGCGCGCCCGCGAGAGCGCCGTCGCGGAGGGTGAGGGACGGCCGAAGATCGAGGAGGACATGGGCGAGTGGAAGGTGGCAGACCTGCGCGCGCTCATGTGCACCCTCGACGCACATCACTGGTAGCCATGGAATGCACGCGTCAAAAGCAGAGACAGCGAGGGCAGAACGAGGAGCATTTCGTGGGAGGGTAGCAGAGACGAGTAGATTGTACATCGGCGTCAGAAGCGTGAATGGAGGAGTGGAGGAGCAAAGGCGCATCGGAAGAGACAGAGAGAGAGAAGGCACTTGACTGTCCGTAAGGAAACGCGTTGCGACGGAGCAGGGGAGACTGGCGTATCGGATGTGGAGGCAAGGAGAGACGCAGCGGCTCTAGCAGCCCGTCATGCGGTTGCGCGGGAACTCCTTGGGCCAGACGGTGAGGTTCGGGTTGTAGTAAACGTCGTGGTGGCGCTCGATGTAGTCCTTCGTCGGGTGGTCGTCCGGGTCGCAGCCGACGCGCTCCTGGCCGGGCAGCTGGTACACGCGCACGTAGTCGACCTTGAGCGTCGCCGGGAACTGCAGCGTGTCGAACTCGATGTGCTGGAAGCCCTCGGAGATGTGCAGGTTCATGATGATCTGAGAGAACGCGCGAGGCGGGTAAGCGCTGCTGCAGGTACTGCTCGGGCATGCGCGCCACTCACGCTCATGGGCTCCGTGGGGATGATGCGCTGCGAGATGCCAATGTCGGGGCGCGCGGGAATCGAGTCGGAGCGCATGGTCCAGGTGCGCTGGCCGTCGATGTACCACGTAATGTCGCCGCTGCCGTCTCCGTTCCAGTCGGGGTGGTACTCGAAGCCGAAGGTGACGAAGCGCGGCGCCGCGTTCAGCTCGTAGGCGTCCGGCGGAATGATGCTGACTGCCGAGACAGCCTCCTGGTACACCTGTGTGCGTGCGTCGTGTGAGCAGTGGCCGGACACACCTCGACGCGCAGTGACTCACACCGCCAGTGTAGGAGTTGAACTGCGTGTTCCGGCGATTGTAGATCGTCGGCGTCGTCTGGTCCCACTCGTAGTCCATGTCGAACGGCGCGACCTGCAGCGACTGCGAGGCCTCGCCCTCGCCGTTCACCGTCTGAGCCTCGAGCACGTCGATCTCAGGAGCAGCGCGTCCGACGTTGTTGTTCGGGCCCTGGCGCGCGCGAGCGTCAGCACGCTGCTGCCGGGGCGCACGAGGCAAGCGCACTCACAGGGTGGTCCTCGCCGGAGCACGTGCACGAGGAGGAGCGCATGCCGCTCAGCCAGTTGAGGCCCGTGCGGCCGTACTTGGTGGCCGTGCGCACGCTCGTCGGGCCTCTCGTGGGCGACGACTGGTTCGGCAGAATGCCGTTGTCGCAGCCCGTGTAGCTGTACGGCCACATGCCGTCCGTGGTGCCGAGGTAGCCCGGGCGTCCTGGCACAAGACGTGTGAGCAATGGAGCCAGGCCGTGTGCGCGCAGTACTCACCGAGGTTGCCCATGGTCCAAAGACCGGGCCACCAGCCCTGCGCAGCACCAGAGCCGGGCAGGATCGCAGCGACTGTGGGCGCGAGCGTGTGTCAGCCATGCGCGAGTGGAACGCGCCGCTGCCGCGCGACGCACACTCAATGTAGCCGCCCTGGAAGCAGAACTTGTTCCACGACTGCAGCTGGCCGGAGCGGAAGTTGAGGTTGTGCGTCGGGCGGTTCTCCATCGTGATGAGCAGGTGGCCGTCGGTGGTGTTGACCTGCTCGGGCGAGAGCCACTCGTAGTCGCCCGTGGCGCCGTACCAGATGTCCATGGCCTCCCAGAACGGGTCATCTCCGGGCCAGAAGGTGCGGCCGGGCTGGTTGAACTCGTCGGAGAAGACGAGGTTGTACGTCTCGCCGGTGGCGCTGCGCCACGTGTTGGCACTGGCAGGCGTGTCGTTGTCGCGCAGACGCAGCTGCGAGAGCACGACGGGCACCTGGCCCGTGCCGTTCGTGCCGCCGATGTTGAAGCCGCCCAGCGTGCTCTCCGGACGCTTGGCGTAGTGCGAAATGATCGGGTAGCCGGCAAAGAGCGCAAGCAGGCCGGCCACGATCACGAAGAGCGCCAGCACGTTGAGGATGCCACGGCCCGAGCAGACGGTGAAGGTGTCTCGCCGCTTGGAGTCCGGGTTGTGCTGGACGCAAGACGCAGCGCGTCAGCACGCGCAGCAGGCAAAGCGCGCGTCACTCACCAGGTAGTCGTCGGGCTCCGCCTCGCCCTTGCCGTCCCACAGCAGACCCTCCTGCGCGGCCGGCTCGTAGTACTTGTTGCTGTCCGTCGGGCCGCTCGAGACGGCCGAGATGGCGCTGTATGCGCTGGCGCGGTTGCCGCGCGGCGCGCTGCTGCTGCCGCCGCTGTGCAGCTCGGAGCCGAGCGTGGCGCCGGAGCCGGCGCCGCCGGCGTACATGGCGCCGCCCTGGCCGCCGCGCGCGCCCATGCGGCCCATGCTGCCCTTGCGGATGTGGGCGTAGCGCGAGTCGATGTCGGCGCCGTCGCGGAAGTCGGCGTAGGCGGCGCCCGTCGGCGGCGCGCCGCGCAGCATGGGTGCCGTCGACGAGCGGCCGCTGGCGCTCTCGGCGCTGCCGCTGCCGCCGCTGCCGCTGCCCGAGACGTCGCCCGTGGAGCGGCGCCCGGCGGGCTGCGAGCCGGCGTGCGCGACGGCGCTGCTGCGGCCGGCGTCGTAGCCGCCGTTGGGGTTGGGCACGCTCTGGTAGCGCGCCTGCGAGTTCATGTCGGCGGCGGCGTGCGGCGGCGCGGCGGCGTTGGCGTGTGCGCGCGGGTTGTGGTTGGACATTGAGGTGCGAGGCGCGCGGAAGCCGCGAGCGAGGCCAGACGACGGCGGCGACGACGACGGCCGAGCTGCTGCGGACGAGCTAGGCAGCGGGTGACGAGACTGGCAGCGGCGCGCAGGCAAAGTGATGCCCCGATGAGCAATTAGCGACGCGGCTGTGCAGGCTGCAGAGACGAGAGAGCTGCGGCGCAGAGAGGCACACGCGGGGTGCGGGCGCAGCGGCGGATGCGTGTGCTGCGTGTGTGCTGCGGCTGCGGCTGCACTGGAGGGTAGCAGTCTAGTACGGAGGTGGGATGGAGGAGCGGGCAGGGTGTGGCGCGGAAGATGGGAGCGCGCCGCGCCCGCGCGAGGCACACGCGGCGCGGCGCGCGCGGCCAGGGGCCACAGCCAGCGGCGGCTGCAGCCCGCCCGCGCAGGGGCAGCAGGCGACCGACGCAGGAGGCGCGCGGCTGTGCTGCCGTGCGGGCAGCTGCAGCAGGCAAGAGGGAGAGCGGCAGCGCTGCAGGGTTAGCCTCGCGCCTGCATCTCGCTCTGAACTCGCGCTCTGCCCGGCCGCGGCGCACAGCGGCAGGCAGCATCGCACAGCATGCAGCAGCAGGGTGAGGTGGCGCCAGCGCACCGCACGCCGGCAGAGATGCGCAGAGCCGTTGCGCCTGGCTGCGGGCACCACCAGCACAGGCGCGAGTGCTCGACAGAGTGGCCCAGTGCCTCTGCCGCCTCCTCTGTGCCTCCATCACCGCAAGCCAAGCTCGTGCAGCAGCAGCAGGAGCGCTGCCGGTGCCGAGAGCTCGCCCTTCATGCTTGCATCTCGAGCACAGTCCAAGCGCAGAGCCCTGCCGCTGCCGCACGACGCACATCGCTCCTCGTTGCGCCGCCGTGGCGGGGCTGGTGCTGCGACTGCCTTGTCTGCGCGGTCGCCGCAGGGCAGCGAGCATGGAGGGTGCCGGGCGCCGGAGTCTTGGCATCATCGGCCACAGCCGACGCGCGCCGCACCGCACGGATGGGGTGCCGGGCCGTCATCTCGGCGGCGGCCGAGGAGCAAATTGCTCGCCGGCGGCGTTGCGTGCCGCGTCGCGGTCTTCCGCGGCTGCCGCTCCCCCGATCGTGCGACTCGGCTGCCTTGGAACTTTGGCGCTCGCTGCCGGGAACTCCTGCGCTGCGAACGCAACCTGCTGCACCTCAGCGCTCAGATGATGGAGTCTGAATGTGCAGGGCTTGAGCTGAGCTGCACTCTGGAGCACCGCTGTCGGCGGGGTGGTGCGTGACGGAGAGCGGACGGTCCCTCTGCTGCGGCCGCAAGCGCAGGGCATCCTTCTCGTCAGGTGGCTGCCTGCTGCGTATGGCATGGATGGACGCGCTTGCTTGCAGGCAGCGACTCGTTGAGATCTGTGCTCGCGTCTGCCAGATGTCGTCCCCTCTTCCGACTGGAGCTGCAAGCTGAGACAGCGGAGCGGTCGAGCTCGTCGCGTTCTGGATATCCACCGATGGACTCTCGTGCGGCGCTGAGCACCCAGCCTCGGTCGAGCTGCGAAACGTGCAAGACGCGAGTGTCACGAAGCGTCGAGCGGCAATACTGAGCGCAACAAGACGACTCCAGCGAGCCCAGCTTGCCAACTCTGCGGTGTCCAGGACGAGAGCTCGCAGCAGGGCATGGCGAGCTGGTGCCGTGGGAGCAGCTCCACAGGCGCGGCGGCGGGCCGGTCGGCCGACGCGGCCGCACCGGCCGCGGCCCCGCTCTCGCGCCGTCTTGCGTCGGGGCTGCTCCTCGTGCTCCTTCGCGCTGCTCCACATCCTCATCAGCATGGCTCGCACCGCCGAGCTCTCGCCGCGCGGCTCCGACGACGCGCGCCGGCGCCGCCACTCGCGCCGCGACGACGACGACGAGCGCCGCCGCTCGCGCTCGCCGCCGCGCCACGCCTCCTCGTCCTCGCACCACCGCCGCCTCAGCTCGCGCGACGACGAGCGCAGCCGCTCGGACCGCTACCGCGACAGCGAGCGCGAGCGCGAGCGCGACTACGACCGCTATGCCGGCTCCAGCGGCAGGGACCGCGAGCGCGAGCGAGACCGTGACCGCGACCGCGACCGCGACAGGGACCGCGAGCGAGAGCGCCGCGAGCGCGACCACCCGCGCGACGAGCGGCGAGAGCCGAGCTCCTACCGCCGCGACGGCGAGCGCGGCTACGAGCCGGACGCATATGGTGCGCCGCCACGGGACTCGCGGGACTGGCGCGGCGCGGCGTCGCCGCCGCCGGCGTCGCATCGCAGCGGAGCTCGCCGCTCGCCCGGCCCGTACTCGTCCCGCCCGCCAGGCCTGCCGGAGCGGCCAGCCTACGGGCATGCCAACGGCGGCGCCTCCAGCAGCGCCAGAGACAGCCCGCCACGGCTCTCTGCAAGCGCCAGCGAGGCTGAGAAGCAGCGTATCAAGAAGCAGCGCCTCGAGGCGTGGAAGAAGGAGCGCGAGTCGAAGAAGGCCGTGGAGGAGGCACGGGCACGGGCCGCTGAGGTTGCCGCAGCGTACACTGCACCAAAAGCAAGTGAGTCTCGCCTTGCGCTGTCTTGCGGCACCTCGTGCTGATCTGCTCCCAGCCGAGCTCAAGGCTGGCGCCTCGACCAGCATCAAGACGACGGGCCTAAAGATCGGCGGCGCCAAGATCGACCTCGGCAAGAAGGTCGGCGCTGTGTCGGCGATGGGCGACACGGCAGATGCGCCCGTGAAGCGCGACTACAAGCTCTTCGACCTGCCACCGCTGGACCCGTCAGTGCAGCCGAGCAATGGCGATGACGAAAAGGTCGGCGCTGGTTCGGATCTGGAGGACGAGGCAGAAGAGGAGGACGTGAAGCCCGTGGTGGAGGCCACGCCGATGCAGGTCGACAACGAGGAGGAGGAAGAGATCGACCCGCTCGACGCCTTCATGGCCAGCGTCAAGGATGAAGTGCAGCAGGTGAATGCTGCCGACCAGAAGCGCTCCGGCGTCAGCGGCGTTGCGGTCAAGCGCAAGGGCCTGGCAGAGGTCGTCGGCGACGAGGACGGCATGGGCGCAGGCACCGCCGAGGCGGAGCCCGAGCAGCCAGACGAGCTCGAGGGCGCTAGCCTTGAAGATATCATGGCTATCGCCGCGTCGAAGGTGAAGAAGAAGGAGATGGCCACGGTCGACCACGCCAAGGTCGCGTACGAGCCGTTCCGCAAGGACTTCTACCACGCGCCAGCGGAGCTCGAGGAGATGACCGAGGAGGACGCGGAGCGGCTGCGCATGGAGCTCGACGCGATCAAGGTGCGCGGCAAGGACTGCCCGAAGCCGATCACGCGCTGGAGCCACTGCGGCCTGCCGGCGCGCTGCCTGGACGTGATCAAGAAGCTCGACTGGGCTGCGCCCACGCCGATCCAGGCGCAGGCCATCCCGGCGATCATGAGCGGGCGCGATGTGATTGGCGTCGCCAAGACGGGCTCAGGCAAGACGATGGCATTCCTGCTGCCCATGTTCCGCCACATCAAGGACCAGCGGCCCGTCGAGAGCCTCGAGGGCCCGATCGGCATCATCATGACGCCGACGCGCGAGCTGGCCGTGCAGATCTACCGCGAGTCGAAGCCGTTCCTCAAGGCCATCGGCCTGCGCGCCGTGTGCGTGTACGGCGGCGCGCCGATCTCGGAGCAGATCGCCGAGATGAAGAAGACGGCCGAGATTGTCGTCGCCACGCCGGGCCGCATGATCGACCTCCTCACCGCCAACTCAGGGCGCGTGACGAATCTGAAGCGCGCGACGTATCTGGTGCTCGACGAGGCCGACCGCATGTTCGACATGGGCTTCGAGCCGCAGGTGATGAAGATCGTCAACAACATCCGGCCCGACCGCCAGACGGTGCTCTTCTCGGCGACGTTCCCCAAGCAGATGGAGAGCCTGGCGCGCAAGGTGCTGCGCAACAAGCCCGTCGAGGTGACGGTCGGCGGCCGCTCCGTCGTCGCGCCCGAGATCGAGCAGATCGTCGAGGTGCGCGAGGAGGAGACCAAGTTCAACCGCCTGCTCGAGATTCTCGGCCAGACGTACAACGCCGACGCCGATGCGCGCACGCTCATCTTCGTCGAGCGCCAGGAGTCGGCCGACGACCTGCTGCGCGACCTCATGCGCAAGGGCTACCCGACGATGTCGCTGCACGGCGGCAAGGACCAGGTGGACCGCGACGCGACCATCTCCGACTTCAAGGCCGGCGTCGTGCCCATCGTCACGGCCACGTCTGTGGCGGCGCGCGGCCTCGACGTCAAGCAGCTGAAGCTGGTCATCAACTACGACGCGCCGAACCACATGGAAGACTATGTGCACCGCGCTGGCCGCACCGGGCGGGCCGGCAATAAGGGCACGTGTGTTACGTTCGTCACGCCGCAGCAGGACCGCTACGCACGCGACATCATCTCGGCGCTCAAGGCGAGCAAGGTGGCGGTGTCCGAGGAGCTCCAGGCGCTCGCCGACGACTTCAAGGACAAGCTCGCGGCAGGCAAGGCGCACGCGGCCGGCTCTGGCTTCGGCGGCAAGGGTCTCGACCGCCTCGAGAGCGACCGCGAGAAGGTGCTGCAGGCGCAGCGTTCGACGTATGGCGAGCCGGGCGCAGCGCCCGAGAGCAGTGCAGCGGCTGCGACCGATGCGCCCGCGCCGGTCATCGAGGACGTGAAGATCCAGCGTGGTCCGCCGCCGTCGGACGAGGAGCTGGCGCACCGCCAGCGCGTCAACGACATGCACATCGAGGTCAAGCGCGGCGCCGTCGATGCCTCGGTGCGCGACAACAAGACAGCGGCGCCGGCGAAGAGTGGGCCGGCGATCAACGCACCGAAGATCCCCGGCGCCAACCTGTCGCAGCTCGCGCAGGCCATCGCCAAGATCAACGCCGCTGCTGCGATGCGGCAGATGCTGCCCGACGGCGGCAAGTCGGACCGCAAGCCCAAGGATCCAGACGCGACTGACTACCACGCCATCGTGCCGATCAACGAGTAAGTCCGCTTCGAGCCTGGTCTTTGTCGCACCTCGCTGACTCTCTGTCCAGCTTCCCGCAGAAGGCACGCTGGAGCGTCACGAACAAGGAGACGATGGTCAACCTCATCGAGATCACGGGCGCGTCCGTCACGCTGCGTGGGCAGTTCTACGACAAGGGCAAGGAGCCGCAGTTCGGCGAGCCGCCGAAGCTGCAGCTGCTCATCGAGAGCAACGACGAGGAGAAGGTGAGCAGTGCTTGCGGTCTCCGTGTCGCCTGCAACCCGCTGACCGCACGTCCAGGTCGAGCGCGCTGTGATGGACATCAAGCGCATCCTGCTCGAGAGCTCACAGGCCGCTCTCGAGGCAGAGGCACGCGGACCGCAAGGCGGTGCCGACCAGGGCCGCTACCACGTGCTGTAATCTCCATTCATTCAGCATGCTCCATGCGTGACAGACAGTGACTTGCGGTGACCATGCTGAGCCGTACATTGATGAGACCGGTCACGAGCGGCAGCAGCTGCTCCACAAGCCAGCCGGCTCCTTGCCGGCAGCGATGCGGATGCCGCGGCGCACCTGCTCGCGCTCGCGCTCCTGCTCGCTGAGCACGCGCTCGCCGCCGCCGCGCTTCCACCACGGCCCCCGCGGAGCGTTGCGGTCGTCCTCGGCGGCGCGCCGCTCGAGCCGCTCGTTCCACTCCTCGAGCTCCCAGCGCGCAGCGACGCGCTCGAGAATGCTGTCGAAGAGGTCCTCGACGCCGTGGCCCGCTCTCGAGCTCGTCAGGTGATGCGAGAAGCCAGCTGGTGGTGGCGGTGGCTCCTCGTCATCGTCTGTGGCCGCGTCGTAGTCCGGCTCCGAGGCTACTGAGAGCGTGCTGACGCCTGCTCCGCTCTCGGCGCTGACGATGCGCGAGGACGGACCGCGCGAGGCTCGCCGCTTGCCCTTCGCTGCGCCGGGCACGCGCAGGCTGGAGTCCATCGACTCGGGCAACGCCTCATAGAGCGTTTGCCGTGCGCGCGCCTTGCGAGCCGTCGCCTCAGCCGCCGTCTCGGTGTCCTGCTTCAGCGACCGCCGGCGGGCAGTAGCTGGAGGAGAGCCGGCCGGAGACACGTCCGAAAAGCGATCGTCGGATGAGTGACTCGGGCGGCGGCTAGACTTTGCGGAAGAATGAGAGCCGGCCGAGGGAAAGGGTACTGGCTCGGTATTGGACGTTGCACCTGCGACGTTGGCTGCGTGGCCGTTCAAAGAGCTTGGCGCATCCGATGGCTGGCTGGGTTGCGCATCGACAATGCGGAGCTCTTGCTTGAGAACGCCAGCATCGACAGGCGCGCCGTTCATCTTCGTCGGCGTGCGTGCGCCCTCCGTCTGCTCGTCCGCGTCATCGTCGGCATCGCTTTCCGGCCCGCTCTCGGGCCCCGAAGTGTAGAGCGTGCTGCTGCGCGGCGTGTGGTACACGCTCGCGCCCGTGCTGTGCGCGCTGACGGAGCTGTCGTAGCGCCCGCGAGGCCGCAGCGTGGCGTCGCCGCCGTGCCGCTGCGGCGGCGTGCTGGGCGCGAAGGAGAGGCGTGATGTGGAGCGAGGCACCGACTTTGCCGCGCCGCTGGCGTCGCTGTTGGCAGACGGCAGGCGCTTGCGCACAGATGGCGCAGGCGGGTGCACCAGTGAGATGGACTGCAGCGACTGCCGTGGTCGGAGCGACGGCGACGCATTTGCCTCGGGCTGCGCCAGGTGCGACTTGTCCCGGGCGGGAGAAGAAGGCTTGATCACCGGCCTTGGCGTCGACGGCGAGTCCACCGAGGCAGAGAAGGAGGTCGGCGGCGGCGAGGCAGTGAGGGGCAGGCCGGAGACGGGCGATGCTACGCCGCGCACCGTCTCGCCGCCGGACGTGGCGGAGACGGCAGCACTGACGGCCGACTTCGGCCGCGCGTCTGGCTCGCCGGGAAGGCTGTATGCCTGCACCTCCTCTGCACCTGTCTCCGCAACAGCATCTGGCAGCTGCTCAGCCGCGTCGACAGAGGGCCCGAGCTTGGCAAAGAAGGCTTGTGCAGCCTGGTGTGCCGACGCCTTGTCGGCGGCGGAGAGCAGATCCGACTTGCAGCCGACGGCCGCCAGCACGACATCGTCGATCGCGTCTGGCTCGCGCCCGGTCGCATCGCAGAAGTCGAGGTACCACGAGCGCGTCGTCTCGAGCGACGCCGGGTCGGCAGCGTCGTACGCCAGGACGAGCGCGTCCGCGCCGCGATAGAAGGCACGCCCGAGCGAGCGGAAGCGCTCCTGCCCTGCCGTCTGCGCACGAGCACGAGCGTCAGCCCCGCCGGCTGCTGCAGCCCACTTTCCCTCCAGCACGCCGCACTCACATCCCATACGGCGATGCTCACTTTGCCGCCCGCTGCGCGCTGTGTGCGCGGCGGCGGCGGCGGCCGCTCGACGGTGCGGGTGATGAAGTCTGCGCCAATCGTCGCGCGATATGCCGTCGAGAAGCGGCGCGAGAACCACTGCAGGGCGCGCCCGCGCTTCAGCACGACAACAGTCAGGAGAGAGTTCGCGAAGCCACTCACCTGCTCCCGCAGTGCCGTCTTGCCGACGCCGGCCTGGCCAATGAGCACGATCTTGAGCGCGCGGCGCGGCACGGCCGAGCCGCCGGCGCCGGCGCCGTGGTGCAGGTAGTGCGGCGAGGCGGACGTCGAGGCCTCGGCAGCCTCGGCCATTGTCGCTGCAGGGTGCGAGGGCAGCGCAGTCGAGAGCGGAGCGCCGGCAGTGCGGCTAGCAGGCGCAGAGGCCCTGGCGCCGCGGCCTGCGTCGGGCGCGGCAGGCTGCGTGCCGGTGCAGCGCGGCAACAGACGGCGCGCGCGAGACGAGCAGACGCAAGGCAAGCGCGGCAGGCCTGGGACCGGCGCGCTGAGAGGAGTGGGAGGGGGATGTGGAGCGGACGCACGAGCGGCGCGCGCCGCGCATGGCAGGATCGACGTGCGATGCGCGCGTCGAAGTCGCTCGCTCCGCACGGCGTTCTTCTCCATCTCCTCCTCCCTCTCCCCAACGTCGTGGCCGCGCCGCCGCTGCGGCCATCCGACATGGCATCACCCCGGGGCCGTGTGCCGGCAGCTGCATCCGACATGGCATCACCCCGGCGCACGCTGCCGGCCCGCAGCTGCCGGCACGCGGCCCGCTCGTCCTCGTTCTCGTCGTGGTCGCTGTCGGAGGACGACGAGGACAAGTACGAGGTGGAGCGCATCCGCGACCACGCGCAGCTGCCGGACGGCACAGTGTGGTACCACACCACATGGAAGGGGTATTCTGTGCTGGAGTCTACGTGGGAGTCGGAGGTGAGTGGAGCTGCAGCGCTGCAGCAGAGGACAGGTGTGGAGCTGCTGCATCCTCAGGACGCCTTCGGTGGCGGCGCAGAGGACGTTCTGCGCGCGTTCCGGCGCAAGCGCCGCAATGAGGTGCCGCGCATGCGCACGGAGGAGGAGCTGTTTGGGGACAACAGCAGCAGCAGCAGCGGCTCGGACAGCGATGAGAGCGTGCAGGAGGTGCCGCCGCCACGGGCAACCAGCGCAGAGCTCTCCCTCGTTGCGGCGCTGCAGAGCAGCGGACAGCGTGCGCTTGCGGCCTTTGCGCATGAGACGGAGCAGCGCTGGGCAGCTCTGCCTTGTTGGGATCATGTTGCGCAGGTTGTGCGGCGCGAGACGCAGCGCGGCGACGAGGAGGGACACGTGCTGGTGCGCTTCATCTCTGGTGAGCACCTCCTGCTTCCGACGCTGCGTGCGCACGCCATGGTGCCGCAGCAGCTGCTGCGCTACTATGAGAGTTGCCTGCGCACGCGCCCTGGTGGGGCGCCCCTGCTGGAGGCATACCGCGCGCGCGTGCGCCGCGAGAAGGAGCGCAAGCGCCAGGCTCGACGGCACAGCCGCACGAGCAAGAAGCATCTCTAGCAATCAGGATAGCACTCACGGATCCTCTGCAAGCAACCTCATGCAATTCATCATCCCGCCCTGTACACGTCGTGCGCGCCGTGCGCCGCAGCCATCTCCGACGTGCGCTGCAGCGGCTCGGGCGCCTCGAGTGAGCCGCCGGCCGCGTGCAGCTGTGCATCGTGCTCGGCGCCCTGCTCGTGCTCGTATGTCGACGGCTCGAGGAGCATGCGCATGTCCGAGCGCTCGGACTGCTCCTGCTCGGCCGCATCGCCGTCGGCGACGCCGCCGTGCTGTGCGTCGGCTGCGCCGCCCGCCGATGCGACGAGCTCCTCGGCGTCTCTCATACTGGCGTCATGCTCGGCCTCGTGGTGCGCCTGATGCGTCGACGGCTCCGCGACGTCGCGCTGCTCGTCGGGCGAAGCTTCGCCGTCGTGGTCTTGCGCGTCTCCCGGAGCCCTCTGCGCCTGACGGTCGCTCGAGCTGCTGCCCTCGCCATCGTCGCCGGCTGAGATCGCCTGCAGGATCTCCTCGAGCGTCGCCGGACGGTTGCGTCCGCGCCTGGGATTGCCGGCCGTGCTCGGACGAGACGTGCCAGCTGCTCGCTTAGCGGGCGGGTCGCTCTCGTTTGAGGCGTCGCCTAGCAGGTCCGTCACGGCCAGGCCCTGACGCATGCTCTCGCAGGCCTCGCCGAACTCAGAGATGCGAGCGAGGGCGGTCGTCACTGCAGAGTGTGGGAGTAAGCGAGATGGCCCCGTGCAAGCGGCGCGAAAAACTCACAGCGCCCAGCGACATCGATCTGGAGTGCGCCCGCCTCGACTGCCAGACACACTGCGCTCAGCGCCAAGTGCGCCTTGGTTGCCGTGGCGGCAGCCTGCTGGCGGCTGTGCAGCACGCCGCGGGCCAGCTGGTTGAGCATGCGAGACTGCTCGTCGATGCGCGCGGCCTGTGCTTCGAAGCGGGCCTCGAGGTCGGCCGACAAGGGCGCGGAGCCGCTTCCTGAGGCCACGGCGCTGGCGTCCGCAGGCGGCGCCTCGCCGGAGACGTCGCCAGCGGCCAGCGCGTTCCAGTCCCACGGCGCATCGCCGAGCACCGGCGTCGCGCCGTTAGAGCCACGTCTGCGCTTGGCCGCTCTCTCGGAGCTCGGGCCCGCGGTTGAGTGAGACGGAGCTGCAGCGATCTCCGGCTCGTTCTTGCGCTGCTGCCTGCGGATGCCGGTGAGCAGCTCGGGGTGATCGCGGCGGAAGAGAGGGTGCCGGAACATCGACGCATCCTGGGCGGCAGCCTCGGGCAGGGCGCGCTGCAGGTCATTGAGCTTGCGGAAGCCGTACAGGTTCAGCTGGCGCTGAAACGAGGACCAGTTGTTGTGCTTGAAGACTGCGTGATGGTGCTCAGCAGGTGCGAGGCGCGCCTAGGCCACACTGCGACTCACACTTCGGCAGCACGACCTTGGCAAAGGCGGCCGTGTCGCGCACGACGACCGGCGAGCCTTTAGCCTCGTCGCGCTCCTCTTCTGTCTCCACGCACACCTCTGGGTCGCCCCAGTAGATCTGCTGGCGGATGTGGTCCTCTGACGAGTGGATCATGCTGAGGATGCGCGTCAGCCGCTGCTAGCTACAAGCACCCACTTCTGACTCACGCCCAGAGCTTGCTCAGGAACGCGACTGGTCGCGACGAGCCCTGCTGCTGGCCTTCCGCGGCGCCTGACGCGGCGCGGGGCGGCTGAGAGGCGGCGTCGTGCCCATCTGCGCTCGCACGGGCGGTGCGCGAGGCGTCGTCGTCGTGCGGCAACTGCTCGCGAGCCTGCTCGTGGTATGCGGCCGCCGAGGCGAGCGCCTCGGCTGCGCCGTCGTGCGAGTGCTGGCGGTACTCGAGCGGCGGCTCGGCGGCCTGTGCGTCCGGCGCACCCACGCCCTCGCCCGACGCCGCGAGGCCCGGCTCGGCGCGAGCCTGCTGCGCCTCGGCGGCGAGCTCGTGCTGCGCCAGCGCGGCGATGGCGCGCTCCTCGGATGCCTCGACGCTGTCCGGGTGTGCGCCCATGGCCAGGCCCGTGGTGTCCTCCTCGCCGGGCGCATCGCGCTCGTCGGGCATGTACACCGGCGACGCGAAGCGCGGCGGCTCGGCCACGGGCGCGAGCTGGCGCAGCGGCGACGACATGGCGGCGTGCGCTCGCGGCACGGGCCTGCTGGCCTCGGCGCGCAGGGGCGGGCGGGTGGCAGAGAGCGGCGAGTGGATGCCAAAGGGCGAGCGAGATGCAGGAGGTGGTTGGTGCGAGATGCGGGGTGGAGGTGGGCGGAAAGTTCTGGCGTGGTGAGGGACGGGAAGGAGGCCTGGCGGCGCAGCAGCGCAGCGGACGGACGAGCAAGGCGCAAAAGCAGCGGGCGCAGGCGCTGCCGTGTCGCCGGGAGGTGCAAAAAGCAAAACTGAAGGCGACCGGAATCGAACCGGCGATCTTGTGGAAGCTGAAGGGACTGACTAAAGCTGGAATCACATGCGTTGCCATTGCGCCACGCCTCCGTCGCTTGCGGCGTGACGGTTTTGCAAAATATGAGCGCGCTGCTAGGTGACGAATTTCGAGGCTCAGAGCGGCCACCGCGCTCAGGCACACGTCTCTTCAGGAGGGCGACAATAGATGAATTGACGAGGCACAGCAGCGAGAGACCACGCGTGCAGCAGAGCGGCGGCGACAAGGAGTGACAGAATACATGAGGAAGGAGGCACAGACGATGCGAGTGCAAGATAAGAAAGGAGAGTGTGGGCCGACGTGCGGCCGAGAGGCACGCGTCAAGGCGCCTCGACGTGGAGCGCCGCCTGCCAGGCGAGAATGTCGTCGCCGCTGTAGCCCTTCTTCGACGGCCGCTTCGAGCGCTGCGAGCCTGCGTTGGAGCTTTTGCGCGACGAGCGCGGCGCCTCGGCGGCAGCGAGCTGGCCGCGCCTGTCCTTGCGCGAGCCGGACGCGTCGGCGGTGCGGCGGTGAGAGCCTCCGCCGTCGAGGAGGTGCGAGCCTTTGCTCGGGCCAGGACTCGCTGGCCTCGCGCGCAGGCTGTCGCCGTACTGGAGAGCGATAGTCCCGGACGACGTGTGCGGGCGGCGAGACGCATCGGAGAGATTGAGGCGCGGCCTGCGGCGCAGCGACGGCGAGCCCGTGTTGCTGGGCAGCTCAGCAGAAGGAAACGGCACACGCGTGGCCGTGTCTGCAGAGGTAAGCTCGGCCCTTGAAGCCGCAGCAAGTGTAGGCTGCAGGTGACTCGGACCTGTTGGGATGGGTGCTTGCGGATCTTCTTCATGCATCCGACGCGCGAGTGCAGGCACAATCGTCTCGTCCCACTCGGCGACTGTCGGGATGCGTGGTGCGTGATCTTCGTCCGCGAGGCTCTGACTCGCAGCGTCGAAGGAGGGGATCGGTGCCCGGCGAGTCGCCGAGCCTGCAGCGGCGCGCGGCGGCGTCGCAAAGGAGGAAACGTCGAGCCTGCGCGCAGCTGATCCTTGGCGAGAGGCAGGGCCGCCAGCTCGCAGCGACTGGCTTCGGGCGGAGGTGTTGCCGCGCGATGCAGCTTGTCGGATGCGTGCTTCGAGAGACGCCATCTGAGCGGCGGTCATCTCTGAATCGGACGAGCCAGTTGTCAGGCCCAGCATCGCGACCTCGTCCGCGATCTGCGGCTGCAGCTGAGAGAAGGCATTGGCGCTGTCGGTGCGAGATCGCAGCGAACGCGCTGGGCGGCGCCGCCTGCGTCGAGAAGCATCGCTGCGGCCCGAGGACTGCAGTGCCTGGTCGTCCGATGACATCCTGGCGCGCAGATCGCTGCGAGAGGCGTAAGGCGAGTGGCGATGGCGCGGTCGCGCGTGGTAGAGCTCCTCGAGACTTTCCCGTGCTGGGGCCCGAGAGTAGCGCGACTCGTGGAGGCGCGCCGCTGCAGCGGTGATCTCGCTTTCGCGGATGCCGAAGAGGCGGTCTCGTGCCCAGCGCGCTTGCCAGCCGTCCGCCTCGCTGTTCTCCAGGGCAGCCAGAGCTGCGAGGCTGGCTTGCACTGCAGTCTCGGCCCGTGGCGCTGGGGCGTATTCCTCGGCTGGCGGCATGTCGTGCTGCAGCGGAGCCCCCAGCATCTCGGCTGTCCGCGCGGATGGCGCCGAGGTGGTACGGGCGCGCGACATCAGCGCCGACAGGCGTGCCCGTTCAGGTGTGGCGAAGCCATGTGCTGCTTCGTGGTGAGACTCGACGTGCATCACGTCGGCCATCCAGGGGCCTTGGCTCGACTGCCAGCTCGAACGGTCCATGCGAGTGTCGAGCATGAGTGCAGGCATTGGCGAGATCGCTGAGCGAGGCCGAGTCGCAGCGCCCCAGGTCGACGCGGACGAGCCGGACATGCGCGACGCAAGTCGGACCGCGCTCAGCGGCCGCTGGCTCGCCCGTGCATCGGCATCAGCTGGCGCGACGGTCGCCATGACGGACTCCGTCTGCAGGAGCGCTGGCAGCGGGCTGCTGGGCGAGCCAGCCATCGAGTGCGGGTCGGAGATGCTCCGTGCGTGGCTGGTACGCATGCGCGAGATAGGCGATGCGTACTCGCGAGGCAAGGCATCAGCCAGCAGATGGTGCGGCAGGTGTCGGAGGGTCGCCTCGGGCGTGCGCACTTCCTGGACCGCCGGCTTCTCACGCTTCGCCGACTCCGAAGCAGACGGAACAGCGGTAGCGCTAGACGGAGCGTTGGACTCCACTGTCCACCCACTCCCGGCGAGGACTTGCTGATCCAGCGAGGGCGACGACAGCGCTGCGCCGGGCTTGACGAAGGCGTGCACGTTCGCCGGCACAGCGTCCGCTCCGGGTCCTGTCTCAGCGGCCGTGCGCCTGGCCTCGTCGTCCGAGGACATGAGCACCTCCTTCGTCTCGGCGCCGGAGCTTCCGCGGCTGGCTGGCCGATCGCGCTGAGCAGACAGGTCCGACGACTCCTTCGCAGCGTCGAGGTTCGCCACAGCTTCTAGCTGCACGTCTCCTGCTGTCGCCAGAGAGCGTGAGCGCGATACTCTCTGGCGTCTGCTTTGCGCCGACTCACCAGAAGGCTGGGTGAAGTGATCCGTCTCGATCGGCGTAGAGGGGTTGGTCACCGAAGAAGTCGCTGAGTCGGCGCGTCGAGGTCCGCGTCGCGGTGGCCGATTCGGCGGAAGCGGCGCTGGCGCTGGCGGAGGGGCTAGGGACGAGAAGCTGCTCTGTGCTCCTGCCCCTCGCCCGGGCGAAGCTGGCGCAGTTTGCCTGCCAATTGTCACCACCTCAGGCGTCGCAGGCCGCGAGGGACTGACGATGTCGATGATCGGCTCGTCTGCGGCGCGCTTGCCATTGCCATCGCTGCCGGCATTCGCAGTCGAAGCGCCAGGAACGGTGCCGTCTGCTGAGGCAGAGCCGCGGCGTCGCCACGTCCAGCTACGGCGCCGGCCATCGCCGCTCGGCGACGGCGACATCGGCTCGCCACTCATCCTTCTTTCCAGGAGAGGCGGACCCATGTTTGCTTCCGGCTCGATGTCGGCGATCGACTGTGGCCTTGCTGTGCCGTTCTCGTCGACGAGACGAGCTGAGCTGCCGCTGTCGCCAAAGGCGCCCAGACTGCGGCTCTGCGGCGAGAGATGCTCCGTGACGGGAGGCCTTCCCAGGACTCTGCCGCCTGCAGCGCCGTTCACCCACACGCCTTCGTGTCGAGCTGAGCGCGGCTGCGTTCCGGCTTCCACAGCGGCAGCCGTGGTGCGTGGTAAGTCGACGGAGCCTCGAGCGCTAGCACGTCGGCTGGACGGCGGGCTGGCGCTGCTCAGGCTCTGACTTCGCAGCAGCCCAGTAGGACGGGTTCCGTCGAGCTGTAGGGCCAGGCTAGGCTGAGCTGTATTCGTAGATCTCGCGTGCTGGGTGCTCATCGCTCGCTTGTGCCCGTCTGCGCGGCCGATGGCCTCCTCGTTCGGCAGCGTAGCAGATGTAGAGCGCTTGCGACCAATCCGCATCGGGAACGCGCGACCGCCTTCGCTCGCCGGCGTCTGAGTGAAGAGACCTGTTTGAGACCTGGGCGTCTGCACCTGTGACTGGAGGCTCGGGCTCCGCGGCTCCGAGGTCCGCCGCACACGACTCATGATGCGTCCGAGCAGGTTGAAGGTCCGGGGCCGCTTCTCGGGCGGCGAGGCCGGCGGCGACGAGGGCTGCATGCCCAGCAGCTCCTGCGACGCCACGCGGTCAATCTGCGGCCGAGGGCCTGCGCGGATCTGCCCGATCTGCGAGTGCAGCAGCTCGGTGCCGTGGCTCGAGCGGCTGACCATGCTCGTGCGATGCGAGTCCATCCACGGCGGCGCGAGGACCGCGGCGTAGTCGCTGCCTGCGCTCTGTCGTGACGCTGGCTGCGGGCGAGACGGACCCTCGAGATAATCCTCGATGGGCACGGGCTTGCGCCGCGCAGAGAGACGCGCTCTCTCTTCAGTCGGGGTGCCGCCTTCGCTGAGCGTCAGGCCTGGCGACGGAAGCGCGGCTAGCTGCCGCGCAGATGGATCGGCGAAAGCGCTTAGACCTGTCATGATGGAGAGAGCAGGCAGTGCGCCATCATTGGCCGCGTGCGAGAAAGCAGCTGCAGGCGCTGAGACCGTGCCTGTCGCACTGTGCTGCATCTGCGGAGCGAGCGGCTGCGCAGCTTCGCACGTCCACTGCGTGCCTTCGAGGTTCGCGACGAAGGTGGCACCGCTCTGCGGCTCCTGCTCCAGGTGCCGGCTTTGCGTGGCGGACACCTCGTCGATGTCCACAGCAGGCGTGGCCTCAGGCGGGCTCTGTCTCGAGCCCATCGGCGACGGCGAGGCGATACGCGCCGAAGGCCCACTGCCAGAGCCGCTGCCGCTCCACGACGCGCGGACGTCTGAGCCACGCCTGTCCTCCCACGTCGAGGTCCAGCGCGGATCTCGGTTGAGCAATGAGCGGCTGATGCTCGAGCCAGGCCCGCTGCCACTCGTCCAGCTGCGTCGAGCGGCCGCAAGCGCGTCCTCTGCAGACTGGTCGGAGAGCCGCTTGCCATCGAGTGGCGTGCCGGACCGTGCTGGCGTCTCGTGGCCAAGAGGCTCTGCGCTGGACGCTCGTGTGTCTGCGAGGCCCGCGCCTGGTGATCCCTCTGCCTTGCCAAGCCCAGTCTTCAGTGCGCGAGCGAGTGGCTCGGGCAGCGGATGAGGAGTAGGCAGAGGACTGGCAGCAGCGAACGTCGGCTGATCGGAGTGCGTCGGCAGCGCGTCGCCGGCTTCGGCTTGTGGTGCGCCAGCAGCATCGAGCGGCTCTGGCAGCTCGTCGATGCGAGGCTGGGCCGGAGCTGATGCCAGCCGATAGGCCGCTGAGTGTAGCGCTCCGTCCTCGCTGGAGAACGAGCGCGGAATTCGGTCTGCAGACTCGGCTGCTGCTTCGGCGAAGAGCGCTGGCGCCGAGAAAGAGCTGGACAAGGATGCGCCGCCGGCCGACGTCGACGCCGGGTGCATGCGTGCTCGCATGGGGCCGGCCAGACTGCGCGTCTGCTGGCCCGGCCCGTCGGCATGCCAGGCCTGCGCGAAGGCCTGCTTCTGCGAGAGGGCGCGATTGACGTGCTCGTGCGACGCCTGGAACTGCTCGATGAGCGGGCTGGGCGCGCCGGAGCTGCTGCGTGCGCTGGCACTGCGCCGATGGCCGGCGCGCAGGGCGAAGCGCCGGGCGCCGTGCGGTGCGGCGCCGTCGTGCGGACTCGAGCTGATGGCCGAGGGGTGGTACTGAGTCGGGCTCGACGGAGCCTGACCCATGATGGCGGTGCGGTTGCAAGGCAAGGCCTGCTGTCGCCTATCGCAAGGTGTAGCTGCGCCGAGGCGACGAGGTGCGAGGGCGACTCACGGCCTGCCAGGCGGACGCAGTGCACGGCGCGAGCGCCCGCCCGCAGTGCCGCGAGGGCGATGCCGAAGCGGCGACGCTGCGGCCTGATTGGGCTCGCGAGACAGGAGCAGGAGCAGGCGCAGGGCAAGCCACTGATGGCGAAGTGGTGTGGAGCGCTGCGGCTGATTGACCGGCGGGGTATCGCCGCCAGCGGCGCGTGCACCGCAGCCGGGTGCCGGCGCGGCGGCGGGGTGGTGAGGGTGCTAAATGAAGCCCGGGGCACGCTGATGAGGCGGGCTGCGCTGATCCGTGCGTCGGGCGCGCCAGGATGCGCGCACGCGGCGCGTCAACGGCTGGGCGCTGACAGAGCTGGCGGCAGCGAAGAGAGACGAAGCAAAGGGACCGGGACTGGAAAAGGGGGAGAGAAGAAGCGAAGAGGTGGTGGTTGGGAGCGAAGCTGGTCGGCCTCGGGCTGGGGGCAAGGCGAGCCGTCAATATCGAGCCGGGTGGCGCTAAGCTTAGGGCGCGCAGTGCAAGCCCCTGTCGCGCCGGCCGCGCGCGGAGTCCGCAACCGCGCGCGCGCCGTGGCTGCGCGCGTGTTGGTCAACGGATCTACATGTCTCGCCTGTCGGCCGGCCCTGTGCTCGCCTCGGCCGCTGTGCCTGCACCGGCAGATCTGATTGATTGGACGGCCGTGCATGACAGCGGCGTGCAGCTCGCCTTCGCCCTATGAAGATGTCCTCGACATCGGCTCGCTCCAGTGCAGACGGCGCACCGGCAGATGGCGGAGAGAAGCTGTAGCGCTGGGCTCGCACTCGAGTGTCGCTCTCTGCCGCCCAGGGCTGCTCTGCCTGCGCCAGCACCAGCTCCTTGCAGGGCTGCAGTCTGCAGAGCTCCTCTGGCTTCTCGACGCAGAAGAAGCGAGGGTCATGCGTCTCGAGCGCCTCCTTCGGCGTAGGCGATGCCCCGCCGCCACCCTCCGAGTGAACATCTACGACCGCGAGGCGCCTGCACGCCGAGGCCCGTCGGCATGCCAGCCACGGGTGTCTCGGCTGTCATTCACATGTGTCTCGCCGTGACAGCGAGCGGCACCACTCAGACCACAGCCGCTCTCTGCTCCGTCACTGACTGCCTATAGCGCATGTCATCGCCTCGTTCGAGTCGCGCCTGGGCAGATCCCTCTGGACTACGAATCACGACATCGGTCCTCGCTCTGAACAAAGGAAGCTCCAGCAGCAGCAGCCTGGCTCTGAACACCACAAAGGGAGCATATCTAAGAGCTCTGGCTTGCAGCGCTGCTGTCCAGGTGAAGACCGGAGCAAGGGATCGTCGAGAGGAGGAGGCGGCGTGCCGTGTTGGTGTGGAGCTTCGCGGAGGAAGCGCGCAAAGATCCGCGGATTCCGGGCCGAGGCCGCCGCACGTCCGTGCACGCTTGCATGAAGCATGCTGTCTTCTCGCCTCCATCTCCCCACGCAAAGGCAGCTGCAGCACCCCGCCATGCCGTCCAACGCCGCGCTCGACGCCGCCGTGCAGCGCTACAAGCTCCTCTCCGAGCTGCCCGCGCTCACCGGCGCACGCTTCGACGGCGCCGCGTCGGGCGAGAGCACCGGTGAGCCGCGCGTAGCTCCAGACGCAGCAACGCCGCTGACGCCGCTGTCCAGTCGTGCATCTGTCCCTCTCCATCCGCTCGCAGGCCACGTCGCAGAAGCGCGCCTTCCGCTCGCAGCTGCTGCTGCACGGCACCAAGGCACGCGTCATCTCGCATGCGCTGGGCGACGCCAGCGAGAAGCTCGTGGCGCACAGCGCACAGGCCGGCTCGAGCGTGCGTGTCGTGTGCCGCGAGGGCAAGGGCGCAAAGGGCGACGAGACGCGCCGTGTCGAGCTGTGGCGCGGCGCACGCTGCGTGGCCGATGTCGACGTGTCCAAGGCGCATGGAGCCTTCGTCCGAGGAGGTGAGTCGCGCGACGTGGCGGCTCGCGCGCCGAAGCTGCAGGGCGAGATTGCAGTGGAAGTGCTCGCGGGGCTCATCCACCTGATATGCAGAGCCGTTCGCGAGCATCAGTCTGAGCGACGACGAGGATGCAGTGCTCTACGTCGCCTCTGCAAACGCGCCGAAGAAACCAGACACGTCGGCAGAACTCTCGCTCTCATCGCTCTCCGAGGAGGACCCCTTCTCCGCGTACGACTACACGCCGTCGCTCGGCGAGAAGCAGGGGCCACTGCTGCGGCCGCGCATCTTCCTGCTGCGCTTCAACAGCCGGTCTTCTGGCCCCGCACAGCTCTCCCAGCTGCAACTGCCAGACGAGGCGTGGGGCGCAGCGGATCAAGGCCAAGCCATCTTCGCTGGCGATCACGTTGCCTGCACTGTGTACGAGTCGCTGCAGGATGGCCGCAAGCTCGGCGTGGTGTACTGCACCAATCGGCCCTCGAACGTGCTGCGCGTGCCACTGCCGTCTGCCTCATCGACATCAGACGACGGCAAGAAGGAGGACAGCAAGCCAGGCCAGCCGCGCAACGCTGCCTGGAAGCTTGAGGCGAAGCAGGTCCAGCGCATCAGCCAAGAAGGCTGGAGTGGCCGCTCTCCGCGGTGGAACGCATCAGGACCAGGCGTTCTGTACTGGGTTGAGAACGAGCGGCAAGGAGCGCACAACGACTGCTCGCGCTTGCTCAAGAGCGAGGGATCAGGTGCAAGCCAGACGCTCGTCGATGTCGTTGAGTCGCCTGAGTCCGACGAGGCGTTCCCGGGCTTGTTCCTTGGCGACCTGCCGGCACGTTTCGCTCTCAGCGACGGAGCGCTCGCCTTCTCGTCCATCTGGGGCTCTCGCCGCGTGCCGCTCCTGGTCACGCGCGAAGGAAAGATGGTCGACCTCGCACCGGCCAGGGACAGCAGTGCGAGCTGGGGCGTTCTCGCTACTGACGGCGCCCAGAGACTCCTGGCCACACGCTCGACTGTCGGCGAGCCGCCGCGCCTGATGCTCGGCACGCTGCAGTCGGACAAGACCTGCACCTGGAGCGAGCTGTGGAACTCAGCAGAGGATGCAGCAGACACTGCAGGTGCGTGCAGACCCCCCGGCGGCCAAGCCAAGCCAGCTCTGACACGCTTCTGGCAGCCATCAAGGAGCTTGCAGGCCTCGCCACCGAGGTCGTCACGCTGGCGAAGACGAAGCAAGAGCACGACGACCAGGCTGCGCAGGCCGTGCTCATCCGCGGAGCTCACGACAGCAAGCTCGGCAAGAACCAGCCTTGCATCATCGTGCGTGGCTGCGTCGAGCCAAGGACGAGCCGTGCTGACCTCAACATACACAGTTCCCGCACGGCGGCCCGCACAGCACGACCACCACCGACTTTGCGCCTTCGACTGCCGCACTCGCGCTGAGCGGCTTCACGGTGGTCGCACCGAACTACCACGGCTCGCTGGGGCGCGGCCAGCGCTTTGCACGCTCGCTGCTGGGCCGCTGCGGCGAGCTCGACGTCTTTGACTGTGCTGCTGCAGCCGAGTGGGCGCTCGACGAGGGCATCGCCAGCAAGGACAGCCTCATCGTCATGGGCGGCAGCCACGGCGGCTTCCTCTCGGCGCACCTCGTCGGCCAGCGCCCCGAGCTCTTCAAGGCGGCCGTGATGCGCAACCCAGTCATCGACGTGGCGAGCATGGCGGCGACGACTGACATCCCAGACTGGTGCTTCGCCGAGCTGGGCCTCGACTTTCCCTTCGACGCGCCGCCGTCCTCGGTGCTGCCGAAGCTGGCCGCCTCGATGCAGGCTGCCTCGCCCATCGCGCACGTCGCGCACATCAAGGCGCCCGTGCTGCTGCTGCTCGGCCTCTCGGACCGGCGCGTGCCGCCGCAGCAGGCCAAGCAGCTCTTCCACGCGCTGCGCCTGCAGGGCGTGCGCACGCGTATGCTCGCCTTCCCCGACGACGACCACGCGCTCGACAGCGTCGAGGCCGAGTCTGTCGGCTGGGAGGCTGCGTTCGCCTGGATGCAGGAGGCACTCGCAGCCTAGTTGCATCACCCATTGTGCTGTCGTAGCCAATGCATTGCATTCTACCTGCTCGGCATGGCGTCGCCTGCGCGTCGGCTGCCGACAATGCCACGCTTCTTCTTCTTGACGGCCTCGCGGTGCCGCCGCTTCCACTCCTGCGTCAGCGTGCCGCGGCGCTCCTCCCAGCGCGCGTGGATCTGCTCGGCCGTCTCGGTGCGCCCGAACGGCGGCACGCCGTCGAGCAGCAGCGCCATGGGCTCGCGCTCGCCGCGGTCGCGCGTGAAGCTGGGGAAGAAGAAGGGCAGCGAGGTGGACGGGTCGAAGCCGGGCACTGCGCCGGGCACCGGAGCTGGTGCGGGTGCGCTGGGTGCAGCTGCTGTGACTGGCTCTTCTGGCAGCTCGGAGGTCTCGAACTCCATGTCGAAGTCCAGCTCGAGGTCGTCCAGGTTGCCAAGCAGCGAGAAGCCCGCAGCTGAGGGCGCGAGACGTCAGTCGACGATCTCGCAGGTCTCGAGACTGCAGCACTCACCCTCTTCTTGCGGCTTGAACATGTCCGTGAGCTTCTGCGTCATGACGGCGCTCTTCTGCTCGCCGGCCTCTCCGTGCGCCTGCGGCTGAGCCGCGCTCTCTTGAGGCTGCGGCTCCGGCTCCTCCATCTCCTCGTCCTCGTCGTCCCACTCAGCAGCCGCTCCGGGGTCGAAGCGCACGACGGGCGCAAAGCGCGAGGCGGACGCCTCCTGCGCGGCCGCAGCGGGCTGCAGAAGCATGTCGCGGCGGCGCTGGCCGGCAGTGATGACCGGTGCGGCGAGCTCCACGGCTGCCTGCTCCACTTGCAGCTCTTCGATGCTGGTAGTCGCGGCCTGCGGCCCGGCGTTGGTGCCGGCCGGCTGAGGCTCTGCGGCTTTATTTTCCTCGTCCTCCTCCTCGTCTTCGTCTGACTCGCTCACAACGTCCTGCGCGGAAGGTGCAGGCTGTGCAGCGACGGGTGCGGCCTCGACGATCGTGGCCGAGCTGCCGTGAGAGGATGCCGAAGCGGGCTCAGCAGCCTTCTTCGGTGCAGGCGCCTTGCCCTTGGCGCCAGGCCGGGAACTGCGCAGCAGCTCTTCGAGCTCGCTATCGTCGTCGCTGTCGAGCACGGTCTCATCGGCGCGGCTGCCACTCGCAAAGGGCACCTTGCCGCCCATGACCTGGCCCAGGATGCTCTTCATGCGCTGCGCCTCGTCATCGCCCTTGAGCGCCGGTGCAGCGGAAGCGGCAGCAGCTGCTGCCGCCGCATCTTCGTTGTAGCCCTCCGACCACTCCTCGTCCTCGCGCGGGTCGTAGCGCGGGAACTGCGGCACAAATTCGGGCGACGGCGAGCGCGGGTGGAACAGCGGCGAGGCCGGCGCCTCGGCATCGTCGAACAGCGGTGAGCCTGGTGCCTCGGCATCATCGAAGAGCGGCGAGTCGTCGCGGCGCGGCGAGAAGAGCGCATCGGGTATGGAGTCTGCATCGTCTTCGTGCGCGTCGAGGAAGGACTGCGAGTCTTCCGAGTCGGAGAAAGAGGAAGCGGATGCTTCGTCAAGCTCTGGCGCTGCCTGCTTCTTCGGCGCCGCAGGCTGTGCTGGCGGCAGTGCTAGTGCTGCCCTGACAGCGGGCATCGGCGGCGGCGTCGCGCGGCGCTTCTTCGGCACTGGCTCGACTGCGCCATCCTGGTCGACCCAGCGAGGCGCCGATGCGTCGTCATCCTCCTCCGGCTCCTCTAGCCGCCACTCTCTGCTGCCCTCCTTGTTGCCCAGGATAGCACCGGCAAGGTGCTTTGCGCCGTAGCGCCGCGGGTCGAGCGTGGTGCGGCGAGCGCGCGTGGGCGGCGTGGGCCGCACGGCACCGGTGCGCAACGGCGGCGCCGGTGTCGAGGGCTTCGGCAGCGGGTGGTCGGGCCGCATGTGCAGCGGGCGCACGAGGTGCTGCGCCGGCGTGAGGTGCCAGCCCTGCCGAGGCTGTCAGTGCCAATGAGAAGCCTCGCTGCTGCGGCACCACTCACCCACTCGCCGGCCTTGACCTGCGCCTCATCCACCGGCCGCTCGCAGCCCTTCTCGCGGCTGGCCTTCTTGAGGCGGCGCGCCTCCTTCTCCTCGCGCCGCACGCGCACGGCCTCGCTCTCGGGCTTGTGCGGGAGCGGGCCCTGTGCGCCGTCGTGCTTGGCGTTGCCGCAGCGGATCTTGCTGCCCTTCCACACGCTGCCGTGCAGCGCACCCAGCGCGCGGTCGATGTCCTTGGGCGGCGCGGTGAGGGTGAGCCAGGCGACGGCGGGCACGGCGCCGACGGCGTTGGGCGCGCTGGGCCGGTGCAGGCCCGCCGGCTGCAGCGCGGCGAAGCGTGCGAGCAGCGCAGCGTCGGGGATGGCGGGCGCCAGGCCGCTGAGGTGGATGCGCCGCGTCACCACGGCCGGCGGTGCAGGCGCAGCAGACGTCGAGGCGGCGGCGGCAGTGTCGGCCATGCTGCGAGGAGCGATGCGGGTGGAGCAGAAGGATGCGAGGCGCGCGAGAAGGAGCTCAAGAGGCAAGCGAACCCGCGAGGCACTTTTGGCTGACGTAAGCCCCGCTCAAATGGCCTCCCGAGCGCTCGTGGCAGCTGCTGCTCTGCTCCACTCTCCACCACAACCACAAGCACGCCTCAGCCTCAACAAATCGCAGCAGCCGCATCGCCTGCCTCACTCTCTTCTTTCAGTGCCATGCCGCGCCCAGCATCACACGAGCGTGCCCGCGCTGGGCCCTCGCAGCCGCGCCAGCCCGCCGCACCCGCGCCGCAGGCGGATGCGGCCGAGAGCAGCAGCGAGTGGGGCAGCCAGAGCAGCGGCGGCGAGTTCGACGACGACGACAGCGACGCCGAGTCGGCCGATGGCCGCGACGGCGGCTGGGGCAAGGTGGGCAGCGGCAGCGGCAGCTTCGCCAACGACCGGCGCCGCGAGAACAAGCATGCGTGAGTGCGCGTGCAGCGAGGCTGGAGCCGGCACACGAGCTGAGCGCTCCATCTCCTCAGGCCGATGGAGATGTCGTCGCGCAAGCCCGTGTCGCGGAAGCGCACCGTCATCGAGACGCCCGCCATAGTCAGTGCCATGCTCTGCGCGACCTGCAGCTGCCAGCTGACTCGCAGCGCAGAAACGGCGCGACCCGCGCTTCTCGTCGCTCTCCGCCTCCGCACCCAACGCCGGCCTGTTCGAGTCGTCGTACGGCTTCCTGCGGCAGCAGCAGATGGCCGAGCTCTCGGAGCTGCGCAAGACGCACCGCGCCCTCACCAAGCAGGAGAAGCACCACGCCGGGCCCAAGGCGCGCTCCGAGCAGGCGCTGCAGATCCAGGCCGAGAAGGCGCGCGTCGAGGCGGCACTGCGCCGCACCGAGGGCCTGGAGAACGAGCGGCGCAAGCGCGAGCGCGAGACGGAGGTGCTGCGCCGCCACAAGCGCGACGAGGAGGAGAAGGTGGCCAAGGGCGGGCAGCGCTTCTTCCTCAAGGACTGTGAGTGGTGTGTGGTGCGCCTGCCGTGGCGGCAGCTGACGCCTGGAGTCAGCGGCCAAGCGCACGCTCTTCCTCAAGGACAAGTACGAGCGCCTGGCCGGCGGCAACAAGGCAGGCGCCGGCGCCAGCGGCGCGGCATCGTCCGACACGCCGGCGGCCAGCTCGCGCAAGGAGCTGCGCAAGAGCATCGAGCGGCGGCGCAAGAAGAACGCGCAGAAGGAGCGCCGCGACATGCCGGCGATGGGCGCGCGCGAGAGCAGCGGTGCGGCGCCGCTGCCGGTCCCGCAGCGCAAGAGGGCAGCGGCGGCTGGGCGCGAGGGCGGCGAGGCGCCCCGGCCGCACAAGCGTGGACGTCGAGGCTGAATGCATGCCTCCTCTGCCGACGCTGCATGGCCTGAGCTCCTCGTGATCTGGCTGGCAGCACTCAGGCCTCGCTGTGGCTAGCATAGAGCGGCGGTTCATTGCGCATTAGAGAGAGCCTAGCGTGGTGCAGACCGCGTGGAGTGGGAGTGTGAGACTCGAGCCGAAGAGCCAGAGAGGCGAGCGCTCGACAGCGCTTTCCGCGAGGCCGTCTCATTGCGACGCACTGGTGGCCGCCAGCTTCGCCTGCGTCGCCAGCAGCTTCTCGGCACGCCGCCGCCGCCGCCGCACGCGCGCCTCGTCCTCCTCGATGCGCTCGCGCTCCTCGAGGCGCTCCGAATAGTACTGCCCCGCCTGCAGGATCAGCACGCCGATCAGCGCCACGGCGATGACGGCGTTTGACGAGGCCAGCTCGCGCAGCGGCACGAGCGTCAGGTCCAGCGGGTCCAGCGGGTCGGCGGCGGGCGAGGCGGCCGTCGGCAGCGCGAGGATGCCTGCGACACAATGTAAGCGTAGTCGAGACTGCGACGGCCCGCTGCGACTCACTTGGCCGGATCTTCTGGAAGTACACCAGGCCGACTGCGCCGTAGAGGACTGCAGATCGCCGTGTCAGCGGATTGGCTGTGAGGCGAGATGTGCAAAGCAAGACATTGCGTCACGAGCGTGCGAGCAGCCTGGACGTCCGGGGCTGCTGCTCTGCTGCGCACGATGTTCCCCAGCAGTGCATGCGCGTACCCTTTGCGCGTGCTCTCTCTCGCTGCTCTGACCCTGGCCGTTCCGCATGCCATCCTGCTGCCTTCGCCCTTATCTTCGCCTCCATCACGACACCGCAAACATAAGCTGCCACGCTTGCGCCGTGCACTGCCGCTGCACGCCTCCACCCGCGACCCTGCCGCCGGACTCACACAGGCTGGCGCCGTCGAAGAGCCAGTTGCTCTCGCGCCCGGCGGCGATCTTGACGCAGCACGCCAGCACGGCGGCGCCGCCGAGGGCGTACAGCGCCGCGAGCGCGCGTGCCGAGAGGTGGCCGAGCGTCTCGGCGTAGTAGCCGTGGGCGCTGAGGAGCGAGGCGCGCGTGATGGGCGACTGCCACAGCAGCAGGTGGTCGGCGGTCCAGTGCACCGCGAGCGTGCCGAGCAGGAACGTCGTGGTGAGGAGGATGAGGGACGTGGTGAGGTCGCCCATGGCGGCGGCGGGTCGAGGGAGGGTTGGTGGAGCGGAGCGAAGAAGCGCGGCGGCGCCGGCAAGCGAGGAACGTGCCGGGCCTTCGCAGCCGGCTGGCTGTGTGGCCCGCGCGCCGCGCGCACGTGACTAGACTGATGAATGCCGAGCCCCAGAAGCATCAAGGCAGCAGCGGCGCCGCGCATGTGCTTCCTCTCCACATCCACCTCCGGCACCTCAGCCTCGACTTGGCGCGTGGCCTCGCGCCCTCCATCCTCTCGCCGCTCGTCTGGCCGTCTGCTTCTCTCTCTCGCAGCGGCGCGCCCCGCGCTCTCGCAGCCGCGCATCGCGCTCTCCACTCGCCGCCGCGCCTCGCCATGTCCGACCCCGCGTCCTCGGCGCCGCTGCACACGCAGGCGCCGCCGCAGCGCTACGGCTACGACACGTCGATGAGCAACGCCTCGTCGTCGGGCGCCGCTGCCTCGTCGGCGAGCGCCGCGTCGCCGCCGTCGGCCTCGCGCTTCGTCTCGCAGCCGTCGGGCAGCAGCGCCGTCGCCGGCGCGTCGCATGCCGGGCCGAGCAGCAGCGGCATCGGCGGCAGCAGCGCCGCACCCGTCGCCTCGGCGCTGCGCGCCGCCTCGACGCTGCCGCCGTCGCCGCGGCCACGCGAGCGCATCAGCACCACGCCCGGCCCCGGCCCGCGCGTGCTGATGAACGGCGACTCGCCGCGCGACCGCCGCCAGGCCTACGCCGACGCCGACCGCCGCGACGTTGTCATGGCCGCCGCGGCATCGTCGCCGCTCGCTGTCGCCTCGTCCTCGGTGCTGCCCGCTGTGTCGGCGTCGCGCTCGGCGTCGCACTCGGCCTCGCACTCGCCGGCGCCGGCAGCCTCGCAGGCCGAGCTGGACAGGCTCGACAAGGCAGAGAGCTATCCGCGCCTCGCCTCGCCCAACACGCAGACCGACTGGGGCGAGCCGTCGGGCTGGCGCCCGCGCGACTGGACCGCCGGCAACGAGCTGCCGCCGGCCGGCTCGCGCGCCATCTCGCTGACGCCCGACAGCGCCGTCGACGCGGCAGGATCCACGGCGATGCTGCCGCTGCAACCCGGCGTGCCGGTGCCGCAGAAGCGCACCGGCGTCGTCTACAGCGCGGTGATGATGCTGCACATGCATCCCGACGAGCACTTCGACCGCGACGAGCATCCGGAGAAGCCGGAGCGCATCAGCGCCATCTGGGACCGGCTCGATGCACATGGCTGCATCAAGCGCATGCGCCGGCTGCCGATTCGCGATGCGCTGCGTGAAGAGGTGATGCTGGCGCACGACGAGGGCATCTGGAACGGCGTAGAGTGGTCCGCCTGTGAGTGGGGCCTGTGCCGCTGCCGGCTTGCTGTCTTGCTCACTGCTCCACTTGCAGTCTTCACCGACGACGCACTCGCGTCGCAGACGGAGCACCTCAACGGCGAGGACTCGCTCTACGTCAACGAGCACTCCGCCGCCTGTGCGCGTCTCTCGTGCGGCGGCGTCATCGAGATGGTCGAGGCCGTCGTCTCGGGCCGGATCCGCAACGGCTTTGCCATTGTGCGCCCGCCGGGCCATCACGCAGAGCCGGATCGCAGCATGGGCTTCTGCTTCTACAACAACGTCGCCGTCGCGACAAAGGTGGCGCTGCAGAAGTACGGGCGGCGCGGCGAGTCGGCAGGGACCCTCAGCAAAGTGCTGATCCTCGACTGGTGAGTGCGATGGACCGTCTACGCGCCTCGCTGCTCACGCAGGGTCGTCGCAGGGACGTGCATCACGGCAACGGCACGCAGTCGGCATTCTACGAGGACGACGCGGTGCTCTACATCTCGATTCACCGCCACGAGGGCGGCAAGTTCTTCCCGGGCAAGCCCGACGGCGGCCACACGTTCTCCGGCGTTGGCGCCGGCCTCGGGCGCAACGTCAACATCCCGTGGCCGGAAGGCGACATGGGCGACGCCGAGTATCTCGCCGCCTTCCAGCAGATCGTCATGCCCATCGCCTTCGAGTACCAGCCTGACCTCGTCATCATCAGCGCCGGCTTCGACGCCGCCGAGGGCGATCCGCTCGGCGGCTGTCACGTCTCTCCGCAGGGCTACGCGCAGATGACGCACATGCTCAGCGGCCTCGCCAACGGCCGCGTCGTCGCAGCGCTCGAGGGCGGCTACAACCTCGAGAGCATCGCCTCGTCTGCGCTTGCCGTCACGGAGACGCTCCTCGGCGACCCGGTGCCTGCGCCGCAGCAGTCGCTGCGCTGCAAGGTGCTCGCCTCGCAGACGATCCGCGAGGTGCGACGCGAGCAGGCGCGCTACTGGAAGGCGCTGCAGCATGACAAGCTCGACCCCATCGCGCACGACGACTCGGCGCTGCCCGACGGCACCGTGCACCCGCTCAGCACGCTTCTGCGGCGCGCACGCTCGGAGAGAGCTGCACAGCAGTACGGCCTGCTCGAGCTGCCGACGCCGTCGCCGTCTGGGAAGGAGGAGTTCGAAGGGATGGTGCTCTGCACGCCGGACTTGTTCGAGCCGGAGAAGAAGGTGAGTGAGCGATGGCGACAGAGGCTCGCGAGAGAGGCACGGGCGTAGCGAGAGGGGCGCAGTCGCAGCGAGAAGGCGCAGTGCACGGATCTGCAGCCATCCTGACTCTCCTCACTAGGTCGTCGTCCTCTTCGTGCACGACCTCGGCAACCTCCGCGCGGAGCGCCCGTGGCTGAGCCTCTATGCGGATCAAGAGGCCGCCCACGTCATCGACACGAGCAGCCGAGTGCTCGACTGGGCACTGAAGGAGCACAGCTACCGCCTCGTCGACGTCGCCGTGCCGAGCCTCGAGTGCGCAGAGAACGCGCAGCCGGAGGCCGGCTTTGAGCCGAACGGCGCGGCCTTTCAGCAGCTGCGCAACGTCTCGCAGCGTGCTGCTGCACTCGTCAACGTCGTCTACGATCACTACGTCACGCATCTCATCGCCGCCGACACGCGGCTCGTCCTGATCGGCCACGGCGCTGGCGCAGCGGCGCTGGTGCAGCTGCTCGCTAGCCGCGAGACGTCGCGCCTGCGAGACGGCGTCGCAGCCGTCGTCAATGTGCTCAACCACAACGCCGTGCCGCTCATGCCCGCCGGCGCGAGCCGCAAGACGCTGCGGCAGTGGTACACGCGCAAGTCGCTCGTGCTGCTGCCTTCCGACCACGTCATCTACACCTCGTCGGAGCGCGAGGGCCGGCGCATGGGCAACCTGCGGCAGAGCAAGCACCAGCGCAGCGTCGACATTCTCTGCCACGAGTTCCACGTCATCGAAGCCTTCATCAACTCGCAGCTGCAGCAGCAGCGGCCCGCCGCGCCCGTCGTGGTGCTGCACTAGACCGCCGCAATGTCACACACAGTCACCTCAGAGCACTCGAGCGCGAGCACAGTGATAAGGTGGCTATTATGCTCGGTGCCGTGATGCTGATCTCCTGCCCACAACGCTACGCGCTGTCGCTCTCGCCGTCATCGGCCGGACCGACGTGCCCGCTCTTGCTGGCCCAGAAGTCGGCGACGACAGCCTTGCCCGCCTTTACTGTCTTCGGTGCCGCCTCGCCGCGGGCAGCAGCAGCGGCTTGCGCAGCCTGTGCGGCCGGCTTGCGAGCGCCCGCCTGCACGCTGGCGCCGCTGTCGCTGTCGCTCTCCTCGAGGTAGAACGTCTCGCTGCGGCGCTGCGGCTGCTGCTGCTGCGCGAGAGCCGAGTGCGTCGTCTTCTGGCGCTTGGCGGTGCGACGGCCGCCACCGCTGGGCGACGAGTAGCGCGAGTCGAGCTCGTCGTCCTGGATGTCCTCGTTCCAGTACGCCTTCGCTGCGTCGCGGCGCAGGCCGGCTTCTTCGTCGTCGCTGTCGTCGACAGCGAACGGACGACCCTGACTGCCGTTTGCAGCTGCAACGGCTGCCGCAGCAGATGCACGCTCCGCCTTCGGCCGGCTCTGCGATCGCTCTGGCGCGTCATCCTTCACCACGACCGCCTCGCTGCGCGACGCCGAAGGCTTGGCAGAAGCGGCGGCTGCAGCTGCGGCAGAGCCGGACGAGCTGCGAGGCAGCGGAAGTCGTGTGCCGGGCTTGTAGATGATCGCAGGCACGGGTGCGGCAGCCGGTGCGGCGGATGAAGCTGCGGACGCGGCGAGCTTGGCGGGGACAGCAGCGGTAGGAGGCGCTTGCGCTCGCGAAGCCTGAGACGGCGCGCCTCCACAAGCCGCAGACTGTCCTGCCGTCGTAGCGCCAGGTGCACGAGGCGGCGCTGCGAGTGTGGCGGCAGGCGCACGAGGCTGCTCGCGCGAGCGCGATGACTCGCCGCCGGCGCGGTGGTCGTGCGTGCGCTCAGCCTGACGAGAGCTGGATGCCTGCTGTGCCGAGGGATGCGCAGGCGCCGGCTCGGGCGACGCAGCCGGCGGAGGACGGCCGAGCTTGTGCTGCAGCATGCCGCCGTAGTAGAGCTCCTCAATCTGTCGAGCATGGGCGTCAGCAAAGCGTGTAAGCCGCCTCATGTCGTGATGCTCACGTCTCTGCGCGCCTTGATAGTGTCTCGAGAGATGCCGAAGATGGCGCCGAGCAGGCTGTTCGGGTCCTTCTCAGCCGAGCCACTCGTGCCGTCTCTCAATGCCTGGCGCGCCTCCTCGTCGGCGTCCAGTGCAGCCGCAGCACGGCTGCCGCGCGCACGCTCGTTTGCACGCTGGCAGAGCGTCGCCGTGAGGATGTCGAAGGCGCCGCCGAGCGCCTGGCGCACAGAGATGATGGCGAATGAGCCGCGCGAGATGTCGTTGCCTAGAGAGCCGAGTCAGCGCTGCTGCCTCCACTCTTGCCTCTGTCGCACTCACTCGTGTCCATCGGGTCCTCGATGCACAGCGCAAATGGCTTGCGCGGGTCCGCAAAGCCGCGCGCCGCCTTGTCAAAGTACGCACCGCGGCCGCGCACCGAGATACCGACGCGGTCGTAGCCAAAGTGCTTGCCGTAGAGCTCGAGGAACTCGATCAGCAGCACGCCGAGGTTGCACGCGGGGTCGAGCTCTCCGCGCTGCAGCTTCGGATGCATCTGCAGCGAGACACGTCAGACGCCGCCGCACTTGCGTGCGGAATGACTCGCTCTCACCTGCACGAAACTGATGACGCAGCAGATGACGCTGTAGCTGCCAAGGCCACCGGAGAAGACCTCGCTCATGCCGCGCTGGCTCAGCAGCAGCTTGACAGCCAGAATGAGAGGGCGGATGGCGGGCATGCGGCGCAGCCAGTCGCTGACCCACGCCGCCGCATCAAGACCGTTGGTCTGGTTGATGCTGACGTCGATGCGGTAGCGGCCGTACACGCACTCGAACTTGATGATCGGCACCTTGGCCTTTGCGATCACGGTCACGTCGGACGCCAGGTTATGGCGGCGCAGCAGTGCCGCCAGCGTGCGTAGCACCGTCTCGCGGCGCGACATGTCCATCGACGGGCACACGACGACAAGATCGATGTCGCTGCACAGAGTGTGAGCGCCAGCAAGGCGTGGCATGAAGCGCCAGCAGCAGCACCTCGCGTCGCTGCACTGCCACTCTTGAGCTCTAGACTCACCCCTGCGGCATGTACAGCTGCGTGTCCTGGCTGCCAAACGAGTGCACCGTGGCGTCGGGCCAGCGGCCGACGACGGCGCGACGGATGAGCTCGATGACGAGCTTGCGCGACTCGTGCTCCTCGCGCGTCGGCGAGAGCCACTGCTCGAACGCGATGAGCTCGCGGTGCAGCCTGTACGTGACGCGTCAGACGAGAGGTGTATGCTGCTGCAGCACTGCAGCAGCACCCGGCAATGCTGCACAGCCGCTGCACTCAGCAGATACGCACATCTCGGCTGCATTACGGCACTCCTCCCACTCGACGTCCACCGCCCAGGGCGTACCGCGGGCGGCGGCACGGGTGCGCTCCTTCTTGGAGCGGCCGTCGCGCTCGTCGGCCTTGCGCTTGCGGCCGGCCACCTGCGGCTGCGCACGCGGCGCATAGGCGTCGGCGTCGTCGGCGGCAGCGGCAGCGGCGGGCGAGGCTGCGCCGCTGCCGTCGGCGCCGTCGCCGTCGTCGCCAAAGTCAAAGGAGATGAAGTTGTCGGTCGAGGCGAAGGCACGCGCGGCGGCCGGCGTGCTGGAGCCGCTGGGGCCCGCGACGGCGCTGGCCATGGCGCAGGCGCTGCGGAGAGAAGACGAGAGCTGGTGGAGGGTGTGGCGAGAACGTGGAGCAGAGGAAGGCGCCTCGAGCTCGCGGTCTGGTGGAGTGAGAGCATTAGACCTGCACGCTCCCACGCTCTGCTGTAATCCGACTACCAAAATTCCTGGCTGGCGATTACATAATCGGCGCGAGGCGCTCGTCCGACCGCGACCTTCGCATCCGCGCGCAGCTCGCCTCTCCTCCAGCTCCTCGTCTCCTCCACCACTCACCTCGCCCGCACCATGCCCGTGCGTCTGCGCCTCGCCCGCCACGGCGCGCGCAATGCGCCCTTCTACCACCTCGTCGCCATTCGCGACTCGGCGCCGCGCGACGCACGCCCCATCGAGAAGCTCGGCGAGTACGACCCCGTGCCGCGCCTGCGCTCTGCCCTCGGCGCCTCGGCCTCGAGCTCGAGCGCTGCTTCATCGTCCTCATCGCACGCGCGCGGCGCCGACGGCGTCTTCACCAGCGGCCTGCCGCGCCCCGAGCAGCTCGTCAAGGAGAAGCGCATCGAGTGGAACAGCGAGCGCATCCGCTACTGGCTCGGCGTCGGCGCACAGCCCAGCAAGCCCGTCGCGCGGCTTCTCGACCGCGTGAGTGGCTCGTGCTATGCGGCTGTCAGGGTGCGGCAGGCTGAGGAGCAAGGCACCGTGCTGCCTCTGAGTGCTCTGTCAGCGCTCGACGGTCAGGTGCCCGGCCTCGCCAGTGCAGTCGCAGACGTCGCTGCTGCCACCAAGCATTCTCACGGCCGTCTGACACACACATGGCTGACTCGTGCACCTACAGGCCGGCCTGATCCCGCCGGGCAAGTACTTCAAAGGCATGCAAGGGCCAGCGCCCGGAGCGCCCGAGGGTGCTGACGCTGCCGGCGTCGGCAGCCAGACGGTCGGCGTGTTGCGAGCCGCCGGCGTAGCCCCGTCTGCGGCTGCCACGCCGCTGCCCGGCTCCGCTGCTGCGGCGCGCGGAGCAGGCGAGGGTGCAGCACGGAGCTCCAGTCCACGAACAGAGGCTCGGCGGGTGGGCCGCGGCGAGGAGACGCACAGCCAGGCGGCATGATGGGAAGAGCGAGCAACACGACGAGCAATCTGCTACTGTGACTATGCATTTGATCTCGCTCCGCTCCCGCTGCTATGCCTTGGCGCCCAATCGTGCGGCCAGCCAGTCCAGCCCTTGTGTCACTCTGCGGGCTGAGTGTCAGCGGAGAAGCCAAGCGAGGGTGTGGAGCAGCTGTCCCACGCTCCGCACGCTCCCTCATGCAGCACTCACCCGTCGCCCGTCAGCGCCGAGCAGGCCTGGATGTGCCAGTCGGCATGCCGCAGCTCGGTGAGGCGCATCGCGGCACTGATCTCGGCGGCGCCCATGCAGGCGCGCACGTCCTGCTTGTTGGCGAAGAGCAGCAGCGGCACGGCGCGCTGTGCTTGCTGTGGGTCGTGCGCACGTCAGCTTAATTCCTCACGTCTGATGCCAGGAGAAAGGTGCTCGGAGGTAGCACATGCGACGCAGCGCGCCAAGCGGCATCCTGCGCTGCAAGAGGACCCGGTGCGCATGCTCTTCCGAGATGCTGAGATGCTGCCGGCCAGCATCTTGGCGAGGCGCACCTCCACCGGCGCAGGTCGTGCGCAGCGCCTGCTCTCCCTCCTACCGCTCCACACAGCGACGCACCTCGCCCACAACACGCCACAGCTCCTCGCGCGCCGTGCCTAGCCGCTCGCGGTCCGTCGAATCGAGCACGAAGATGATGCCGTCGGCGCCCTGCAGGTACGCCGCCCAGCCGGCGCGCAGCGCTGCTTGCCCGCCGACGTCATAGAGAAGGAGTTGCAGCTGTGTATGAGTCGACTGTCAGCGTCGACGCTCCGCAGAGCGGCTGACATGCAGCATCCCCAACAATCATGCGTGTCCGCTCGTAGCCATTCTGGCATGGGCTATCTATAGTCGCTTCTTCCACCCTCCTGCTCCCTGCCACTCCTTCTTCGCTGCTCTACTGCTCTGCCCCTTCGGCTACTGCCGCTCTTCTCCTCTGCGAAGACCTCTGGCACTTCGCTTTGCCTGCTCCGCCGGCAGTGCTCTGCGTGTGCTCTCCTGCCGCTGCTCTGCTGCTCCTCTCGCACTGGTGCGCTGCTGCCGATGTTCAGCAGCCACACTCACGTTGCGGTACGTGAAGAGCTCCGTATTCGAGCCCACCGTGGGCGCCGTGGCAACGGCCTGGCCCATGCTCATCTGGTAGCACAGCGTCGTTTTTCCCGCATTGTCGAGGCCGAGGATGCAGAGCTTCAGCTGGCGCGAGCCGAAGAGCGACGCCCACAGCGTGCTGGCGGCGACGCCCATGGCGGGCGCGGTGCGCGGGCGGCGCGAGCTGTGCGGCGGCGGTGGCTGTGCGAGCGTGCGAGGGCGACGCTCGTGAGGTGCGTGGCTGCGAGAGTGATGCGAGAGCAGGCGGGCAAGATGGAGGTGGATGGGAAGCTTGAGCGCGGCGCGGCGGCGGCTTCGCGCGCGTTTGGGGCTCGGCGCAGCGCTGCGCCGCGCCGTGGACCCCGCCGCCGCACATGGCCTCACGCGTCCTTCCTCTCTTCCATCACCCTCAATCCTCAGCAGAACCAGCACCACCCCTGCGCTTCGGCACCGAGCGGCGCCGCGCATGCCCGAGCCGGCCCGCCGCAGCGCCTCGCCGCGCCGGCACCGCTCGCGCTCGCCGTCGCGCTCGGCCGCTGCGCACGACAGCGACGACGCCTCCACTTCCGAGGAGCGCCGGCAACGTCGCGCCCGCCGGCGGGCGCGCCGCGAGGCCCGCGAGGCACGCCACGCCGCCGAGAAGGAGGAGCGCCGGGCGCGGCGGCGCAGAGACGCAGCCGCGGCGGCTGAGCAGCCGAGCCGCCTGCCCGATGCGCGCGGCTTCGGCGCCAACCTCTTCGCCGCCGAGCGCGCCGAGCGCGCGCGGCACGAGGAGCGCGAGTGGGCCGCCAAGCTCGGCGACCTGCTCGAGGAGGACGAGTGGGGCTGCGGGCTCGGCGCCGGCGAGGAGTATGTGCCGCACCGCTGGGGCGGCATGCGCGCCATGGAGGAGGAGGACTACGCCGAGCACATGCGCCGTGAGTAGAGAGTGGGCAATTGTGATGGGCGCTTTGCTCATGCTTCTTTAGGCGGCATGCATCGCCGCAAGGCTGGCCCTGCTCCGAACACTGGCAGTGCTGCCGGCACGTCGTCCTCGGCACACACCTCGGCCGGCGGTTCTGCAAAGCCATCGCGGCCTGTGCGTGGGCCAGCGCCTGCGCCGCGCTCCACTGGGCCGTCGGCGCAGGAGCTCGCGCTGGCCTCGGCGCATGAGGCGTACTCTGCGCGCTGGACGGCATTGCTCGACGCGAGCAAGTCGGGTGCCCTTCGACACGCCGACATCGCCTGGCCGGTGCCGCCGACGGGCCTTGGACCGCCCGATCTCTCCATCGCGGCGCTGCGCACCTTTCTCGTCTCGCCGCTGCCGGCGCCGCACCCAGAGCCGGCGGAGCGGCTACGCACGGCGCTGCGCCGCTTCCACCCCGACCGCTTCTTCTCGGCGGCCTTTTGGAAGCGCGTGGAGGATGAGGCGGAGAAGAAGCGCATCGAGGAGGATGTGCTGCGCGTGGCGCAAGGCTTGAGCCAGCTTGTCGCTGAGCGTCGAGATCCATGAGGTGGACATCAAAGCGCTTGCAGGCTACGGCCTTGTTGGCATCAGATCGACTCCAGGAACGAACCTCCACACCCGAGCATATCCGATGCGCGAGTCACGCATGACTCCCAGCGAGCTCGACCGCTGCATCATGCGCATCACTCACAGCCCCTTGATGACACGGAAGTCGCAATTCGGCTCGGCTCGCAGCTCGCCTGGCACATCGCTTCGAGAGCATGCCGCCTCCTGTGTGCTCTCACGAGCGAGCGCTGCTATCTCGCCGACGGCACTCAGCGGTACAGCGGCTGCCCGATCCGCGCATGAGGAATGCGCGTGCAAGCAAGCACCCGATGAGATAATCGATGGCTGGCGTGGCGCAGTCTCAGGTCTCTGCTCTGACCTGAGTCATGCCTCGAGCCTGGAAGCCTGCGGCGCAGACGGAGATGGCGCCGACGCTCCGGCCGGCCTGCGACGCCGGTCCGGAGGGCGCCGAGGCCTTGTCCGAGATGGATGCTGCAAGCCGTCGCTCGTCTCTTCTCTCATCTCTTGCCGTTCCTGGCTCGCGCGTGTCGCTGCACCTTGACAGCAGCGTGCATGGCGCGCGTACGCACATGCCAACGGCTCGCGGCAGCGCCATGCAGCGTGGCGTGCGCCGTCAACAGATCTGCACATGGACATGCAGCCCAGCTGATCTCTCCGTCTGCGCCTGGCCTCTGAGCGGTCGCGGCATGAGCGATGCATGATGCGTGATGCTCTCTCGCTTCGCGCGTGCAAGCGATGGAGCGAGGCGTGCCGCTGCGCGAGCCGCACCGCGAGAAGGGCCTCGGCCGTGCGTTCCCACGACTAGCCTCCGACGCAGCTGCACCAGCGAGGAGCCGCTGAGCGGATGCACGCCGCACGCTGCGGGCCCGAAGCTGCTGTTGCGGCTGATTCGCTCGTTCCGGCCGCGTCCAGCGTCCAAGGGCCCAGGGCTCGCTCGGAGGCGTCCGGAGAGCTCTTTCAGTGCTCAGCATTCAGAGGCATCAGCGGCGACGAGCCGTCGAGATGATGGACCAGCACGCAAACAGCCCGAGGGCCGGCAGCTCGGCGTCATGGAGCAGCGCGAACGCTCGGCTTGCAATCATGCCCCCCCTGTGCGCGATGCGCGTGGCTCGAGGGCCAAGCCAGAGAGGCTGCACTCGCACGTGCGCCAAATGCAGGGGCGATGCCGGCTGGTGCTCGCTTGACTGTGCCCCTGCATGCGCCCTTTGTGCGCCCTTGCTCGGGGCGCGATATGCGATGGACAGAGCATGCAATTGACGATCTCATCTCGCGAGAGAGATGGACGAGGATGAACGTGCGTCGCGGTCGGTGCGCGCGGCTCCCGAGTGCCGGCGGCCGCGCGGCGGCGCGTTGTGTTCGGCTCCCACGCTCGTTCAGCTGCAGCACTGCCAAGCGTGATTGTCATGCACACTCACGGGAGCAGTGTGCGGCGCCGGCGGGCGTGAATGACACCGGCGCGCCTGCTGCTCCCGTGCCGTGCCGAAGAGCGGCCCGCCGCGCTCCGCCGCTGCACCCTCGGCGCCTCTCGCCGCCTGCCGCCGCTCCGCCGCTCCGCCGCGCTGGGCGCAGGGCGGCGGCGCGCGCAAAGTGGCGCGCGTGAGAGTGCGCGTTGCAGACATGTCGCGGCCGGCGAGCAGCGCAGACGCAGCACCGCTGAGTGCAGCCGCGCTGCTCCGAGGCGGACGCGGGCTGCAGGCGAACAAGGCCCGCCTTGCGCACGCAGCAAGCGCCGGCCGCACGGCTGCAGGGACCTTCCTCGGATTGCTGTCGTTTGGCACGCGCTGACGAGAGGGGGTGAATGGAGGCGGGCGGCGGCGGCGAGTTGAGAGCGAGCGAGGCGCGCGAGAGAGAGAGCGAGGCGAGAGGAGGCGCACCGAGCACGCCGCGCCTTGAGCTCGCTCGTGCTGCGTTCGCTCCGCCTCGCCCGCCGCGGGAAGCGTCTGAAGCGACGGCGCCGTTCGCAGCCGGTGCCGGGGAGAAGCTCATGTGCTCAGTGCATGCTCGCATGCACGCGGCCGGCAGCGCTCGCGGCGCTGCGGGAGGGCAATCACAGCGCCGCGCGGGCGGCCGCCTGCCAGGAGTGGCAGGTGACGTCGGGGCACGCTTCGCGCCGCCGCCCGTCCGGCCGCCCTTCGCCTCGCCTCGCCTGCCTCCTCCTCGCCAGCGCGCCGCACGCAGCCCTCCCTCTCGCCATCACACCTTCCGCATCCTCTCGCCCACCCTCGCCGCACCCTCTGCGCTGCGCCGTGCTTCGCTCGGAGCTGCACGCCGCGATCCTCGCCTCGCCCTACCCCGCACCCCGATCTGCCGCCACGCGGCGCGCCACGCCGCCGCGCGCCGGTCGCACGCCCGCTCGTCCAGTCTTCGCGGCGCTCCACGCGCGCCAGCCTCGCTCCGCACGCCACCACCCTGCGCACCGCTCACTCGCCGCCACTGCTGCCTACGCACCGGGCAGTGCGGCTTGCCGCAGCGGCGTCTGGCGTGAGCGCGCAGAGCTCGAGGAGTGAGTGTTCAATGGGCGCGCGCCGTGGTGGACAGGACGCGAAGGCGCGACTCGCGATGGCTGCGAGCCGTGGAGGACACGAGGTGCTGCTTTCTTCACGAGGCCGGGCATGGCCGCTCCCGTCACGTTGCTTCCGGCGCCTTGCCGCCGAGCAGTGTACAGCTCGCGCATGGCATGCTGTCCGGCGCCGGCTGTTCTTGGTCGCAGCTGCATGACGGCACGATCGACCTGGGGCACCTTGCTGGCCACCATGCGCCTACGCGCTATGTGCAGCGCCCAGCGTCGCTCAGCAGACGATGCTGCGCCAGATCAGCCGCCGCCATGTCGCCGCTAGGGCCTGCATGCACGCTCGGGCCTCTGTCCGGGGCATGGCGGGCGGCCACGTGCGCCGGCAAGCGTACCTGGAGGCCTGTGCTTCCTCGTCGTCCCGGCTGATCATCGTGTTTCACGTCGTGCGGCATGCTGACCCCTAGTCATCCTCCAGTCTGAGCATAGACATCGCACAGACCGCCCTCCACTGTTGAGCGGTCGCGCCATGTCCTCCTCTCTGCTCTCCTCGGCGTCGGCGTCGAGCTCGTCGCGCTCGATTGCCTCGACGGCGCCCAGCACGCCGCACTGGCGCTCGCCCAAGATGCACTCCAGCGGGCCGTCCAAGTCGGCCTCGACGTCGCCGCGCCACCTCACGGCCGCGACATTCCAGCCGCCGACGTCGCTCGACACGCTCGAGTTCGAGCCGCAGCAGCTGCCGCGCCGCAGCCGTCGCATCAGCGCAGACATCGACGCACGGTCTGCCGCCGCTAGAGATGCGCAGGCACACCGACGCAGCGCCGTCTCGTCGGGCCGCAGCACGCCGGGCGAGTACGAGCATCCTCCCCAATTGCACTCGGGCGAGCACGAGGCACCTCGACGCAGCCAGGCGTCCACGCGCCGCAGCAACGGCGTGCGGCCGCTGAGCATGAGTGCCGCGCCCAACTCGGCCGCGCCGTATGCCATCACCGAGCAGTGGTGGGAGCACGTCCTGCCTCCAGGTCAACTCGCTGAGCGTCTGCGTCGCGCACAAGCCGCGGCTGCCGTACCAGCGTCGGCGAGCGCCAACGATGTCTCGGCCATACGCGAGTACGGCCACGGCACCGCAGCGCCCAGCACTGCAGACCGGGCTTCGCGACTGGCAGCCGGCAGCCTCGGACGCTCGTCGCCGGCGCAAAGTACGAGCAACGCCAGCAAGCTTGCTCGGCCAGCCAGCCACCAAGGCACGCTCTCCTCGACTGCAGCACCGCGCCGCAGTGCGCTCCGCGCCACGCCGTCCAACAGACAATGCGAGCTCGAACGTTCGCACAGCGAGAACTCTCAATCGAGCGACGGCAGCGCAGGCGCCGACGCTGAGAAGCGCCACTCGCCGGAGTTCAACGGCGGCCACTGGAGCGGCGACGGCAAGACGTCGCCTGGCGGCACGGTGCGGGCGCCGCACGCTGCCGGACACTACCCGGCCAGCTCCTTCTCGCGCAGCACGAGCGTGCGTCGTTCACGCGTCATGAGCGAGGACGGCATCGGCCTCGGCTTCGGCGTTTCGCACTCCAACGGCAGCATCGGCAGCTGGGAGCACGCAGCGCCTGGCTTCAAGCCCTTTCCGACCTCGACGGGCGGCCGTGTGTCGCCGGCGTTCTACTACTCCTCGACGCCCGACTTCAGCTCCGAGGACGACCAGCCGCCTGCCTCCAGCCGCTCGCGGCCGCCGCGCGTCAGCACCACGACGCGGACCACGCGCATCACTCGCACCACAAGCACGACCAGCATCACCAGCATGAGCGGTGCGGAGGCGGCCTCTCACGATGCTTCGCACCGCGAGCAGCGCCGCGTCAGCTTCAGTCACGACGCCAAGCCAGACACGTCGGCCAGCGGCAGCCGCCGCGGCTCGGTGCAAGGCTCCACGCCGGGCGTGCGCAAAGGGCCGTCGGGCACTGCGACGCCGGTCGCCGGCAACGCACACCTGCCGTTCCCGTCGTCGGCGTCGACAAGTCAGCGTGCATCTCGCAACGAGGCGGCCTTCGACCAGCTGCCCACGCTGCGGACTTGGCAGCCGGCGCACGACACGAGCGCCAGCCGCGACATGTTCCCCGGCCGCGGCGGCTTCTCGCGCCGCGTGCCTAGTCACTCTGCGCCCACGAGCCCGCGGCAGTCGATTCACCTTCAGGACCACGAGCGTCCGCGCTTCGAGGGCTTTGGTGTGCGCCACCGCAACGGCTTTGCGGCGGGCGAGAGCATCGACGAGACGCAGCACCTGCCCGACCTGGCGCTGCTCAACTCGCTCAACCACGCGCACACGCAGCTCGCCGGCGCCGGCAACCTGGCGATGGCGCTTACGCGGCAGCTCTCGGCGCCGCTGCGTCCGGTCATGCACGTCGCGCTCTTCCTCAGCATCTCGAGCATCACACTCGTCACGCTCGTCGGCTGCCTCATCGCCTCGTACGTGCTCAGCGTCTGGGACGATGTTGGCCTGCGTGGCCGCCGCGTCGGCGCTGCAGCGGGACAGGCGCGCCGCAACATCGAAGGCGGCCTGACGTGGGGTCGCCGCATGCTCGGCGCGCCCGGCGGCAAGGAGCCGAGCGCGGGCAAGCGCCAGCGCATCTCTCTCCTCGCGCCGATCTACTACACCATCGCTGTGCCCGGCGTGCTGGCGCAGAAGCTCGCGCCCTCGGCGCTGGCAGAGCGGCTCGGCGTCGAGGTGGCCGACATGCCGGCGCCGCGCTCGCGCCGTGGCAGCAGCGCCGTGGGCAGCGACACATCGTCCCGTCGCGACTCGGGCAGCACCGAGGCTGGCGAGCCGGCCGCCGACGGCTCGCCCAAGCTCGGTCCCTCGTCGCGGCCCGGCTCGCCGAGCAGCCACCCGATGCCGCCGCGCCCGCCGCTCTCGCACCTGCTGCCATCGATCTTCTTCACCCTCGTCATCGCCCTCTTCGCCGGGCTCGCCTCATACCTCACGACGCGCCGCGGAGGATCCGCTCGCGACGGCATCTCGACGCCGCCGGTCGCGCCGATGTCTTCGCGCCGCCCTCGCGCACCCGTCAGCGGGAGCGCCAGCTCGCGCCGTCCATACACTGTGCACGACGAGAGTCCGCCGCGCTGCTGCTGAGCAGCTTCCGCGCCGCCGAGCTCTTCTGCCCTTCTCCTTTTACGCCCTTCTCTTACCTCACGCACGCCTCTTGAAGCTCCTCATGCCGGACTGCCCGCTGCCGATACTCTCTTCTGCCGCATGCTGTTCGCTTTTCACTCTTCTCCTTCCCTCACTGCCGCTTTCGCACATCTGCTGGCGCAACGATTCCCATGCATACCACCACTGAATGTCCATTCTCTCGTCACTCATTCTCCTCTGCCTTGTTGTGTGACAGTGTGACTGCGAGATCCTGCATTGATGCGACCGACCCGCCTCGAGAGGTAAGACGCGCGCTCGGCGTGTTTGCCAGAGGTCTGAGCGGCGTGCGGGCGGTGGAGATGCCTTGTGCTAGACCTTGCGGCCTGGCACGCAAGCCTGCTGGCCATGCAAGAGCGGCGTTCGTGAAGCTGGCCGAGCGCAGGAGCGCGCTGAGCGGCGTGATGTGCCTCGGTGCGTCCAAAGCACCGAGCGCAGGCGCTCGTGGAAACGTGCTGTGAGATGACGCCCGAAAGCAGAACGAGCACGCGGCTACGAGCCGACGTGGAGCATCTCCTCGTCACCGCCAGCGATGCTGCTCGTCTCGGGCGCGGCGCCGTTCTCGCCCGCCGCAGCCGGCCGTGGTGCACGTCTACAGAGACTGTTGTGAGCATCCGGGCCAACAGATCACTGCAGCTCTACTCACGCGCCCTCCCACGTCTTGTTGACCATGAGCGCCGCCTCGCGCGCCCACTCCTCGCTGCCGACCGCGTTCCTGAACTCGGGGCGCCGCAGCGCTGCAAGGAAGAAGAGGGCGTTGGGATAGCGCAGGAAGCGCGCATACTGCGGCTGGCGCCACGTCGCCTCGAGGCGTGCCAGGTAGCGCAGAAAGGCGGCGTCGTGCAGGCAGCCCGTGTGCGCGAGGTGCACGAGGTACGCCGGCGACGCCAGCGCGCTCAGCAGCTCGAGGTCGGCCGTGAAGCGGTGCAGGTTGACGGCGCGGTTGTACGCCAGCGCACGCTCCTCGCTGCTGAGCTCGGGCGGCGACGAGGGCGCGTCGGGCTCGGCCATGGCGCTGCCTTGTGAGGGTGTAGTGGTAGGACGGCAGGAGAGCGCCTCGCGCGACTTCGCAGACGCGTCCGCCGGTGCGGCCGATCTCGCGCGCCTCCACTCGAGCCGCCTCTGTGCACCGCACCACATCAAGCTCACGGGTGCAGCCAACGCGCGTGCAAGCATCAAGGCCAGCCATCAGCCACTGCAGGCCATGGCCGACTGGGCGCCGCTGCCGCCGCTGCCGTGGCTGCCGTATGCGCCGCTCGCCGGCGCGGCTCTGCTGGCGGCACGAGCAGCCGACATCGGGCGACGCTTTGGCAGCACGGCTCGGCACGGCCTGCTGGCGCCGCCTGTGACTGAGGCCGACGTCGCTGCTCAGCGCGATGGCTTGCACGCCCACGGCGCGCTGCCCGGCAGAGCATACACGGCAGATGACTTTGGTCGGCGCGGCGAGCGCGAGCAGCGCCACCGCGTGCTGCTCCTCGAGGCGCTCGCTCTCGTCGAGGTGCTCGTCTGGACCTTCGTCGCGAGCATGCAGTATGCTTCGAGCGAGGTAGACGCGGCCTCTGCACCAGCTGTTTCCGCCGCCGCGACATGGGTAAGCGATACCGGCCTCCAGCATCAGCGGCTCCCTGACGCGCTGCACTCCAGCTTGTCTGTCTTCTAGTTCTCATCGCACGGCCGCCGACGACTCCGCCTCTGCTGCTCGGCCTTGTGCTCCTGCTGCGCCTGCTTGTGCCGCTCAACGCTCTGCTTAGCAGCATTCCGCTTCTACTCGAGGGCCACTTTGACGCTCGCGCCAATCTGCCCTTCATTGCCGATGCACTTGTCACGCTCACGGCCTTGGGCCTCATTGGTGCCATGCCAGTCGCGCCCGGCGGCTGGGAGGGCCAGGTGCCAGCAGAAGAGCGACGGCGTATCCTTGAAGGCAAACCGATCGCGGAGATGGCCGACATCAAGGCCAGCTACGAGGTGAGCAGCTGCGTGCAGGCTGTCTCGACCCCGCGCTGACATTGCCTCAGCTCTGCCCGACGACGCCCGAGGACTACACCTCGCTGCTTGCCTCGCTCACATACTCGTGGATGGGACCCATGCAGAAGTTGGCGCTCAAGCGGCCGCTCGTGCCAACGGACGTGTGGCGTCTGCGTGCCGTGAACGACGTCGACCTGCTCTCGCAGGCATTCAGCGCACATCGCGGACCTGCGTCTCGGCCTCGCCTCGGGCGCGCGCTCCTGCGTGCAAACGCACGCAACATCTGCCAAGACGCTGCGTTCAAGCTGACGTCTGTCAGCCTGGCGTACGCTGGGCCAGTCTTCATGCGGCGCATCCTCGAAGCGCTCTCGGCAGAAGACACTTCACGCCCGGGCGAGTGGGGTCCGCGCTCGTATGCATTGTCATATGCTGTCGCCACGCTCGTCTTCACGGGCCTGCGCTACGTCACCGAGGTGCGCAGCTACCATTGTGCCCGCCAGGTTGGGCTGCGCATCCGCATCTGCCTCGTCAACGAGCTGTTCGTCAAGGCGCTCAAGCGACGCGACGTCAGCGGCGTCGCTGTGGCAGCAGAGACGCAGAAGGCCTCAGAGAGCATGCCATTACTCGCGGAGGCGAAGAAGCCGAAAGGCTCAGCGGCGAAGCAGGACCAGAAAGAGGACAGCGCCGATGTGGGCAAGCTCGTCAATGTGCGTAATCTGCCACGACGCACCCTGACTAGCGGCTCATGCCATTCTCGCAGATCCTCAGCTCGGACATCAACGTGCTGCTGCGTGCTGGCTGTGACGCTCATCAGCTCTACGGTGCGCCGATGGAGGCCGTGCTCGCCATGGTGCTGCTCTACCGCCTGCTCGGCTGGGCCTCTCTCGCCGGCGTCGTGCTGCTCATCGCGGCGCTGCCAGTCAACTGGCTGATCAGCCGCGTAGCGGTCCGAGTGCAGCGCAAGTGGCGCACTGCGACCGACCGGCGCGTTGCACTCGTGGCCGAGCTGCTCACGGCCATCCGCTTCGTCAAGCAGCAGGGCATCGAGTCGCGCTGGTGCGACCGCGTGCTGGCGGCGCGCGAGAAGGAGCTGGCGGCGCTGATCGTCGTGCGCATCACCGAGCTGGGCTTCGTTGCGCTGTGGCTTGTCACGCCGATCCTTGTGACGCTATGCTCGCTCTACGTCTACACCTCGGTGCAGAGCCAGGTCCTGACAGTGCCAGGTGAGCACTCTCGCAGGTTATCGGCTGCAGCGCTGATCGATACTCCTCAGTCGCGTTCACTGCGGTGACGCTTTTCGCGATGCTCCGCTCGCCTCTCAACGTCATTCCGGCGTTCCTGATGGTCGCACTCAACTCACTCGTCTCACTGCGCCGCTTGGAGGCGTTCCTGACCGAGGAAGAGGTGGACGATGCAGTCTCGTCGCTGAAGGCGCACGATGCGGCCGGTTCAGGTGTTCGCTCTGCCATTGCGTCGGAAGAGAGCGACGATCATGAGCTACCGCTCGGGTTCGAGGGACCTGCTCGCTTCATGTGGAATCAAGCATCCTCCTCGCGCGGCTCAGCAACGCCGCAATTCTGCCTCGAGGTTCCCAGCATCGACTTCCCGCCCGGTGCACTGACGGTGGTGACTGGACGCATTGCTGCCGGCAAGTCAATGCTTCTGCATGCGCTTCTGGGCGAGCTGCGCTGCTCGTCCGGGACCCTCCGATTGCCCAAGTTCAGCGGCGGTGTCTCGCGCATCTCCTTTGCTGGCCAGACGCCTTGGCTGCAGGCCGGCAAGAGCATCCGCGACAACATCTGCTTCGTGACCGACTATGACGCAGCTCGCTATCGTCTCATTGTCGACGCATGTGCTCTGCGGCTGGACATCGACGCCCTGGAGGACGGAGATGATACTCAGATCGCTCGTGACACCCTTTCCGGTGGACAGCGAGCACGCGTTTGCCTTGCTCGAGCCCTCTACGCTCGCTCGCACACCGTCATTCTGGACGACGTGCTCTCTGCCGTCGATGCAAAGGTCCAGCAGCACCTGGTGCAGCACGCTCTTTTGGCGAAGGAGGTGACTGGAGGTCGCCGCATCATCATCGCCACGCATCATCCGAAGCTGCTTGAGGAGCACGCCGCAATGATGCTCACGCTTCATGACGGCAAGGTGGTGAACGTCGCGCGGCAAGCAGCCCCTCTCGAGGTGGCCTCGTCGCTCGGCACCGATGCTGGACCAAGCACCTCCGCATCCTCAGCCGGCTCGACCGCCTCAGACGGACTCAAAGACGCGGCTGCAAGACCGGCACCGCAGGAAGATGCTGTGCAGCCCAAGAGCGCACGGCTGCTCTATCAGCTTGAGGGCCGACGTCAAGGCGCCGTCGCGTGGGGCCTCTTCAGCGTCTATGCCCGCGCTTCGTCATCGGTACCCTGGCTCGCTATTCTGCTCCTCACCATCCTCTTCCGCGTCGCGATCGGCTCCGAGCAGGGCTGGCTCAAGTGGTGGGGCGAGGCTTCGCGCCAGCACGTTCCGAAGCGTGTGGTGTCCTGGCTTCCGTCTCTTCCGCCTGCGGAGGGGCACGAGCGCTTCTACCTGCTCGGCTATGCTGTGATCGGCATTGCCATGATCGTGCTAGGTGAGTCGCAAACGGATCTGCGGCGCCGCACCTTGCTGACGCTCCCCTCAGTGCTCATCAAGCAGCTAGTGTTCTACTTCGCCACGCTGGCCGCCTCGCGCCGCCTCTTCCGCACGCTCTTCACGAATCTGGTCCGGGCGCCGATGAGCTGGTACGATGCGAACCCGCTGGGACGTGTCATTCAGGTGGGTCGCCCACCAGACCAGAAAACTGATGTCTGCAAGGCTGACGACCTCTGCGCAGCGCTTGGGTGCCGACTTCTCTGTCGTCGACACCGATCTCCCAGGCTCAAGCCTCATGCTCTTCAACGACCTGTGGGCCCTCGCGACGTATCTGCTGCTCTGTGCGCTCATCGTGCCGTGGTTTCTGCTGCCGTCTGCGCTGCTACTCGCGTTCGGTCCGCGCTACGTACGCGGCTTCCTGGCCGCCACGCGGGACATGCAGCGCATCGAGAGCACGAGTAGCAGCCCGATGTACCAAGCGTTCAGCCAGGCGTTGCAAGGCGTGGTGACGCTGCGTGCTTTCGGCGCGGAGGCACAGGCTGCCGCACACATGCGCGACATCACGAGCACGACCATGGCGCTCTGGTGGGCCATCGCCACAAGCGACGTGTGGTGCTCGTTCCGATCGCAGATCCTCGGCGGCGTGTCCGTCTTTCTGGCGACGGTGCTCGCCATCACCGGCACGGTTTCGCCCGGCTCGGCCGGCATCGTCATGTCCTCTGCGACGCTCATCACGCAGATCTGCCTCTATCTGACCGTCAACTGGAAAAACCTCTCGAACAACATGAACAGCATGGAGCGCGTGATTGAGTACATGGACGTCGAGAGCGAGATCAAGGCCGAGCACGACCGTGAGCCTCCTGCCGCGTGGCCGTCGCGCCAAGCGACGATTGCGGTCGAGGGGCTCTCGATGAGGTGAGCTCGCTTCGTCCCGGCGACGATGCATTCGAGCTGATCAGAGCTGCCAGGTACCGGCCAGAGCTGCCCGAGGTGCTGCGAGATGTGTCCTTCCACATCAACGCGCACGAGAAGGCGAGTCGTCCGCGACACATTCTTGCCACGTCGCTGACCCTCCGTTGCAGGTCGGCATCGTCGGGCGGACCGGCTCGGGCAAGAGCTCGCTGTTCACGAGCGCCTTCTTCCGCATGGCGCCCCTGTCGGCCGGACGCGTGATCATCGACGGCCTCGACATTGCGACGCTGCCGCTCGAGACGCTGCGCCAGCGCCTCGCCATCGTGCCACAGGACCCGACGCTGTTCGGCGGTACCATCCGCGACAACCTCGACCCGTGGGCGGAGCACAGCGACGAGGCGCTGCTGCATGCGCTAGCCCGAGTGCAGGTCCGCGCCACGCACTCCATCGCTGATCGGCAGGGCAGTGCGGCGAGCGAGCAGGAAGGGTCCGTCATTGCGCTCGACACGCCAGTAGCGCCGGGCGGTGCCAACTTCAGCGCTGGTCAGGCGCAGCTGCTGGCCCTAGCCCGAGCGTGAGTGGAAGAACTTGGAATTGCCGACATTCGTCTGACGCGCGGCCTCAGCCTTCTGCGCGATGCACAGATCGTGCTTCTAGACGAAGCCACGTCGAACACAGACCACCAGGTGCGTTGGGCGAGGGCGACTGATGGCATTTGCTGATGCGTGCATCTGCCAGACGGACCAGGCCATCCAGCGGACAATCCGCGCTGAGATGCAGCAGTCCATCGTCATCACGATTGCGCACCGGCTCGAGAGTGTCGTCGACTGTGAGCAGCCCAGAGGTGTCCGTGCATCTGCAGGAGCTGATGCGATGTTCGCGCCGCAGACGACCGCATCCTGGTGATGGACGCGGGCCGCTGCGTCGAGTTCGACACGCCGGCAGCCTTGTTGTCGAAGGAGGGCGGTGCCTTTCGCACGATGTGTCAGGCCGCCGGCCCGGCAGCGTTTGCGTCGCTGTGTAGAGGTGCTGGATTGCTGCGCGAATAGACTTATTGCACGGCAGTGCTCGCGTGTGCAGCTACGTGCCGGCTGCCGTCTGGCCCTCCTCGCCGTCGCGCATCTGGGCGATGGGCTGGGCGAGCTCAGGAAAGGCGCGCGAGAGCGACTCGGAGAGGCGGTCGTGATAGGCCTGCGACGTTTCGTCAGCCTATGGGGCACCACTGCTGCCACGACACCACTCACGTCTAGCGCCATCGTCATCGACGCCATCTGCTGGTTGTCGGCGACGAGACGGCTGATGAAGGTGCGCGTGTGCGCGTCGGGGTTGCGGCCCTGGTCGATCATGCCCATCACGTCGTCGGGCACCATGGCGGTGAGCTCGGACGACGAGCCGGTGGCCGAGACGTTGCCGAGCGCCGCGACGACGGAGTTGCTGGAGGACAGAGCACGAGTCAGCCGCCTTGCTGCTGTCGAGCAGCACGCCTCCTGCGGCGCTGGAAGGCTTCGCACGGCCGAGCAGCGACAGCCAGCCAGCTCCTGCAGCCGTCAAGCTGCGCGTCTTGGCCTGTCCTCTACTAGCTAGTGCTACAGCCGTACCTCCCAGCCACACTGAACCACCTCGCACTCACATCTTGGCGCCGACGAGGCCCTCCTGGCCCTCGTGCACATCGGCCGTGCACACGGCGAGCTGGTAGAGCGCATCGACGGCGGCGCGCGTGGCCGTCTCGAGCTGGCGGCGCGCGCGCTCGTTGGCGTCGGGCGGCGGCGACGGCGGGCGCTGAGCGTCGCTGCTGGCTCCGGCAGCAGCAGCCGCGGCAGCCGAGGCACCGGCGCCGTCCTGCGGCTCGGGCGAGGGTGAAGGACTGAGCGGCGTGGCGCGGCGTGCGGCAGACGCCATGGTGTCGCGCCGGTGCTGGTGAGAGCTCGCAGCTGTGACTTGCAGCAGAAGCAGCCAGCGCAGGCAGCAAGTGCGGCGTCTGAGTATCAGGCCGGTGGAGGAGTGACTGGCGTGCCCGAGAAGCGCAGTGCCGGCTGCGAGATGGACGCGTTTCGAGGATCGGCCTTGCATCTCGCGCCGCCTTGCCGCTGCCGTGGCGCGGCGGCCCGCATGGACCCCGCGCTGACGCCGAGACTGCTCCCGTGCCGCGGCCCAGCAGCACAGCCGGCAAGCAGCACCAGCACCCAGCCGCGGCGGCGCGCGACTCCTCAGGCACCGCCAGAACGCGTCCGCTGCTCTCGTGCCTGGAGCTTGGCCTGGCCCCTGCGGCGTGTTCGCAGCGCTGCGCAAAGAGTGGCGGCGCACCAGAGAAGCCGCTCGGAGCCCGCCGCAGCGGTACCTGTGCTGCTGCGGGCGCAGGTGGCCCTCGCTCAGGTCATATGTCATCATGGAGGCAGAAGCGGCGCCTTCGATGGGTTGCAGAGAGAAGCACAAGGAGGGCGAAGGCATGCGAAAAAGTGCAATGCTCGACCCGCTGCGGCCGGGTGCTCCGCGTTGGCCGTTCGGCGCTGCATCATCGCGCCGCGCTCGCTGCCTGCGATGATTGCGCCGTCTCGAAGCATCGGGCAGCCGGCCCGAACAACGGTCCAGAGGCAACATTGCGTCGACTCTGCGGCCCGCCTCTCGCAGCGGCTGGAAGCCTGCTCTGTAGAGTCGCTGAGTGAGGGAGCTGCCGCAGTGCAGCGTTCCAGCTGCTCGGTGCCGCCGCCGTGGCGCGTGGGCCTCGTCCGACGCGAAGCTGCGAGGCGGGCTCAGACGGCCTGCTGCGGGCTTGGTGGGATGCTCATCGTGTGGAGAGCCTCTCTGCTTCGCAGCTGTGCAAATCAGAGCTTAGCGCGAAAGCGACAGAAACGAGGCGAGCGGCTCGTCGCTCCTGACCGCTCGAGCCCGTGAGGCCACCGGGATGTCTCCGCGCGAGAAGCCGCAGACGGCTGCTGGGAGGTCGTGTCGCTGTGCTGGGCCTTGCATATGCTTCTCTCGGTCGTCTGGCGACAGGTGGTATAGCGAGAGCCGTCGAGAGCACCGCAGCACGGCGTGGCAGCGGCTGCGGCCCGGCGGCCTGGATGCGGATGGGGCGCGCGCCGGCGAGCTCGCGCATCACGAGCAGGCCACGCGCCTCTTGCTCTGCGCCGCCGCCGCCGGCGTGCCGCGCGCCGCCCGCGTCGCGGCGCCGCCGTGGCGCGCCCGACCCGACGCCGACGCCCCTCTTGTCCTTCGCTCCCGTCCGCTCTCTGCACCCGTTCTTGTGCCCCCGCCGCTCGCCGCACCACGCGCCGGGCTTCTACTCTACCGTCGCTGCCACTCGCTCTTGTCTTGCTGCGCCGTGAAACAGACACCACCCTATTGTATATCCACCCAGCCGCCCCTGTTCCCTGCGCTTCGCTTTTTCGCCAGCCTCTCCCAGGGCAGCGCGGGCCTTGGCATCCCCGCTGCGCCACTTGATATCGCCTCGTGGCCGCCGGCACACCCCGCCTGCTGCGCCGCTGTATGTGCTCGCTTGTGCTTCTCACTGCGCCGATGCTCACACATCCACTTCTACAGCTGCACAGCCTCTCGCCGACGCCGCACCCGGCCCGGCGTCTGGGCAAGCCCAGCGACCCTCGAGCCGCTCTGGCGCGTCGATTTGCTCCGAGCGGCCGCGACTCAGCCGTCCTTACGTCCACATCCTCCTCGACGCTCTCGGCCTGACGCTGCATGCCTGCCGCAAGCTCACGCAACACACACGCATCGGGCTCGTCGTCACGCGCCGCAGCGACCATGGCGCCCGCAAACGGCACGACGACGGCGACGGCGTACAAGACCGGCCAGCCCGTCACGCGCGTCGCCATCCGCAACAACGTCGTCCTCAACATCAATGGTCAGTGGGCGCTGCGGGAACAGCGCCGTCCGATGCAGCAGTCTGACAAAACAACACTCCTCTGCCTGTCCGTGTCTCTGTCCGCTGCGTCTCCCGTGCCCTGCAGACCACATCTACATCACCGCACCCTGGGCTCCAGGCGCCGGCGAGCCGTTCTTGGTTGTGCGTGTGCACGGCTCTGCGCAATGTGCGACGCTGCTGACCATGTCTCTCCTCCCTCTCTCCCTCTCCTTCTCCTGTGTCTGTCGCGTCGCCTCTCGTCTGCGTCCGTCTGTGCCGTGCTCTGATGCTCCCTACTGCGCCGTGCCGCCGGGTCCTCGTTGCCATGCGCCTCTGTGCTGCTCTGCGCTGCTGCGCCGCACCCGCCTCTCTCGTGCCATCCTGCGGCGGCCGATGCGCCTCTTCTGCTGCGCCTCGCCTTGCCTCGGCCTCGGCACCTGCGCGCCGCGCCACGCCGCGCTGCTCGTCCGCCGCACGCGTCCCTCTGCCGCCCGCCGGCACTCTCCGCACGTGGCTGGCTGGCGCCTGCTCATCGTCCACCCGGCTTCGCATCCTCGTCACCGGCCGTATCACTCTCGCCATGGCCCTTAAACACTGCAGGCGCGGGTCATGGAGTTCGTCACGGCCCAGTCGTCCCGCACCGGCGCTGCGGCCCTGGCGTCGTCGTCGGGCACGCTGCAGGTGCGCGCCAACCTCTACCTGCGCATGCGCGACATCTCGCACCGGGCCTCCAACGACCCGCGCCAGCTCGTGGCGACGATGCACTCGGACCTCTTCGCCCTCGAGAATGTGCGCGGCCTGTGCGAGGTGCGCCACCGCGAGCTCATCGGCGATGCGCCCGAGGTGAGCGCGTGGAAGAAGCGCGAGGACCACTTCTTCTACAGCACGCTCTACGACCGCTACATCCACCGCTCGTACGACGTCATCCCCACGGACAAGATCAGGAATGCGCCGCCCGAGGTGCTCGCCGTGCTGCGCCAGAGCTACTCGTTCATCGTCGCCGAGGTCGGCATGACGGCCGACCTGTGCGACGCGCTGCGCGGCTGTGCCGTCTGCCACCGCTGGGCCTCGACGTGCGTGCGGCGCTCTTGCATCTCGCTTGGTCACTGAACTGACATCCTGCTCCCACTGCAGGCCTGAGAGCGTGCGCTGCGACACCTGCAAGAAGTTCTTCCACATGCGCTGCCTCACGCCGCCGCTCGCAAGCAAGCCGGCAAAGGGCTACAGCTGGACATGTGCGCCGTGCTCGCGGCGGCACGAGCAGGCCGTCGAGCAATCAACCACCGGCGCCGGAGGCTCGCTGGGCCTGACCGTGCCCAGCTCCTCCAGCTCGAGCTCTAGCGCGTCCGGCTCGATCGAGATCGCTCGGCTGCCGGGCACGCAAGGCGCGATCCGCGGCGGCACGATCTCGCGCGGCCGCGGCCGTGGACGAGGCCGAGGTGGTGCAGGTGAGGCTGTACGAGCCCGTTTGACCTGGTTCGCGCACTGACGTGACTCTGCTTGCAGCCGCTGGCAACCGGCAAGCACTGCTTGCTCAAAGCGACGGCAACGGCACGGACTTGTCGCCCGACGGCTCGCCGGCGCCCGAGAAGACGCTCGCAGATATCCGCGGCACGCGCTGCTCGGGCGGCTTCCCGTACCGCTACTTCGGCCAGCATACCGAGGCTACTGACGTGCTCGACCCGCACGACTCGATCTACCCGCGAGCGACGACACGATTAGGGCCCAAGTTTCAAGCCGCCCTGCCGTCGTGGGAGGAGCAGCAGGCGCTCGGACTTGGCAAGCATCCCGAGCGACGAGGCGACCGGGAAGAGGCTGAAGCAGCCGCAGCAGTCGCGGCGCTGCCGATGCCCGACGAGCTGCCGAAGAAGAACAAGGGTGGCCGGCCACCAAAGCGGAAACGCGAGGTCCCGGCTGTCTCTGTCGCAGCCGCCGTCGGCGTGCCTCCTGTCGCGTCGTCGACCTCTGGCGTGACCACGGCGGTGGGCACGCCCACGGCCACCACGCCGGGCGCCACCGGCGAGGCGTCAGATACGCCGCAAGCGACGCCGTCGCTGGACACTGTCCCATTGCCTGGCGACGGCCCTCTGCGGGAGTTTGAGCGAGGCACGGATGAGAGCATCGATGTGATCTGGGCGCCGCCGCTCGGCAACGAGAAGCTCGGTGAGTTGCATGCGTGCTGGTCTTGTGCGCTCGTGCTGACCATTCCTGCTGCAGTCGACGCCTACCTTGTCACAGCGCGCAACGTCTTCTCCCAGATTCCGCCGTTCAACGTCGACCTGATCGACCGGGCCCTCTCGATACTCGCCGAGTTCGGTGGCAAAGCCGCGCCAGCGCTCAAGAAGCTCTCGGAGAGCACCCCGGGCGAGCTACGGCAGGTGCACTGGACGCAGAAGGAGATGCGCCAGTTCGACTCGGGCATCAAGGACTTCAACGCCGAGATGAAGCAGATGAAGCGCGCCGTGCCGACGAAGCGCGTCGCCGACATCGTGCGCTTCTTCTACCAGTGGAAGTGGTGAGTGCTCGCCCTGGCTTGCAAGCAAGCAGGCCGCGCTGGTGCTGACGCTCTGCCACCAGCCAACGGCTTCGCGAGACGCTCGAGAAGGAGGCGGCCGAGCTGGCGGAGCAGGAGCGCAAGACCGGCACCAAGGCCCGCGCCACGAGCGGCACGCAGGCACCCATGCCACGGGCGCCGCTGGCATCGTCGCGCGCCGTCTCGCCGTCGCTGTCGCTGTTCGGCGACGCGGCGATTCCGAACCCGAGCTGCGTCATGTGCACCACGACGTCTTCGCCGGTGTGGTACAAGGGCCCGTACAGCTGGCAGAACCGCTACCTCTGCATTAACTGCGGCCTATACTGGCGCAAGTACGCCGCCGAGAGCTCGCACACGCAGGACCTCGTCGCCGTCACGACGCGCCACAAGGCGGCCAACGACAGCGTGCTCGGCGTGCAGCCGCCCGTAGGCAAGCCGTCGAAGATGCAGAAGATCGAGGCCGCCAAGGTTGCCACGCCGCCGCCGCTGCCGCCGCCGCCGCCGAAGCGCGAGGCGATCAAGTGCGTCATCTGCCGCCGCATCGAGCCCAAGAAGAAGCTGGCGCAGTGCATCCAGTGCACGCTCAGCGTGCACCAGGGCTGCTTCGGCCTGACGGACCAGGAGCTGGCGATGGACGCGTGGCGCTGCAGCGCGTGCGACAACGAGAAGAGTCTCGACGCTGCGCTCGTCCCGCACTGCGTCCTCTGCCCGCCGCCAGCGCCGCCGGCGGCCGCGCCTCTGGAGCGCGTGGCGCAAGAGAAGGGTCCCGGCAGGGGCAAGGGCAAGGCCGTCGCCGAGGTTGCGCCTGCGCCGCCGCTCGACACGCTCGACGCCGTCAAGCCGACGGAGTGCAACAACTGGACGCACATCGTCTGCGCCGCCTTCCTGCCCGAGATCGTCTTTACCGACCCCGAACGCATGCGGCTCGTCGAGGGCGTCGGCAACCTGCCCTTCTGGCGCTACGAGTCGGCGTGCTACATCTGCAACCAGCGCATCGGCGCGTGCGTGGCGTGCGCCGAGACGACGTGCCGGCGCACGATGCACGTCTCGTGCGCCTGGACCGCGCAGCCGGCGACGCACATGGGCTTCGACCTGACGCCGGTGAAGAGCACGCGGCGCGACGTCGTGCCGACGGCCAACTTCAAGGGCGAGGCGGGCCACATCAGCCCGCTCGTGTGGTGCAAGGACCACAAGCAGCAGGGCAAGAACAAGCGGCTGTACGAGCTGGGCGAGGTGGACCCGAACACCGGGCTTGTGAGTGCTGCATGCAGCTAGAGGGTGGTGGGTGAAGGCTGACACGCGCTCTTTGCAGACGCTGCTGCAGACGCTTGCTCGCACGCACAAGCACGTGGCCTCGCCAGGCGTTGCTTCGCAGGTGGCAGCCACGGCAGAGCAGTCGTACGCCCTCCTGCGCCGCGCCCGCCGCTACGACATGCTCGTGGCGCAGGCGACGACCGGCAGCCACGCGGGGCCAGCACCCGTCAGCCTCGTCGGGCCGGACTCGAGCGCGCCGCCGCAGGCCGCCGTGTACGGCTACTCGCCGAGCCCGGCGGTGGGAGCAGCCTCGACACGGGCACCCTCCGCTCGGCATCAGCAGGCGTCGGTGCGCATGTCGCGCGCGCCCGACTCGTCGCCGCTCTTTGTGCCCGACAAGGCGGCCACGAATGGCCGGCACCACTCGATGAACGGCCGGCCGCGCAAGACGTGCAGCGAGTGCCACGCGGCGCACTCGCCCTTCTGGTGGCCGCGCCCGAAGCGAGCGGAGAACGGCGGCGACACCGAGATGCACGACCGTGCGGCGGGCAAGCCCGTCGTGTGCAACCGCTGCGCGCACCAGCTGGGCGTCGTGCACAATCCCGCCGACGATGCTGCGCCGGCGAAGGAGGCGCCGGCTGCCGCGACGGCCGTGTCTGCGCGGTGATGGCCGCGCAGAAAACATGCTCTGGGGTGGCGAGCAATCCATTATTATTCTCCAGCATCAGCCCCGGCCGTGAGATCCGCACGATCTTTGCACGCCGGCGCTGCGAGGGGATCAGGTGTGGCCGACTGGCGTGGGAGCGCCAAGCCCTCAGTCTCGCCTGCGAGCAGCTGCATCTCCGCAGCAGCCACGGGTGCAGATGTCGCGTCAAAGCGAGTGTGCGTCTTTCGGCCCAGCGCGAAACCCTGAGGATGCCTGATGCGCTGCTCGAAAGAGGCACGACGACCCCACCGGCACCTGAGCAGGGCGCGCCTGCACGTGCCGCCGAATAATCTGATAAGCGCATCGCCGCCGGCCGTAGCGGCGATGACGCGCGCGATTAACAAATGGCAGCGGGCGCTGAATTTGCGCTTGGCCGCGCGCCGAGACTTCTCCTGTGCCGGGCCCAGCTCAGGCCGCGCTCAGCTCATCCCAGATCAGTCGCTTTGCCACGCGGCGCGCACACTCGCGGCGTGCCCGAGGCGGGGCCGCCGGCTGCTTCCGCCGTGCGCTGCGGCGGCGAAGCGTCTTCTCTGGGGCGCTGCGTCTGGCTGGCGCTGCTGCTTCCCGCTGACCCCAACGCCAGTCCGATCATCCTCACCGACCTCACGACCCGCACACCACTTGCACACCACGCACCGCCAGCTCTTCAGCACATCCCCGTCTCTCTGTCTCTCTCCACCCACCGCACCGCCAGCCATGTCCGCCGCCGCCTCGTCGTCGGCCGCGCCGGCGCCGCTGCCGCACCGCCCGACAAAGACGGTGCTCGTGCTCGGCGCCTCGTACGCCGGCCACCGCGCCATCCAGATGCTGCTGGCCCAGCTGCCGGCGGACTGGCGCGTCGTCGTGCTCGAGCGCAACACGCACGCCAACCATCTCTACGCCTTCCCGCGCGTCGCCGTTGTCAAAGGCCACGAGGAGAAGGTAAGCGTCGTGCGGCGAAGACGATGGCTCTGTGTTGGGATGGTGGCCCTGTGGTGCTCTGCACTGTCACTGTGCTGGTGCTGCACATGTATGTCGCTGCCAAAAGCACGTTCTGCACAGCGCTGCCGCTGAGTTGCTCCTGCGCCACACGGGCTGACTGACTCCTTCGCAGGTCTTCATTCCCTACAGCAAGATGTTCTCGCCCGGCGGCGTCGACTCGCCCGGCAGCCACGCGCTGCTGCACGGCTGCCTCATCTCCCTCGCACCCACGACGCCGCCGCCCAACTCGACGCGCCCGCGCTACGGTCGTGGCATCGCGCGCTACCTGCCGCTCACCGGCGGCTCGACGTGCTGCCGCTCGCCCACGGCCGCCGCCGAGATGATGGAGGTGCGCTTCGACTACCTCGTCTACGCCCTCGGCTCGCACCTGCCGCCGTGCATCAACGTGTGGAGCGGGCCGGGCCCGATGCCTGCGCAGCAGGGCTCCGAGCTCATGCGTCCGGGTCGCTGCTGTCGCGAGCAGCCGCCGGCCGACAGCCGCGAGTCAGCCGAAAGCCGCGCCCTGCCGCTGCGACGCGGCCGTGCCAGCGCCTGCCAAGCTCTGCCGACGCCGCCTGAGGCCGCCGATGCCACAGAGACGACGGCGCAGGGCAATGCGAGCGTCGCCGACATCGCCACGCAGCTGCAGGAGAGCCTGGTGCTCGACCCGCACCTGCCGTACGACGAGCGCCCGCCGTCGCCGCCCGACTCGCGCTCCACGTCGCCGCGCCAGAAGGAGGCGTCTGGCACGCCGACGGCCAACCTGCCGCCGTGCCGCGGCAGCAAGACGGAGGGCGTGGCGTGGCTGCGCGACGCTCAGGAGCGCATCTGCAAGGCCGCCTCGGTGCTTGTCATCGGCGGCGGTGCGCTCGGCGTGCAGTTCGCCGCCGACATTGCCGCGCTCTACGGCACACCCTCGGCGCCCAAGAGCGACACGCCCAAGCAGGTCACGCTCGTCTCGTCGAGCAAGAAGCTGCTGCCGCGCTTCGACGACTATCTGCACGAGGAGACGATGCGCCGCTTCGAGGCGCTCGGCGTTGATGTGCTGCTCGGCGCGCGCGCAGACCTCGAGAGCATGAAGATCACCAGCGACGAGCGACGTGTCGTGCGCACGCTCGATGGCCGCGAGGCTGCAGCGGACCTTGTGGTGAGTGGCGTGCAGTGCGGGTCTCTGTTGCATTGGCTGACTCATAATTGCGCAGCTGTTCTGCACGGGTCAGCGTCCGAACACGTCCTTCCTCTCCACCTTTGCCTCCAGCCACGGCCTCGACTCGGTGCTCTGCGACCGCAGCCACATGGCGCGCGTCAACCGGCATCTGCAGCTCGGCGTGCACACGCCCGGCTCGGACGAGGAGCCGCAGGTGGCGCCGGGCATGGAGCACGTCTTTGTCATCGGCGACGCCGCGGACGCGTTTGGCGCGCTCAACGCCGGCCACACGGCTTGGACGCAGGCTGAGGTGGCCGTGCGCAACATCTGCGCACTCGTCGAGCGCGAGCGCGCTGACGACGCTGAGGCTGCGGCGAAGGAGCTTGCGCGCTACACGGCGCCGGAGCCGAACATCAAGGTCACTGTTGGTCTGGTGCGTATCTGCCGCTGATGATGAGCCCTCCGCAACCGGCTGACCCTCCTCACAGGACTGCGCCGTCTTCCAGTCCTCCGGCAAGGTCGGCGTCAAGGGCCCCGAGGAGTGCCCGCTCGACCTCAACGCGCCGTCCATGTGGACCCGGCGCGGCCTCAGCCAGGACGACATGAGCGTCTGAAGCGCCTGTGTCCCGCCGCTGTCTACCTCGCATGCCTTTTGTACATCCGTCACGCACATAGCCTCACCCTAATCGCATCAGTCGCGCAGCAAAGAAACAGGGTGACTTCCCGTATGCGCTGTGCGCGTCTACATCTGCAGCGCGCCCTGCTCGAAGGGCCCCAGCCCGCTGTCGAGGAAGCGCAGCAGATCCTCGAACGCCGCATTGCTCGCCTCGTCCTGCCGCGGCTGCCAGTCGCCGACGTTGCCCATCAGATCCATGTCCTGCGGCGCTGCAGCCTGCTGCGCGTACTGCGACGGAGCGTCGGGCGCAGAGAGCATCGGTGCGAGGCCCACTGGCGGAGCCCGGGCAGCAGCGGCGCTCGACGGGGCTGCCGCACGCGCAGGTGGGAGCTGCGGCGGAGCGTTGTACGCCGCGTTGCTCGTGGCGCTCATCAGCAGCAGTGCGTCCGCATGTGCGCTCGAAGAGGCGTCCGCCAAGGGTGCACCGTTGGGCGTCTCGGATGCCTGCGACGGCGGCGAGGCGTCGGTCTGCTCGCGCTTCGGCGAGACGTTGCGGCCCGACAGCGAGTCGCTCGACCACAGCCAGCCGCGCGGCGGCGTGCCACGGCTCGTGCGCTGCCCGGCCGCGAGGATCGGCTCGTCCGAAGCGTGCGCTGCAGCCTTAGCGGTCGTCTCCTGCAGAATGCCGTCGAGGGTGCGCGCAAAAAGCCGAGCGTTGTCTGTGCTTGTGAGGATGCACGCGGAGAAGGCATCGCGGCAGCGTCGGATTATGTCGATGCTCTGCGCCGCAGTGCTCTCGCCGCCCTTCTGCATGCGCTGAATCGACGCCAGACGGCAGAGCAGCAGCGCTGCCCACGGCGCCAGGAGGCCGACGCCGTCCGTAGTGCTGCGCAAGTAGAGCGGCGGCAGCGCTGTGAGCGCGATGAGGATGGCGCGCGCGGTGCGCACACACGGCCAGAGCGCCGGCATGTCGGTCAGCAGCGAGCCGAGGTCGGCCTGGCGCGCGTGCTGGAAGCTGTGCTTGAGGCCGAGCGTCGAGACGTGCAGCTCGATCGAGTTGATCCAGATCTCCAGAATCGTGCTCTTGTGGCCCCACTCTGCCGGATCGATGCCGGCGTGCGCGCGCTGCACCTCGCCGTGCCAGCGCGCGTTCCACTCGCGCACCTCGCTCTGCAGCGCCGGCAGCAGCACGTTGGGCCCTTCGGCCAGCGCGCTGTGCGAGCTGCTGGCACTGGCGTGGTCCGGCGCCAGCCGGCTGATGACTGCGAGATACTTGCTCTGCATGCGCCGGCAGTCGACGCTCGCGCACTCTGCGAGGAAACGTCAGCAGTGGTCTTCTATGGCGCAAGCACGGCAGACTCACGTAGCTTGTCGTCGACGAATGTCCCGGGCTGCGCGTGCCACATGGTGCACTCGGTGATCAGCTCGTTGTCGTGCGGGAACGTGGGCGTGGTGAGGTAGTGCATGCACTGCGTGCGATCCTGCATGAAGAGCGCCAGCCACGTGCGCTGGCGATTCAGGAACCAGCGGTGCTCGGCCTCGGCGTTGGCATCGCCCTTGTCGCTGACGTTCTGCTTGGCGTCGAGCGCCATGGCCATGGCGATGCGGAAGCTGAAGCCGCAGTGCAGGTACGAGAGGCGGTCGTCGGGCTCCTTCCACGTGGCGAGACAGAAGAGCGCCTGGCACGTCTCGATGCGCGGCTCGTCGTCCTTGAAGCTCCACGTGCGCAGCAGGTCGACGTGCGTAGCGAGCTGCCGCCGCTTGAGGGCCGCACGCGCCAGGATGGGCACCGGTGAACGACGGTGCTCGTCTGTCGCCTCGTCGGCGGGTATGGCTAGCCTTGCTGTGATGGTCAAAATGGCGCAGTACAGAAAGGGCGACGCAGAGCGCACGTAGTCGTGCGTGTGGAGAGTGGGATCAACTGCGCTAAGCGTGAGCGGCAACGCTGGCAGCAGCATGCGAGAGCGGCTCACACATGGCACACCACGGCAGGTAGTAGGCAAAGAAGAAGGCGAACAGCTGGCGACCCTCCTCGAGCGTCACGATCTCGAGGCTGACGGGGTCGAGATGCTCCCACGGGGGCGGACGCGGACTGGGCGGGATGTGCGCGAGCAGCGACGGGTCCGAGCCCATCCACGGCTGCAGCAGGTCGGCGAGCGACGGCGGCGGGCGGCTCAGCACCTGGGCCTGCGAGGCCGAGCTGCGTGCCAGGCTGATCGGCGCCGGCGCCTGCTGCGCCGGCGACGCGACCGACGAGCCCGAGGCGACGCCGTTGGAGTAGGCGCGCCCGAAGCCATTGCCGGCAGCGGAGCCGTGCGCCGAGTTGAGACGCTGCTTCTTGTGCGCACCTGGGCTGGCCGAGGGCCCGGCCTCGCTGGAGCGGCTGTGGAGCATGTCAGACGCGAGGCAAGAGGAGCACGTCTTGCGCCATTCACCTGACCGTCGGCTTGCGGCCCTTGCGGTGCGCCAGGTAGACGCACTCGAGCGACAGCCGCTCGCAGCGCTTGCAGCGGCCGCCCGGCTCGGCGAGCGGCAGGCAGCGGACCTTGGTCGCGCGGCACTCAGAGCACGCCCTGCGAAGAGGCGTCAGCAGGCGTGGCCGTGCGGCCCTCGTGCGGCAGCGCTCACACGGGGATCGTGCTGGCAGGAATGTCGCTCATGGCTGAGACGTCTGCTGTGCAGTCACGCTTGCGTCCGTCCGTCCGTCCGTGCGCGGCGTCTTGTTCGCCAGCGCAGGTCCTGAGCTTTGCTTTGAGGCTTGAGGAGTCAGAGTACGGTGCCAAGCGGGAGGCGCCGGTCGGAGCGCGTAGACGCTGCGAGCCAGGCACGCGACGCGCCAGACCGCTGCGCTGCCGCGGAGCGCTGCACCGCTGCTGCGGGGTGTGCATGTCGTGGCTGCACGGCGTGCGGGCGCGCCAATTACAGCCTGCTTCTAATTAGACTACAGAAGGCGCCAGCCGGCCGCGAGTCAGCGCCCAAATTCGCAATTTGGCGCGAGGGGCCGCACAGCGCAGCGCAAGGCACCAGGAGCACCTCCTGACGCTGCCTCCTCTACGCTCTCTCTGAGCAGGCGCCGGGCTCTTGTGCCTCGAAATACAGATGAGGGTGCTCAATGCGTGATAGCTGGGCGTCAGAGGGTGCCCATCAGGGACTGCTGTAGCGGCGTCGTAGCATCAGCGCACGAGGACGTGCGCCGGATGCGCGCACGTGGAGGGCTCGTCAAGCTTGCAGCCAGAGACAACACCTTGCCGCTGTCGCTCCAGGGACGGAGAGCAGCAAAGGCGTCGCTCAGCGTGGAACCCGCCAAGCCTCGCAGCGCCGGCCCGGCCACGCAGCAGCAGGACGACGGGGCTTCATTTCGACTCGTGGGAGCGCAGCAAGTATGTCGTTTTCGGGAGGAAGAGGGGGGCGGATGGAATGATATGGGATGGGCGGGCGAGAGGGGTAAGAGAGGAGGAGCGAGGCGCGCAGAGGAAGCCAGGTTCGTCAAAGGTTCGTGTGGGCAAGGCGAGAAGCGGAAGGAGAAGGGCCAGGCCAGAGGCGGCATGGCTAGCACGCCAGCACCTGGCCCGTAAGAGCTGAGCTGCTCCGGCTCAGAGGGACAGCGCCCGAGCGGCCGAGCTGCGCGCACTCTTGCTGCGCCGCGAGCAGCCAAGCGAGCAGGCGCTTAGTTGATGTCGGCGGCAGTGGGCGCCACGGGCGTCGTGTGGCTGGCCGAGCGCGACGACGAGTGGAACAGCGGCCGGAGGGCGCGGTGGTACACGATCTTGGCGCCCTGAGGAGAAGCACAAAGGTCAGCGGGATGCAGGAAAGGCCACATCTCGTGCTGAGTCGTCGTGGTTCGAGGCACAGTGGCACGGCGCTGCCTCACTGCACATGGCGCGCTGGCGTGCCTGTCCATGCGAGGCAGTGCGGCCCGGTGCCTCAAGCCTGCCGGCTCTCGCGACTCTTCACGCACCTGCGTCTGCGGCAGCATGAGCCACACGATGGCGAGGGTCTTGAAGGTGTAGTAGAAGGGGAACCTGCAGCGCGGCGCGCGGTCAGTACTCTGCTCGGCGTCTGCGTTGTGTCATGCTGCCGGCGCACCACTGTTGCGGGAGAAGGTCAGCCAGTGCTCCACACAAGCGCCCGGCAAGCGCCACGCACGTAGAGGATCAGGTCGACGAACGACTCGGCGAAGTTGAAGGCGCCGAAGACGACCCAGTAGGTGAGCCTGTGCGCAGCAGGGCGCAGAGCGAGAAGCAGAGACGGAGAGGACGCAGAGACGTCAGCAGCAGCATCAGGGCTTCCTGTGTGCGCCGCGCACGCACCACTGGACGTCGTCCTGCGGCTGCGGCGTCTCGAGCGCGCGCATGGAGAAGTAGGCGGGCAGCACGAAGCCGATGAGGTTCGTCAGGAAGCCGGCGAAGCTGCAGAGGGTGTCAGACAGCGCAAGGGGCATCACGCAGCACAGCGGCGCACATGTTGAAGAAGACGAGCTGTGCGAGGCAGAGGGTCAGCACAGACAGCGGCATCCGTCAGCCGCAAGGCACGCACGATGGTGAAGAGCGAGAAGGCACCGATGGCGCCGTAGGCCTTGGGGATGTTGGTCGTCTGCTCGAGCTTGACGAGCTGCGGGTACTTGGACAGCTGAGGGAGACAGGCGTGAGCCGGCGAGCGCTTGTGCGGCGTGGTCGAGCCAGCTGTGCGAGCGTGGCAGCTGCGCTGGAAGATGTGCACGTCCAGCGCCGCCTCCACCGCAGACCCTGCAGCCGCGCCGCCGTGCAACAAGCGCATCCGCCGCGAGCCTCGCATCCACGCCAGCCATGAGCCCTCAACGCACCTCCTTGTCGATCTGATGGAGCTCGAGAGTCAGCAGAGCACACGGCAGCAGCACAGGCCCGGGCGGCGCGCAGGCTGCGCGCGATAAGGCGGCAGCCGCGGCGCGCACCGGGCCGGACACGCAGCACGCACCTGCGCGACGAAGTACTCGGCCTTCTGCTGGAACTGCTGAGCCTGGGCAGCCATGGTGGGCAAGATGTGGTGGGTGAGGTGGGTGAGGGTGCGGGTTGGCGGGGATGGGTGTCGGGAGCGAAGGCGGCGGCGGATGCGCGCGACGATGAGCTGTGCACGCAGCCCCAGCCGCAGCGGCGGCCGCGGCAGCGCCGCAGAGAAAGGAAGCTTCACGCTCACCGCGCGCCGTGCACGTCACGGCGGCGCTCGAGCTCTCAGCGCGAACTGTGGCAGCGCAGGCACGCGGCCAGTGTGCGCATCGGCGCTCGCGCCAGCCCACGGCCACGGTGCACGCGGCACGGGAGCAGCGGACGGCAGGGCTGGGCCCGCCTTGGAGCGCTGCCGCACCTCATCGTGCACCGCGCGCGCCGCGCGGCCGGCGCGCTGCTCCGCCGCCTCGTCGTGCCTTTCTTCGCACGCCGCGTGGATGTGCCGCGGCTGCTGCTGATGCTGCGGCTCGCGCTCTCCGCACCGCCTCGCCGCGCCGGCCTCGCTGCACGGCTGCGGCACAGCGCCTGCGTCCTCTGCCGCTCCTGCACCCTGATGCACGCTGCTGCGCTGCGCAGCGACAGCGCCGACGTGGCTGCTGCGTGTGCGTGGAAGAGGGAGCGCGCCGCGAAAGAGAGCATCACGCTCACGCGACCTGGCCATGCCTCTGCGCTCGCCGTCGAGGACCCTCCTCGGCCAGGCGCTGATGAGCCTGCACGCCGGGTGCCGTATGATGGGGACCTCGTCGAGGTGCCGCTTCCTATCGCTGGACGCCGTGTGGCCGGCGTGCGGCGTGCTCGCGCCTCACGCCTCAACACACTTTACCCAGTACTCCTCTCGCTGCGGCTGTGCTCCTAGGCTCCTGACCAGGCGCCGACCGAGTGCCGAGAGCCCTTGATGATGGCGTCAGACCCCGCCGCTCGAGATGCGGGATGGCGGATACGAAAGCAGGCTCAGCGCAGTAAGAGTCGAGTCAGTCCGTAGACATGCGGGAGAAAGACCCCTTGAGCTGATCGTATGGCTCTGCAATGGGCATCGCGAGAGCAGCAGGACAAGAGCCTGCACATTTTGAGCCATAACCCACCACACATCTGCAGTAGAGAGGTGCAGCGAGGCCGGCGAAGGAGATGAGGCTGCTCGCTGTCGGCACCGCATGCCGCAGGGGCGCCTGCAGCCAGCAGAGCAGAGCGCGCGCCGCGTGGCCCGTGCATTCTGCTCCAGCTGCACCATCCTCCTGATCTGCCGTGTGGAGGCGCCGTTCCCCCCTTTTCCTTCTCTTCCACCACCTCGCAGTCACCCATCTACTCGGATGCCTCACATCATCACGCCTCACGCACAATTCGCATTTCAAAGCCCGTTCAGAAGCCGCCGCTCATGGCTAGCCAATGCGTGAAGCACTCCTGCGCGAAGCGCTCGAGCTGTGCCTTGCACTTCCTCACATGTCTCGCAGCGAGCAGCAGCGCCATCGCAGCGCCTAGTATCGCCAGATCTGCACCTGTCGATGAGAGGCGCGCAGCTAGGCGGGCATAGAGATGGCGTGTGTCGTCGCCGCGCGGCAGCGTGATGCGATGCATCGTCAGCGCGTCGTTCTGGCGCAGTGAGACGAAGCCGCTGGCGTCGACTACGCCGGAGAAGGCGGCCGGTGATGCATCGCAGATGAGTGCGCCCGCAGCTTGACCTTCAAGCACGGCTTCTCTCGCTTGAGCGACGAGCAGCACAGAGAGAAGCGCCGAGGACGTGGATGCGGGGATGAGGAGTACCTGGGCTGGGCTCGAGGGGAAGGCCATCTCGTGGCAGATGCGAATGGCGAGTGAGACCGACGTCGAGCCGAGATGGAGAGAAGTGGAGGAGGCGGGATGCAGAGAGGGAGAGGAGGTCTCGAAGAAGGGCACAAGGTGCGTCTTGTCGTGCACGAACGGCGTCGCGTCACGCGCGAGGAGAGTGCTTCTCTGCGTGGTGGAGCTCTCCGGGCCGTCGAGGCGGTAGGAGAGCAAGACAGCACTGCCGTGGTTGTTCACTACGCTCTGTGCGGCTCTCCAGAGTTCGTCTTCTGCGCGTGAGTCGAGGACGTGCAACGCGCCTTCGGGCCAGACGATGAGTTGTGCGCCGCGCGATGAGAGGACTCGAGAGGCATGAAGGAGGGCTTCTTGTGCGCTTTGCCGATCCTCGGACGGTGGAACGGAGGAGATGCACGCTACCGCGATCGATGGATCATTGATGGACAGAGAGCGGGTAGAGCGAAGAGGCGAAAGCAAGAGAAACAGCAGCATGGCGACGGCGCCCAGCTGGATGCCGCTCAACTTCGCTTGTCGAAGACCATCGCGTACGGAGGCGTAGCGCTTCAGCCAGTAGCTCTGCTCTGCTGTCGCGGTTCTCGAGCGGAGCCATCGTGGTGTGGGGCCAGCCTCGACGTCCGATGCGCTCCCCGTCACGCTTGAGCTTTGCCACTCCGCCGTGTCCGGAATCACCTCCGTCGCGGCGACGCTGGCAGATGCAGTCGCAGCCCAGGACGAGCTTGTTTGGTGCGTAAGCAACGGCGCGTACTCGCTTCGAGGCGTGACTTGGACTTGCGCTTGCCGCGCTTCGTTGAGCACGGCAATAAGCTTCTCGCATGACTCGGCGAGCGCGAGGGCGAACAGCATGGCGCTCATCGAGACGCCGACTTGTCCCGCCAGTCGCCGGATCGGATCGAAGAGGTCGGACGACGTCGCAGGAAGTGAGGCACGACTTGTCCAGCTGCGCATTTGGGGTCAGCACGGAGCGTGAAAGGCGCGAGAGAAGCTCACTTGAGGGCTCGTCCTGCTGGACTCTGAGCGACAACGACCCACACCGACGCCCACAGCACCACTGTCCAAGCGCTCGAGCCGCATCGCCGCCGCAGAGCCCAAGTCAGCAGTCCGCTCGCGTATAGCACGACGGCTGGGCCTAGCAGCGCAACGCCCACAGGCGTAGGATGCGCCTCGACGAGCCCGCTGCGCAAGGTCGCGAGCGTGCCGCCCGCAAGGACACTCAGTGGATGCGGAAAAGGCGAGAGGATAAGAAGAGTGAGGAGAGGGATGGAAAGCAGAGAGCCGGAGCCGGATTGGACGAGGCGGTGGGAGAGAAAGAAGAGCAACGCGTGACGGAGAAGAGGTGGCATGGTGGCGATGGAGTGGTGGCGGTCGTGGGAGGAAGACGAGGAGGAGGAAGACGAGATGTGCCCTTGGGGTGCTGTCTGCGCATTCTTGCTCGACGTCGAGCTCATCAATGTACTTGCCACTCGACATCACGGGCCGATGATGAGGAACATGTTGCCGGAGCCCGGACGCGGCGGCGGCCCGTGCCTCATCAAGCGCACCAGACAAGTCACGCGTCAGGAGCCGTGCCGCAGAATCGGCCGCCGACGCTTCCTGGCCTGCTCACTCGACTTCTTCACAACCTTTAGCAGGTGACGAGTGGCATGACAGATGCGAAGCAGAGACGTGTGCGATACAGGCTGCCGAACGACGGAGGTCGCGGCGCGGAAAGGCGAAGCAGGACAAGGCCCGATGGATCAAGACACCTAGGCGAGCAGCAGCATGCCGAGCGCGGACGCCGCGACGACCGCAAGCGAGCCCGCAGCAGCTCCGAAGTGAGAGGCGGCGCCGCTGACCTGCATGCCCGTCGACGGCCGCGTGGTAGGGATGGCGGTGGAGCTCGCGGCCGAGGAGCTGACGGCGAAGACTTGCGTGGCGGGAATCGAGTAGAGCGACAGGAAGGCATTGAGCGTGGTGGCGGCGCCGTCCTGGCTTTGTGTGAGCTGCGAGCGCACCGAGGCGTAGCGGTTGTCGTTCCTTGCGGCCACGGGTCAGTAACGGAGAGACAGGGATGAACACAGTGGATGACTCACTTGATGGTAGCCGCCGAGCGATACTGCTCGCCGACGCTCTGCACGCGCTCATCGAAGTTCGACACGAACTGGCTCTTCAGAGCCGGGTCGCCCTCCGCGGTGGCGATGACGGCCGTGACGAAGCCAAACTGGTTCTGCTCCATCTCGTTCACGGCCGAAGAGAGGTATGCCGAGTCGGAGGCGTGCGAGCGCAGGTCGTCGAGGAAGGCACCGACGGCGGAAGCCTGGGCTTGGCCGTCGATTGAGGAGAGGGAGCCGCGCTGCGCCACGGCGAGGAGCGCCGGGTAGCCGGTGATCGCCGGCTGCGGTGCGGCCGTCACCTGGGGCGCGGGCGCGCAGGCGACCAGACCGAGCACGCTGAGCAGGAGAAGCGGACGGAACATGCTGTGCGCTGGAGGGTGACGGAGGGAGGACAGTGACAGTGGGTGAGAGAGGGACACAAAGGCGAGCGCTACGCTCAGGGCGCTGCCTTTTGACGTCCCCGGCGTCCGTCCGGGCGTCTCCTTGCGGCCAGGTGCGCACGGCCGCATCGGACGCTGCAGCAGCAATGCGTGCTGTGGGCGCTGTCTCGGCATCGGGCTGAGTAGACGCACTGTGCCCTGCGCATGACGGCTGTGCTTGCCGAGGCCTCCGGCGCCGATGCCTCCAGTCCGGCGTGCTGAGCTGCTGCCCGGACGCCACGAGGGCAAGCGCGAGTGGCCAGCAAGTGCAGCGACGATGAATGGCCCGAGCCTAAGTCTGTGGCGGCGCTCTGCTGTCATGCTGGCCAGATGCATCCGCCAATTGGCTCTCTGCACGGCCGAGCGGCGGCGGCTGTGGGCTGCGTCAGGGCAGCGAGGACGGGCGTACAGGCGTGAGACCTTGCTGCAGCCGGGTGCAGGCGACGCTCACTTGCGCCGCCTCGTCACGCCCTGCCACCTGGGCGGTCACTTGCTCTCGGACAGCACGCATGGAGTAGCCTCAAGCTGCGTGTTCTAGCGCCGCTTTCCGCGCTGCAGAGCAGACAGGCGGCGAAGCGGGTCGGGAGGGCGGAGGGGGCGGAGGGCCGCGGCCTCGCATCCCGATGCGACGCGCCCGAGGAGCTTCGACAGGCCGCCGCAGCAGCAGGGCTGAGGGCGAAGACTCTCGACCACGGAAGCCCAGCTGCGAGGCAAGAGCTCCGAACTGCGCTCCCGTTCCGCCTGCGGCCGCTGGGCTGCTGGTCTGAGCCGAGCGAGGGAGAGGCAAAGGAGGAGGCAGCGAGGCTCGGAGGCGTGCGGCGGCCGAGGCGTCGGTCTTTGAACCCAAGGCTCGCCGCGCCGCATGCGGCGTCCACCGCCGCCAGCGCCGGCACGCGCGCGCAGCAGCGCCCCGCCCACGGCGCCGCGCCGCGCTCTCGGCGCAACTCAACCTTGCCTGTCTCTGCCGCTGCACCTGCAGGCTGCACTTGCTGCATGCTGAGCTTCATCGTGAACCTCTTTCAGCTCGCCTTCCTTTCATTCTGCAGCTGTTCACGACGATTGAGTCCGCCGCAGCTTGCTGTCAAGCGGAGCACAGTGCAGCGAGGGCGGCGTTGAGGCAGCGTCCACCACCGCCGCGCGTCGGGCTCAGTTCCGCGGATCAGCCGCATGCAGCACGCCGTGCGCCGACGCCCAGCAGGTCTCGTGCGGAACCCTGTCTATCGCTTCATGCCGCTCGAAGTCAGCCTTCTCAGCCACTCAGGGTGCAGGCGGATGGTGAGAAGTGGGTTGCTTCGGTCTCGTCCATCACGTGCGCAGACTGCACCGCCCATCTGAAGCTCGCGTGTGAAAATCCTCTCCAACGTCGCCTATGCCCGCAGGCTGGGAATCCACCACCCCGCATCGCCTCCTCCGTTGCCAAGGTACCACACCGCGAGCAGCAGCACGACGACGGCCTCGAGCGCTCCGGCAACCACGTTGCCTGCGCCCGCGGTGACGAGTGCGCGCCAGACGATGCCGAGTGCGCCGTCGAGCGTGCGGCCCACGAGCGCCTTGCTGCGCCACGACGCGTCAATGGCGTACGGCGCGTGCCTCGAGAGAAGCGTGCCGCGCGAGGCGGGAAGGCGAAGGAGAGTAGTGACTGGCTTGTGGTCGGAGATCTGATGCAGAGACGTGAGCTGAGCGGCACCGACAGGCAGGGATGCAGGAGCAGCACTCACCGTGTAGCTCATGACGCTGCGATACAGCTCCACTTCCACTCCATGCATCTCCTCCTCCTCAGCGCCCACGCTCGCCCAGAGGATTCTGTCCGTCCACCCAGGCACACGCTTGCCACTCAGCACGCCCTCGCCCTTCTCCTTCGCCAGCTCTTCCGCGCTCTTCTTCTTGTCGATCTTGTACTTGTACGTCGGGCCAAAGCCGGCACTGGCCAGCGGCGGCTCCGTGAGACCGTGGAAGACGCGCGCGCCGGAAGGGTGATGCCGCTCAATCAAGAGCTGATCGTATGCCGCAAGAGTCCGCCAGTCGGCTTGCTGCACCTTGCGCTTCACGTCTGCCTTCTTCAGCTTCTCGCCTTCGCCGCCCTTGCGCGCCAGATGAGGCGCCGGGGCGGAGTTGAAGGCAATGCGATAGTTGAGATCGCCAAAGACGAAGAGATGCGTCGAGTCGTAGATGCCGTGCTCCTTGCCGTCGAGTGCAGCGAGACCCTTGTTGCCCGCTCCCTTCTTCGACTCCTCGTATTGCCGCTTCAGCTCCTCAGTGTTGGGTGCTCCTCCGCCAGAGCGTACAGGCACGACCTGCTGCGGAGGCAGTGCGTGCAGCGAGGAGGGAGTGAAGACGAGACGCGAGACGATGTTGCGCCAGTCTCGGTTGCGGCGAGCCACCTGGTGGTCGTGCGCGGCAAGATGCGCGCACACGAATGTGAGGACCTCGTCGTCCGTCTCGCGCTTTGCTCCCTCGAGCACGACACGCACGCCCACTGCGCCCTTGTTGCCCATGAGGCCCAGCAGGCCCGTGCCGACCGTGGCCGAGCGCACCTCCTTGACGCGCTGCGCGATGCTCTTGGCGCCCGGCGAGTCGCTGCGCTCGCGTGCGTAGACGAAGAGCACGATGGACACGAGCTGGATGCGCGCCACGAGGGCGTAGTCCTCTGGCCCGCCGCCGGGAGGGTACTTGCCATCACTGCGCGTCACGGCGCTCTGCGGCCGGATGGCCCGGCGAATGGCAGTGTCGGTGCTCGCGATGGCATCTTGCCCTGCTGCGGCGCCGGAAGAGAAGGCGACGTCGAGAGGCAGCAGCTCCTGGAAGCCGACGGCGTAGATGTCGGGCGCCGGACGCCCCTCGAGCGGGTTGCTGCCCGAGACGTACGCCGCAGACTTGGCGCTCAGCGTCGGCACAAGCCACGGCGTAAAGTCGGGCGCAGAGGAGAGGCCGCGCAAGTTGTAGTTGTACGTCGCGACCTGCACGCGGAGCGAGGACATGCTGGGCAGAGAGAGGGGGGTGGTGAGCAGGACGGTCGAGGCAAGCGAGGCGGCCGCGCTATCACGCCCGTGCGCCGTGGATGCGGGGAAGCGAGCCGTGCTTATGTCAGCATCGCGCCAGTGCGGCGCGCCTCCACTTGGCTTGACGAGCTAAGCAGCGCCTTCCTTCCTTTCTCACTCCATCCGCTCTCCGCACTGCACGCCGCAACAGCCTCTTCCTACACTGGACACCTCTTCCGATCCATACCTCATGTCTCTGTCCGCCTCGCTCTCGGCGCAACTGCGCAGTGCGCTGGGCGAGTACGTCGGCGGAGCGCGCGAGCTGCCGCTGCTCCTCTACTCCACCGCCTCCTCGTGGCCTCCCAAGCCGTCCAGCGCAGCACGCAGGACCGACACGACGCACATCGCCGTGCTCGACTCGTCCTTCAACCCGCCCTCGCACGCGCACCTCGCACTCGCGCTCGCGGCGCCTCAGCCCACGGCGCACCTGCTGCTCTTCTCGGCCAAGAACGCCGACAAGGGGGCCGGGCGCGTGGGCGATGTGCGCGTCGAGCGGCGCCTCGACCTGCTCGTGCTGCTGGCGCACGCACTTGAGGAGCGGCTGCGCGCACAGGGACACGAGCCTCACGTCGCCGTCGCACTCGTCAAGGAGCCGCTGATGGCGAGCAAGTCTACATTGCTGCACGACTACCTCTCTGAGCATGGCTTCGCGCGCCCGAGCAGCACCGCCAGCACTTCTGCCGAGCCCTCTGCTCGTCTGCACTGGCTCGTAGGCACCGACACGCTCGTGCGCTTCTTCGAGCCGAAATACTACGGCGGCGAGGCGGAGTTGCAGCGCGTGGCGCGCGGCTTCTTCGACGAGGAGCGCACAACGTTCATCTGTGCGCGCCGGCCGCAGAGCGACTCGCAGGCCGATCGCGACGAGGAGGAGCAAATGCTGCGGCGGCCGCTCATTGCGCCGCGTGTGGAGAGCGGCGACGTGAGCGTCGTGGATGTCAAGGAGGCGCAGGGCATCAGCAGCACGGCGGTGCGCGATCTGCTCAAGGGCAAGGCAGATGAGACGCGCGGGGAGGAGCTCCGCAAACTCGTCCCCGACAACATCGCAGAGTATCTCGAGCAGCACGCAGGCGACGATCTGTGGATCGCTGAGGGCGAGCAATGAATGTGGGGTATCTCTTGAGGAAGAGCCAATGATACATGGAGGCAGTGGGAGGTCTAGAAGTCCAGCATGGCGCGCGTCGCTCTCGCGCGTTCACGCTCGCGCTCGAGCCGCTCACGCTTGACACTCTTGCTCTCTGTCCTGCGTCCTGTGCGCACCAGTTCGGCATGGCGTGCGGCCGTGGCGTTGAGCGTGAGGCGTCTGCGCGAGCTGCTGCTGCTGCTAGCAGATGCAGACGCAGAGGGCAGCGAAGTGCCGATGCCGCGTCGGTCCGGGCGGGCGGTGGGCTGGAGCGGAATGATGCGCGCTCGTGGCTGATCGGCTGCTGGCGTAGCAGGAGGAGGCGGAGAGGCGCTATGGCTGCGTTTGAGCGAGCTAAATGACTCCGCCTCTTGCTCCATCTCATCCTCCGAGCCGAGCTCGATCGGCTTGGCCCTGCTGCCTTCGCGTTCCTGCGTCTGCCCTATTCGTACTTCTTGCCGCATCCGCTTCGCCCGCTGCCGCTCTTCCTCCTTCTGTGTCTCCTCCATCTCCCTCAGCCGCCGCGATTCCTCCATCTCTCTCAGTCGTCGCACCTCCGCCTCTCCAAGGCCCATGCCCTCCTGCCAGCCCATGCGCGCCAGTGCCCGGTAGCCTCGGTTGCGCGCATCCAGCAGCAGCCGCTCGTCCTGCTCGCGTTGCTCTTGCGCGGGCCCTGTCTTGACGCCGCGCGGCTGGCGTGGAGCAGGCGCGGAGAGAGGCAACAGTAGCTGGTGCGCGATGGAGGTTGCGTGGTCGCGCGCCTGCAAGGCTGGCACGGAGATTTGACACAGCGGACAGAAGGCGTCACTGGCCTCGACCTGCGGCAGTATGGCCGCCGCACTCGTGCCTGCAGCAGCCGCTGATGTGCTCGCTGGCGGCGCGACGAGAAAGCCTCTGCCTGGCCGGCCGCCGAACCAGTCTGGAGCGGCGTGCGCTCGCCGGCTGGACTGAGCCGCGGGCGCCGCACGGACCACCGGACGCGAGACTGCTCTGGCGGAGACGACGACGGCGGGAGAGGGGAGGACGGATGCCAGCGAGGCGTACAGCTCGGCCATGCTGCCGCCGGCACTGCTGCTCGATTCCGGTCCCTCGAGCAGCGTCGGCGCCACTGAGAGCGCAGCCTGGCCCACCTCGGCGCAGCTGTCATTGGCGCTGCTGCCGATGCCAGGATGCGCTGCTGCATCCTCGTCGCGCGCAGGCGGGAAGAAGGAAGCATGTTCCTCGTCCTGCGCCTGCTGCGCCACGCGCTGTGCTTCAGCTGCTGCTGCCTCACGCTGCGCCTGCTCGTCGGGCGGCGGCGTGGCGCGCGTGAGGGCCGTGGCGCGGACGAAGCGCGGCGCAGGACGTCGTGGTGGCCAGCTGAGGTTTGTGTGTCAGCGCAGAGCAAGGCGCTGGTGGGGGCCAGAGCGGGCCTCACACGTGCGCAGTAGGCAGCCGACGGCCCTCGACGAGATCGTGCGACGGCATGGCGGGCGCCTCGGCCAGCGCTGCAGCAGGCGCTGGTGATGAGGCACCAATGCAAGCGCTGCGTGCGCTGCGTGTGCGCGCAATACGAGCGAGCAGAAGAGGAGCGTGGAAACGGGGCGTGGTGGTAGGAAAGAAGGAGCGGGACGAGCAGCGGTCAAGACGCGCACCGCACCGCATCGCCGGCTGTTCCCGCGCCGTCTCCGCGCTCCGCTCGCCCGGGCCTCCACATCCGCTGCCAAGCTCGCTGCCCCACGACAGCAGCTCTTCTTAAGCGCAAGGTCTGGCTTGCTTGAGTTCAACCCACCTCAGCACCACCACAGCCTCACCCCAGCATGTCGTCGTCCACCGCGCCGCCGCTGCAGCTGCTCGGCCTGCCCTTCTCCACCTACACGCGCACCATCACGCTCGCGCTCAGCGCCGTCGATGCCTCGTTCCAGTACACCCATGTGCCGCCGCATGACGATCGTCTCGCGCCGCACTCGCCCTTCGGCCTGCTGCCCGTGCTGCTGCACGGCGATCTGACGCTGTACGAGTCGCGCGCCGTCGCGGGCTACCTCTCGGCGCAGCTGCCGGCGCTGCGCTCCCTCTTTCCGCAAGACGCAGCAGCGGCCGCACGTGCCGAACGCTGGATCTCGCTCCTGAGCAGCCAGCTCTTCCCGCTCGCCGAGCCGCGCCTCGTCAAGGCGCGCCACGCGCTCGAAGAGGAGGGCGTCGCCGAGGAAGAGGTGGCGCAGAAGCTGCAGCCGGCGGTGGAGGACATGCACGCCTTGCTCGAGAAGCTCGAGCCGCTCGTCGAGGCGGAGGCGGGGCCGTGGCTCGTGGCCGGACAGAAGAGCTGGGCAGACTACTTTGTGCTGCCGCCGCTGGCAGACCTGGAGGCTACGCCCGAGGTGAGTCTGCCGTCTGCGCATGCGCATCAATCGGGCAAGCCGCTGATGCTCGAGAGCAGGGCAAGCTCCTCTTTGGCGCCGACACGCGCGCGCCCAATCTCACGCGCTGGCTCAGGCACATGCTGCAGCTGCCCGAGGCGGAGAAGACGTACGAGGGCACCGTGGCGCAGCTGCGCGCGGCGGGCAAGATGGGCCGGAAATGAGCAGCAGCAGCAAAGGAACAGGCGGGAAAGCAAGTGGCAATCGGGATATCATACAGCGTGTAGCGCGGGAAGAGGGTGACATGGTGATACATAGGCCCGCCGAGGAGGCGTAGCGGTGAAGAGAGGCGAAGAGATTGGGGTGTGGTGCTTCAGGCAATGCTGTTGCTCGTGCGAGGCGCACCGCCAAAGCCGTTCCAGCCTGCGACCCATCCTGGCGCCCGGGAAGCCGTGCGAGCCTCGACAGCCAGCGTAGCGGCAGCCGCGGCGGCGGCAAAGTCGTACACCGGCAGCGCAGCGGCAGGTGCGTAGGAGCGGATCGGTGGTTGCTTGCGCTCGTCGGGAGCCACGAGGAAGTCATCGACGTTGCTGCTGTTGCTGCTGTTGCTGCTGTCCGACATGCTCGAGACGCCCGCCGCGCCAGACTCGGAGACGATGGGCAGCGGCGGCGCGCCGGGCGCGGGCGTGAGGAAGGAGAGGCCGAGCGCGCCGGGCAGCAGCGGCTGTGGACTGCGCGGCACGGCAGCGGCCATGGCGGCCTCGTCATTCGTCTCGCTCGGCGACATGGGCGCGAGTGAGAGTGTCGGGATGCGCGGCGAGCCAGGAGCTCGCTGCATGGGTGTGCTGACGTCCTCCGGGGAAGAGATGAGGTCCCAGTCGGCCGACTCGCAGCCCGCTGCGCGAGGCGTGGTGGACACTCCGGCCGCGGCGGCGAGGAGCAGCGCATCGGGCGCACTGCTGCTGCGGCGGATGCCGGGAGCAGCAGATGGCGCAGGAGGCATGTACTGACGAGCCGAGTTGAGGGCTCGCTCGAGTGCTGATGGTCGACGTAGGGCTTGGAGGTCTAGACTGGCCTCGCTGCCGGCTGCGTGTGCGAGAGCGGCGAAGCGAGCGGCGCGGCGCGAGGGGCGTGTGGGCCGTTCGGTGGGCACGATGGGGAGCGAGGTGGAGCGCAGCGGCGCCTCGGGAGCCGAGGAGAGCGGCGAGGACTCTGAGGTGGAGGTGCGCGCCGAGGAGGGTGCGCTGGACGGGCCCGAGAGGGAAGCGGCGAGACGGTGCCAGTGCACGGGAAAGGCGAGCACGGCGTCGAGCGAGATGTCGCCGTTCTGCAGCGAGCGCAGCAGCGGGTCGTCGTCGACGGGTGCGGGTGCGAGTGCGGCAGATGGCCGAACGGCGGGCGACGAGTGCAAGCTCAGCGTGCCGGAGCGACGGTAGGCTCGTCTGCGAGGCTGGGGTCAGCGACTCGATGCAAAAGCAGAGCCAGCACATCCGACTCACGGCGACGCGACGGGCGAGGTGAGGTGCACGCACATGCCGGCGCCGAGCGGATGTGTCGACGACGAGGCGTGTTGAGACGAGGGCATGGTGGGCTGAGGCAGGCGAGGACAGCGGTAGAGAGCGGCAGCGCTGGCGCACGGAAGGGTCACGAGGCGGCGAGCAGGGGACGGAGAGGCGCAGGGTTATATGGTGCGGCCGGCGCTGATGCTGGGCGCGCTGCGTTGCCGCCATGCGGCCCGATGCGCAGGCTCCGCAGCACAGCACAGGGCACGGCTCGGCACCGAGACGGAGGAGGGCGAGGCACCGCCGCGGCAGCGACGCAAGGGCCGAGCACCTCCGAGCGCCGCAACGGCCGAACAGCAGCAGCAACTCGAGAGAGAGGGAGGACGAGAGCAAGGGCCGGCAGAATCTGGCCGGCTGCAGGAGAGCTGCGCCTGCTCGCCATCAGCATGACTCTCTGCCGAGTCACCTCTGCAGCATCGCAGCGCAGCGTCGCAGCATGCCTCTCTCTCCGACTATATCCGCACGTAAGCGTGCTGACTTCCGCCCGATGCGCCTCCATGCGGCATGCAGAGAGCTCATCTCACGGCCATGCCTAGCGTGAGATGCGAGCACTCTGCGACTCTGCCGAGAGTGCGGCGAGATGAAGGCCAAGGCACGGCAGTGGGGCCTCATGTGTCTTGGCTTGCGGCTCTCTGCCTCTTGCTCAGCTCAGCAAGCATCCACGGAGCCATCACGAGGTCTCTCGCTCACACCCGTCGTGCATCCGCGGTGCAGGCATCGCCGTCGGTCCGCGGACGAGGGCTCCCGACACCTTCGGCCCGCGGGTGCGCGCACCCGGACGCAGGAATGCTGCCTCTCTTTGGCTGTGCCAAGCGAGAGGGCAGAGAGATGCTGCGCTGCCTCCCCGGCGGCGAAGGGCGGTGCAAACGAGACGTTGCCGCTGCAGGCCTCGTGCTGCGCCTGAGCGGCTGTGCTTGTGCTGTGCTCGTGCTGTGCTGTGATGCCGGCGTCTTGAGCGAGATCTGCCTCGCACCTTGCTAAGTCTTAGTGAACGGCGCGCATGCTGCTCAGGTGCCCGCCGATGCGCTCGGCCGTAGGACCTGCAGCGGCGGCAGTGAGATGACACGCAGGCCCGCACTCCGCGACAGCCGCGAGGGGCAGCTCCGACTCGGAGGCACTAACCCTGCGCCCTCGTGCTCCATCAGCAGCACCGGGCTCTCCGTCTCATCTTCGCACGGAAGCCTCTGCCGCCGCTCTGCCAAGCGCTGCATACGGGAGAGATCGTCAAGGTGGCGCGGGGGAGCTCACATGTGCAAGCAGCCGCTGCTCGGGCCAGAACATCCGCGCAGGCTTCATGCTTGGCCTGCCGGCGTCCCGGGCATGCTCAGCTCGCCTCATCTCCTCGACGAGATCATCTCGCAACAAATTTGCTCTTCTTCGCGGACCGGTCAGAGGCTGCTTTGCCCGCAGCGCCGGACGCGGACACACGTGGGCGTACCGCACCCAGAGCACGGCCATCCGCTCAGTCATGCCGCGGCTGGCCCTTGCTGCTGCTGCTTTGCGGGTTCGACGTGCTGGACGCTTCGCACTCCGCACCGGCTGTTGCGGGAGCCGTCCGAGCCGGCCGAGACAGGGTTGCGCGAGAGGGTGAGATGATGGACGGCGCTCGTCCCGCACCGGCGCCGAGAAGGCAACGCGAGAGGAATGCCCGAGCCGCCGGCTCGACTCGACGCAGCTTGCGCTCAGGAACACACGTTTGCGCGCAGCCTACGTATGTGGCGCTGCTGCGGCCAAAGCGCGATCTGCGAGCGCGGGAACGAGCTCTCTGCCTGCGCGCTGCTTGCTCCTCCTCCGTCGCAGCATCCGTTCGGCATCGGCGACTCGGCGTCCAGTACCGCAGCACCGCGGGCTCCGGGCAGCCGCTGCCGCATCCTGTCAGACAGCCTTGGGAGCCGAGTTGTGCGGCAAAACCTCGCACCGCCGCCGCCCTGTCCCGCTCTGCTCGGCACGCTCTTGGCCGCAAGCTGCGGCGAGGACAGCAGCTTGCTCGCCGAGCCACGCCGTGTTTGGCGCAGCCTTCTTGGATGCCGAGCCGCCGGCTGGCCCCATGGGAGGCTGAGCCACACTTGCTGTCAGGACGATGGTCGTACCTGAGTGAGCTCGCGGTGCAAAAGCAGCGGAAATCCGACACGGAGAGAGCACGTCGTCGGCCCGCCAGCGGCTCCTCTCTCAGGCATCACGATGGCCACGGCATGGAAACGGTAACATGAGTCAGGGCAGAGTGTAATGCTACATGAGAGACACAGAGAGGCACGGGAGAAAGACAGCAGCGGCAGACACGGCACACTCGCAGGCGGACATCGCTCAGTCCGAGCCATACACGCTCTCGCCGTCCTCCTCGTCCTCGTCCTCGGACATGACATACTTGACGGCCGCCTTGACACTGCGGCCGGCGCGCGCCGAGGGCGCGGCACGAGCCGGCGGCGCGGCCTCCTCCATGAAGCTGTCGTCCTCCGAGTCGACGAGCACCTTGGGCTTGGCCTTGCTGCCCGACGCAACGCGCGCTTTTGCAGCAGGCGCCGCCTTGGGCTTGGCCGGCAGCTCGATGGCTTCGATGGAGTCGTCGGCAGCGTCGCGCCGGAACGCAGAGAGCGTGCCCTGCTTGAGCGTCTTGGCCTTCTTCGGCGGCGCCGGACTGCTGCTGCGCGACTTGGGCCGGCCCAGCTGCGCCAGGTCGTCGTCCGAGAGCGCGCCGCTGGCAGCACGCTTTGCGCTCGAGCCGCCGGCGGCCTTCTTCGGTGCCGCAATGACAAAGTCGTCGTCGCCCTCGTCGTCCGAGAGCGGCACGGCCTTCCTGACGATGCTGCGTGCGGCGGCACCGCTCTTGCCGCTCGTCTTCTTGAGCGTCTTGGCCTTGTTCTTCTTGCTCACGTCCTTCAGGCGGCGCTCGTCCTCGGTGAGCAGAGCCTGCGAGGTGTGTGATGTCAGCCGTAGTCCTCGCCCGCTTCCCGATGGCGACGCACCTCCCACTGCGTCGTGAAGTTGTGCAGGTCCTCATCCCAGAGGTTCTGCGGCGTGCGGCCGAGCAGCGCCGTGAGCTCGGCCTCCTTCTCGTCGCGCTGGGCGAGCAGACGCTCGACCTGGCAGATGCAGTGTCAGTGCTTGCAGCCGCGTCATGCTGCCTGCTGCGACGCACCTTCTCGCGGGTGAGCGTGTAGATGGCCATGCCGAGCAGGTAGTCAAAGTCCGAGTCGGCGCTGTCGCCGCCCTCGAGGAAGGCCACCTCGTCCTCCGGGCGGTTGTCGTCGACGTCGGCGGCGATGGCGCCCTTGGCCTGCTTGGGGAAGGGGCGGAACTGGTGCTTGCGCAGCTCCGCCACAATCTCGCCGCGCTTGCGGTTCGACACGATGAGCTCGCGCTTGATGATCATCTGCACGAAGCGCGCCTGGTTCGAGAGGCGCTCGTACACCGTCTTGAGCTCCTCGACGAGGAAGTCCTGCAGAAGCCGGGTCAGTGGTGAGGCACGGAGGGCGGGCACGTGCTGCAGCGCACCTTGCGCTTCTGGTAGTAGCTCAGGCGCATGAGGTAGAAGTCCTCCACGATCTCCTCGGGCGTCGTGTACTTCTTGATCTTGCCGTTCTGGTCAAAGAGGACCATGTTCGACGTCGCGAGCATGTGGTGCATCTTGAAGTACGTCTCGGCCGCCTCCTGGTCCTTGACCTCGGCCATGCCGCGCGCGTTGAGCTCGATGATAAAGTGCACCGTCGTGTCGGTGTGGTACTCCTTGTACTCCTGCAGGCAGAGGGTGTCAGCATGTGGTGGGCCATCCCCTTCACGTCGCACTCGCCTTGATCGTCGCCGGGCTCTTCTCCGAGCCGACGACGCGCTCCTCGAGCCACTCCTTGTACGACGACGTCCACGTGCGGATCGGCAGCTCGGTGATCTCCCACGTCTTGTCGTCGACCTGCCGGATGATGCCCGAGCACCGGAAGCGGTCCGACGCCGACTGCACGATCGGGCCCGTGAAGCCGCGGTACCACGGCGTCATGGGCACGTACTCCTCGCCAGCCATGCGGCGGCGCAGGTTGGCGACGACGTCGGCGGGGTTGTAGTTGGGCACCCAGGAGCTCCAGCCTGGGACGGGTCAGCGGAAGCGCTAAGCGAGTCGCATCGGCGTTGCTCACCTGTGCCAATGCCCTCGCCGCCGTTGATGAGGATCAGCGGCACGGTCGGCATGTACCTGTGCAGCACGTCAGCGTCGGCGGCCAGGCCACGCACTCGGCGCCACGCACCACTCCGGCTCGATGCTCTGGCCATCGTCGTTGAGGTAGTTGAGCAGGTGGTCGTCCGACGGGTGGAACACGGTGCGCGTGATGGGCGGCAGGTTCGTGAAGATGTAACGTGCCGAGGCCGCGTCCTTGCCGCCCTGTGGGAGGTGTCAGCCCCTGCAGCGCCTCATCTTCACACGCCACGCACCATGAGCCGCGTGCCGAATTGGCCGTTGGGCGAGAGGATGTTGACGTTGTTGGCGCCGCAGTAGTCCTGCGCGAGATTGACAATCGTCATGTACAGGCTCTGCTCGCCGTGGTGGTAGGCCGAGTGCTCGGAGACGTAGCCGCCGAGCTGCGCGACCTTGATCTCGGCCTTGAGCTTGCGCTTGAAGCAGCCAAACATGACCTTGCGCTGGCCCGGCTTGAGGCCGTCGACCATTGACGGGATGGAGCGCACGTTGTCCGCCATCGAGAAGAGGATGAGCTCCTTGTTGATGAAGTCGGCCAGCGGCACCTTGGCAATGTTGTGGTCGAGGAAGGTGCCCGGGCGGAACTGGCGCAGCCACTCCTTGCGGTCGTCGGCCTTCTTCTTGTTGAACGCCAGGTCGATGAGCTCGCGGTCGCCGGGCTGCGTCGTGTCGAAGGGCAGCAGGTGCTTGTCCATGGCGCGGAAGTACTTCTTGGCGTCCTGCGCCGAGCTCGTTCCGAGACCCTTGTAGTACTTGATCACCCAGCCCTTGCCGTCGGCGTGCGCCGCCTTCCAGTTCTCGTACTCGGGCAGCGTGAAGAACGACACCTCCTGCTTGCCCTTGGTGCACTTGACGATCGGCGTGATGAACTCGACAAGGAAGCCGGCCTGCTTGAGCAGCGAGGGGTAGAAGTGGTCGAGGAAGTTGATGATGAGGCCCTTGATGTGCGAGCCGTCGTGGTCCTGGTCCGTCATGATCATGAGGCTGCCGTAGCGCAGGCTGTCGACGCTGTTGTACACCTTGCCGTGCTGCAGGCCGAGAATCGTCTTGATGTGGTTGATCTCGACGTTCTTCAGGATCGCCTCCGTCGACGCCTCGCGCACGTTGAGCAGCTTGCCGCGCAGCGGAAACACGCCGAAGTTGTCGCGCCCCACCTCCGTCAGGCCCGACACGGCCAGCGCCTTGGCGGAGTCGCCCTCAGTCAGGATCAGCGTGCAGTCGGCGGCGCGCCGCGTGCCCGCATTGTTGGCGTCCTCGAGCTTGACGATGCCCGTGATGCGGTTGCGCTTGTGGCCGTCGAGCTTCTTCATCTGCTTCTCCTGCTGGAACTTGGCAAACGAGAGCACATTGTCGGCGACGCCCGCCTTCATGACTGGCGCAGGGTGTCAGCAGAGCCGGGCCTCGCGGCTGCGACTGCACTCACTCTTCTTGATGACCTCGTCGGACACGGTGTACTTGCTCCCAAACGCGCTCGGCTTGAGCGTCAGCGTCTCCTTCGTCTGGCCGTCGAACGTTGGGTTGATGATCTCGCAGTTGACAAAGATCCAGAGCTGCTGCCGCACCTGCGAGCCCTTGATGGGGCCCGTCTTCTTCTTCTTGAGCAGCTCGATGATCTTCGTCTCGACCTGCGCCGTGACCATGTCGACGTGCTTGCCGCCCTTAATCGTCGCGATGTGGTTGACAAACGAGCACTGCGGCGCAGAGGGTCAGCTGCAGCACTGCACACGTCGGGCACACACACCCACCTGGCGAAACTGGCCGTCGGACACGGCATACGCCACCTCCCACGTGCGGCCCTTGTCGACCTGCGTGTCGAAGATGATCGTCTGCTTGGCCGGCGTCGCGCCCGCCACGTCGCCGTTCTCGTCGAGCTTCGGCTGCCCGCTCAGCTCGTTGATGGCCTTGACGTACATCTCGACGTACTGCTTGAACGTCTTGACCTTGAGGCGCTCGCCGTTGAGGAAGACCTTGCAGTCCTTGACCGTGCCGGCCATGTCGAACACGCGCTTCATCATCAGCGCCTCGGTGTCGTCGGTGATGCGCTCCATCTTGAAGCGCGCCAGGTCGGGCTTGAAGCTGATGCTCGTGTACTCGGTCTTGCCGCCCTTGGTGATCTTCGGCTTGCCCGCCTTGCTCATGTTGTCGGTGAACGTCTGCACGTACTTCTTCTCCGACTTCTTGTCCGCCGTCTCGACGGTGAACGACGTCGAGTAGATGTTGGCGAGCTTGGCGCCGTAGCCGTTGCGGCCGCCCGTCACCTTGTCCTCGTCGTCGTCGTAGTTCGACGACGTGAGCAGGTTGCCGAAGATGAGCTCGGGGATGTAGATGCCCTCCTTCTCGTGCATCTCGACGGGGATGCCGCGGCCGTTGTTCCACACGGTGATCGAGCCCTCCTCCTTGTTGATCGTGACCTTGATCGTGTCCATCGTCGGGTCGCGCACCTGCAGCAGCGCGTCAGCCCACGCACAAGCGCCAGCGCCGCAGCACGCACCTTGTTGTCGGCGGCGTTGACCAAAATCTCGTCAAAGATCTTGTAGAAGCCCGGCACGTAGGAGATTTTCCTGTCCGCCGCACATGTGAGCAGCGCGCCTGCCGCAGCGCCTGCAGCCCACTTACCGGTACGCCATCTGCTGCGTCGTCGGGTCGTACACCCACAGCTCCTCCTCGTGGTGCTCGACGCTGCCAATGTACGTGTCCGGCCGCTTCAGGACGTGCTCCAATTGCGAGAGCTGAGGCAGGCCAGCACATCAGCAGCTGCGCTGCCCTGACGCGCTGCACTACTCACCTTCTGGTACGTCTGCGTGGCCGACTTCGACCCACCGGCCGCAGCCGGAGCAGTCTTCGCGAGCACCTCGGGGTGCTCGAAGATGCTCTCGTCGCCGTCAAAGTCAAACTCGCTGGCGCTGGCACCCTCGTTGCTCTTGCGCGCCAGCGGCTCCTTCTTCTTCTTGGGCGCCGCCGCGGCCTTGGGCGCCTTGTCCGCCGCTGGCTTGGCGCGCGGCTTTGCAGAGGCCTTGGCGGCAGGCTTCTTCTTGACGGCGGGCACGTCGTAGTCGCTGCCGCCGTCGGACATGTAGAGGTCGCCGCCGTCAGAGGACATGGCTGCGGCTGAGGTGGTGAAGGGGGCTGGGAAGCGCTGGTGGGGCCGGGCGTGCAGCTGCTGCAGCGGCGCCGGCGCGGCGAGATGAGGGCGGCGCGGAGGCGCGGACGGCGAGCGGCGCGAAAGCAGAAACGCCGGGCCGGGCGGGAAGGCGCGTGTATGCGCTGGGCGGGCGAGAGACTTGCAGGCGCAGTGAGTCGCGGGCTTGAGGACGGCGCTGAGACGGTGGTGGGCGAGAGGCAAGATGCAGCGCAGCCAGGGCATCAAGGGCGCGGAGGTGAGAGCCAGGCGAGGAGGCCAACACGGCGCGTGGCCAGGCACGCACGCTGCGAGAGCTCGAGACGCGCACCTGCTGCATCTGGCACGCGCCAATCAACACGCTCGCGGCGAATCTTCTCGAGCAGGAGGCTCTTGACGCGTCGCGCGCGCATGGCACGGCCAGCTCCCGCGGCCTTGCATCCAGTTGACCAGCACCTTCCCCTTCGCCCACTCCACCTGCGCCATGGCCTCGCCCGCTCCCGACCTCGCCTCGCCGTCCAAGCGGCGCCGCACGCAGGCGCAGCCGTTCGGCGCCGCGCTCGAGGTCACCGCCGCCTCGGGCTCGCAGCCCAGCACGCCATCCGCACGGCGCGACGCTGCCGGCGACATGACCGCCTCGCCGGGCACCAGCTCGCAACGCAGCGCGGCCATGTCGCACCTGCCGCCCGCGGCGCGCGGCCAGTTCCAGTCGGCGCTCGGGCCGCGCACCAAGGGCCGGCCCAGCAAGACGCGCCTCGTCGCCGAGGCCAAGGAGCGCCGCGCCTGGCGGGCGCAGGAGAACGAGCGGCGCAAGGCGCGCGGCGAGCCGCCGGAAGAGAACACGCCCGAGCCGGACCCCAGTGTGCGGCGGCCGCGCAAGAGCAAGAGCGGCGGCGGCACCAAGCGCAAGCGCAGTGTCGCCGAGGACGACGACGAGGGCGACGAGGACGACGATGGCTCGGCGTCGGACGGGTACAGCCCGGCGGCACGTGCGACGCCCTCGGGCCGGCCACGGCGCGCTGCCGCTGTGGCAGCGCAGGGTTCTTTCGCCGCCGCAGAAGAAGAGCCGACGTCCGAGAGCGAGTATGACGCGGACGATGTGCCAGACTCCAAGCCGACAGTCGCAAGGGCGCCCGCACCGAGGATGGCAGCCGTCGCAGCGCCTGTGGCGCCAGCTATGGCCCCTGTCATGCCAGTGCAGCCTCATGTCGTCGCCGCACCAGGCGCACCAGGTGTACCAGCGCTTGTGCCTGCGCCAGAAGGCCCGCCAGCGGCGGTGCTCAGCTCAGAGCCATTCGAGGACGTTGATGCGACGTGCGCGCCTGGCCGTAATGGCTGGATGGCTGAGCCGCGAGAGGCAGAGAGATGGGAGGTGCTGGGCAAGATTGTCGAGGCGCTGCGGCAGGAGCGCGACCGACAAGGTCACAATCTTGCGATGAAGGCAGGGCTGTTGAAGCTGCCAGAGCCGGACACGCCGGAGGGTGCTCGCCTCTTCGCCAGGGTGAGTCTGGCTTCCTCTCCCGTAAGGTTTAAGCGCTCACGTCGCATCCCCAGATGGCCAAGCCGACGTCGCTCGAGGCGATCGGCGCGCGGGTCGAGGCAAAGGAGTACGCCACCGCGCATCACTTCGAGCTCGATGTGCTGCAAATGTTCGAGTCGTTCCGGCAGTACCACGAGCCGGGCATGCCGCCGTACGGCGCCACGCTGCATCTGCAGCGCTGCTTCCAGAGCATCACGGCCGGCGAGCCCAAGGCCGCCAACGCGCGCCTGCGCCACTACGCCTCCGTCGCCCGCGGGCCCAACGGCGCGCTGCCGCAGGCGCCGCAAGAGGCTGGCCAGCTGCCGCTGATCGAGTACAAGGGCCGTGTCGTGCGCGTCGGCGACTGGGTGCATCTCGCCTCCTCGAGCGACCCGCGGCGGCCGCACGTTGGCTGCGTCTTCAAGCTGACGACCGGGCCCACGGGCCCGCGCATCTTCGTCAACTGGTACGCGCGGCCTTCGGAGACGGAGCACTCGCACACCAAGACGTTCAGCCAGAACGAGGTGTTCAAGACGGCCGTCTTCGTCTCGCACGCAGTGTCGGACCTGATCGACCACTGCGCCGTGCTGTTCGACCGCAAGTACCTGCGCGGCCGGCCGAAGGTGTCGGAGGACGGCACGGGCTGGAAGAGCACCGAGCGCGTCTACGTGTGCCAGGACCGCTGGAAGACGGAGCTGAAGATCTTCATCAAGATCAAGAACTGGGCGCAGGCGATGCCGGACGCCATGAAGGGCATCGACAAGTGAGTGCCGCGGTGGACGCGATGCCAGACGTTCGCTGACATGCGGCCAGCCTCGTCTACTTCCCGGAGAATGATCCGTGGGGCCCGCGCCAGCTCTCGCCGTTCCTGCGCCCCTTCGGCTTCACAGGCCCTGGCAAGCTCACCGACGGTCTGCCGCCGCCGGGCTTGCAGATCCTCAGCGACTTCCGGCAGGGCGCGACGCCTGCGCGTGTCGCGCGTGTCGTGCCGCAAGCAGCGCCAGCCACGCCGATGCCGCAGCCTCTGCCGCCGCCGCCGCAGCGCGCCCTGCCGCCGCCGACGTCGGAGGAGGGCGTGCGGCTGCGCATTGCGTCGCTGCTGGAGCAGCTGCGCTCCGGCTACGGCCCGTACGCTGCCGACTCGGCCCTCAACGTCCTCGGCGGCGTTGCTGGCCGCGCCATCAACGTGCTCGAGCTCGCTGTTGCCATTGGCGCGCATGGCTCGTTCGCGCTCGGTCTCCTGAGCGATCTGCAGGCCGCGTTTGCCTACGTCCGTTCCAACGGCTTCGACCGCATGCTGCCGCCCGAAGTGCCGCTGCGCTCGAGTGCTCCTCGCGCGGCCCCTTACCCGATCCCGTCGGCGTGGGACGTGCTGACGGCGTACCACTCCGACGCGTACACCGAGACGCTGCCGCCCGCCACGCGTGAGTTTCCTTTGCTGCAGTCTGCTCGACACGCGACTGACGCAAGTCCTCTCCGCAGAGGCTCTGTTCGACCGCGACGACGCCGGCAGAGTGCGCTGGTACCTCGGCGCGCCCTTGGATGGCCCGACGCAGCACGCTGTGCACCGCACAGGCGTGCTCAACGGGCCGCGCCCGACGCCGTCGCTCGAGTATCTCGCCTTCCGCGCACAGCGTCGGGCAGACGGCGCAGGCCCTGCCACGCGGCGTCACGACGTGCCGAAGCTGTCGTCGGGCCAGACCAAGTCTGTTCTGTCGTCTCTTCCTGTCGCCAGTCTCGACATCGACCGCGGTGAGTAGCTTCGCGCTGGGCATACGTCGCCTGGCATCGTCTAACTCGCTCTCGCAACTGCAGCGTTTTCAGACTCCCTCGACCGCTCCGCCGAGCACCTCTCGCACTTCCTCAGCGTCGAGCCCGCTGCGCCCACAGCGCTCTGAGCCTCCCCCCTTCCTGCATGCTCCCATCGTCACCCATAAATCCTACGTCAGAGGTCAGCGCGTCAATCGCACATGCTCGCGCAGTCAGCTCAGAATGCTCAGATTTCGGCGAGCGCGTGAGGGTGTGACATGCGGAGACGTAGCTTGACGGGGACAGAGTGGGCAGGTGTAGCTGAGAACGACGGCCGGCGTGCAGCGCGGGGGAGGCAAGACAGCTGCTGCCAGAGCAGGCAGGTAGCGCGAGGAAAGAGTGGATGGGCAAGCCTCGCTCCTCAAGAGGGCACCTCGCCGCGCGCAGCCGCTGCCTTGACAGGCTCTGGAGAGGAAGGCAGTGTGAGCAGAGAGGCCAGACCGCGACAAAGACGACGGCCACGCACCGAAGTACGCGTGTGCCATCGCTTCTTGTGCGGTGAGCCGCTCGGCGTGGTCGTAGCGCAGCAGGCTGTCGAGGAACGAGATGGCCTCGTTGGACACGTAGCGCTGGTTCTCCGACGTGATGAAGCGCGACCACGGCTTGCGCTGGTATCTGCGGGGGGAAGACAGGTGAGCGAGCGTAGCGGTGCGGTTGAGTCCTGCACAGACGTACCGGCCGAGGATGTCGTCGTACTGCGGGTCGAGCTCGATGTCGTACTTCTCCAGGTACGTGTACAGCTCGTCGGTGCCGAGCACCTTGCAGATCTTCACCAGCTGGTCGTAGTTGTCGTGGCCGTGGAAGAAGGGCTCCTTGCGGAAGATCTGCCGGGCACTGCGATCAGCACGGCTCGGCGCAACGGCAGCCGGCAGCAAACCCACCATGCTCGCAAACATGCAGCCCAGGCTCCACATGTCGAGGCTGTAGTCGTATTCCTGGAAGTCGACGAGCAGCTCGGGCCCCTTGAAGTAGCGGCTCGCCACGCGCACGTTGTACTCCGTGTACGGGTGGTAGAACTCGGCCAAGCCCCAGTCGATGAGGCGCAGCTTGCGCTTCTCGTGGTCGATCATGACGTTGTGCGGCTTGACGTCGCGGTGCATGATGCCTCGTGAGTGGCAGAAGTCAAGCGCCTGCGCAGGGATGTCAGAGTGTGCGGCGGGCCAGTGCGCGCGCGGCCAGCTCACCTTCAGCAGCTCAAACATGTAGAAGCGCACGTCGAAGTCGGTGAACTTGGGGTACAGGATCTTGAAGTCCGTGTTGTTCACGTACTCGGTGATGATCGACGGCGTCTTCGACTGCGCAGGCCAGTGCGTCAGACGTGTGTCGACAGCAGCAAGGGGACGCAGGCACGGCGCGCGCAAGCGCACTGCGAGGACCAGACGCCCACACTGGCGGCTTGACTGACGCTTCACCGCGCTTTTGCGCTGCGCGCCGTCCAGCTGTCTCAAGCACACGCTCGCCGCGCCTAGTGCACGACGCCGTGCGAATGCCTGACCTATGCGCACAGGCTTGGCACGACAAGCCAGCTCATCCCGTCCGCGCAGCAGCCTGGAGCGAGCGCTCCTTCCATGCCGTCGCCGCTGCCCTTCCGTGCCGCCGCCGCTGCCTCACTGCTACCAATGCGCGGCACCGCTTTTGCCCTCTCCGCCCTGCCCCCGCGCTACCACTCACCTGCGGATCTCTGACCACGTCCAGCAGACCAACGACGTTCGGGCCGCCCGCCAGGTTCTGCAGAATCTTAATCTCGCGCTTGATCTTCTTCTTCTTGACGGGCTTCAGCACCTTGATGATGCACTTGTCCGGCCCGCGCGGCGCCGCAGCGGCCGGCGGCGCATTGGGGGCCGCGCCCGCGCCGGCGCCCGCACCGACGGCCGTGCCGGCGACGTTGACGCCCTCGAACACCTCGCTGTACTTGCCGCGGCCGACCTTGCGCAGAATCTCGTAGTTGTCCTGCGTGCCCCACTGCACCACCAGGTTGTCTGCGAGAGGAAAGAGGGCACGAGCCGCGAGCGCTCAGCAAGACACATAAGCCGCCGTGGCAGCGCTCAACGCACCATAGTCCCACCACTGCCGGCCGTGCTTCTCGTTGGCGCCGGCGTAGACACGCGCGACGCTGCGGCCGCCGACTCCAGCCATGGCGGGCTCGTCAAGCTAGAGCGCTGCGAGCGGAGCTGAGGCGGCAAAGGGCGCAGCGATGTGCGAGGCCGCGCGGGATCGGGCGTGCGGCGCAGACGTTGCACGCAGATAAGACGCAGATGAGACGCAGTAGAGGTGAAAGGCGGCGCTGGGGTGTGAGAGGTGGAGATGGAGCGGCGGCGGTGGAGGAAGGAAGTGAAGCGCGACGCTGGGTGAAAGGTGAGAGGCGAGATCTGCACAGCGTGCGAGGCGCGACGGGCCGGCCGGCCGCGGCCAAGCGAAAGCACGCGCCTGAATACAACTATGCAGCGGCGGCAAGTACAAAGCATGCCGGTCAAAAGTGTATTCGCAGTGCTTGGCTAGAGTGCTCCCACATCGGTCCCTCGTTCCGCACCACGACCTCCACCGCCCGCACACACTCGCACACACACGTCTTGCTTGCACGACGATGACATTGAATACCCATGCGTGACAGCTGTTCCATCACCACTCCATGCGCTCGTCGCACTCGAGGCGCACGGCATGCCGCACGTCGCCCTGCCACACGCGCGCCGCATCGTTGCTCGCCGCCACGCCCGCGCGCACGTCCGACAGCATCTCGCCCGGCCCGCTCGCGAGCACGACGCTGGCGCCGGCAGCCTGCCGCGCGGCAAAGGCACGCACCAGCGCCGCCACGTCGGGCCGCCGCTGCGCCTGCGCGTTGCTGCCGAGCGCCATCTCGGCGACGCCCTCGTGGCTGAGCGATGTGCCGCTGGCCTTGTCCGAGAGCTCAAGCTCGGCGCTCTCCTTCGACGACGGCAGCAGCGCAGCGACGCTCGTGCCCGTGCTCGTCTCGTCGCGCGTGGCGCACACGCACACCTCGACATCGCCGTACTGCCGCAGCTCCTGCAGCTCCGGCTCGACCCAGGCGGCGTCCGTGTGCCGGCGCACGACCCACACGAGCTGCAGAGCGCCGCTCGCGCCGCCGCCGCTGTGCCGCCGCCGCGCAAGCGCCAGCAGCGCTGGGAGCACGTAGGTGATGCCAGTGCCTCCAGCCACGCAGAGGACGTTCTCGGAGCGCTTGATGTCGGCGGTGACGTCGCGTCCGTATGGCCCGGTGAGCACGACTGCAGTCTTGGCGTCGGGTCCGGCAGAGAGCTTGCGCTCGGCGAGGGCGGCGAGTGCCTTGGTCTGGCCGGCCTTGGCGCGCAGGATGTAGGCGTGGCGTGTGTGTCCGTCCTCGAGGCGCGGCACGCTGACGGGCGTGAAGGGATGCGACTGCCAGAGGCTCAGCTCGGGGAAGCAGAGGAAGAAGTGCTGGCCGACGCGCCACGGCTGCTGCGGGTGCTCGAACTCGAGGCGCAGCACGTCGCCCTCGCTGCCGCTGCCAGGGAAGCGCGTGATGCTGGCCTGTGCGGCGGCGAGGCCCATGCGCGTGCTCTCCGGCGAGAGGAAGTTGTAGTGCAGCAGCGCCGAGCGGCCGAGGCGCACGGCGCGGTCGACGAACCAGAGCGCGAGGCCGGGGATCAGGAAGCAGTTGAGCTGCGCCCAGTGGCCCCAGCAGGCGCCGATATAGACCATGGCGAGCACGTAGTGCGCCTTGCGGAAGAACTCGTAGCCCGTGCGGCGGATCACGACGGGCAGCGCCAGGACCCAGAGCAGCAGCAGCAGGATCATCGCCACGACGCCCCAGATCATGTAGCGCTGCCGGATCCACTCGCGCGCCACGCTCGGCTGCGGCTGGTAGAGGCGCACCTCGATGATGGTCCAGCCGATGGTGTGCAGCGCCGACTGCACAAAGATGATGTGGCCGAGCCAGCGGTGCAGGAAGTTGAAGTGCTGGTACGGCACGCCCGTCGCGAGCGAGAGGAGCGACTCGCGCGTGGCGAGCAGCACGGAGAAGGGCGTCAGGGCGAAGGCCAGCACACCCACGCGGTCCGACCATGGGCCGAGCGTTGAGCGCGTGTTGTGCAGGCCCGGGCGCGACTTGACGGGCGTGATCCACATCTGGTACGTCATGCCGAGGAACGACCACAGCAGCAGGTAGCCGAGGATGCCGGCGAGGATGACGAGCTGCAGGCGCGTCGTGCGGCCGAAGATGCGGCGCAGCACCGGCGAGTTGGCCGTGTCGAGCAGCAGATGCCGGCGCGAGAAGGCAGCAGCGGCGCCGGCAAGGCGAGCGGAGGCTGGCGCCACGCTGGATTGGTGGCTCGTCTTCTCGGCGCCAGCAACGGCCTGCAGTTCGTCCTCGAGCGCGGCGCGCCGCCGTGCACGGTGCGAGATGGCAGCGACGAGGAGCACGACGCCGACGGTGGCGTAGATCACGCCGGTGTAGATCATGCCGCGGTCGTGCGCGCCGTAGACGAGGTCGAGGTAGGCGCACGAGCCGGCGTCGTTGGTGCACGGCAGCACACGCGAGGCGTAGCCCCAGTGCGGCTGCAGCGTCGTGTTGGCGGCGCCGTAGTCCTGGATGTGGCGCGCCGCTAGGGCGGGCACGGACGCGAGGGCCATTGCGCGAGGTGGGACGGAGGAGTGCGAGGGAGGAGGAGGACCGGCGTCGGCGTGCGAGCAGCTTCTTATGCCGCAGCAGGCACGAAGCGCGCAGCGTTTAGTGAGCAGTCACAGGCGCCAAGCAGAGCATGTGCGGAGCGGAAGCCGACGAGTGACAGCCTGCGAAGTGGCCGGGAGGAGAGATAGGGTGCAAGAGCAGGAACGGCGGAGTGAGAAGGAAGAAGGGGCCGGCGCCGCGGCGGCGCGCCACACGCCAGCACGTCCACGCCGCGCGGCGCCGGAGCCTTTCGCGCACCTACAGTCGCGAGCCAAGCAACTCCTTCGAGAGGCTCCGGCCCGATGCTGCTCGCCCTTGCTGCAGCATAAGGCTGTCTACAAGCTAAGGCGACGCAAGGGGTCTGTCTGCAGGCTGCTTCACGATTCCGATTGGGCTAGGCAGAGCGCTGAGGCTGGGTCCGGCCGCGGGTGCTCGGGCCGCGCCACATACTCCTCGGCGCCTTTTCTCGGCGCCTTTTCGACCGCGTCGCGGCCACCTTCGCGCTTCCCGCAGCGTGCTCCGGCGTGCGGTGGCGCGCTCAAATCGCGAGCTTGTTGAGAGCTGCTGCGCTGGAGCGCCAAGATCAGCCGACGGTGCGGAGTGTGGTCCGAGGTGCGTCTCGGACTGTCACCGCGCAAGCATCACCCTTATTCGACGTGCCACTTCGGACGCAGGTCCCGTCCATATCAAGCGCGTCGCCGCCCCGTCTCCTCTCTCACCGCACGCTCCACCTTCCGCTCCACTCGCGTCTCACGAGCCACTCGCACACTCGCTGCACGCTTCGCCTTCTTCTCGGGACCTCGCCTCCACTTCTACGCCTGCCTCTGGCCTTCCATCATGAGCCACAGCGGCATGGACATGGGCGGCGATGCCGCGTCGTGCAAGATCTCGGTGAGGCAGCCGGCGCGCTGACGGGTTCGCTGCGGCAGTGACTGACGCTGCGCTCGCTGGCCATGGTAGATGCTGTGGAACTGGTACACCATCGATGCCTGTGAGTATCTGGGAAAGGGCTGCGAGGTGGGGCGAGGAGGGCGGCGTGTGGAGAGCTGGCGCAACTTCGTCTTGTCAGCGCTGCCAGGTACAAGCGGCGATGCGCTCTCGGCGGACAGCTCAATGGGCCACACTCGATCACTTCGTCGTCCCGCTTTGAGATGGCCATGGCTGACGCAGCTGCTCAGGCTTCTTGGCGTCTAGCTGGCACGTCAAGTCGCGCGGCGCCTTTGCCGCCTCGTGCATCGGCGTGGCGCTGCTCGTCGTCGTGCTCGAGGCGCTGCGGCGAGCGGCGCGCGAGTACGACGTCTTCCTTGCGGCGCAGTTCCAGCGGCACGTCGCTGCGCAGGCCAAGGCGCGGGCCGTGGCGTCGCCGTCCACGTCGACGAGCGTGACGTTCCGGGCGTCTGCGCCGCAGCAGCTGGTGCGCGCCGTGCTGCACGCGGCACAGTTCGGCCTGGCGTACCTGCTCATGCTGCTCGCCATGTACTTCAACGGCTACATCTTCCTCAGCCTCGTCGTCGGCGCCGGGCTCGGCAAGTTCCTCTGCGACTGGCTCGAGGTGACGATCGGCATCGCCGCGCAGCCGCCGTGCCTGCCGGGCGGTGCCGCGCCGCCGAAGCAGCAGCAGGCTGTCGTGGTGGCGTCCAATGAGGCGCCGACATGCTGTGCCTGAGGGATTTGAATGAGATTATGTCACTGTCTGTCACTGCCGGCGTTGGCGAGGGGCTAATATCGAGGCCGGCTGGTGGAGTGCCTCTCGGCCGGCACGGCGTTGGCGGGGCGCGCGTGCGACTCCCGCGCGCGTGAAGCTCCAGATTTCGGCCGCACGCCGCTCGTTTCGGGCAGTCCGGCCTCCAGCTGCAGTCTTCCAGCCTCCATCACCTCGCACCTGCACCGCTCCACCTCTCGCTCACGCCACTCTACGCCTGTGCGCTTCTCATCTCCACCGCACTGCTCTCTCCGCTTGTTCGCGCGCTTCTCGCATCCCACGAATCTGCTAGCGCACTCCTCGTGCGCGCCGCCCGCTTGCGCCAAGGATGGAGGACGAGCGTGAGACGGCGCGCCTCTGGCGCGTCAACCGCACCATCCACGAGCTTGTGCGCGACCGCGTGAGTATGCTGGCGGGCACTGGAGCAGGATCGCCACGGCTGAGCGACGGGCTGCGCGGGCGCGGGCGGTGGAGGAGCTTGATGAGGAGGCGGCTCGGACAAGACAGAGGTGCCATGGGCAGGCGCAGCGCGGGATGGCCATGCCCTGCGACTGAGGAGTCGCAGAGAGCGAAAGCGAGAAGCTGCTACACAGTGACAGAAGCGACAGCTGTCGGATGGTTCACGTCCGCAAGCACGGCAATGCGAGGCTGCTGTGATGTCGCGCGGCACGCCTGTTCGTGATGTTCAGTTGTAGAAGGCAGCCGGTCGAGCAGGCTGGCTGCTGCTTGCGTGCACGGAAGGGAGAGATGAGTCTGGCAGCATTTGCTGATGCTGCGTTCGCTGCGCAGGGCTACACCGTCGCGCCGCACGAGATCGAGCTGTCGCTCGACGATTTCAAGTCCGAGTTCGCTGCCAACGGCAGCGTGGACCGCAAGGCGCTCAACTTCTGGTGCGAGTCGCCCGGCTCGGGCGCCAAGATCTTTGTCTTCTACGCGGACGAGCGCAATGTCGGCGTCAAGACGATGCGCACATTTGTGCAGACACTCGAGACGCACGACATCAGTGCAGGCATCATCATCTGGTCGGACAAGATGACGGCGAGCGCGCGGAAAGTGAGTGCTTGACAGCGCGCAGGAGTGAGGTGGGCGGGCGTCTGCACAGAGCAGGCTACGGACGACAGTCTGCTGCGCGCTGGGTGTTGCCTGCACAGCTGTAGTGCTCACATACGCCTGCGCAGGTCATCGAGGCGATGCGGCTGCAGTTCACGCTGGAGGATTTCCAGGAGACGAGCCTGCTCGTCAACATCACGCAGCACCACCTCGTGCCGCGGCACGACGTCATGACACCCGAGCAGAAGGCAGAGCTGCTGCAGCGGTAGTGAGTGCTGCGCCTAGCGTTGCCGCAGAGACGCCTCAGCCTGACACTCCTTCTCAGTCGGCTCAAGGAGACGCAGCTGCCGCGCATTCTGCCCGACGACCCCGTCGCGCGCTACTTTGGCATGAAGCGCGGGCAAGTTGTCAAGATCACCCGGCGTGCGTGCCACGCTGTCCAGACGTATGCGCCGCAGACTGACGCCCTCCTTGCCCTGCAGCATCCGAGACGTCCGGCCGCTACTGCTCGTACCGCATCTGCATGTGAAGCGTGCCCGCCGCTTCGTCCGCCATCTGCCTCATAAGCGCCAGCGCGCTGCAATCTCGTCACTTCTGTAATACTACTCCTGCACCATCTCAAGCACGCCGGCGCACGTCGCGCTGCTCCGTTCTCACAGCATGCTGGTGAAGTCGCTCGCATTCTACGCGCCCGCAGGTGGAGCGCTCGCCTGGCTGGCGAGCTCAGCCTTGATCTTGTGGATGAGAAAGGCAGCCGTGTCGGCGCTGCGCGTGGGCCGCACGGGACGGAACTGCTCGGGATGCGCCTTTGCCAGTCGCTTCGCTTCTTCCTGGAGGGCAGAGGTGGACGCGTGAGGATGCTGACGGTCCCGCTGTGCTCGGGGCGCCTCACCTCCCATGCTATCACACCCTCGCCAGGCGCGAGCAGGTCGAACAGATCCTGCAGCGCAGAGAGGGCGACGTCAGCGCTGTAGCGCAGGCTGGCGCTCGCACTGGCACTTACCGACGTGTCTGCGTTGCGCTTCTGCTCCTCGATGCGCCGCGCAGCCATCTCCTCCGCAGTGACGTGCTCTCCATTGGCGCCGTACGATGCCGGAGCCTGCTGCGCGGAGCGGCCGATGCTCGGCGTCGTCGGGCGCAGCGGCTTCTTCGTGGCGAGTCCCAGCGGCTTGGGACCCGTAGGTCGCGGCGGGGCGTCCGCCGGACGCACGTTTGGCTTGCTGGCGCTCGGCGGCGCAGCAGGCTTTGGCGGAGTCGGCTTCGGCGCAGGCGAGCCGCCGAAGATGGACGAGAAGTCACTCATGCCCGACGGCCGCGGCGCTGGCTTCTTGATGGGCGCTGGAGCAGCTGGACTGCCGGACGCGGCGGACGCTGAGGCACCGGCGCCGCCCAACGGCCCCGGGAGCGACGAGCGTGGCCGAGCTGGCTCGCTGTGCACCTCGCCTGCTCTCAGCTCGCCAGCCTTGCGCGGCAGCTGCAGCGGACCCGAGGCAGCTGCCGCAGGCTTGGCCTTCTTGCCAGCACCCGCCGCCGGCTCCGGCCGCTCTCCATCTGCCTTGCGCTTGTTGGGCTGCGGCGCAGCCTTGCCGCCAGCTCGCCGCGCCTTGTCCTTCTTGGCGCGGGACGCAGTAGACGGTCCCGCCTCGTCCTCGTCGCTCTCGGCGTCGTCTATGAAGTCGGGCAGCGGCGCCTTGCGCCCTCGCCGGCCCTTCGTGGCTACAATGACCTCCTCGTTGTCGCTGTCCTCGTAATCGTCCTCACTGTCGCTGCGGAATGTGGGCGGCGAGACGCGCTCGGCCTCGCGCGGCTCTGGCTTGGCAGCCTCGGGCTGAGCAGCACGCTTCAGCTTGATCTTGAGCTTGCGCTGCGACGGCTCTGCTACCTTGGGCTCGCCAGCCTCGTCGTCTGCTTCCTCTGGCGCCGGTGCCGCTGCCTCAGCCTCTGTCTCGCCCTTGACTCGGCGTCGCCGAGTGCTGCTGCTGGCCGGCGTGATCGTCTCTGGCTCGCGCTTCGCCGACTTGCGCGCGCGTGCGGACGAGGGCCGCCGCGAGCTGCCAGCCTCGTCTTGATCATCTAGAGGTGCCGCTATTGGCCGCCGGCATCAGAACATGCGCCGCGCCTCATGCCGCAGCGGACACTCACACGCATCCGGCACCTCCAGCTTCGGCGGCGGCACAATCAAGCGCTTGCGCTTCGGGTCGCGTGACTTTTGCTTGCTCGGAATAGGCACCGGCGCCGGCGACGCAGGTGCCTCGTCGGCCGGCAGCGCGTCGCCGATGGCCTCGTCTGCGGCTGCCGGCGACGAGCCGCTCGGCTGGGCAGTCCGCGAGGAGCGGCGTGCGCCAGCGGCCTGTCCGCGCCCTCGTACACCGCCGCCGCGCTTGCCGTACTTGGCCTGCTTGGAGCTGGCAGGCGTTGCCGTGGCAGCGGCGGGCTCGGGCGACGCTGCCGCGGCCGGGCTCAGGTGGCCCGGCGTCTGCGGCGGCCCGGGCGTGGGTGCATCGGAGAGCTCGGAGCTGGAGCTAAAGGCGTCCATGGCGCGAGCAGATGTGCGCGCAGTGGCCACAAGTCGAGCCCGATGCGAGTGTAAGAAGCGGAGGGGTGAGCGAGTCAGGGAGGTGGACGTGGAGGAAACGCAGGCTGCGCGCGCGCGTCAAGCTGGAGCGCGCGGCGCGCGACATGGCGGCGCGCGGCGGCGCGGGACTCGGGGGCGCTGCACTGCGCGACGGCCTCGCGTGCCTCCAAAACTAGCGGTGTCGTCTCTATAAGTGCCATTTCTGTCAAATTGGAGGTACGCCTCATCGGGACGTATGGGTGTCACATGAGAGCAGTACAATTTGCAGCCCTAGACCAGAAGCGCTGGGCCAGAAGCTGTGGGTCTGTCGCATGAAAGCAGAGTGAGCGGCCTCTGGCCTGTTACTCCGGCGCGAGGAGCAGCCTTAGGCCTGGTTCTCCTTCTTCGACGCGCTGCGGTCGATGGGCTGCGCAGCGTTCGGCGAGCGACGGCGTAGCGCCGGACCGTATCGATGGATAATCCAGGGCAAGGGCCCAAACAGCGCTGCAGCGCCGCCGAGGATAGTGCAGCCGTATGCCACGGGGAAGGCTCGCGGCTCGTTGGTCGCCAGGTTGCTGAAAAGCGCACGCGAGAAGAGCGGGAAGGCGCCGCCAGCCAGCGAACGCACGAGGTCGTTGGACGCAAGCGCAGAGGCCGCAACGGGCTCATAAGCGTCGCCTATGGAAGCAGAGGGTCAGTGGTAGTTCGTTGCGGGGTGGTTCGCGGCGGCGTACTGAGGAACGCGAGCGCTGCCTGTTGCGGGTAACAGAGTAAGCGGTTGTTTGAGAGCGCTGTGTGACTCGGTGCCCACCTGGAATGCAAGGAAGGTTCCAACGGAGAAGATGCCTCCGCCGATGATCGGGACGATCCAGTGGATGCTCGCGGTCGAGGTCCAGCCGAACATGAGGATGCCGATCGCGAGGATAATGGGCGCGGGGAAGCCGGCCTCGAGGCGGTCCTCGGGGTCGATCTCGCCGCCCTTCTTGTCGAAGAGCTTCTCGAGGCGGAAGTGGCAGAAGACCGCGAAGATGATGTAACCAATGATCGCGCCGACGGCAAGACCCAGGAATGCGCAGCCCGTGAGGCCGGCATTGAAGCCGTACGTCATCTCGAACACAATTGGGTACGCTTCGAGGAAGCTGTACAGCACACCTGGCAACAAGTCGGGTCAGCACATCGCACCGCAGTAGCGCAGCTGGTCTGTGTTTCTCACAGTACACCAATGCGATGAGGAGGTTCAGAGCTTTTGGAAGGAAGAGAGGGGGTCAACGACGCGTCAGCCGTGGCCACGTCTTGCAAATCAGTGAGCAGCACAGCTGGACTCACCCAGGATCATGGGCTCGAGGTTCAGCGTGAAGGGCCGGATCATCGTCATCTGCACGATCTCTCTGCCCGTCATGTTGGCCTGCTGAATCTCGCTCTCGCTCTTGAGCTTGTCGTTGCCCGTCAGCGCGCGCAGGCGCGCGGCGCGGCGCGCCAGAATGTTGGCCGACGACGTCTCGGGCAGCTGCTTGGTGGTCAGCAGCGGCTCGGACGCTCTGAGACAGTGTTCTGACGCACCAGGAAGATGAGCCAGATCAATGCTGCCCCCGAGGCAAAGAGGATCGGCCACGTTGCCCAGGGAATGCCGAGCGCCTGGACGGCAAAGCCTCCGACCAGCGGGCCGAGAGCCGGACCCGCGACAGCGGAGAGTCCCCAAATGCCGATGAAGTAGGCTCGCTTGCGAGGACTGTAGAGGTCGGCGATGCTGGCTCCGCCTGTCGCAAGTGCCGGCGAGCCGAAGAAGCCCGCGAGGAACTGGAGAGGATGGTGAGCAAAGGACGTGCGGCGAGGCACACGCGTACGTACGCGGAGGGTGAAGATGGCGCCGGGCGACGTGCAGAGCGCCAGCGGGATTTGCAGGCAGACGAAGATGAACAGCGTCACGATGTACGGGATGTTGCGGCCGATGGATGGGATCTCGGAGAGCGGCGCAAGGAACATCGGTCCGATGGCGTACTGCAAGAACGGTGTCAGCTAGGTGACGCGTCGCGCGTGTTGAAGGCTACGCACACCCCAGACGAAGAGACTGAGCTGCAGCGTCGATTTGACCACGCTGATGCCCTCCTGCTGCGCATAGAGGGGAATGGCGGGCGTGACGATGCTCGAGGCCATGTACACGCTGAACGTGAGGAAGCAGAGCGATGCGACGGAGAGGCTCTTCTTGCCCTGAGCCCAGTTCCTGCGCATGGCGGTCAGTCGTACTCAGCGCTGGCCGTGGTGCCGATGCTCACAGAGGGTTCGCCGGGTCGTTGTCGCCGTACCAGCCGACGGTGATGTGGTCATCCTTCTCTCCCTGACCCTCGCCGACGGCAGTGTTCTCGCTGGCCGTCTCGCTGGACGGCTCTGCGCTGCGCCTCTGCTCCTGTGCCTTCTCGCTGGCAGCGCCGCGCTGGAACTTGGCCGGCACCTCGAAGTCGGCGCGCTCCTCGGGGTAGGGCAGCAGGTGCCGTCCGCCGCAGATGCGGACGAACTGGCCCGCGAAGGTGTCGCGGAAGGTGCTGCGGAAGTCCATCGCTGGGGATGGGAATGTGGGAGCTGGAGTGGGCGCGGGGCGGTGGGCAGCGCCAGATGGCAGTCGGCCGTACGGCCCTTATGTACTTTTCGTCGTGAGATCTGCTTCACACAGCGCAAGATGCAGCGGCCAACGGCAACCCTGAATATGCTGAGCAATCCTCAGAGGCGCCGGCGGAGCGGTGCCGGCCGCAGACGACGTCAGGCGGCGGGTGCGCGCGGCGGCACCGAGCTTGCGCTGCTGCCACCGCGCCGCGGACCGGCGGCCTCGGCGGCACCCATCCGCGGACCGTGGCTTTGGAGCGCTGAGTCCGCTGCTGAGCGAGCCACATTCATGCGGCCTGCTTGTCGAGCAGCACCTTGCGTGAGGCACGGCGGCATATCATGCGGCGAGCAGAGGGTCTGGCGGCGATTTCGCGGTGACGCGGCGCGCGCGCAACCTCCACGCAGAGAGCGCCGCGGCGTCGCGTCGGAGGCTCAGGTTCTGCGCCTGCCAGGCAAAGCTGCGGCTGCATGCAGCCGCTCTGCTGCGTCGTTGCGGCGTCTGCACGTCATCCCTTCAGCGCCGCACCGCCGCCGGACGGAGGCATCTCGCTGACGCAGCATGCCGCGGAGCGATCGACGCACGCTCCCGCCCGATGGCTCTGCCGTGCCTCATCTCGCCGCGCATGGTCCGCGGCACGCTTCGCTTCTCTTTGCCCTTCGTGCTCTGCTCACGGCGTCTTTGCCGATCCCACGCCGCCGGCTGGGCTTGGCAAGGAACACCGGGCTCCGAGCGGAGCGCCGGCCGCGGAGCCGCCGGCAGGGTACCGACCATCCCTTCTCCAGTATCCTCTCTCTGTACACGACATCATCACGCACGACAGTGGACACGGCAATGGACAGTGACTGGAGCAGACCGTCGGTGGAGTACACGTACAGGAGAGGCAGTCGCACGAGACTGGTGCGCGGAGAGCACAGAGGGGGAGGTGTGAAGAGCGGAACGAGGATGTCTGGGCCGAGCCGCCGGGCCCGCTGGGTGCTGAGGGGCCTGGCGAGCAAGGCAAGCGGCTGTGAGAGCAGCATGAAGAGAGAAAGAGATGGTGAGGGGAGGTACAAATACGCGGCAGTGGTCGCCAGGAGCCCTGCGAGGTGGTTGCGGGCGCCGGTGAGACATGGTTGCGAGCTAAGTCCTGGACGGCGACAGCCCGCCGTGCGAGAGGAGGAACGAGTCCTGGTAGCTCGGAGATCAAGCAGATGACGAGGCGGTGCGCATGTGCCGCTGCGGCTGAGGTGAGGCGGAGGGCGGCTGCTGCTCTTGCGGGCTCAGCTGCGCCGCAGTGGGGCCGCGCGGGCCGGGAGTGAAGAGCGGCAGCATCGTCGAGGCATCGTCGGCCGTCAGGCCCGCCAGCCAGCTGGAAAGTGTCGGCGGCGGCGGCTCATTGCTTGCCGGCGGCTGCGGATAAGGCATCGGCGGCGGCATACACACCGCGTGGCCCTGAGAGCTGGGCGCGCGAGCGGGCGCAGCGGATGCCGCTGCTGCTGCCGCTGCTGCCTCGGAGCGCACGCGCGTCGTGATGAGCGACTCGATGATGCCGCACAGCGCCGCCACGGTGCCGTCTTGCTGCGGATGCTGCTGCTGGCTGGTGGATGCTGCGAGCAGCGGAGCAGCGAGCTGCGCTAACATGGGAGTCGGTAGGCCTACGGGCGGTGCCGGCGGCGACGTATGCGCAGGCTGAGGCACATGCTGCAGGTGCTGGTGCTGTACCGGCGAGAGATGCGGCGCTACCATCGGCTGCTGCGGAAGCGACAGGGGCGTCGAAGGCGGCGGCGACGCGAGAGTCGGCTGCGGCTGCGGCTGTTGGGACAGCCGGACGTGCTGAGCGTGGAGCTGCTGTTGCTGCTGCTGCATCACATTCTGCATCGCCACCAGCGCATCGCGCTGCTGTGCCGCAGCTCCGGCCGACATCTGCAAAGCCTCGCGCAGCTGCTTGACCTCGCGCACAAGGACGTTGTTGTGCGAGAGGGTGCTCTGCGCAAAGCCCTGCAGCTCGCGCGTGTACGACACGGCGGCCTTGAGCGCCAGACGACGGCTCAGCGGGTGCTGGCGCAGCTCCTCGATGAGCGAGCCGTCGACGGTGCGGACGGCTGCGCTATTTGGCGAGGCGTCGACATCCATGCTGTCCGATGCGGCAGCGTTGGCAGCTGTGTTGGCGCGCAGGAACTTGCACGCGTCGATTGTCGTCCCGCCCGTCTTGCTCGACTCGGCGCACAGCACTCGGAGCGTGCTCTCGGGCAGAAGTGCAGCCACTGCAGACGAGCAAGGATCAGCCACGGTAAGCGTTGAACTAAGCCAGGCCAGACGAACGTTGAGCGAGTGTGTCAGTGTCGTGCTGCTTGGGCACGACCGGCTCATCAACCGTGGTAGCGACGACCGGGACCAGGAGAGACTTGCTTGCTGCCGGCTTGGGTCTACGAAGCGGTCAGCACACGACGCGAGCGAGGTCTTGCTCTCACTCACTTCTCCGCATCCTTCTCGCCAGCAGTCGCGCGACGTGCTCGACCGGCGCGCTTGGCCGCCTTGCCCACCTCTGCTGTGACCTTCTTGACGAGCACCGGGCTCGTGCTGCGGCTTTGCTGGCCGGCCGCAGCTGGCGGCTTGGCTTTTGCAGCGGCATCCTTTCCGCCCAGGTCGCCGACAGAGAGCGCTCGAGAGCGTGCCTTGGCTCCTTTCGAGCCACCGGTCTTGGCCTTTCGTGTCGCAGCTGGTGGGCTCTTCTTCGAGATCGGCGCGGTAGAAACGCCAGTCACCGCGGACGGTGACGAGCCAGATGCTTGCGGAAACGCATCGGCGGGCGAGGCAGTCGTTGGCATGCGTGCCCACGGAACCGCATCGGCTGGCGGCGCTTCGTGTCCATGGTGCGGAACGCTGGCGCTGCTGAACGAGGCCTGACGCAGGCCGTTGTGGTATGCAGCGCTGCCGAAGCCGACACGCTCGTCACCGAGAAGGTTCATCACCTCTGGCGAGCCCTCGGCGTCGGCATCAGTCGACGGCGCCGACGCGCCGTCCGTCTGCACGGTCATGGGCTCATCGACCATGTTACTGCGCAGGTCCGCCCACATGTCGTCCCAGCGCGCCGAGAGTCCAGCCTGAGCAGGCGTCGGCATGGTCTCCGCCGAGCTCGTCAGCGGACTGCTGTTGTCCTGCTGGCTCGCCGAGCTCGAGGCCAGGCTGGCGACGCTGCCCGCCGTTATGTCGTCGGCGCAGCTGCTCGACGGCGCCGAGCTGGCTTCTGCCTCGGACGCAGCATCGGCCGGCCAGTTGTTGTGCGAGGAGAGGTGCCATGTCGGCGAGCTCATCGACGCAGCCGCCTTGGCAGTTGGCGAGACGCAGGCCGTCGGCGACATCATCGGCGGCGAGGCGACGAGCGAGCCGTGGCCCTGGAAGACAGACATTGCTGCGACAGAAGCGTTCAGGTGTGTCGAGAGCAGAACTTGCGGGCGGCCCAGCGGGCAGCCGGCTGCGCGGCTTGGCAGCGGCGCACGGGCGGCACTGGCGGCCAAGACTGCTCGAGCACGCGCGGGATCTCCTGATGCCAGACTCTGGGCGTGAGCGGCAGGCGCGGCGGTGCGGCGCACTTGTGCGTAGGATTGAGAGGAGAGAAGAGAGCGGCGAGTGCGCGAGGCGGGCGGTGCGGGGGAGAGCGGAATCGGGAGCGGGCAAGATCTGACTGACAGCCGGCGTTTCCGCACGGGCCACGCGGCGCGCGTGGGGAAGCTCGAAGTCGGAGACCGGCGGCGTGGATGCGGCGTGGCAGAGAGGGTGTCGCGAAGAGCAGCGAGCAGAGAGGGGTGTGGGAGACGCAGATGGAGATGGAGGTGCAAGCGGACAAGAGAGGGAAGGCCAGAGCGCTCAAATTCGCAGGCGAGGCCAGAGGGCGGGGCGTGCGCTGCGGGCATACGAGATGCTCGGTGGCCGCGCCTGTTGATCGTGCTGCTGTGGCGCGGCGCCGCGGCCGGCCGGCCGCCTCGGCGACGGCGAGCCACACGGCACGGCGGCTGTGCCTGTCCGCTGCCGCTGCTTGCCCCGCGCCTGCGCCTGTCACCTCAAGGCTCGGCGATGCGCCTCGTCGAGCTTCCTGCCGCGCCGTCCAGCGCTCCGCTCGCCGTGCCTGCGCCTGCGCCGCCGCTGCAGGCCCCCCTCGCGGTCCTTGCGCTCCTGCGCCTGCACGCTGCGAGCACGCTTGTGCCGTCTTCGCGCTCCAACTCGCGGCTCAAGCGTGCTTGACGTCGCGGCATGACACCTCTGCCGCCGCACGCTTCCTCTCCTCTGCCGGCCAGATGGATGCCCGGCACGGGCAGTGCTGCTCAATCAGAATCTGCTGTCGTTTCCGCGCCGAGGGAACGCACTCGATGAGATCGGCGGGCCGTGATTTGTGGGGTAGATGGCTGCAGATGCTGCACTTTGGTGACGGCCCACATCGTCCGTCGCGAAGGCTGTGCGGCAGCGGCGGCGGGCACCATCGACGAGCTCGACTGCGGCCCGCGGCTAGCAGCGCGGGGCAAGGGCGAGCTGCGCCTCGAGGGCGCCATGGCGCCGGCGTGGCTGCATGTTCCGTGGCGACGAGCATGCTGGAGCACAACTGCTGCCGGCTGCTCTGCAACTGCGGTCAAGACGAAGCATTGGGGCGCCTGTGCGCTGCAGGAGCTCGCATCGTCCATCCATGCGCTGCACGGCAGGCGGCGCAGAGAGAGGAGTGCGAGGCGACACGGCCCGCGGAACAGGAAGCGCGAAGACGGCAGCGCTGCGGCGCCGTGCTTCAGCCGCCGAGATGGGGCATCCCATCGGGCCACGCCGCCGCCGCCGCGCCGTGTGGGGGATGCCGAGGTTCATGCGCTGCGCGGACGCCGAGGCGCGTGCAGCAGCACGGCGCACGGCAGGCGGCGCTCGCCCCTCTCCCTCTCGCAAGACGACTCTTACTGGCGCTGCCGCTGCGGGCCGCCATCTCCGGCCGGCCAATCTGCGCCGCTTTAGTGCGCTCCTGCGTCACACCCGTGCTGCAGCTGTGGGACACAAGAGCTCAGGTGCAGCGATGGTGCCTGCGTCTGCAGACGGCAGCCAAGGGGAGCCGCCTGCCTTCAATCTGTAGCACCAAGACGACGGCACAGATGCAGCCCGCCTGTGGTGTGTCCTCGAGACGCAAAGCAACACATCGAGACCCAGAGCAACCTTCGGCACGGCCATCCGGCGGGTGTAAGAGGGCCATTCCGTCCGGCGCTAGCGACCATGAGTGTCGGGAGTAGGTCACGAGTGATCCGGCGCGCAGTAGAGGGAGCCCTCCCTCCGCCAGGCTCTCGAAACAGGACACTCAAGCGGAGGCTAACATAACAGGATCTTCGAAAAGAAGAGATGCTTCTCGAGATTTTGAGAGTAAACGGATGCGCAGACGCGGCGGACGAGGCGGCCGCGATCTGTTCTCTCTCAGCCCTAGCGGCGAGCTTGGGCCCGCCGGACGCGTGGGGTCCGCCACTGCAGCGCACTGCCTCCGAACGGTCGCCATTTCTTCTCTCTGTGCTCCGCCAGCCCCTCTTCGAGCTTCGCACGTAGGGCCAGGAAGAGCTGGTCATCTCAACGCTGCCGCTGAGCAGATCATTCGCGACACGACACCCGAGTGGTCGTGACGGATGGGTGAGGTAGCCCCGGCTTGCCGTGGCGCTCCCACGGCGCGGCTTGAGCGGTCCCGGTGCGAGATCTGCCGGTGCGCAGCAGCGGCACAAGGGTGCGTCGGGGTAAGCGTGGCGGCCGCAAGGCCTGACTGGGGTCCAGGCGGGCTGCGCCTCTGGATGCTGCGCCTTGCTGTCGGACCGGGCGGGGCGTAGCGCGACGGTCTGGACCTGCATGGCATGAGCACGGACTCCGCTGACGAGGCTGCGGCAGGCTGAGCTCGCAGCAATCAGCAAGCTCAGCGCAAGGGTGCAGGGTGGGTGGCACGAGGAGCGCCAATTCCAGATCACTAGACTCTGCGAGGCTGGCCTGCCGTCTCACCCGCTGGGCTTCCCTTTCCGCCACGCTCGGGCCGCGCCGGACACGGGCCTCGTTCATGCTCACTCCGGTGTCCGAGGAACGTCATGCAGTGAAGGCGATGCAGAGATACGAGAATAGAGTACAGCAGGAGCGGGAGCCAAGCGTGACAAGAGACCAGAGCAAGAGAGACACAGCAAGCGGGGCATACCGGAGAGCAGAGGAAGAGCGCGCCGGCCCGGGCCCTCACAGCTCCTCGCGGCGCTTGCCGCCGAAGCGCTTCGTGATGGTGCGCGTCTGCTCGTCAAACGTGTAGTAGTTGTTCTTGAACAGGCGGCCCTGCAGGAAGGGCCGGCAGTCGTACACGTTGGCCTCGCGCGCCCGGCTCTCGAGCTCGGCCAGCGGCACCGTCACGAGCTCCTCGTCCTCCTCGGCCGCGCCGGCCGCCCGCCTGCGCGACGCGGCGCTGGACTGCAGGTAGCGCATGCGGTCCTTGATCAGGCCGCCCAGCAGGAACTGCAGCAGCTCGTCGGACTGTGTGGAGCTGCGTGAGCAAGTCGTTCGGCCGCATCCCTCGCTTCAGACTCACGTCGGTCGAGGCATGCAGGTAGCGCCGGAAGCCGCGCGCCAGCGTGTTCTTGACGCTCATCTTCTGCGCCGAGAGGAAGCTCTCGAGCGTGCACTGGATGGCCAGGTCGACGTCGTCGGGGCGCACAAAGTCGCGCAGCGCCATCTTGGCGCTCGCCTCGGACATGCGGATGATGCTCTCGAGGTGGCGCACGGTGATCGGGTATGAGCCCGTGCGCAGAGACTCGCGGCGCAGGTCGGCGTACAGCCGCGCGATGCGGTCCTGGTCCATGCCCGAGAGCTTTGGCCGCACGTGCGTGCGGGCGTACATGATGTACTTGCGCAGCAGGTCTTGCGGGATGATCTGCGAGGCGGCGTAAGACACAGGCCATCTGGAAGCGGGCAAGAGCTTGACTCACGTCTGCATCCAGCGAGGTGCCCACGCGCTCCTCGTCGATCGCCTCCTCGAAGCGCGGGTGGCTGCGCGTGTGGCTGCCGACGACGAAGCGTGCGAGCATGTCGTCCTTGACGGGGTCGACGGTGTCCTTCACGACGCAGAGAATGTCGAAACGCGACAGAATCGGCTCCGTCAGCTCGACGTTCTGCGAGAAGGGAATCGTCGGGTTGTAGCGCTGCGCAAGAGAGGGCGTCAGTACCGCTTCGTGCGCGCCCTGACGAGTGACTCACGCCTCGTGTCGGGTTCGCAGCTGCGAGGATGGCGCAGCGGGCCTGCAGCGTCGTGACGATGCCGGCCTTGGAGATCGAGATGCTCTGCTGCTCCATCGCCTCGTGGATCGAGGTTCTGCGACAGGGCGTGAGCTAGGCCTGCGCAGCTGCGGCGCTGCAACTCACCTGTCCGCGTCGTTCATCTTGTCAAACTCGTCGATGAGGCACACGCCCTTGTCGGCAAGCACAAGCGCGCCGCCCTCGAGCGTCCACTCCTGGGTGACCGGGTCCTTGCGCACACTGGCGGTAAGACCGACGGCACTAGCACCCTGACCAGTCGTGAAGACGGCGCGGCTCGACGTCTTCTCGACGTACTTGAGGAACTGCGACTTGGCCGTGCCCGGGTCGCCGAGCAGCAGCACGTTGATGTCGCCGCGAATGCGGTGCTTGCCGCCGACGTCCTTGGCGCAGCCGCCGAAGAGCGAGAGCGCAATGGCACGCTTGATGTCCTCGTGGCCGTAGATCGAGGGCGCAATGCTCTTCAGGATGCGCCGCCCGACCCGCTCGTCCTTGGACAGCGCGCGGATAGCCCGCTCGTCCTCCTCCGTCATGCGGAACACGGCGTATGCGTCGTCGCGCTTCGCAATGTGGTTCGCCTCGAGCACCGTGGCAAAGACGGGGAAGCCGTTCTTCGTATTCAGCGCCGCGTCGAAGTTGTTGCGGTACACGCCCGTGACCTCAATCTCCTCGCCAGGCTTGGCGCTGTCGATGAGGTCCCACAGCAGGATGATCTCGCGATGGCGCGGCAGGCGGCCGGGCAGCACCGAGCCGGGCGACTCCTGCAGCGTCATCTTCTGGTAGTTGCGGTACACGGTCTGCTGCGAGTTGACGCGGAACGGCCCGCGCTTCTCGCAGTGCGAGCAGAACGAGACCTTGACTTCCGAGTTCGCGTCCTGGAAGAAGGGCCCGAGGACCTCGCCGCAGCTCAGGCAGTCGAACTTGACGTACTTGAGCTGCGGGAACACGCCGGTTCGGCGCGTCACGACACCCGAGACGCGCACGAGCGAGTTGAGGTGCTCCTGGCGCAGGTCGCGCAGCGTGCTCGACGTCGGCAGGTCGGCGATGCGCACGTGGATCTCGGGGTGGATGCGGTCGTACGAGGGGTAGTAGAGCAGGATCACGTCGAACGCCACCTCGTCGAAGATGGGCAGCATGGCCGCCGGCGAGTTGGCGAGGAAGTAGGCGAGGATCGCCTTGCTGTCCACGAGGTGCAGGAAGGACACCTCGAGCGACTCGGAGTTGACTGCGCCGCGCGTCAGCAGTGGTCTCGCTGGGGTCCACGCGGGCACTCACGTTCACCGAGCGTCTTGATGCGCGCGCCGTACACACTAACACCCTGCTCATCGACGTACGTGACGAGGAAGTTGCGGAACTCGCGCTTGATCGTGCGGCGCACGTTGTCTGTGGCGACCCAGCTGGCAATGCTGTCTGTCTTGACATCGCCGAGCTGCTCGAGCGGCAGGTCTGTGGCGCCCGCATCCTCCACATCCTCCGGGCGGTCGTCGTAGTGTCGCCGCCGGCGCCGGCCGATGATGCCGGCGTCTGACTCCTCGTCGTCGGACTGCAGGAAGGCCGGCGCGCGCGACTTGCGCCCGATGCCTGCGCCCTCGATGCGGTCGCGGCGCGCCATTCTCAGCTCGGCAAGACGCCGCGCAGTGGCGTCCATCTCGCTGATGTCTGAGCGGTCATCGAGGTCCACAGCATCGTAGTTGTCCAGCGCAGCGTTGCCCTCGTAGTCTCTGGAGTCGGCCATGAGCAACATGGCGCCTGTCTGCCTCTCGCAGGACTCACGCTTCCATGCCGTCGGCGAACAGATCCTCGCCCTCGTCATCGTCCTCCTCGTCACCCAGTGCGCGCGCCTCGCCCTCCTCGTCAATCACATCCTCCTCCTCGACACCCTCGCTGTCGGCGCCAAAGTCCGAAAAGCCCTCGCCGGGCGGACTGGACGGCGGCAGCGACGATGGCGGCGGCGACGAGCGGGTAGAGAGACCGCCGGGCGTCGATGCTGCCAGCGGGCCGAGGCCAGATGGGCCAGCAGCGGGCGATGAGACGCCGAGACCGGCAGCAGAGGGCGAGCGGCGGCGCTTGCGCGACTGCGCCTGTGCGGCGGAGCGCGAGGTGGACTGCGAGGCAGACTGCTCGGGCGACGACTGCGGAGCATGCGTCAGCTGGGCAAGGCTGGCCGGGCGGCCGGCGTGCTCACCATCGTGCTGGTCTTAGTGCAGAGGTGGGCGCCTGGAGAGACGCTCTTGCGGGTGGTGGACAAGACGATGCTGGCTCAGGCGGCCCGACGGCGACAAGGCGCAGGCGGCGCACGAGCACACCCGCGATGCCGCGCTGCACCCGCACAAGCTCGTCGAGGCGCGGCCTCTCTCGCTTCTCGCGCACGCCCTGCACGCCTCTTCCCGCACAGGGACACAGGCGCCGTGCCCGAGATGCGCACGCCGCGAGCAGCCGCCGCTCAAACACGCTCGAGCGGGACGCGTTAAGTGGCGCGTTTGCTCACGCGTTCTTCCCACGCTCTGGCGAGAGACTCCTTGCCGCACGGCGCCGCGCGACTTGAGCTTCTCGCCGAGGAGGTGTTGGTCTTGCCCGAGCCTTCGTGTCCTTCTCCACACCGACCTCCAGCCCGGCCACCAACGCCGCAACTCGTGCTACCCAGCATGCTGCGGCCTATCGTGCATCTCGAGGCGCGCCTGCAGCCGACGTCGACGATGCGCAGCGACGCCGTGCGCGAGGCCCTGCGCGCGCACCTCGATGCCAACGTCGCCAGCCTTGAGTGCGAGAGCCGCCTCGACGACGGCTGGCAGGACGTGCCGCTGCTGCGGCAGCATGTCGCGGGCGTGCGAGTGGGCGAGTGCAGTGAGTAGGGCGTGGCTGCTTGGCGGGCGCGCTGGGCGTGCGAGGCATAGCGCATGGCCGCTGTGCCCGAGTCGGACGAGTGGAGGGGGCATGTATGCCAGAAGCGCAGATGCTCCGTGCGTGCATCTGAGCCGGTGCTCTGGCTGACGGCAGCCACAACAGCTACACCATCATCGATCGTATCCCTTGCCCAGACGGACGTGCAAATACACATCTATCAGACCGCGCCGGACTCGTCGGTGGAGGAGTTCTCGGCGGGTCTGGGTGACGAGGAGGGCGAGGAGCAGGTCGTTGCTGCGAGCGTGCTGGAGCTGCCGAGCGAAAGTGTGGAGGGCGTGTGGGAGAGGTGAGTGCGGCGCAGCGCGTGGGATGTGCGGGCAAGGCTCTGATCCCGCTCCTTGCAGCTTAATCTACGGCGACGACATCAAGCTGCGGTTGCTGAACTACATTGCGACGACCCTGCGCTTCTCGGACGCGAATGTGGACCTAAACGTCGTCGCGTGGAACAGGTGAGCGCTGCGATGGAAGCTCAATGCGCGGTGCTGAACGAGTCGCTGCCAGACTGGTGCTGCTGCACGGGCCGCCGGGCACCGGCAAGACGACGCTGTGCCGAGCCCTGGCGCAGAAGCTGGCGATCCGGCTGTCGGAGCGGTGCGTAGCTTCGACGCGAGGCAGCGCTGCTCTGGCTCACAGTGTGCTGCAGGTATACACACGGCAAGCTCGTCGAGATCAACTCGCACTCGCTGTTCTCAAAGTGGTTCTCGGAGAGCGGCAAGCTCGTGCAGCGGCTGTTCAGCATGGTCACCGAGATGGTGGACGATGAGGACGGCTTCGTGGTCATTCTGATCGGTGCGTGCGGCCGCGCAATGACGTGTGAGGCTCCGCTGACGCCAGAGCTCTACCAGACGAGGTGGAGAGTCTGACGGCGTCACGAAGCGCCTCGATGGGCGGCTCGGAGCCATCAGACGCGCTGCGCGTCGTCAATGCGCTGCTCACGCAGCTTGACAAGCTCAAGCACCGCAAGAACGTGCTGGTGCTCACAACGAGCAACATCAGCGAGGCCATCGGTGCGTCGGCTATTAGACGCCCTCAGCTCTCCTCGCATGCTAATGTGTCGCGCCAGACAACGCGTTCATTGACCGGGCGGACATCAAGGCATACGTCGGCTTGCCGCCGCCGCAGGCCGTCTACTGGATCCTGGCATCATGTCTGTCTGAGCTGATGCGCGTCCGCCTCGTCGAGCCACTTGTGCGTGTGCCGCTGCGACAGTCAGGCTCCAAGCTGACGCATGCTCCACAGGAGATGCTCGACTGGCGCTCTGCGGCATCGCTGCGGCAAGAAGGCGCGAACGTGCAGAGCGATGGCACGGCACTGTCGGCCAGCCGCTCGGCCAGTCTCAAGCTCTGGGATCTGTCTGTGCTGTGCGAGGTGCGTGTGCTCTTTCGCTCTCGCTGGCGCAAGCTGACGCCGACACCGACCAGGGCACTTCGGGCCGGACACTGCGGCGACTGCCCATCCTGGCGCACTCAAGGTACCTCGGCGGCAGCGGCGTGACGAGCTGCGATGCATGGCTCGATGCAATGCACCGGGCCGTCACTGACTCACACGGCGAGATGGCGCGCACGGCCAAGGGCAGCGCCAATTAGCGTCGCGGGCTCACCGCCTGGACGCTTCATTGTACCACCACCCACCAGCAAGTTGAGCACAGCTCTTGCGACGCCGTAATGTATTGATGAGGGTATCGAATGCAGTGAGTCATCGAATCAGTCGCTGGCTCGCAGGCTACTTGTTGCCTGGCGCGCGTGCACGCTCGGCCCGGGCCACGGCAAGCTCGAGCTGGCTCAGCTTGTCGTCCCAGTGCACGAAGAGCTCCGAGATCGACTCGACGCTGTCAGCGTAGTCGGCGAGCAGCGAGAGGACCTCGTCTTGCCGCTGTGCGCGGCCCGGCTGCGCTGCCTCTTCGTGTTGGCGCAGCGCGGCGATGGCAGGAGCATGCGCCGGGACGCCTGAGCACTCGCATCAGCTCACAGCGCATTCGAGACATCAGCCAAGCCAGACTCACTCTCCAGGTCATCGGCATCACAGGCCTTGCTGAGGTTCTGCAGCAGGCTGAGCTGCCGCTCAAGGTCCCGGATCTCCGGCTCGGCCTCCAGCAGCAGCGTGGCCATCTCGCGCTGGCTCAGCGCTGGCGCGAGAGGCGCCTGCGCCTCGCCCGACGAGCTCTGCTCTGGCGTTGCATCGCCGGCAGCACCTGCGTCGCCGGCTGCCGGGACGGGCACGAGCCAGGGGCGGTGGGCGTCGTAGCGTGAGGCGAAGTTGGCGAGCACGGCATGCTGTCCAACGACCTCGTCGAGCGACGTCTGCAGCGCTGCGAGGCGTACGAGCACCGACTGCGAGCCACGAGGTGCAGCGGCGCCGGCGGGCGGAGCGCCAAGGAGCGCAGCGAGCGTCTGCAGGCGCAGCTGCTGTGACTGCAGCGGCGTCGGCGAGGCAATGGCGGGCGTCATGGCGGACGGCGGTCGGCACGCTTGCTCTCGAGCGAGCAGCGGCAGGTGTGCGGCCAGCGGTGAGACTGCGTACTCGTGCGCAGAAGGAGCGCGATCGGGGGGTGGTGTTGGGGAGCAGGCGGCGCCGCTCGCCATAGCTCATGCCGCGGCCGAGGTGCCGCCCTCTCGCCGCGTCGCGTGCCGCCCAAGCGCCGAGAGCCACGCACGTGCGCTGGACGCCTCCCAGCCGGCGGACCTGCATCCTGCTGCTGCACCTTCTCCTTGGCATCGCACCGGCAGCAGCAGGCCTCGGCGACTTCCGCTCGCAGGTCCTGTGTGCTTTTGTGGCTTCGCCAGGAAGAAGCTTGAGCGGAGAAGAGACGGCAGGGCGCGCACGGCTGCGAGGCGCTGCACGGCCCGCTGCGCTCATTGCCCGCTTGCTGATTGCGCCGCTCGGCCCGAGCTTGCCTTCCCACCACCACCATCAAGCATCGCAAGTGTCGCCGGTCTGACTCCCAACAGGCTCACAGGGCAGACTCACTGGCATGGACGCACTCGGCAAGCGCCAGGCGGCCGATGCGGCGCAGCAGCCCGTGATCCACCCGCTCAACGGGCACGGCATCTTTGCCATCATCGTCTTCGCCATCGTGTCGCTCGTGTGCATCCAGCCGGTGCGTGTGCCGATCCCGCATGCCGTCTCGACGCCGGTGCGCAACGCCTGGCAGCGCGCAGTGGGCCGCGATGCGGCTGCGCAGCAGGAGCCGCTCGCGCCGGAGCTGGCGCCGGAGCTGCGCCGCGCCTCGCAGGAGGCTGTGCCGCCGACGCCCGGCACGATGCGCAGCGAAGAGGAGCTGGCGAAGGCGGACTCGCTGCCGGCCCGCCAGCCCAAGCCGCAGCGCGCGTACCTCGTCTTTGACCACGTCTGGACGCCCGCCGTCGGCATCCTCTTCCTGCTCGCGACGCACACCATCGGCGGCGAGCAGCTGCGCGCCGGCATTGTCGGCGAGGAGGGTGTGGAGCCGTACGACGTGCTGGCGCTCTTCATCAGCCTGGCGTACATCGCCATCAGCCTCGATGCGACGGGTCTGCTGCGCTACCTCGCCTTCCAGGTGTGCCTCAAGGCCGGCTCGAGCGGCATGCGCCTCTTCCTGCTGCTCTACGCCTTCTTCTTCACGGCCGGCGTGCTGGTGGGCAACGACCCCGTGATCCTCAGCGGCACGGCCTTCCTCGTGTACTTCACACGCGTCGCGGGCATCTCGCCGCCGTCTGCGTGGATCTGGGGCCAGTTTGTCGCAGCCAACATCTCCTCGGCCGTGCTCGTCTCGTCAAACCCGACGAACCTCGTCATCGCGACGGGCTTCGGCATCAGCTTCCCGACGTATACGGCGTACATGATCCTGCCGAGCGTGGCCTCTGCGCTCGCAGCGATCCTCACGATGCTGCTCTTCTTCCGCAACCAGCCGGCGAAGGAGGTTCCCGTGGCCGCTGGCAGGTCGTCTGCAAACCCTGCGAATGTGCTCGCCAGCGCGCGATCCTTGATGTCGAAGGCTTCGCTCAAGCAGCGCGGGCACGCGAGCGGCGATGCTGCCAGCGCCAGCGATGCAGCTGAGCCAGAGCCGCCGTCCACTCCGCCGGCTGTCGAGCGGCAGCCGCCGCTCATTTACATCCCAAAGACGATCATCAGGCCCGACGTCGACCCTCGGGCCGCGCTTGTCGATCGTAACGGCGCCATATTTGGCACCTTCGTCATGCTGGCGACGCTGGGCGTGCTCGTCGGCACGAGCGTGACGGGCCACGTCAAGGTCTACCAGATCGCCGTGCCAGGCGCGGTGATCACCTTCCTGCGAGATGCCGGCCGCGACTGGTACATGTGGCGCGCGCTCAAGAAGGAGAAGGCCGCCAGCCGGAGCGACGCCGTGCAGTCCGAGGCCGGCAACGGCGAGCCAGGCATCGAGATGACGGCGCCTGGCACAGCTCCTTCTGCCACTCCGGCGCCCGCACGCCGCCCTTTCCTGGGTCGCGTGCTGCAGCGTCCGCACGCCTTTGCCACAGTCTTCCCGACGGTGACCGTCGTGCTGCGGCGGCTGCCGTTCCCGCTGCTGCCCTTCGCCTTTGGCATGTTCATCCTCGTGCAGGGCCTGGGTCACGTCGGCTTCATCGACATCATGGCGCGCGGGCTTGGCCGGGTGTGCGCAAGCGGCACGACGGCCACGGCGTTCTTCATTTCGACGCTGGGCATCGTGCTGTGCAACGTGAGTGGAGCGGGCGAGATGTGCTGCGCTGCTGCTGATGCGCTGCGCTTCCCAGTTCGGCGGCACCAACATTGGCAGCACGATTCTGCTGACCAAGGCGCTGCAGTCGCGCGCCTTTACGTCGCAGCTGCCGCTCGACCAGGCAGCGATCATCCTCAAAACAGGCACGTACTCCATCGCGTTCGGCTCGAACGTTGGAGCGCTCGGCGGCACGTTTGCCGCGAGCCTTGCTGGCCTGCTCTGGCGTCAGGGCTTGGCGCAGGGCGGCGTGCACGTCACGCCCGGGCAGTTCGCGCTCTGGTGCGCCGTCGTCATTGTACCGTCGACGGTGGCAGGCATCGGCGTGCTGCTCGCCGAGGTCACACACTTCCGCATTGGGGAGTAGATGCGCGGGCTAATGGATTGCGTCACCCATCACAGCCGCGCCATGAACCAGTTGCTGACCTCGTCGAGCACCTTGGCGTCCCGCGGCGCCGAGTGGCCGCCGTCGAACCACCTGACCTTGGCGATGGCCTCCACGTTTGCGCCGCTCTTGCTCTTCCCATCGTCGGCGCTGCAGCACTTCGCCCAGCCTTCACTAACAGGACGAAACTGGTCGCGCTCGCCGACGAGATGCATGCTCGGCGTCAGCTCGAGGAAGCGCGTCTTGCGCAGCGTTGCAGCGCGCGCCCCGGCTAGGTATTCGACAGCCACGGCAGAGTGCAGCGAGGAGCTGTGGATCGCGCAGATCGCTGTTCGGCCATCAGCAGGGGCCTCTCTCGCGAGCGATGTGCTGCTCACCAAGCATCGACTTGAACGGCCGGCTTTCGCCAGAGCTGCCAGCCGGTGACACGACGCGCTGGCCCGGCTTCCAGGAGCATTTGCTCTTCATGAGAGGCGGGCAGCGCGGCACGAGCGTCCCTCGCTCGGCCATGGCCGAGAGCCAGCAGCCCAGTACCTAAGTGTTCAAGTCAGCCGTGCGGCAAGGGCGAGCTATCCGCTGCTACTGACTGCGCCTTGCGAGAAGCCAAAGATGTGGTCGACTGTCGAGAGGTCCACTCTCTCAGCAACGTAGGCGATGGCAGCCTCGATTGATGATGGGCTTGTCCAGATCCAGTCGCGCCACCTGCAAGCAAAGTCAGTGCTGCCCGGTTGGGCAAAGGCACTGCTTCACTGACCACCAGCAGCGATACGGTCCGCCGAAAGCGCGCACGACGTCTGTGCGGCACATCTGATTAGCTCGGTCTGCAGACTTGCGCTACCAACGCTCGCTTACCAGGCTTGCCGATGGGCAGCCACACCGGTGCCTCGAGCCAGATGACCTCCAGCTCAGCGCCGTCCTTGCCCTCCTGCCGCTCGTACTTTTCGCGCACGGACTTGAGCAGCGGCGCCAGCTGGAACTGGAACACTTCCGGCCGGCTGCCGAAGCCATGCAGAGCGAGGATTGTGCGCTTGCGCCGTGAAGGAAAGGCGAGCATCGCGCTTGAGGCAGCTGGAGGTCTTGCAGAGAGCGCCGTCGCCGTCGTCAGGCTGTGCTTTTGTGCGCCGCCCTTGCTGCCATCCACCGGTCGCTTCACGGCAGAGGTGCCGGCCGAGATCATACTCCACCCGCAGCGGGCTTGTGGCTTCCCGACCAGGGTGCCTGACTTTTATCGTGCGAGACTACGCCCTCGAAAGACTCCTGACCGGCAGCGGGGCCGGCAGCCGGTGCGGTCTAGAGTGCTGCGGGCGCAGCATAGTGGTGACGTGCGCGCGCCGCGGTCGGCCCCTGGGCGGCAGGCCGAGAGTCCCTTGCGCTGCGCCGCGCGGGCGTCGTCGATGTGATCCAGGCACGCTCTTGGCACCGAGGGCGCAATGACGCCCTCGCGAGCAGTCACACCTCGAGGGGCAATACGCACGCCCGCAGCGGCGGGCGTCAGCGTGGCCAGCCCCTGTGGCGAGTGTGGCCTCGTGGCGCTCTCCGAGTGCGGGTGCAGAGCCGGCACGTCAACGTGGGGTCGTGCGGGCGCAGCTGAGCTCAGCACGTGTGAAGGAGGTCTCCTACCCCTTCGACTGTGCGTATCGGAGCGCGCCGCGGCAGCCCGGCTCCTCGCTTCCGTGCCCAGTCCTCCCGCTCTCGCTGACGTGCCCGGAAGCGACGGCAAGCACCTATCACGGGCCTGGAGTGGCGCAGGAGCAGCCATTTGAGCTCGCGTGCGTGGCCTTTCGCCGCACTTGGAATTGAGGTACGGGAGGATGGTGTGCTCGAGCCTGCCAGGCCATAAGAAGCGAGGCAGTGCCAGCCCGGAAGTTCCACCCCGTCTTGATCCACTACCACCACACACTCTCTGTTTCCCTCGTTGCTCCCTTCCGAGATGCTGGAAATCTCGAGCTCCCGACTTGCCTCGCCGGCTGTGCCGACCACGCCATACCACGGCAGCACTGAGAGCGCCGTGCCGCGCTTCACCTACTGCGATCTCGAGGATGCCTTGCTCGCCTTCTGCCCGGACAGTAGCCCACCGTCGAGCGCTGGCCACAGCTCCAGCGATGAGACCGGGAGCATCAGCAGCTCTGTCGACTCTCCGCCCTCGAGCGGCACCTCATTCAAGTCGGGCCTGCGAGCACGACGACGCACGCTCTTGCGCCCGCTGGTCATCGAAGCGCAGGCGCGAGCCGCTGCGTATGGCGTGTCGAACAACCTGAGTGAGTGTCGTGCCTCGGTCTGGGCGGTACTGTTGACTGAATGCGGCGTCCCAGTCGCGATTGGCATCGCCACTGCCCAAGACGTCGAGCGTGTGGCGCGCGAGTACCGGCATCGTACGCCGCCGCAGCCGAGCTTCCCGCACTCTGCCGGCGGACAGCCGATCCCGAAGTCTGCTCTTCCTACGCCGTTCGGCCCGCCCAGCCTGCCGGAGCTGCAGCGTTCGCCTTTCGTGTGGTCGCCTATGCTCGACCTTTTGCCTGAGCCTCAGATGGCCTGCGAGCCGCTCTCGGTACGTCGGGCAGGCGGGCACTTGCTGCGACCCACACTCACACCCTACTGCAGGACTTCCCGCTCACGCTCGAGCTGCAGGCTGGCCCTGCAGCCGCACGCGCGACGCCTCTCTGGCTCGTCCATCCTGGCGCTGGCTTCGCGACGCCCTACATCGGCCTCGGCGCACTCGAGCGGCCAGTGTACGGCCTGTCCAACGCGGCGCTAGCCAACGGCTTCCGTGTCCGCTCGCTGCGTCACGCAGCGCGTCTGTATCTCGACGAGGTCCGCCGAGTGCAGCCGACTGGTCCATACCTGCGTGAGCGCCCCCGTAGAGCTCCACGTGGATATCCTTGCTGACCCTGCGGCAAACAGTCGGCGGCTGGAGCTTCGGCGGCGTATGCGCCCAAGAGATGGCCTCCATGCTCGTCTCGGAGTGGGCCGCCATCGAGTCGCAGGCGGACGCAGAGGACGCCTCGCGGCACGTCGACGTGCTCATGATCGACTCCTTCCGGCCCGTGACGAAGAGCAAGACCAAGGCGGCGGTGACCGCAAGCTCACCGGGCAGCGGCGACACCTCTCCGAGCCTGCCCCCGCCGACCCCCAGCACAACCGCTGCCGCGCAGCAGTCGGTCAGCTCCAACGTAGCGCTGCGCAAGCTCGGCGGCGCCACCTTGGCGCATGTCTGCGACCAGCACCGCCTGGCCACGCACATGCTGCGCCGCCATGTGCCACGGCCCCTCGCGCAGACGAGCCGCTCGAGGATGCGCGTACACCTCCTCAAGGCCGCCAAGCTCGGGCCGATGCCGCGCGGCGTGTCGAGCGAGATGCGCATGGCTGCCGTGAAGCGCCTCTGCGCCAAGCACAACGGCTGGGACGATGAGCAGCTGGCGCCAGGCCTCGCCCTGCCCGATGGCTCGTTCGATGTCCAGACCGTGGCCGCCTCGCACGACGACATGTTCAGCGAGGCCAACCTCGGCGACGTCACGGCTTGGCTGCGCGAGCGGCTGGCTCTGGCCGAGGCACGCCGTTGATGGGCTGTTGGCGCGGGCTGGTCCCGCATCGTTGCCCCAAACGTCTGCGCAGCTGGCCTGCGCAGGATCTTTGTATTCTGGACCGTCGCGGCACCCGGAATGAGCATCTCGATCAGAACACATCGCTCCTTCTGTGCGCACCTCGTGATCATGCGGCCTAAGTCAGGCCCTGTACAGCGGCAGAAGGAGGTTGCGTGGTGTATGCGCTGATGCGTGCTTGAGTGAGGCTGTCGGCGTCAAAGTGGTCGCTGAGACCCCTCGGGAGGCGGCGTCTTGACGAGTCTATTCCTGGAGCATATTGCGCCGCCGCGACGCCCATGGGCGTAGGTGTCAGGGGCACCCCTGACCACCTGCGCCGCGCCGCGCGGGCGTGGAGGGGTCGCTAGAACGAGGGCGCACGATCGACCGCCGACGTCGCCTCCTCCGGGACCTGAAACTCTTCTCCTGAACGCCTCGTTGTCTTCGATGCGTTCCTACTTGCGTGCCTTGCCTCGGATGCCACGTTCCATCAGGAGGAGCCGCCTCGTCGGCGGCGGCGTCGAAGGTGCGTTCGCCGCACTGTGCACGCCCAGGCACACGCTTGGCACGGCCGTGTGGTGTGGGCGCCTTCGAGAACCTGCGTCTGGCGGGTGCCTTGGCTGCGTTGGCGGATGTTGTGCGCCCTTCATAAGCTCGAGCCAAGCGCAGCACCTCTACCCACCTCTCTCCATCCTGCTTTGCTTCCTTCCGCTTCCTAGTCTCTGCTCCTTCTCCGTCGCGCCGGCGCGACCCCAGTACCTTGCGTCCAAACCTTCCTTCTAATCCTTCTCTAGACGCCTGGTGCGCTTACTTCCTTCGCCATGTCTTCCAACACCGCTGCCGCCCAGACGCCGGAGGAGCTGCTCAAGCAGACGCTGCACGACCTGCACTTCTTCGGCGGCGTCATCGGCAACGACGACCTGGTCCCGTCCATCATCTTCATCTCTCTGTGGTGTGCACTGCTCATCGGCACGCTGCTGCGACTCGCCACCAAGACGGCCTCGTTCAGGTAAGAACTTGCGCTTTGAAGGTGGTCAGCTGCGGCTGACGCAGCGCCATCAGCCCCACATGGGCCATCATACTCGCCGAGATCGGCAGCATCGCGGCGTTCGGCATCCGCATCCACATGAGTTGGCACTTCACCCTCGACACGACGACGTGGACGGCCGAGGCAACGCTGCTGCTCATCGTGCCCGCCCTCATCGTGAGCGCAGCAGAGCGCGGCGGCTCCGAGCTGGACTCACCCTTTGGCCTCGCAGCTTGCGGCGACCGTCGAGATGTTCCGTCGCGCCACGGTCGCCTACCGCTGCGGTGGCGTCATGGGCCGCTTCCTGTTCACTGTCGTGCCTGTGGCTTGCTCCGTGCTCGGCTGGATGTGCGTTGGCATGACTGCCGGGTCCGCGTTCATCCTCGACAAGCGCCTCCAGGACCCCGTGCGCTACTCGGGCCCGCAGGTGAGTCGGTCGGGGCGCGCAAGTCGTGCGATGCTGACTCTGCTCTCCACAGGTCATCAAGATCGTAAGGCGCCCGCAGTCTCGTCGCTCTCTGTCCACCTGTGCTGACGTCCTTACTCGCCGCAGATCAACGCTGTCACCTGCGTGAGCGATGTGCCTCGCCTATCACCTGCACGCTTCAGCCTCGCTTACGTTGTTCCACGCCAGGCGATTGTCAACGCTGTCCTGTGGCTCCTCGCATTTACTTTCGTCTTGGCTGCAGCGCGCCGCGGTGACGCGCGCATCGTCGGGTCGCGCGGATCTGAGTTGCGCAAAGCCGGCCTGTTTCTCATCATGCTCGCGCTCCTCGGTGAGCTTGTTTGAGGGAGCGAGGACGGCACTGAGCTCACCCCACTGCGTCCACAGGCTTCGTCTCTCTCTACCGGCTACTGCAGACCGTGCTGCACCTCCAGATCACCGTGCCCGTACGTGCGAGACTTGCGACGCGGAGGCGTCTCGCTGACAGCGGCCGCAGTACCCGTTCTACGTCATCTTCGCCACGCCGGAGCTCGTCTGCGCCGCCATGTTCCCGCTGTGCCCGTGGCACCGCATTGCGCCGCAGGTGTCGGCCGCCATGCTGGCGCCGCCGCAAGTGTCCGACGCGCTCACGCCGCTCAAGTCGCGCCCGTCCAGCCAGGGCACGATGATCGAGCGCTCCGACCTGCACGCCAAGTGGAACACGGGCCACAGCCGCACGAACTCGAACGCCTCCTCGTCCAAGTCGAGCATCAAGAGCGACGTCAGCGGCTTTGCGGCGCGCTACTCGCAGTTTGAGCAGACGCGCGCGGCCAGCCGCCTGTCCATCCAGGCGCCGCCGCCGGCCACCGCCACCAACGCATGGATGCCCTCGCCGGTGCCCACGGCGGTGGGCGAAGAGCACAAGTCGCGCTACGCCCCGTCGACGATGGAAGTGAGCAGCAAAGATACGAAGGTCGACGAGGAGGCGGAGAAGCCGCTGCCCGGCGTGACGGTGACGGGTGCGACGCCCGAGGCCGCCGCCGCGGCGCGCTGGTCGATGGAGAGCATCGAGCTCGAGAAGAAGGGCGCCGCGGGCGTTGCAGGCCTGACCAGGCGCTCTTCGGCCTCGGGTAGCAGCCTGAAGAAGCAGTGATGTCGCGGCGAGGGGCGCCGCGGCGGGGATGCGGGCAGCGCTGAGGCGGTGTCGGCCCTGGCTGACACCGTCTCGCCTCCAGCAGAAGAAGCGGCGAGCCGCGCCGCCGTCCCCGCTGCCGCTGGCGCCCATGCCGCTGCCGCTGCCGTCGCTGTCGGCGCTGCCGCCGCTGCCGTCGACTCCGCGGACTGGCACCGCACAGCCGACGACACCGGGCACCCCGGGCACGCCACGCACGGCGCCGCAGCTGCCGGCGCTGCCACTCACGCCGCGCGGCTTCCGGCCAATGCTGCTGCAGCAGCAGCGCGAGCACAGCAAAGACATCTAGTACCTTAATACAACCCTCCTTCCCTTTCGAGCCTGCGTGCTGTGGTGTGTGGTGCGAGGAGGTGGTCAGGAATAAGGTGCGGCGCGCTGGCTGGTGTTGGACGCAGCCGTGCCGCGTGGGAAAGGCGCCGGCTGCGCGTCCGAGCCCCTGGCTTTCTCGCCGGACGCGCGGCTGCCTCGGAGCATTTCGCGCAGCGCCTCCTTGCCTCCGCAACACATCAACCACGGCGGCGAGGCGCAGCGCAAGCATGTCCCTGCCGCACGAGCGCACGGCGCTGCTCTCGTCGGCGGCACGCAGGATCAACAGCAAGGCCGGCGCCGGGTCAGGACGGGGTGCGGCGCTGCAGCTGCGCACCACGCTTGTCGTGCCGGCGCTGCACTGCCCATCGTGCGTCGAGCACATCACGTCGCTGCTCGGCCACAGCGTCTCGGACGTGTCCGTCTCGCTCCTCGACAGCAGCGTCCAGTTCACGCATGCAGCGCACGCCGCGCACGAGCAGGCACACTTCGACCGGGCGCATGTGCTCGCGCTCCTGGCCCGCCTCTGCGCCACGCTCGATGCCGACGGCTACCCGGCAGCGGCGCTGCAGACTCGCGAGGTCGCAGCACGCGGGCGTCCGAGTGCGTCGGCACAGGCGATCACGCTGGACGATGTGCAGCGCGAGGCAGAGCAGCCCGATACGGCAGGCTCGGCGCCGAGCTCCTTTCCGCCGTCTCGGGCATTCCTGCGGCCCTTGACATACCGCAAAGAACAGCGCTCGACAGCTGCCGAGCGCGAAGAGGCGCGGCAACGACACATGAGCGTCTGCGCTGCGTGCAGAGGCGAAGGCGAGGACGAGCACCACCATGAGCCAGACGCTCCACTCAAGGCCACCCTCGCGATTGGCGGCATGAGTGAGTCGTGCTGCGATACGAGCAGGGCCCTCGCTGATACTCCGCACAGCCTGTGCCAGCTGCGTCAATGCCGTCAACTCGGCTGCGCAGACCCTCAACGCCGGCGACCACAAGCTGCTGCATGCCTTCAGCGTGGAGCTGCTCTCAAACTCCGCCAGCGCAACTGTGCAGTCAAAGGCGGCACTCGACCAGCTTGTGGAAGCGATTGAAGACGCCGGCTACGATGTCAGCGTCGCGACGGTCGCGCCTGCGGGCGAGGAGCGCAAGTGGACTGCGCAATACTCGGTCGGCGGCATGACGTGCGCCTCTTGTGTGGGCAACGTCGAGCGAGCCGTGCGCGGTGCTGTCGAGCTCTCCTCCTTCCAGGTCGTCCTTCTCGAGGGCCGCGCGTCTGCCGCGTTCGGCGCGGCAGACGAGGCAGCAGCTCGGAAAGTGGCAGATACCGTGCTCGAGGCGATCGATGATGCGGGCTACGAGGTGCAGCTCTCCTCGCTGGACACCGACGCGGCCCCTGCGACACAGGCACGAGCAGCACGAGTCTCGATCCAGGGCATGTTCTGCGGGCACTGTGTCAGCAAGGTCCAGCGCTACTTTGAGCGCAAGCGGGACGAAGGCTCTATCTCGATCGACGCGAAGGAGCTCTCCTCGCTGCGAACAGATCTGCCGGAGCTGGCGTTCACCTACGCGCCTTCCGCACACACCACGCTGCGCAGCATCCTCTCCGATTTGGCCAGCCTCGACCCGGCCTTCAACGTGGTACACGTCACGCCACCCTCGCTGGCCTCGCGCAGCGCCGAGCTGGCAAGGCGAGAGTTCCTCGACTATGCCGTCCGCTTTGCGATTGCTCTAGTCTTTGCCGTGCCAACCTTCGTCGTCGGGATGCTGGCTCCCGCACTTGACGAGTCTGCGCCCTTGCGGCAGCGGCTTGCAGCGCCTGCTTGGGGTGGCGCGACGGTGGCTGAAGTGACCCTGTTTGCTCTGGCAACGCCTGTCCAGTTCGGCGTTGGCTCGCTCTTCTACGCACGCTCGTACAAGAGCCTGCGCAGCGTTTGGCGGCCTGGGCGCTCATGGAGTGAGCGCCTGCTGCGCTGGGGCAACATGGAGGTGAGTCTTGCGCGTTTCTCCTGGCAAAGCCGTCCTCACGCTGCCCGCAGGTGCTCGTCGCGGTCGGCACCTCTGTGGCCTACTTTGCCTCGTTCGCGTTCATGCTTTTCAACGTCGCACGAGGCCCGCAAGAGCAAATGAGCGACGCGATGACATTCTTCGATGCGTCAGTCTTCCTGATCACGTTCATCCTGCTCGGCCGTCTGCTCGAGTCATGGTCAAAGCGGCGCACGGGTGACGCCGTGGCGGCTCTGGGCGCTCTGCGACCCTCGCGAGGCCTGTTGCTGCTTGACCCGGCAGCAGGAAGCGCCAGCAAGCTGCGAGAGCTTGATGTCGCTTTGCTCGAGCTCGGCGACCTGGTCCTCGTGCCCGCCGGAGCGAGTCCTCCGCTCGACAGCGTGCTGGCAGACGAGCGCACGGCGCTGTTCGACGAGTCCAGCCTCACCGGCGAGAGCGTGCCTGCCAAGAAGCAAGCCGGCGACCAGCTCTTCGCCGGCACAGCCAACGCCAGTGCGCATCCTGTGATCGCACGCGTGTCGGCGCTGCCAGGCGAGCAGCTGCTAGATGGCATCCTCGACGTCGTGCGCAGTGCCTCAGGCCGCAAGGCGTCGATCGAGCGCATCGCAGACCGCGTCACGAGCGTCTTTGTGCCAGTCGTCATCTACATCGCTGTGAGTCGCGCCGCTTCGCTCTCAAGTGACAGGCATGCTGACAGCTCTGCGCCTGCTAGATCGGCGTCTTGCTTCTCTGGCTGGTTGTGCTCTACGCCATTGCCTCGCCGCGCTGGGTTCGGGCGCATACGCCGCATCCCGACGAGCCGGGCGCTCGCTTCCTGTACGCACTTCAATTCGCCATATCGGTCGTCGTCGTCGCCTGCCCATGCGGCATCGGGCTGGCGGCACCGACGGCCCAGCTCGCCGGCATCGGTCTCGCAAGCGCGCGCGGCATCCTCGTCAACGGCGGCGGCGAGGCGTTCCAGCAAGCATCGCAGGCCGGTCGGCGCCGAACGGTTGTCGTCTTTGACAAGACCGGCACGCTGACGGAAGGCGTGGGCCAAGTCGTTGAGCGCCTGGACGTGAGCACCAACGACAGTATCGACATCTGGCACGCGCTCGACGTCGTCGAGCAGAGCAGCACGCACCCCGTCGGCGAGGCGATCCGCCGCTACTGCGAGGAGATGGCAGCCGGCGCGGACGCTGCGGCACCTCGTCCAAGTGACGTGCAAGAGCTCTCCGGCTCAGGCCTCATAGGGCGCTTCGCCGGCTTTGACTTGCTTGTCGGCAATCGGCGCCTCGTGACCGAGTGTGCGCCGCTAGGTGCGGAGCATCAAGAGATCGTCGCGCAGTGGCAGAGCCAGGCGCGCTCGGCAGTCTTTGTGGCTATCCGCCGCGAGGGTCAGGCGCCGCGGGTGCTCTGTGCGCTGGCTGTGGCGGATCCGCTGCGGACAGAGGCCGCAGCCACGATCGCTGCCCTGCGCAAGCGGTACCGCGCCGAGTGCTGGATCGTCAGCGGCGATGCCGAAGCGACTGTCCGCGCGGTGGCTGCGCAGCTCGACATCGAGCACGTCGTCGCTGGTGTGCTGCCGACGGGCAAGCAGGATGCACTGGAGCGCATCCGCAATGGGAGCGAGGAGGGTGTACGTGGAGGCGAGAAGCCGCTCGTGGTATTCATTGCGAGTGCTAGCATGCGTGCCTCGACGTTCCATGGCTGACGCAATGCGCGCAACAGGGCGACGGCATCAACGATGCACCAGGTGAGCAGCTCGTGGGACGATGCAGAGAGCGTGTCTGACACCCGCACAGCCCTGACGAGCGCCGACGTCGGCGTCGCGATGGGCGGCGGCAGCGCGATTGTGAGCAGCCAGATAGGCTCAGCGCAAGCCCCTCGCTCACCTCCATCCCAGGCGTCATCCAGTGCCGACTTCATCCTGCTCAGCCCCACTGCGCCTCTCGCCTCGCTGCCCGTGCTCCTCTCGCTGAGCCGTGCGACAGCTCGCAAGGTGCGGCAGAACTTTGCGTGGGCCGCCTGCTTCAACCTCAGTGAGCCTCAGCGAAGATGCCAAGCGTGCCACATCGCTCATTGCGCCCACAGTCTTGCTGCCCATCGCTGCTGGCGCACTGGCGCCGACCGACTTTACTCTCGGCCCCTCGTGGAGCGGCCTCGCGATGGCGCTGTCGTCCACGAGCGTGATCTTGAACGTGCGTCGCGCGTGTCTCGGCGACGACGGTTGGCTGACACCCACTGCAGGCCCTGACGCTGCGTCTCTGGCGGCCCGAGTCGTGACGCAATCCTATCATTACCCTAGCCTCCAGTCGCCGAGTCTGTGCTCGCCTCTCTCAGCCCTGCCTCTGCCCGCGCTGCCCGTGTCTCCTGCACGCGCCGCTCCTCCTCCTCGGTGCGCAGGTTCATCGCCGCCGCCTCGTCGTTCATGCGGTCGAGCCAGCGCTGCAGCAGCGAGGCATTGTCGCGCTTGAGTGCGTCGTTGCGCGCCTCGACCTGGTTGAGCTCGAGCGAGAGCGCCGAGAGCTCGTCTTGCAGCAGCTGCCGTGACACGTCTCAGCCCGTGTCTGAGCAACTGCGTGGCTGGCACTCACCTCGACGAGCTTCTCCTTCTCGCGGATGCCCAACCGTGCATCCTCCTCGCCGCGCCGCACACGCACAAGCTCCTCGCCTGAACGCGCCAGCTCATCCTGCGCCTGCCGCAGCGCCGCCTCGCGCGCGGCGAGCGCGTCGGTGAGGCTCAGCAGCCGCTGGGCATTGGCCGACTGCGTCTTGTACATCTCAGCGAGCTCGGCGCGGAGCGCAGTCGAGCTGCGCGGAGCGTCAGAGGGGATTGAGAGTCTATGGAGATTTGCGACTCACTCTGCATCGCTGACAGGACCAGGCGCACGCTTCGTGGGCGTCGCATCAACAGCAGGAGGCGCTGGAGGCGGCGTCGCCACGGACGGCCGAGCTGCCGGGCTGCTCTGCGTCTTGCGCGCGGCCACGACGTACTGCGAGAGGCGCTGGTCTGCAGTGCGGATGAGCATGATGCTGTGTCGGGTGCTGGAGAGGCCTGCTCACAGGAGGCGATGACCTCGTTCAGTGCGCCTTCGCGCACATCGCGCTCGGCCAGGCGCTCCTGGATCAGCGCCAGCCACAGCGGCGCGGCCGCCTGCGCCATGCTGGCCTGAGACTGGCGCGCGCAAGTGAACAGCTGCGACAGCTCGCACTGGCTGAGGCGAGGGTCTTGCTGCGGTAGTTGAGGTGGTGGTGAGAACGAGTGAAGCAGGCGCCGCGGCGCGGCGCGGCATGAGCAGCGGCGCAGGGTGGCTCGAGCGCGCAGCGCGGGCGGTGCCGAGTTACGTAAGCCACGCCCTGCTCCCCTGAGAGGACAATCGAGACGCCCGGAGGCCAGCTCCGTACAAGTAGCTCTGCAAATCATTTCAAAATGAAGCTCGTGCTGTGCAGAGAGGGTTCTGCTGTGTTTCTGCCGCAGTCTCGGTGGCCAGCGGCGTCGAGCAAGAGGAACAGCAGGCGCGTACGCGGCGGCGCGCGCTCTGTGAACAGCCTTGCTGTACCGCTTCCCGGCCCACCCGTCCGGTGATTCGACCATCTCGGCTTGGTCGTGGTTGACCATGAAGTGCAGCAGGGGCGCGAGAGACATACGTCCCGGATCATGCCCATCTCCGTCCAAGGAAAGGGACGCAATGGCCACGTGACAGCTTGGCGGGCGCTGCGTGGCGGCTGCATAGCTCTTCGCTTCGCTGCCGCTGTGCACGTACGATGTGTCAGCCAGAAGGCTAGCCTGAACTCCAGCGTTCCTGCTCGGCAGCCGTTCAGGCAGGGGTCGCGAGCCCGAGGGTTCGGGCAGCACGTGTGCCGCCGAGCAGGATATAGGCGCAAGCGCGCCTTGTCCTCTGCTCTCGCGGCCAGCCCCCTCTTCGTCGCTCACAGATCAACAGCGCACATCCCCGCCGCTGCGGCTGTCGAACGAGCGGCGGGCGTACCCTCGCACGCTCGCCGGCAGCCCCGATGGCGCACAAGCGTGCGACGTGGACGCGGCGAAGGCGGCCCTATGCGTCTGGCTGGCTGGGCGCAGGGGAACGATGCGAGCGGTGTGGCGGGCAGGCGCGCGGCGCTCCAGCCACGGCCAGCGTGCAGCACGACGGCGCTCGGCGAGCTTCGTCTTTTCACGTCGCATCTCCAAGCCGAAGCCGAGTGGCCTTGCATGAGCATGGCGCCGCAGCGGAGAAGACGTGCCGCCGTGCTTGTGCTGCGGCGCTGCACCCTCGCGGTGCGCTTGCCCGCTCCGCTGCGCGGCTGCGCTCTGGCGGCTGTCAAGGGGCCAAGTGCGGGGAAGCACGGCCGCGCGGCACCAGAGCAGTGTGCGCGGCGACACTCGCCCACTGCCTCCAGCCAGCCAGAGGCGCCGCGTTGGCGGTGCTTCCCCGCACTTTGCCTATGGCTGCGGCACTGCCGGCGCGGCGGCAGCACGGGCCGAGAGCAACAGAGCGAGGGCTGGGCTGAAGGCACGCCCGCTGGCACTCTCCGCATGCCAGCTCAGAGGCACAGAGGCTGAGGGGTCCGCTCCGCCCTCGCACCGCACCGCGCCTTGATGCCGCCGCCGCGCAGCACCTCTCACCCTTCCTTCTCACCCTCACACCACCCACACGCCTTCTCCCACCCACCCACCTCACTCGCCACCATGCGTGTCATCATCGTTGGCGGCGGTCTCTCTGGCCTCTCGGGTGAGCATTGCATGTTGCGCCCGCCTCTTGCCACTCCCGCTCACGCCCTCTCACAGCCGCGCACACGGCCCTCGAGCGTGGCGCCAACTGCCTCGTGCTCGACAAGGTGCGTGCTGGCCGCGGGTGTGTGTCGTCGCGCTGCTGACACGCTGCGCAGAACGCCTTCTTTGGCGGCAACTCGACCAAGGCCACGTCCGGTGAGTGCGCCGATGTGCGCTGTCTTACCACGTGCTCACGCCGCCACAGGCATCAACGGCGCCGGCACCAACACGCAGCTCGAGAACGGCATCCCGGACAGCGCCAAGATCTTCTTCGAGGTGAGCAGCACTCGCCTCCGCCACTGCGGCACCTCTCACACTCTCTGCAGGACACGAAGAAGTCGGCGCGCGAGCTGGCGCGCCCGGACCTCATCAAGGTGCTCACGGGCAAGTCGGGCGACGCCGTCAACTGGCTGCAGGACAAGTTCAACCTCGACCTCAGCAAGGTGTCGCGCCTCGGCGGCCACTCGCAGCCGCGCACGCACCGCGGCGGCGCGCAGTTCCCCGGCATGACGATCACGTACGCGCAGATGGAGCGCCTCGAGGACCTGGCCGAGTCGATGCCCGACCGCGTCGCCATCGTCAAGAAGGCGCGCGTGACGAACCTCATCTTTGAGAACGGCGCCGTGCGTGGCGTCGAGTACGAGCACAAGGGCCAGAAGTACCGCGAGGAGGGCGTCGTGGTGCTTGCCACCGGCGGCTACGCGGCCGACTTTGACGACGCCGAGAGCCTGCTCAAGAAGCACCGCCCCGACCTCATGAAGCTGCCCACCACTAACGGCGACCACTGCACGGGCGACGGCCAGAAGATGGTGAACCGCATCGGCGGCAAGCTCATCGACCTCGAGAAGGTGCAGGTGCACCCGACGGGCCTGGTCGACCCGCGCGACCCCGACGCCAAGGTGAGCAGAGTGGCCGCATGTCCATTACGGGCGCTGACAACCTCCGCAGGTCAAGTTCCTGGCTGCCGAGGCGCTCCGTGGTGTCGGCGGCCTGCTGCTCGACAACGAGGGCAAGCGCTTCGCCGACGAGCTCGGCCACCGCGACTACGTGACGGGCCGCATGTGGGAGAACGACAGTGCGTGGCGTGTGTAGCGTGCCTTGAGCTGTGCTGACCCCTCGTGCAGAGTTCCCCGTCCGCCTCGTGCTCAACAGCGCCGCGTCCAAGGAGATTGAGTGGCACTGCAAGCACTACGAGGGCCGCGGCCTCATGAAGAAGTTCTCGTCCGGCGACGCGCTTGCCAAGGAGATTGGCATCAGCGCCGAGCAGCTCAAGGCGACGTACGACGACTACAACGAGATCGCCGACGGCAAGAAGAAGTGCCCCTTCAACAAGAAGTTCTTCAGCAACGGCCCGTGGAAGATGGACGACTCGCTCTACGTCGCGCAGATGACGCCCGTGCTGCACTACACCATGGGCGGCATCGAGGCCAACGAGCACGCGCAGGTCATCGACACGAGCGGCAAGGTCGTGCCCGGCCTGTTCGCCAGCGGCGAGGCCGTCGGCGGCGTGCACGGCGCCAACCGCCTCGGCGGCTCGTCGCTGCTCGGCTGCGTCGTGTTCGGCCGCGTCGCCGGCGACTCGGCGTCGGCGTACCTCATGAGCCAGTTCGCCTCGGGCCAGGCCTCGGCGCGTGCCGGCCAGGTCGCGCAGCACCTCGAGACGACTGTGCGCGTCGACCCCGCCACGCAGAAGCTCAACCTCACCTTCAGCTGGGCCGGCCAGCAGGACGCCACGCCGCAGGCCGCGCAGAGCGCGCCCGCGCAGCAGTCGCAGCAGGCGCAGGCGCAGGGCGAGGCCTCGGCCGGCCCCGGCGAGAAGACCAACGGCAAGGGCGCCGACAAGAACAAGAAGTACACGCTCGACGACGTCGCCAAGCACAACACCGAGGACGACTGCTGGATCGCGGTCAACGGCCAGGTGCTCGACGTCACTAACTTCATGGACGACCACCCGGGTACGTGTCCGCGTGGCTGCGCGCATCTCTCCAGCGGCTGACACTGCGCCTTGGCACTCTCATAGGCGGCAAGAAGGGTGAGCAGCTGCGCCTATCGTCGTCGTCGTCATCGTCGTTGCCGTCGCTGACCATTCATCCTTAGCCCTTCTGCTGTACGCCGGCAAGCTTGCGACGGAGGTGAGTGACGTCCCACACCTCTCTGGGCTTCTTATACTGACATTTGGGCGCATTACAACAGGAGTTTAATATGCGCGTCCCGCTTGTGAAGTTATCAGGAACATCTGCTGACCCTGCGCTCTCCCCACAGGCTGCACGAGAAGTCGGTTGGTGAGTTTGTCTTGCGCTGCGACGCGTCCCCGCGGTGTGCTCACGCGCGTCTCTCTGCAGTCGAGAAGTACGCCAGCGAGTGCATTGTCGGCGTCTTCGACGAGCCGCAGTAAAGGATCCTTCTCTACGCTCGTCGCCGAGGTGCTACTACCCATCTCCATCGTTTCCGGCCGCCCGCGCGCGCGCCCACCATGTCCCATGTATCCCCCAGCTATCCGCAATGACACCTCGACCGCCGCGACACGCGCCTGACGACCCAGCTGAGCCTGAAATGCAGAGCGCAGAATGAAGAGCTGCTAGCCGTCGAGACAGTCTAGCCGCTCGCGGCCCTCATCTCCTGGAAGGCAGGAGGCGGTGCATCAAGGCAGACGCACCTTTGCTGGCTGCCGCGCCCGCGCGGCGCACGGCTCTTCTGCCTCTGCTGGCGCTGCCCATGGCTCGGCCGCACACGTCGCTGTGCTTGCGCATGACGGGCTTATGTCGACGGCTCGGAGGCGTGTCTTCCCTGCACTCTCGGTAGGGACAGCGCCCTCCTCACTCTCTCACTGTCTCCCTCGCTCAACAGCCGCAGCACAGGCTCTGAGCGCGCACAACGGATGATCATGAAACGACGTGAGGGGCTACAGAGGGCGGTGACGCGGATGTGTTCGGCGGGTGTGATGTGGGACGATACTGCTGACGAGGACCGGTGACGTGGTGTGCGAGAGTCGAAGTCTTGATGAGGAGGCGAGGCCGTGGAGAGAAAAGAGTGATATGCCTTGCGAGCGATGCCGGAGGCTTGATGAGCTCACGTCGTGTGGCTGGCGGTAGCACGGCAGGATGATGCTGCAGACAAAGAAGCGTTGGTAGGCCGGAGGAGAAGGTTTTTGGCGCAGTCGCAGACGCGGATAGACGGACGATGCTCACATGACTGCGGTCTTGTCGAGACGCTGAGCGTCAAGCCTCGCCCATCGCCTCTCGAGGCTCAGTCGCCATCTTCTCCTCCATCGCTGCTCTCATCGCTCTCTCCCTCGCTGTTGCCCTCGCTTATCTCACTGCCCTCCTCCTCAATCTCATTCTCCTCCGTCTCGTCCGCAGACTCCTCGCTCTCTACGTCCTCCCACGCGTCTTCAGGGTGCAGCACATCATGCTCGAGCTGCTCTGCCAACTCGATGGCCAGCTCGCTGGAGGCTGAGACGCGCAGTGCGGGATTGTCGAGCGGCTCGTCTTGCTGCGCCTCGCACTGTGCCGCCATCAGCCGAAGCTCCATGCTGATCTCGCTGTTGAAGCCATCGAGCAGGTGCGCCAGATCCATGTAGAAGGTCCAGCAGATGTGAAGCACCTCCGCCTGGTCGTCCGCAAAGGCCTTGAGGCATTCGAGCGCGACGTACTGGATGCGCGTCTGCTCGGCCATGAATCTCAAGGCCGCACGCAGATTGGTGCGTCCCCATTCCGGATGGAGCCCAGCATCTGTCGCGAGCCAGAGGCAGACGTTGTTGGCTTCCTGTGCGCGAGCGGACGCCGGCGACGGCTGCAGGACCGCAGCCTTGAGCTCCCAAAGCATGTTGTCCGTCCGACGCAGCGCCAGATGTTCTGCTTTGCCGAGCTGACTCGGCTCCCGCGGCGCGTGATCATGCATGGAGGTCATAAGCTCCATCTGGTTCGAGAGCAGCGCAGAAGACGGCGTTCCGCCGTGTGGCGCCGACATTGGGCGGGCGCGACAATGCGCGACTGCAGCGGCCTGTCAGCTGAGGCTCGATAGCGCGCCATCACGAGTCTCACCTGGCGTGAGGCTTCAGAGACTGAGAGAGCAGAGAAATAGAAGCAGGTGTGCGAGAGAGTATGCGTGACGGAGCGTGACGATGGGCGCGGCCGCAAGCGAAGAGGATGGTGGTGGGACGAGAGAGGGGCCCGTGCGCGCGACGCGCACTTTGAGCTCTGCTCTCTACCAGCTATTTGAGACGAGGCGCGCAGCAGCCGACACAAACACATGTTTGGTGCCCTCACCATGAGTCCCTTTGATACTGCCGAGCAAGTCAAAAAGCGGGTGTGCCTCTGCACCTGGCTGCCTCGAAGCGGCAGATGCCTGAAGCGGCGCATTTCGAGGCGATGCAGGGCCGTCGCGCGATCGTGCGTTCAGACGTCGCCCGCTGTATCTCTGCAGGCGCAGCTTGACAAGCTCTAAGATGGCTCGACGCTGTTGCGCGGCCTCATCTCGAAGGAGTGGAGTGGAGTTGTCACGCACGGCTTCGGCGCGACAGGGGCTCAGCCGACGGCGCGCCGACCGGGCCTCAGCCGCTGTGCGTCGGTCTAGTGCACGCAGACATGCGAACAGCGCACGACGACAAGGAAGCGGGAGCCTCTAAGTCTGCTCGACCTCTCACTCGTATTCCTCGAGCTCCACTGCGCATCGTCTGATATCCAGCAAATGTGACACTGAATAGCTGACATGTCCTGCCGCTACCCCCTCCCTCATGCAGCCGCTCGCAATGCTCTCGCGCCGGGATAAGGTATAGTATTGCGAGTCTACATGGCGGCAGCTGTGCTGCTGATAAACGAACATGTGGTCTCAGACGTCGGCAGAGGTGCTGCCGCCGGCGTGCTGCTGCGGGTATGCGCTGCCGCTGCCGCTCGCGTCCTGCTGGCGGTACGAGCTGCCGCTCGCCTGCTGCTGCTGCTGGAAGTCCATGCTGCGTCTCGCCTGCTTGCCCTTGTTGGCGCTGCCGCTCGCCTGCTGCTGGTGTGGGTAGCCGCTGCCACTGGCCTGCTCTTGCTGCGTGTAGCCGCTGCTACCGGCCTGCTGCTGCATCGAGGCGTCGCCAGAGCTGGAGGTAGACGCCTGCTGTGCGTGGGCGTTGGCCATGATGGGCTGCGCCGGGGCGAGGCCCGCGTCGGGCGTAGACGCCTGCTGCGGGTAAGCGCTGCCCACGGCGGGCTGCGATGAGACGTAGCCGCCGTTGGGAGTAGGAGCTTGCTGTGCGTAGGCGTTGCTCATCATCGGCTGCGCCGACGGGTAGCCACCGTTGAAGGCAAAGTTCTGCCGCGCAAGGTTGTCGCTCGTCTGCACCGACGCATAGCCGCCGCTGTAGAAGCCCGGCGTCTGCGCGTACATGTTGCTCATCGCCGGCTGCTGCTCCTCCTCCTCGCGCTCGGCGCGCCTGGCCCTGAGCATGCGCACGAAGAGCACGGTCGCGACGATGCACATGACGAGCGCGACCAGCACTGTGAGCCAGGCGAGGACGAAGTCGGCAATGGCGAGGCGCCCCGCGCGGGTTGCGGAGCTGCAGACGGCGGCGGAGATCGGCACCCCGTCGGACGAGATGCAGCTCGAGCCGTCGGACTGTACCTGTGGGCCGGTGTAGACCTCACTGTCCGAGTCGCTGCTGCTCTCGAACGTCGCCGGCACATCGAGCAGGCCGGTGTAGAAGCCGGCGCCGACGCCGCTGATGGCCAGCCTGTGCAGGAGGCGTGAGCTTGGCGCTGGAGCGGCGAAGCGTGTCGCACCACTCACAGCACGACGTTGAGGAAGACGAAGCTGATGAGCGTGCAGCGCGACGGCAGCGAGCGGCGCGCCACGAGCAGGCCGCACACGGCGACCTGCGGCACCGAGAAGGCAACGCCGAGCCAGAAGACGAGGCCGAGCACGGCGGCGGGCAGCGTGGGCCCTACCGGGATGCCGTCGGCGAAGCCCGCGTAGCCGCTCGAGCCGTGCAGGGCCCAGCGGTTGAAGATGACGAGGTTGCGCCGGCGCAGGAAGATGCTGATCACCGCCGTCGTGATGAGCAGCGCCAGGTGCACGCAGGTGACAAACAGCAGCGCTGTGCCTGGGCATCAGCGAGGGCGGTGCGGAGCTGCGCGTGCGCGGCACTGACCCAGCTTCAGGCGGAACATCGGGTGGGCGGCCGTCATGTTGCGGAGGATGTGGGCGAGAGAGAGGATGCAGCGGTGCTGGCTGCCCACCCTTTATGCAGAGATCGAGGCGCTGCTGCTGCAGGAGCTTCTCTTGCAGCTGCTTCTGGCGCTCGACGCCTCGCCAGGCACGAGCACGCCGCGGTATGCCGGCGGCACACGCGTGGAGCGGTCCGCACGCCGCTGCAAGCGTGGGACCTGCCGCTTCGGGCGGCGTGCCTGACAGGACGTGACGTTCAGGCAACTTTTGGGCTCCCGCGGGCGAAGAGCGGCGAGAGCGCAGCCGCGGGCGGCGGCATCGGGGTGCCGCAGCCAAGACCCCAGCCGGGGCGCTGCGTCGTGGTACACCACAGAGACTTGCGCTTGACGCCCATCGAAGCGCCTGGCCGCAGCGGCATCGGGCTGATCTGGCAGCTCGCTAATGAACATGCGCGCGCCAAATGAGTTTGGACGCGGTTGGACGCCGCGTCCAACCTGCAGCTGGTTGGACGCGGTTGGACGCGTCATCCAGCTAACGTCCAACCTGCGTCCAACCACCTCTGGTTGGACATGGCATCCAACCAGGTGTCCAACTGCATCCAACCAGGTGTCCAACTGCTGCAGTTGGACGCGGTTGGACATGGTGTCCAGCTGCGTCCAACCTCTATCCAACCAGCTGCAGGTTGGACACCTGGTTGGACGCGCTTGGACAGAGTCTACCTGGTGTCCAACCACGTCCAACCTCATCCAACCACTTGGCTGCGCACATAAAGATGTGCAGCAGGTGTAGGATCACTGTGTGGTGCTGGTGGAGTTGGTCTGAGGCTGATTTGAGAAAAAAGGTCTTTCTGTTGTGCGTCATGGGTCCTTTTTGCCCCTTGAGTGTCATTTTGACTATATTTTGCCTATGTCCAACCGTGTCAAACCATGTCCAACCGTGTCCAATTTTATTTGGTTGGACACGTGGTTGGACTCTGCGTCCAGGCGCGTCCAACCGAGCCGGTTCGCAGGCAACGCCCCACCGGACGTCCGGCCGCAGCGGTGGGACGCGCGTCCGGCCGGGGTCCGCCCTGCGCGCGGACACGCGCTGTGTATCAGCGAGCAGGGTGCAGCCGCCGGCGAGGTGCCAGATGCGCATACACGCGCGGGCAGCGCGCGCGCGCGCGTGAGCCACTCGCGCGCGGCGGCTCCACACCGCTCTTGCACTCCGCCTGCATCTCCCCTCGCCTCCTCTCGCCGCATGTCCGGCGCCTCGGTCGCGCAGCAGCAGGCCGCCAGCGGGCCGTCGCGGCTGCGCACGGATCGCGCCGCCTCGGCGCCGCAGACGGGCCCCTCGAGCTCGCTGCTCGCGGCGCTGCACTCGTTCGACGAGCTCTCGGACGCCAGCGTGCTGTGTCTCGCCGACATCGCGCCGCCGCCGCTGCTGCGAGCATGCCGGCGCCGCGGCACGCCCGGCCAGCGCGCCATGCCTGGTGGGCCGACGGACGAGGAGATGCGGGCAGCCAGCCGCGAGGCAAGGGCCGCAAGGGCACGGCTGCGGCTGCGGCAGCGCGAGGCCAGGGAGCCGCCCAAGATCGCATGGCGCGCAATGGAGTCGTGGACGACGGGTGAGAGCAGCGCCGCGAGCAGAACATCGAGCCAGCAGCCTGCGACGCATGTGCTGGCCTCTGCAGTGCGCGAGAGCACAGCGCCAAAGCGGCTCGCATCTGCTCCGCCGGCGGTGCTGCTGCCCGAGTCGCAAGGGCTGCCGATCGAGTCGCTGCTGCCCGCCGCGAGGCTGGCCGCACAGCAGGCGCTGCAGGCAGAGCGCGAGCGTGAAGAGGCTGCGCACGCAGACGAGGAGGCGGCGCTGGTGTCGCTCGAGCGCGAGCAGCAGCAGCAAGCAGTGGCAGCGAGTGCGGCTTCGGGCAATGAAGCGGCAGCACTCAGGGACGCGAGTGCCTCTCCGAGGCCTGTCGCTCGCGGGCCACAGCTGGTGGCTGAGAGGCCGAGCACAACAGCGGCAGCAGCGACGAGCGCCGCACTTCTTGCCGCTGCAGCTCCCTCTTCCACGTCAGCTCGATCCGCTATGACGTCCAGCGATGCGACGACGAGCGTGCTTTCGCACCGAGCGCAGGTGCTGATGGGCAACAAACGCGGCGCGCGGCTCGGCGTCGGACGGCCAGCTGCACCGCCTGTTGTAGTCGCCGCAGCGGCGCCAGCGACGTCTTCGCCAGCACCCGACTCGCGAGCGCATCTCGAGCCGATGCCGTTCGACGATGACGAGGACCCATTCACCTCGTCCGTCTCGAGCTCGGACCACGCGCATCCTGGCTCAGATCCTGCACCGCCGCCGGCTGCCGACCCGGTCTCCGAAGCCGACGAGCCGCCGCTGTACTTCCACGGCTCGCGTCGGCCCGATGCAACGAACTACACCACACAGGCCGCGTCCGTGCCTACACGCCGCGCACCGACGCGAGCAGAGAAGCTGGCCGCGGCACAAGAGGCACGGCAGCAGCAAAAGGCGCGTCTGGCGGCCGAGATCAAGGACGCCAAGGCAGGACAGAAGCAGGGCGCCTGGCGCTGGACGACGACGCAGGATGTCCAGGGCGACGTCACGGATCCGAGCCTCGACATGTCGACGTCTCGCACCGACAAGTCTGCGCCACGGGCGGGCGAGCGGGTTCCTGCGCCACCCGGCTGGAAGTCACGCATGCTGCTGCCGCCGTCGATGCTCGGCGAGCAGATCCGACACGAGCCGCGCCAGACGGCCAGCTCTCCGGGCGCCCCTGCAGCAGTCGAGTCGGAGACCGAGAGCGAAGATGATGGCGTGCCGCCTCCACCGCCGTCATGCTCGCTGCCGGCGCCCGCCGCGGCTGCCGACGACAGCGTGACGGAGAGCGAGGATGACGGCCCGCTGCTGCGCCCGGGCGTGCAGCCACGCCTTTCGCCAGAGAAGAGCAAGACGCGCCGGCGCGTGCTGATGCGCGACACCGACGAGGGCCAGGCGAGCAAGCGGCGCAAGACGACGCAGCGCCGACCGGCCGAGCGAACAGCCAGCGCTCCGAACCTTTTCGCGCCGGTCGCGTCGGGCTCGCGCTCGCGACGGCGCAACGTCGTGCCAGGTGCACCGTGAGTGACACGGCCTGACCGCGAGCGCAGCGACTCACACAGCGCCGCAGCATCTTTGCCGACTGTGTCATGCTCGTCGTCGGCTACGAGCCGTGCGCACGGCGTGTGCGAGATCTCGTGCGTCGCCTCTGCCACTGGCGTTGTCCCCACGCTCACACGCCAGGCAGATCCTCAAGCACGGCGGCAAGCTGGCCGACAACTTCAGCGTCACGTCGCGCATTACGCTCACGCACATCATCGGCGCGCCGACGGCCGGCGAGCGCGGCAACGAGCGCGACGTCGCTGACTGGGCCGGCGAGCTCTTCCCGCGCGAGCCGCGCGCCCAGCTCAGCGTCACGGCGCTGCGCGCCCGGCAAGAGCTGCCCAAGACGTTTGTTCATGCCGCCTGGATCTACGACTGCGTGCAGGTGAGGGCGTCGCGATAACCGCTGAGGCCTCTCGCTGACACGGCGGCAGCACTGCGTGCGCAAAGAGGATCTGCACGCGACGACGAGGTACCGCGCACTATACCCCTCGGTGTGAATGTATCATTATGACGTGCTGAATGGCGATGACGGCTACTGGTCGAGCTTCGGGTCCGTGCCGAGCGCCTCCGCGAAGCGGCGCTTGAGGTTCGCAACTGCGCATGGGAAGTCAGCGGCAGTGCTGCGCGGTTCCATGCCAGGACACTCACACTCTCGCGAGATCTGCGTCGACGTCGACCAGCCAGGCTCGGGCAGCAACTCTGCGAGGCGCGCGTACAGGTTCTTGCGCGCCATGATGATCGTCGTAGGCACCTCGCCCTTCTCGAAGCCGCTGCAGGAGGGCGTCAGTCGCCAGTCATGCGGCGCACCCGCGCGAGAGGCTCACATCTTCTCGGCCTGCACCTGCGCCATGGCGTCCTCGATGACGACGCAGATGCAGATCTGGTGCCGCTGGTCGTCGCTGAAGCGCCACTTCTTCTCCGGCGGGCCACCTGCGCGAGTTGTGAGCGTGCGGCGAGCGGACCAGAAACAGCAGCAGACTCACCCTCGGCGGCCGCAGCGTCGTTTGCCTCGTCGCCGTTCGTCATCGAGACGTCTCCACCGGCGAGCGCGGCTTCGGGCGCTGCACCGTTGGCCGGCGCCTCGTCGCGCGAAGGCGAGCCACGGCGCTCCCATGCCGCAACGGCCGCAGCGTGGTCGGCCTGGTGCGCCGGTAGGTCGTCGCGCAGCGACTGTTCGAGCTGCTGCATGTGCTCGGACTGCAGCAGCTTGAGGTACGAGTGGTGCTCGACGTAGAACTCGCGCTTGATGAGTTTCTGCAGAGACGCGGTCAGCAAAGCCGTAGCGGATGTCGGTCAGCACACTCACGTGCATCGTAAAGCGGTTGTACGGGAAGAGGTGCGGCATCCAGCTGAAGAAATTCTCGTTGTACTCGCCGAGGTCGAGCGCGAGGCGCGAGATCTTGACGAGCGCCGGCTTGAGTGCCGGCGGGAAGCGGCCCTTGGTCGACCAGTCCTGCGCGTCGATGAGCACCTTGAGCTCGTCGAGCGCCTGCAGCATGCGCGGGTCCGAGCGGTAGACGCGGTTCTTGATCTCGGTGCCCTCGAGCGCCTTTTCGTACTTGGCCAGCACCTGCTCCGTGATGCTGACGTTGTCGTCCTCGTCGATGTCGATCGGCGCCGCGCGTGTGCCCTCAGACATGCGACTCACGCTGCGACGCGACTCGTCGCCCAGCGCAGGCGAGCGCGACGGACTGGCAGCCTCGGACGGTCCGCCGTTGAGCAGGTTGCCCAGGCCCATTGCACCGCCGGCGCGCGAGATGCTCGGGCTGCGCTCCGGCGCGCCATTCTCGCGCTTCGGCGGCATGGGCGGCAGGATGCCGCGGTCGAGCGCGCGCTTGGCCAGCATCCTGTTGGCGGCGGCCGACGAGCCTGTGGTGGAGCCGCGGATGCCGGTGCTCGTGCCGATGCCGTACAGCACGGCCGCCGACGTCGCAGCGTTGAGCACGGCCGCAGCAGAGAGTGCCGGCGCCGAGCCGTCGGCGGCCTTGGCCACGTGCGTCTTGCGCGGCTTCTTGCTGATCGTCTCGAGGACGACCGCGCCGTACTGGACGAAGAAGCCGTCGGCTGCAGGGCTGGTCAGCAGAGGGATCAGCGCAGCGCCGCATGCACACTCACAGTCCGGCTTGGCGCTGTGCGTCGGCTCGTCGAACTGCAGCTCCGAGTCGTCGACGAACGGATCCTTGGGGTCGTACTGGTCCTCCTTCATCTGTCTGCGCTTACGCTTCTTCTTGACGACGCCCGTCTCCTGGTGCTTGGCCAGCAGCGCCGCGAGCTCCGGCGGCAGGTCGGCGGGAATGTCGTTGGGCACCTCGGGCGGCGGCGCAGCGGCCGCCACCTTGGCCGCCTCGGCCTCCTCGGCGTCGCGACGCTTCTTCTCCCAGTAGCTCATCCACGGCCCGCTCTGCCCGGCGGCCTTGAGCGTGTCGTACATGAGGTCGGGCACGGAGACGGTGTAGTCCTTGTAGTCGACCGTCGGGTCGCGGCCGACGGGCAGCGGCGTGAGCGTCATGCGCATCGACGGGCGCGGCGGCGGGCCCTCGGGCAGCATCGTGCCGGGCGACGGCGTGCGGTTCTGCCGCCGCCGCTTCTTGACCTTGGGCTTGTGGATCGTCGGGTCGGACGGGCCGGCTGCGGCGTGTCAGTTTGGTGGGTCACGTAGCAGGGCGGGCCACTCACCAGCGGGGTCCGAGCCGTCCTGCGGCGCCGCAGCTGCTGCGTCTGCACTGCCCTCCGCGCCCTGCGTTGCGGCCGCAGTCGAGCCCTCTGTCTGTGCCGGCTGGCCGTTTGCGTCGACGGCCTGCACTGCCGCCGCCGCCGAGGCGTCGCCCGGCTCGCCGCCGAGTGCCGCCTCGACGCCGCGCTCCTCACCGTCGCCCGTCGCCATGCTGCGGCTCGACTCGCCCGAGTCCGAGCCCTCGTCGTCGTCGTCCTCCTCTTCCTCCTCCGAGCCCTCGTCGTCGCCCGACTCCTCCTCCTCTTCCTCCTCTTCCTCGGCCTCCTCCTCCGGCTCCTCCTCGTCGCCCTCCTCCTGCTCGCCGTCGGACTCGCCGGCCGAGTCGGCGCCGTTGGCCTCGTCGCCGTCGTGCATCACCGTGTCGCTGTTGGCAATGCCGGCGCCGGCAAACGACGGCTGCGTCGAGTGCGCGGTCGCAGCGTCGCTGCTAGGGCCAGCCGCCGACTGGCGCGGCGCCGGGCTGCTGGCGGCGGCGCTGCCGTTGGCCATGGGCAGCGGCGACGAGGAGCCGAGCTGCTCGGACGACATGGCGGCGAGGCGCAGTGCGGCCGCAAGTAGTGATTAGAGGCTGACAGCGAGACGCTCAGCTACGAGCGCAGGCTGATGTGCAGCGCTGTGCCTGCTTCCTGGCGGCACGTCGGCACGCAGCGAAGCGGCAGTCGAGCAGGCGCGGCGCGAAGGAATGCGGCACGCGAAGGTCCAAGCTTGGCGCGGCGCGCGGCCACTACCGCCAAGACGCGGCGATCCCTGCCCCGGCGCGAGTCCGTGCGCTGTGCGGCTGCCGAGCAGCGGCCCGTGCACTCGCAGCTGCCTCGAGTGGCAGGTGAAACGCCGGAAAGCGGAAGCTCGATGCTTGTAGGTCAAACAGTGAAGCACAGACAGTAGTGGCAGCCGCGTGCAGGCCGAGGTGTCGGTTGACGTCGAGGCCCCGAGGGTGCGTCGAGGCTTGTCGGGTGCGTGATCGCCCGTCGCGTGTCGGACGCTGCGCTGCGGCAGGCGCGCGGCGAGTGTCGCTGCGCAATCCCAGACGTCGACGCGTCTCGGAGGTGTGTTCGTTAGAGGGCGGGAGAGGAAGAGGATTCTGAGAGAAGGAGGCCTGACAGCAAGAGAGCTGTGCAGCCGATGTGCGGAAGAGAGGAGCGGGGTGGTGGTGATGAGGCGAGGGGGCTGCTGGACGGACATCCATCTGGGGCGCAGCCCTCGCTGCTCGTCGATCCCGGGCACCTCGCTGGCAGGCGCCGCAAGCGCGCACCGCAAGCAAGCCTCTGCAGCAGCAGGAGCGCAGCAGCGGGCGACTCTCTGCTGCTGCCGAGCTCGCCCTCGAAAGCAGCTCGCTGCTCCTCATGCGGCTCTCGGCACCCGCCGCACGCTGCTGAAGCTTCGCGCGCGGGCAGCGCTGAAGGCGCCGTCGGCTTCAGCGCGTGGGAACACGGCGAGGCGCGTCTTCTCGCGGTGCGCGATGCATGCTCTGCCGGCGCCATCCTTCCACCGCTCCACATCCATCCCACCTCGTCACGCCCAGCATGGACATGGCCATCGACGGCGCCGCCGCGCCCTCGCTCGCCTCGCTGCTGCACCAGTCGCGCTCGCTCGCCGCACAGCAGGGCCGCAGCGACCTGCCCGCCATCCAGCTCGGCCTCGAGCAGATCGAGGCGCAGTCGCGCCGCCTCGTCGCCCGCGCCGCGCCGGGTGCGCCGCCGCCGGGCGCCCACGAGAAGGCGCACTACTTCCTCGCCGGCGCCGGCGTCGATGCCAGCCAGCTGGGCGCCGACGTGCGCCGCGTCGAGCTGCGCGGCGCGTTTGAGATGCTCGAGGCCGTCGGCGACACGGACGTCGAGGTGAGGCGCCGCTGCGCGCACCTGTGCTGGCCCTGTCACTCACTCGCTGCCAGTCCTTCCTGCGCCACTCGCACGAGCATCTCATCCTCTCCTCCATCGAGGAGGGCCGCCGGGAAACGCTCGCCGACTTCAACCAGAGCATGGCGCGCGGCATGGCGCACAACTGGCAGAAGCAGCGCGCTCGCATCTTCGAGGAGCTCGGCCAGCACGCCAGCACGAGTGCCGTCGAGGTGAGCCTGCCAATGTGCGCAACTCGTCGGCGCTTGCTCACATCCCTTGCAGGACTTCACCTCGGCCGGCCCGCAGCGCGGTGCCTCGGCGCCGCCGCAGACGCAGCTGCACGGCCGCATGATGCGCTACGACTCGGTGCTCTCGTCGCTCTCCTCGGCGCGCCTCGCCTCGCAGCCCTTCCCGCTGGCGTCGGCGCTCAGCACTGCCGTCTCGACGGCCGCCTCGCCGTCTGCGGCCGACGCGCCGCTGGCCGAGGCCTGGGCGGCACTCGCGTCCATCGTGGGCGAGCAGGTGGATGCGAAGAAGGAGCGCTTCGTCGGGCCCGCTGTGCGCGAGCGCCAGTTCGCATGCGCGTACGGCGACGCGTGGGAGAAGGAGAGCGGCCGCGAGCTGCGCAACCAGATCAGCCGCGGCGGCATGGAGTTCCTGCAGCGCCAGTGAGTAGTCTGCGCAGAGTCGCACAGCAGCAGCAGCTGAGCCTGGCGTGCAGGTTCGAGCAGCACATGGACTCGACGATCGCGGCGAACCCGGTCAAGGCGCAGCTGGGCGGCGCGCCGAGTATGCGGGCGCGTGTGGCAGCCTTCGTGCGCGTGGTGCACCTGGATCGGGACGGCCGCTGGGCCGGCGACCTCGAGGTGAGTGCGCGTGTGCGACGCAGCCAGGGCCAGGCTCACCTGTCGGTCGTAGCTCGTCTCTACGGCGCAAGGGCCGGTGCCGGTGTGGGCGCACATCTACTACCTGCTGCGGACAGGGCACTCCTCGCTGGCGCTCGACGTGGCGTCGGAGCACGACGCCGCGCTGCGCTCGTCCGACCAGTCGGGCAGCAGCAGCAGTGGCAGCAGCTTCGTCGCCTATCTCAAGGCCTGGCTCGACAGTCCCGACCGCCGGCTGCCCAAGGCGCTGCGCGACCGCTTCCTGGCCGAGTACAACGCGCGCTTCCGCTCCTCGTCGTCGCTCGACGCCTCGTCCGTCGACGCGTACAAGGCTGGCCTGTACAAGCTGCTGGGGCGCATCGACATCAGCAAGCGCTTCCCGCCGGCGCTGACGCGCTCGACGGAGAACTGGCTCTGGCTGCAGCTCTCGCTCGTGCGCGAGCAGGACGAGGGCAAGGAGCGCTACGGCCTCACCGAGCTGGCTGAGAAGCTCGTCGGCTACGGCGAGAAGCACTTTGACCCGAAGGGCACGCGGCCGATGCACTACTTCCAGGTGCTGCTGCTGTGCGGCGAGTTCGAGCGCGTGAGTGCGGCAACGGGTGTGGTGGCCGCTGTGTGCTCACCAGTCCTTCGCAGGCCGTTGCATTCCTGTACTCGCGGCCGCAGCACCAGGTCGATGCCGTACACTTTGCCGCCGCGCTGGCGTACTACGGCCTGATGCGCGTGCCGACCAACGCACAAACATCACACGTCGACTTCTGTGCGTGCGCTCGAGAGTGCACACATGCCGCTTGCTGACGCACTGCCGCAGTGACCGTCGAGACGACGTCGTCGGGCGCACCGCGCGGCCTGCTCGACTTTGCGAAGCTGATCCAGCGCTACGTGCGCCTCTTCTCGCGCTCCGACGCCCGCTCGGCGCTGCAGTACCTGTACCTGATCTGCCTCAACTCCGACGCGCCGGCACCCGCCGGGCAGGAGCAGACGAAGAAGTGCCACGACGCCATCCGGCAGCTCGTGTTCGAGACGCGGCAGTACTTTGACCTGCTTGGCGACATCCGCAGCGACGGCACAAAGATTGTGGGTGCTGACGGCCGCAGAATCAGCTACCGCGAGCTGACATCTTCCTCAGCCCGGCCTGATCGAGCGCAACCTCTCGCTCATCCACCTCGCCAACTCGCGCGACTACACGAGCCAGATCGTGTGCGCCGCCGCGCGGCAGAGCGAGGCCGAGCACCGCACGCGCGACGCGATCCTACTCTACAACATCGCCGAGGAGTACGACACGGTCGTGTCGGTGATGAACCGCGAGCTGGGCGCCAGCCTCTTCGACACGCCGGCGCCGAGTGCCGTCGCCGACGCCAGCGCGTCCGGGACGCCGGGCGCGGCACGCCTGCAGCCCGAGGCCTCGCTCGCCGCCGCCGAGGACACGGCACAGCTGGCGCGCGCCATCCTCGACAGCTACGAGCAGCAGAACCACATTGTGCGCGCCATCACGCCGCGCAAGCGCGAGACGTGCAAGGTGCTGCTGGCACTCAAGGATGCCGTGGCGCTGTACGCGGCAGGCGAGCTGGAGAAGACGCTCAACGTGAGTGGCTCACGCCTACTTTGCTCTGTCTCATGCTGATCACGCTGCGCAGACGGTCGAGTCGCTGGACCTGATCCCATTGAACAAGTCCGACGTCGTCAGCATCACGCGCGCCGCCGAGCAGTTCAAGGACATGGACGAGGCGATCGCGCGCAACATCTCGCACATCTTGCTGCTCGTCATGGAGACGCTGTACAAGCTGCACGGCGCGCAGGCGCAGAGTCCCTTTGGCGACGCGGCGCGCCAGCAGCGCATGAACGAGCTGCGCAACAAGGCGCGCGTGCTCATGATGTACGCCGGCATGCTGAGGCGTGAGTGGCGTGTGTCTCGTCGACTGCTGCTCCCTGCTGACTCCGCCCTGCCCGCAGTCCGCATCGAGCAGTCGACGTTCTCGCAGCTCACGCGCCTCGACGTCTTCATCCACTAGCCCGTGCGGCCCTGTGCCCCAGCAATGCACTCATGCAAGCGACTCATGCGGAGAGATGATACATTCGGACACTCTAGCGTCTATGGAGACCGTGGCATGAATCGGTGTGGAGCCCTGAGGAGACATGGATGCGAACAGTGAAGCGGGAGACAGGCGGCGCGCGGACAGTGTGACGGTTGGGAGACAGGACTAGGCAGAGAGAGCGGATGACGAGAGACCAGTGGCGACGGCGAGCAGGCCGACAGCCAGGGTCGGCAGTGACGGAAGGAGAGAGCGAGCGCGCGGCGAGCTTAGCGCCGAGGCCGTCTTGGCCAGCGCCGGCGCCGAGGCAGCGAGCAGTGCGGCCAGCTCGCGCGCATCGTCCTCCTCGGACGACGGCACGAGGGCGTCGAAGAGGCCGCGGTTGAGGTCAAAGGCCAGCGATGCCTCGTCGACGAGCACGGCTGTGGTAAGAGCTTGGGTCAGCGAAGGCCGTGGTGAGGGGTGCAGAGGCCACTCACACGCCACCCCCTCCTTCTCGTCCTCGAGCTGCGCGAAGGCGCCGTCCATGGCGTCGCGGAAGCGGCGCTTCAGGTCGCCCTCCCACGCGCGCTGCGTGCCGGTCCACGCGGCAGGCTTGGCAAAGACGTACGACTCAAAGCCTGTGTTCTCCTCCAGACCGAGCGGCCAGAGCGCGCGCGCCCGCTTGGCAATGTGCTGTCCGCCGCTGAGGTCGCCCATGTAGCGCACGTACGCGTGCGCCACCAGCGTGCCCGGACCCAGCGGTGCGGTGTAGGCAGTGCGGAAGGCCGACTCGCTGCTTGGCGTCGAGGCGCCGCTCGACGCCGCCGTACCGAGCTCGAAGAGTCGCGATGCGTAGGCGTGCGTCGCCTCGGCGTGCGCCGGCGAGAGGAGCGCCAGGTGCTCGTCGCGCGGGAACGAAGTGTGGCGCGGCACGCTCTCCATCAGCGCCGAGAGCGCCACGTGCGATGCCGAGCCGGCGTCGGAATGTGCCAGCAGCGCAAAGACGTCGGCCTCGTCGGCGGGCGCCGAGACGTTAGGGTCGACGCCGCCGAGGAAGCGCGCGTGGGCCAGCACGTCGGCCTCGAGTGGCGCGAGGCGCGCGAGCGCAGGCAGCATGTCGGAGTGCTGCAGGCCGGCGAGAAGCGTGGCGGGCACGGGCAGGTAGGCCTCGATGGCGCTGTCGAAGGTGGTCAGCAGGAGCACAAGGACACCATAGCCCTGCCGCGCCAACTCACGCATACACACACGCCAGGCCGACGAGCCAGGCCATGTACTCGCGGCGCTCCAGCGCGGCCGCGGCGCCCTCAGCGCCGGCGCCGAAGCCCATGAGGGCGCGCACGCCGCGGCTGCGCTCGATGCGCGTGTGTGCCGCACTGGTGCCGGCCTGCAGGCGGGCGCTGAGCGGCGCATCGGCCTCGTCGTCACTGCTCGCTGCCGGCTCGAGGAGCGGCGCGGGCGCCGAGTGGAAGAGGGCGTGCGTGGTGGCGTCGAGCCGCACACCGAGCGAGGCGAGGTAGGCGAACGGGCAGCCCGAGGCCTTTGCGGAGCGAGCAGCGGGCATGGTGACGGGTGTTGTGGTGGAGTGAGGCAGAGGAGGGGGTGACGCGTGGCAGTGCCGGGCCGGGACGCGACGCGGAGTCAGGACACGGGCGACGACAGGTGGAGGACAAGGCCTGATGGCACGGCAGCGGCCGGCGGCGAGAGCGAAGCAGGCGGACAGGGGGATCGCAATCAGATATGCAGCGGCCGGGGTCCGGAGGAGGGTGAGGGTGAGATGGCAGGGTGGCAGCGAGGCGCGCCCCGCCAAAAATCTGTGGCGCCGCGCAGCCGCACGCGACTCGCTCCGGCTGCATGCCTGCTGACCGCGCCCTCCGAGATCAGGCGCGCCCATCGCATCTGATACCGCCAGACGGGCGCCAAGCAGCCGCTCGCACGCCGAGCGCAGCAGCAGCGCCAGCACACCATACACGGCATGCTGCGGCGTGCTTGTCCTCACCGTCGGATGGCGTGGGTCGGCGCAGCATGGACCCTGGAGTGGGCGCCTCAGGGGCCGGGCCGCGCGTCGGCGCCGAGCCCCGAGCCACCTGCTCCCACGCCCGCCGTGCCTGGGCTGCTCCTCCTCTCCTCTCGCACGCCATGTCCGACCGCAGTTCAGCCAGCAAGTCGTCCAGATGCGAGGTGTCGCTGCACCTCGGTCCTGCTGTTCACTCACCGTTCCTCACAGGTCTGGCTGGTTGCAGCCTCGGACAGGCGGCTGCGGCCGTATGCGCCACAAACAGAGAGGCGGCGGCATGGTGCCTGCAGCTCGCCGAGCTCCGCGCAGCGCCGCCGAGCACGTGCGCTCGAATTTGGCCTCCAGGCTGGCGTCCAACGGCCGCCCGGCTTGCCTCACTCCCACATCATCTCGGCCATCAGCTCCAGAGTCACACCCACGTTCGTCGCTCTGGCCAAGCGACACCCATCCTCACTGTCTTCAAACCCTCGCACGCTGCACCAGCGCCACCCTCGCCGGCGCCCCATTTCTCCGCTCCACCTCGCGCCGCTCACTCATGCGCCGCCACGCCATGCTGGCGCGCGCACCGCTACTGGCGCTGGTGCTGCTCGCCTCGCTTGTCGTCGCTCTCTCCTCGCCGCTTGGCAGCGCACAGCACCCGTTCCTCGGCGCTGCAGCGCCGCACGGCGAGCCTACCTTCGACGCCGAGGCCAGCACCGGCCCTGGCTGGGTCTACGTGAGCGGCCCGTTGGCGTGCTGTTGCTCCATGCGCTGAGCATCCCTCTGTCGCAGCTCATCCGGCACGGCGAGAAGGTCAAGGCCGACCGGCCCGGCCTCTCTGCCGACGGCCGCAGGCGCGCAAAGTGCCTGCGCAAGGTGTTCGGCAAGGGCCCGCTCAAGGCCGAGTGAGTGGCGGTGGCATGCGGGCAAAAGGCGGGCATGTCTGACGCAGTGGTTGCTTGCAGCTATGCCATGGCGCAGGCGTACAAGTCGCACGGCCGCCGGCGCAGGGCGTACGAGACGGTGAGCCGTCATGGGCAGGGGCCGGCTCTGCAGCAGCTCACGCTCTCTGCAGCTCGAGCCGCTCGCCAAGCGCACCGGCATCCCGCTCGACACGTCCTGCCAGCGCGACGACCCCGTGTGTGTGCGCAAGGTGCTGCTGCGCGAGACGGCCGCGGGGCGCAATGTGGTGCTGAGCTGGGAGCACGCGGCCCTCACGCCCATTGCGCGCCAGCTGGGCGTGCACGGCCTGGCGTGGGACGGCGCGCGCTTCGACATCATCTACCACATCCGCGGCGGCAAGGTGCACCGCATCGACAGCGAGGAGTGCAGTGGCCTCGATGAGGAGTGGTTTGGATGGCATGCCAAGAAGAGCCGCAGTGGCCGCGGACGCGGCGGCAGCCACGGGCTGCTGGTGGACGACGAGAGCTGGGCGGAGGGCGCGGGCGAGAGGCTCGCGGACCACACGGCTGATGCCTCGGAGGAGGTCGAGGATGAGGATGATGACGAAGACGAGGCCAGCACGGCTCTCTTCGAGCTGCTGGCGGACGACGACGACGATGACGACACACTAGAGGAGTGAAGCTCTCCTTGCTTCCGCGGTATACCAAGCCACAAGGCCTGCGCTCCCAACCTGACGCACGCTGTATCATACAACTACATCTATATCTAAGGCAGACTCTGCGCATTCAGAGCGTGTGCACGGCAGCGAGCACCTGCAGCGCCTCGGCGAGCCGGGCGCGCAGCGTCGGTATCTCGAACATGGCTATGAGAGGGTCAGTGAGAAGCCTCTCGCGGCGGGCAGCACGGGCGACGCGCACCTATGGCAAGCTTGTTGATGGCGAGCGCCGCGCCCGCGACCTGCTCGTCTGCCACCTCGGCGTGCTGGGCCTGCACGCCTTCCAGGGCGCCGAGCAGGCGCGCACGCACGCGCCCGATCGCCGCCGAGCCGTCTGCCGTGGCCAGGCCTTGCTCGGCATCGCGCATTGCCAGCTCGTCGTCCTGGCGCGCCAGCGCCTGCACGGCGCGCGCCACGCCGCCGAGGGCGCCGAGCAGCGGCAGCAGGTGCGGCGGACACGAGGCGGCGTCGATCGTGGGCCGCTCGTCGTGCTCCCCCACCTGCACGGCGCGCACGCGCACGCCGGCGCCGGGAGAGGCAGACGGCACGCCGGCGGCGCTCGAGAGGTCGATGCGCTCCAGTGCCACGTCGAGGATGGCCAGCGAAAGCGCGGCAAAGAAGGAGCGCGCGCCGTAGCCTTCCTTGGAGCGCTGCCCCTCGGCGACGAGTGCGGCCAGCGGCCGGTTGGTCGCCATCTGTGGAGAGTCAGCCCAGCGAATGTGCTCCTTCGGCTGGCCACTTACACAGTCGCCGAGGGCGGAGAAAAGCGTCTCTCGGATCAGCGTGAGCGTGTCTGACGGCGCCGGCAGGGGCGATGCAGGTCGCGAGGACGAAGACGCAGCTGACAGGCTGTTGTTGGAGCGGCCACGGGGCGGCAGCGGTGGTGGCCGTGGAGCTGGCGGCAGCAGCTTCTCCTGCGGATGGTTGTGGGCATGCGACGTTGATGCTGGTCCAGCCTCATAGCCCGGCGGGGGCTCATACGTCGTCGTCGACCGGGCGCTCTCGCCGCTGCTCCTTCCATCGCGCAGGCTGGCGTCAAGGGCGTGCTGCAGGTCCCAGCCGAAGCGCTGCTGGAACGAACCGCGCTGCAGGATCTCCATGGCACACAGCTGCAGGTCGGCCTTGAGGCGGCGCACGACGTCGGCGCGCGCCGGCGAGCTCTGCGCCGCCTTCTCGCACAGCAGCAGCGCCAGGTCGTGCCGCGCCTCGAGCGGCAGCGCCTGGATCGGCGCGATGGTGCGTGCCCATACGTCAAAGTACGGCTGCTGGTGTGTCAGTCGGGCGAGGCACGCGGCACGCAAGCTCGCTTACCCGCAGGCTAGGCGGACAGTTGCCCTCGTCGAGCGCAAACGAGCCGTCGGGCATGGCGATGCTGGCGCCGCGCGCCTGCAGCGCCGCGAAGAAGAGCGCCAGCGCGGGCGCTGCGATCTGCACATCGGCATCTGTGGCAAGTGGTCAGGGCAAAGCTAGCATGCTAGCAAGCGAGAGGCGCCGCACCTGCGCGCGCCAGCTCGTCGTCGCTCAGCAGGCCCTCGGCTCGCGCCTGCGCCAGACTGGCCTGTGCGACAGCGTCAGCCGTGTGGCAGCACCTGCGCATAGAAAGCATGCACCTTGAGCAGCGAGTGGAAGCCCTCGACGACGACGGCCTCGTCGAGCATGTCTTGCTGGCCTAAGTTGATGATGGTGGAGGAGAAGGCCGTGCGCCGCGAAGCCGGAGCGCATGCACAGCCCCGCGCCTCGCAGCGCCAGCCGCTCAGGGGTCTTGCCGCCCGCACCAGCGGCCCTCGACGTCATCGGCCTCGCTTCCCACGCTTTCAAGTCTGACGAGGACGTCGCACATCGTCGCACGCCGCAGCCGCAGCGCTCACGGCAGGACCCGGCGGCCAGGAGCGGCATCAGGGGCGGCGCACGTGACGTGCCGCGGGCCAGCACCTGGAGGGCACAGCGCGGGCAAGCTCGGCGTCTCCGGCGGCCAGATGCTGACCTCGGCGCTGCGCTGACACTGTGCTGCTGCGGTCGACGATGAGCTTATTGCGGCACCGCAGCCTTGTCTTTGGCTTCAGCTCGCCTTCATTAGATTCTACCTATAAAACGCGGTGGGCAGCACAGGTGTGTGGACGGGACGGCTCAGGCACGGCTCAGGCCAAAATCCCTGTGCAGGCCCCGTGCCGTCCCGTACACACACCTGTGCTGCCCACCGTGTTTTACAGGCAGATTCTGGGCGCGGATCGAGCACCGGCGCGGCACAGGACATGCCAGATGCAGACGTGCAGGCGCACGCCGGCCCCTGCGTCGGCGTTGCAGCGCCTGCGCGCCGCCAAGCAGCATGCTCCGCCACCGCGGAATGATCTGCAGGCACCGCAGCGGCCAGAGATCTGCACCAGCGCCGTCGACGGCGAGGCAACACCCAAGCGCAGCGGCCGGAGGCCTCTCGCTCCGGTTCTGGTTGCCAACTGCGTGAGCGCAGCTGACGCTCATCGCCGTGTCGTCTCGGGCAAGCGGAAGAGAGGAGAACTGTCAGTCGTTTCAACGCTGTGCTGCCGTGCTGCCGTCTCGGGGCGCGGATCCGCCTGTCATGCACCCGGCGTGCCGAGAGACGCGGGAAGCGCAAGAGGCCGAGGAGGCACAGCGCTCAGGCGCGCCCGATGCGCCGTGCCGTGCCGTGCTGCACCGCGGCCGGCAGCAGCACCGCACCGGCACCGACACAGCGCAGGCAGCCGCCAAGAAGGGGCCAGAGGTGGAGCCAGACGTAGCATGCTGCCTCTTGCCTCCCAACCACACCTTCATTCGCTACACACCATGCGCTTCCTTCCGCTGCTCGCCGCCGCAAGCGCCCTGCCCGCTGCGCTCGCCGAGTCGTGGAGCGTGAGCGACGACTGGAGCGCACGCGAGATCGGCAGTGCCTTCAACTGGATTGTCGGGCCCGACAAGTGCGTGGTGGTGCAGTGAAGCACTTTGCCCTGCATGGCTGACACTCCCCTTCCTTCCAGCTACACCAACGGCCTCGTCGTGTACCAGTCGCAGCAGGCCGCCACGCAGCTCAACATCACCAGCGTCGAGGGCGGCGAGTTCTTCATGCGCGTCAGCACGCAGCAGAGCGCCACCGAGGGCCGCCCGAGCGTGCGCATCGAGAGCAAGAAGCTGTACGCCGACGGCGTGTATGTGTGAGTGTGCTGGAGGAGGTGCGGTGGAAGTTGTGGTGGGGCACTGGGCTCGGCGCAGGCAGCAGCAGGCCGTGGCGGTGGCAGGCCGGGTGATGAGTGTCCGGCGCGGGTAGCCTGTGGGTTCGCACAACACACGCAGCGGAAGCAAGCAGCAGGGAAGGCCTGGCCCGACACATGCTTTGCGATGCTGCCTCTGCAGAGCATCCACGCCGACGCTGACCTCTCGCCAGCCTCAACGTCTCGCACGTGCCCGTCGGCTGCTCGACGTGGCCCGCCTTCTGGACGACGACGGCGGAGCAGGACGGCAAGTGGCCCATCGGCGGCGAGATCGACATCATCGAAAACGCCAACGACGAATTCGCGGGCGCGCTCACGACGCTGCACACCAACTCGGGCTGCAGCATCGCCGCCTCCATCCCCGCACAGAGCGCCACGGTGCTGCACACCAACTGCTCGGCCTACAACCCGGACCGCACGGGCTGCCAGTCGGAGATGAACGGCACGTCGGTGCCCACGTGGGGCGCCGCGCTGAACCGCGCCGGCGGCGGCTTCTTCGCCATGGCGCGCAGCTTCGGCACGACGGGCAAGGGCGTGCGTGTGTGGTACTGGGCGCGCGGCAGCGAGCCGAGCGACCTGCAGCGCGGCAGCACGGCGGTGAACCCGGAGAACTGGGGCAAGCCCAATGTCTGGTACGACGTGGCGCAGCAGTGCCACCAGGACTTCAACCGTGCGTGCCTGTGGTCGTTGCGTTCCCTGCTTGTGCTGACTCGCCTCTGCAGAGCACAAGATCGTCTTTGACACGACGCTCGGCGGCGACTGGGCGGGCAACACGTACGAGCGCTCCGGCTGCCAGGCGCAGTACGGCCCGATTGTGAGTGATGTCGCGCATCCTCCTCACCCGCTTCCTCTCACCCTCTTTCCATCGCAGACGGACCAGGTCTCGATGAACGGCAGCAGCTACGACGAGGCCTACTGGGCCGTCGGCGGCCTGCGTGTCTTCGCCTCGGGCGGCGGCAACGAGAATGCCGCGTAAGTCACGCCTGCCGATGCCTATTCTTTCGCATTGCTGATGAGCGAGTCCCGCTGCAGCAACTCGCCCATCACCTCCACGACGTCGTCTGCCACCACGTCGTCCACCACGCGCTCGTCGACGTCCGCTGCTGCGCCTCGCGTGCTGAGCACCGGAGCCGCGCTGGGTGGCGCTGTGCTGCTCGCTGCCGGCGTGCTGCTGCTCTGAGGCTCTACTTCCCCTTCTAGACGTCCCTCTCTCTCTTTTCTTGTCACACTAGCCGGACTTGCGTTCTCTTCTCCCCTGCTGCTTTCTGCACCGGATAGTATAGCTGCGCGTGCTGCAATCTAGATGCGCATGCAAGTGAAGATCAGCATAGAGGCGGAGTGTCGCGATGAGACGTCAGTGCGCCGTGGAGCCGCACGTCCACTAGACTGAGGTGGAGTCTTCTTGGCCGCGCCGCCGCCACACTCCACACTACCGCAGGTTGCGTGCAGCTGCCACGCACCCTCCGCACGCTGCGCCTCGTGGTCGGCATCGTGTGTCATTATGCGATTCGTGTCCACAGAAATGCAGCAGAGTCTATACCTCCCACGCCTTTGCCTGGCCGTCCTCGCGCGGCACGCCTCGCCGGTCCACCTCGTTGGCCAGCAGGCCCCACGGCTGCTGCTCGCCGTTGGCCGCCTTGCTGTTCAGGCCCGCGCCCGACGAGGCGGCCGCCAGGGCCTCGTCGAGCTTGCGCCGCGCCTCGCGCTCGTCGAGCTCCTCGCCGGCGGCGCGCGTCGGGCCGCCGGCCACCTCGGCCACGCGGGCGGCGCGGCCCTCGCGCCGCCGCCGCTCGTCGGCCGCCTCGGCCAGCTGTCGATGCCGCTCCACCTCGGCCAGAATGACGCGCGCGCCGCGTGCGCACGACAGCTCCTTTGCCACGTTGCGCCCCAGCTCGCGCGCATCCTCGACGCTGCGGCAGAGCGCCGCGAGCTTGTACTCGCAGTGCCGCTTGCCGTCGAGCGACACGACGCAGCAGTGCAGCGAGAGCGTGGCGCCCTCGGCGGGCTCGTCGGCGAGGTACTCGGGGTACATGTTCGAGAGGTCCGGCAGTCGCGGCGCGGGCGCAACGGGCGCTGCTGCGGACGCTGCTGCCGCTTGTGCCTCCTCGAAGCCCGTCTCGAGACGCTCTAGCCGCGGCGGCTTTGGTGCGCCTGCAGCGCCTCCTTGCCGGCGGCTGCTGCCCGCTTCGTCGGCCGGGATCGTGTGCCCATCCAGACGAATCGTGTCTGCCGCGTCGACACCGCGCGCCTCGGCCACCAGCCGCTCAGCCTCGCCCTCGTTGCGCTTGCCCTCCACCTGGTCGTGGTCCGAGAAGCGGGTATCGACGCCGACGGGAATAGAGCAGCCGCCCTCGAGCTCGCGCAGCAGCGCACGCTCGCACTCGGCACGCCACGTTGCGCGCCAGTCGCCGATCGAGCGCACCATCGCCAGGATGCGCGCATCGCGGTCCGTCGCCGGCGTGGCGCCGGCCGGCGGCGTGCGCACCTCGATCGCCAGCGAGCCTTGCCCGACGGAGTACATCAGCACGGGTGCCGAGAGGAAGGCGGTGATGCGCGAGGTGAAGTTGAGGCGCAGCAGGCCAGCTGCCGCAAGCACGAGTGCGGTGTAAGGGCCAGTGGGCGAGTCGAGCTTGGCCAGGCGTGTGTTGAGGTTGCCGCGCTGCGCAGGTGTCAGAGAGCAGCCAGAGGTGCCACAGCTGTGTCGTACTCACCACGTCGGAGAAGACGAGCTCTGGGTATCTGCGGCGCAGCTGCGCCACGCGGCGCACGGACGACGTGCCAATGACGGAGCCTGGCGGCAGCTCGTCGAGCGTCTGCAGACGAGTTCAGCGGCAGCGCTGCAGAGGCCCACACGTCCTGCTCACCTTGTACGGCAGGCCCGCCTTGATGACCAGCGCATCGCGCGGGTCCTCGCGCTCAAGGATGGCGCCAAGCATGAGCCCATCGGGCAGCTGCGTCGGCACGTCCTTGAGACAGTGGATGATGGCGTCCACCGCGCCCGCGGCCAGCGCCACCTCGAGCTCCTTCGTCCAGATGGCGCGCCCGTCGCCGCCGATGACGTACAGCGGCGAGCGCTGGTTCTGGTCGCCTGCCGTGCTCATGCTGGTGATGGGAAAGGCGCAGGGTCCCGGGATGCCCCACTCAGCGACACGGGCGCGCGCCGCCGTCACGCTCGGCTCGTCGAAGATGAGCGGCGCAAGGGGTGATGACGGCGGCGTGGTGGCCGACGGCGGCGACGGCGGCGCATCGGTCTGCACGAGGTGCGCAAACGCCGGCGAGCGAGCGCCGTAGTGGCTCGCCAGCATCGCCGACACGTGGCTGCTCTGCACGAGGGCGAGCTGCGAGTTGCGCGACGCGAGCACGAGGGCCGTGGCGGGGTCGAGCTTCTCGGCGGCGCCGGGCGCGAGCGGGTTGATGTTGGCGGCGCGCTTGGCGTCCTCGAGTAGCGTCGAGGCGGCGCGCGAGAGCGGCGGCGTGGACGCGAGGTCGTCGGTGGTGCGGAAGAAGATGCAGCCCGGCGCCGTGGGTGCGCGCAGGCTGCTGGCCGGGTGCGAGGCCGTCGGCGGGTGGCCGGGCGGCAGCGGCTGCGAGGGGAAGTGGGCGACGGGGCACTGCGGCGCATCGCCGGGCGGCGCCTGCGGTGCGGACATGTTGCTGGCGGTGGTGGTGGTGTGGACGAGGGCCGCCACCTGTGCAGCGCGGGATGCCCGGCTGTGTGCCGCTCGTACGACCCGGTCGCCGGTGTCGCCGCCTGCGCCCCGCCAGACGATCTGCAGCCAGCCAGGCGCAGCGCGTCTCCAAGCCAGGCGCATGGCGAGCACGCCGCCGCCTCGGCCGAGCACGCCGTGCTGCCGTCCCCACGCTGCCGTGCCCGGGACTCGGGCTGTGCCGTCCTTCTCGCCATCCCGCCGGCGTCTATCCTGCCATGCCCCTCCGTTGGGCAGCGGCTCACCACAGGCACAGCATGTACTGCGGTGCTGCAGCCAGGCAGGTCAGGCTGCAAGCCGAAGAGCCTCAGAGCCTCTGCGACCGCTCAGCATCCGCAAAGGAAGACGGCCGCGGCGTGCCCTACGGCATCCCGGACCATCGCGCCCGCCGGAGGGGGTCGCTCGGCTACACCGATGCGCCGGCCCTGACCCTCCGGACAAGCATGCAGAAAGCTCTGGCCAGAGTCGACTCGGTTGCAGCGCCAAGCTGCGAGGTGTGCGTTCGGCCGTGGCAACGCAGCCATGCAGCGATGTGGGGCACACGCGAGCATATCTGTGGCCGTTGCTCCGTCGCCGTACTGCAGCGCGTCCGCTGAGGGACCCGAGGGGTGCCGCATTCTGCATTTGCCCCCACGGCCTGCAGTCGAGTCAGCCGTCCGAGTCTGTGTTGCAGCGATGTCCGCGGCGTGCTGCTGGGTACGTCTTCAGCCGCGCCTCCCGGCACCCGCAGCGCCGACGGCGCCGCTGCGAGCTTTGGCCCTCGATGCGGGTGCAGCGTGGCCGACACAAGCACACGGCCGCGGCTGCTCAGCGCCCCATAAGCATGCTGGGGCCGTCGGTGTCGCAGCAAGGCGCTGCGCGCGCTGTCGCAGCCGATGCCGAGCGCTGCAACGCTGCCGCTGCAGCGTCCCGTCTGCGGCGCTGCGTGTGCGACTTCGCGCGAGGGGCGCTGCGACGACGCCACGTCGCTGCTCCGCTGCTGAGCTGGGGCAAGATGAAGGCGAGAGTGCCTGGGGCGCCTCGGCGAGCGTGCCGCTCCGCCGCTCCGGGCCGTCGGCGCTGCTGGCGCTGCACCGCACCTGCGGCGCGGTGCTGCTGCTGAGGCTGAGTCTGCGCTCTGAGTGTCGGACCCGGTTGCGGGCGATGCTGCGCTCTGCGTGGCTGGCGCTGCAGCCGTCCCGGTCGGGTGCCGTGCCGCTGCCGCGCGCTGTGGATGCGGGAGCGTGCGCTGCCATGCCGCGCTTGATCTGCACGCGCGCACGCAAGCGTGCTTGACTCGCAGATGGCCGGCGCCTCATGCACGCTTTGCGCTCCGCCCTGCTCCTGCAGCCGCAGATGCGGCGGCCCTGCATCTGTGCCGCGTCCGCGTGGGCGCGGCGGCGGTGCGGCCGACGCTTGCTGCGGCGGTGCGCCCCGGGCAGCAAGGTGTGGCCGTAGCGCCGTGGCCGGTGCCGCGCCTTGCTGCCACGGCCGCGGCGGCGCGATTGTGCCGGCGTGTGGCTCACGGCACCTCGCCCCTCATGGCGCATCCCCGGGCCGCTTATGCTTCTGCCGCGGGCGGGCATGTGCTTCGCGCGCCGCACCCGCCGCTGCCGCTGTGCCCTGCAGCAGCGCCGGCGCCGCAGCCTCGGGTGCGGGTGCGGCGCGGCGCTGCAGCCGCATCTCGGCGCGGCCGGCGCGGCGCGATGCTGCGCTCTGACGGCGCCCTCGCAGAACGCCAGCCAAGGGACGCAGCCCGCAGCCGCAGAGAGCAGCTTCGGCGCCGCCATGCAGCCGCAGCGACGCAGCCGCCGCCGCCGAGCCGCTGCCATCATGCCCAGCTTGCAGCTCAGCCATGCGCGATGCACCCTCAGCGGCCGCCTCGCCGCGCTGGCGCACTCGCACTGCCGCCCGCTGCCGCCTGCTGCCACGCGGCGTGTCCTGCATCCGCAGAGGCCCCGAGAGCGCCGCGCTCGTCGCGCCCTCGCCTCGCCCTCGTCTCTCACACGCAGCCGCCGCGTTGGCACGCACCCGCCGCTTCACCACCACCACCACCTCCTGTCCCTGCTCCTCGCCGCGAGCCCATCCTCGCACCCGCCGTCCCGTCCCGTCTCCGCATCGCCGCTGCGCCGCACTCGCCGGCCGCACTCGCCTCTCGCTGCGCCCGAGCTCGGCTCCGGCGTCCTTCCGGCGCTTTCTGTTCCCACGCCTTGGCACGCCGCGTGTCTGCCGCGTGTCGCTCCCTTCGGCGCTCCCTGCTGCCGGTCCATCTGAGACTGCTCTTCCGGTGAGTGCTTGCTGGTGATGCATCTTGAGTGGTGGGAGCTTGCTGTGTCTGCGTCTGGCTTGTTCGAGCTGGAGGAGGGCCGCTGAGCGGCGCGCGTGCGCTGGACGCACGTCCTTCTCGCGCGCGATGCGCGCCGCGTCCGTGGGCCGGGCCGGCCGCTCTGCCGCGCCCCCTGCCTGCGACTGCACCCGCCGTCCGCAGTGCTCAGCATAATGTACTGCGGCGTCATGCTTCATCTCGCTTCTGCTGCGCTCCGGATGCGCAGCCTCGCTTGTGCGAGCCGGGTCGCGCGCGCCGCGGCGTCTCCGCGTCCCTGACAGGGGCCTGGCCGTGCCGCGCGCGAGTCGCTGTCCTCGGCCCTCGTGCACGCCGCCACTCTGTCGCACCGCCGAGCCCGGATCAGATGCAGGTATGCGATCTGTTTGGAACACTCTGGGCGCAGTGTGCGGCGCCGGACAGCACTTGCAGCAGAGGGGCGCCCATGCGGCCCCTCTGCCCTGCAGCGCTGCGCCGTGGCATCAGCCACAGCCAGGAAGAGCCGGAAAGGGGCCGGGCGGCTTTGGCCGAGGCGGATTGCTCCTCGCGCCTCGGCTAAGTGCCGGGCTGCGCTTGTCCGACGCCCCTGACCGCAGTTCGGCGGTGCCTCGCCGGCGACCTGCCTCGGCAGCACAGTCCGTGACACGCAGCAGCACGCGGCTCGGTAGCTCGCGAGCGCGCCTTGCCATCTGCGCTCTGCGTGCAGCGGTGCTGCGGGAGCTGGCTTCCGGCTGCAGGCCTGCTCTGTTCAACCTGCACACCTCCACGCTGCACCTTCGGTGATCTTCGCCAGGGCGTGTGGCAGAGCTCGCACAGCAGCCGTGTGCTGGCAGCGTGACGAGGGCGCGCCGGGTGCGGCGTATGCCCTGATCTTGCCCCTGGAGCACTCTGCCGCTGTGCCTGCGCGTGCGACATAGTGGCGGGACGCATTCTATTTGGCGTCCTGCCGCGGCCCTGATGGCATTGCCCGACTCGTCTTGTGCGGCCGGCGCGCGCCGGCGGTGCGAGAACGCAGACGGCGCCATAGTGCTCTTGTGTGCTGCTCGTCGGCACCGAACAGTTCGCACAGCGCACAGCTGCGCGCCTCTCTCTCTGCCACCATCGCACCTCCTGCGCCATGGACTCGTCCTCGGCTGCTCCCTCCGCCAACGTCGCGGCGCCGCCCGCCTCGCACCTGCGGCGACTCGCCTTTGCTAACTCCTACTCGAACTTCTCAGCCTCGGTCGCGTCTGCCACAAGCGCCCTTCGCGCACGTCCCAAAGCCCCGGCCGTCGCAGGCGCTGCCAAGCCCGCGTCTGCCTCACCGTCTAGCTCTCCGCCGCGCACGCACCGCCGCACCGGCATCGCCATGCCGCCGTCCCAGTCGGGCGGCGCCGTGCACCACGCGCACCACGGCGGCGGCCACCCGCAGTACGCCATGCACCCGGCGCACTACGGCCAGGGCGGGCCCCCGCCGCCTCCGCCGCCGCACGCCACCGTTGCGCAGCAGGGCATGCCGCCGGCGCCGCACGGCATGCCGCCGCCGCCGCAGCCGCAGCACCACTCGATGCCGCCCGTGCCCGGCCCGCCGTCCAACGGCATGGGCCCGCCGTCGGGCCCGCCGGCCTCGCGCTCCATCTCGGGCGCCGGCCCGCCGCCGCCTGCGCCCTCTGCGCCGGGCCCGCCGGTCGGAGGACCGGGCCCGGAGGGTCCGCCCACGCGCTCCGGCTCGGCCGCGGGCCACCACGGCATGGAGGTGGGCATGGGCCAGCCGGTGACGATCGTGCAGAAGCTGGCGCTCGCCAATGAGCAGACGTGGATCGCCATCGGCTCAGCCGCCGACGCAATGGAGGACTTCGAGCGCGCCATTGCCGCGTACGAGGCCGCGCTGCGCCACAACCCGTACTCGGTGCCGGCCATCAGCGCCATCGCCGGCGTGCACCGCACGATGGACCACTTCGAGAAGGCCGTCGAGTACTTCCAGCGCGTGCTGAACTTGGTGCCTGAGAATGGCGAGACGTGGGGTGCCATGGGTGAGTTGCGCGACAGAAGGCGAGCTCGCGCGAGGCTGACGCGGCGCGACAGGCCACTGCTACCTGATGATGGACGACCTGCAGAAGGCATACACGGCCTACCAGCAGGCGCTGTACCACCTGCCCAACCCCAAGGAGCCGAAGCTGTGGTACGGCATCGGCATCCTGTACGACCGGTACGGCAGCCTCGAGCATGCCGAGGAGGCGTTTGCCAGCGTCGTGCGCATGGACCCGAGTGAGTGGTACTAGCTGCATGTGGTGCGCCGCACTGCTGACGCGCTCGCGCCGCAGACTACGAGAAGGCAAACGAGATCTACTTCCGCCTCGGCATCATCTACAAGCAGCAGAGCAAGTACCAGGCGAGCCTCGAGGTGAGAGACGCTCGTGTATGCGCTTCCTCGCCGCGCTCACGCATAGCCGCGCAGTGCTTCCGCTACATCCTCTCCAACCCGCCGCGGCCGCTCACCGAGATCGACATTTGGTTCCAGATCGGCCACGTGTACGAGCAGCAGAAGGACGTGAGTGCCGCGAGCGTCCACCTCCGTCGCTCGACGCTGACACGCCATGCAGTTCGGCCTCGCCAAAGACGCGTACGAGCGCGTGCTCGCCGAGAACCCGCTGCACGCCAAGGTCCTGCAGCAGCTCGGCTGGCTCTACCATCAGTCGAGCGCCGGCTTCCAGAACCAGGAGCGCGCGATCCAGTTCCTCACCAAGAGTCTCGAGTCTGGTGAGCCGCGCGCCACGACCCGCTGCCCGCCTCGCTGCTCACACCACGCGCAGACCCCAACGACTCGCAGAGCTGGTACCTGCTGGGCCGCGCATACATGGCGGGCCAGAACTACAACAAGGCGTACGAGGCCTACCAGCAGGCGGTCTACCGCGACGGCAAGAACCCGACGTTCTGGTGCTCGATTGGCGTGCTGTACTACCAGATCAGCCAGTTCCGCGACGCGCTCGACGCCTACTCGCGTGCCATCCGCCTCAACCCGTACATCTCCGAGGTCTGGTTCGACCTCGGCAGTCTGTACGAGTCGTGCAACAACCAGATCTCCGACGCCATCGATGCGTACGCGCGTGCCGCCGAGCTCGACCCGGAGAACCCGCACATCCAGCAGCGCCTCATGCTGCTGCGCAACGCCGAGGCCAAGGGCGAGCAGGTCTCGTCTGCGCCCATGCCGCAGGATGTGCACCCGACGGCGTACGCGAACAACTCGGGCGCGCCGGGACCGCCGTCTCAGATCGGCGGTGGCCCGCCGGGCGCTGGCTTTGCGCCGCCGGGCCAGCTCACTGTCGGCCCCGACGGCGCCGCGCCGCGCGAGCTGCCCGGTCCCGGCCAGATGCGCCGCAGCCAGTCGCCCCACTTCCGCGACGGCGCGCCGCCGGCCATCCCAAACATCGACGAGCGTGGCACCAAGGCCTCGACACACACGCAGCTCGCGCCCATGGACGCACCGCCGATGGACCCGCGCCAGTCGCCCGTGCAGCACCACCGCTACGCCAACGAGCGCGGCTCGCCAGGCCCGCACGGCTACGGCCGTGGCGGCCCGGGCCCCTCGGGCCCAGGCCCCATGCGCCAGTGGGACGCTGCTGGGCGTCCGGTGCACGAGCGTGACCCTCGCGAGCGTGAGCGCGACCCGCGTGAGCGCGAGGACCCGCGCGGCTACCCTGGGCGTCGCGACGACGGCTCGCCGCACGCCTACAACAACGGCCGCAGCGGTGGCCCGCCGCCGATGCCCTTCGAGCGCGAGTCGTACGGACGCTACGATCCGCCATTCGAGCGCCCGGGCGCGCACGGAGGCCCGCCGCCCGCGCAGCAGCAGCCGCCGCAGCAGATGGGCGGTCCGGGCGCGTACGACCCGCTGAGCGACCGCGCCGACCCTATGCGCCGCTCCGACGGCAGCGTGCAGAGCGGCGAGATGGCGCGCGACAACGTCTCGGACGCCTCGGGCCCGTCGTCGAAGAAGAAGGCGCGCCGGCCGAAGAGCGGCGCCAAGAGCGCTGCTGCGGAGTCGGCTGCCTCTGGCCCGTCGCCGTCGCGTCGCAAGGCCGAGGCTGCGCGTGCCGCCTCGCGCTCCCAGTCTCCTGCGCAGACCGTGCGCCCCGGCTCCTCGAGCACCAACACCAAGTCGCGCGGCGGACGCACGCCCAAGACGGGCCGCTCGCCGAGCACGGCCGCGCGCGGACCGTCGCCGGCCGGCTCAGACTCTTCGTCGGACAGCGCGCGCCCGCTTGCAGGCTACGCCAGTGCGCAGGCCGCTGCACCCGCTGCGGCTGCAGCGCCCTCGCGCGCCGTCGACGAGGACTATGACGACGGAGCGGCCGACGCTCTTATGGGTCTGGCCGGCGCCGCCTCGGCTTCGATGAGCCTGCCGCCGCGCAAGGCCGAGCCGACGCCGGCACCGGCCGCCTCTGCGCCCAGCGCCGAGGCCTCCGGCTCAAGCTCAGCTCCTCGCTCGCCGCAGGAACCCAAGACTGCCGCTCGCCGCAGCCGCTCGCCGATGCGCGTCGACAAGGAGCCGGAGGAGCGCGCGCCGGCCAGCTCCTCTGCCATCGCCTCCGACGACGCCGCACCGCCGCAGCCCGCCTCGTCGTCGAGCGCGGCGCGCGCCGACAGCCTGCTCGGCAAGCGTGCGGCGCTGAGCGACGAGGAGGGCACGCCGCGCGAGAGCAGCACCGAGAAGCGCCCGCGCAACTCGAGCCCCTCGCCGCGTCCCGAGAGCGCCGCTGCAGCGCCTGCTGAGAACGGCACGGCTGCGGCACCCAAGCGGTCCTCGCCTGCCCAGCCAGCACCTGCCGCGGCGACGGAGAGTGCGGAGAAGACCGCCAGCAACGGCACTGCCGACGCGAGCGCAAAGGCCTCGCCCGATGCTGCGGCGCCGGCCAAGTCTGCCGAGCCTGCCCCCGCTGCCGAGAGCGAGGCTGCTGCGGCGCCGGCCAAGGAGGCAGCATCAGAGGCTGCCGCCGCGCCCGCACCTGCCGCTGCCGCGCCCGCACCTGCCGCTGCCGCCGCTGCTCCTGCTGCTGCCGCTGCGGCACCCTCGCCCGAGGAGGGCGAGGTGGACGACGAGGCGCCGGCGCCGGCTGCTGCCGCCAAGGAGGCCGACGGCGCCGCCGCCGCCAGCAAGGAGGCCACGCCGGCTGCGCCGGCGGGTGCTGCGGCCGTCTGAACGAACACCAAGGCCCGCTGCTCCGCTCCACGTCACCCAGCGCTACTAAACCCTTACCCAAAACCCTGACATGTGCGCGCACAGCCGCCGCTTCCACACCCTAGTCTTCCCCCACACCACCCCTAAACGCTCGTGCTCCTCGCTCCCCGAAAGCCCTTCCTCTCTCCCTGTCATGTGTGTTTGAGAATCATGCCTCGCTCTCGCCTGTATCTCCTCCGCGTACCATGTGCGCCCTGCTGCAAGCTTTGAGTTCTAGACATCTGTGGTGTGATGCGGCGTGTCGCGAGGGCCAGTCAGGAGCTGACGAGTGACGAGCTGCTCCCACGCTCTGGCCGCCGCAGCGATGGCATATCGATTCTTATTTGTGCAGGCCGCAGGGCAGCGCCGCCGACGTGAGGGTGCTGCCGCCTGCCTCTGGATGACGAGGGTGCTGCTGTCTGTCTGCGCTGCTGCTGCGTTCGGCATGACGGCCGGTGGCCCGCGTCGTGCGCCGCGAGGGCCATCGCGCTGCGCTCGCCATCGTGCCGCTCGCCCGTGATCGGGGCGGCCGCAGCGTGCATCGCCGCTCTGCCTCTGCCCCGTGCTGTGCTCTGCCGTCTGACGGCTGCGCTGCACTGATTGCCGATGCTCCGTGTCAGCGCCCTTCTCCACACGCCGTGCCGCTCTAATTTGCAGCCCGCCGCCGACGAGCGGGTTCTGCGAAGCGCTGAGCGCTGAATGCTGGCCAAGCGGGACGGCGACGTGCGTGGCTTGCTTGCGCTGCCGCTGACGGCGACGCTCGACGTCGCCGACGCCGCCCCGCACCCCGAGCTGCCCGCGCCGCCAGCTCGCCCTCGCTGCCAAGCATCCGCTCCGCACGTTCGGCGGCCTCGCGGTGCGGACCTGCGCCGGCGCCCGAGGCGGCACGGCTCGAGGGCGCGCCGTTGTGAGCGGCGCGGCCATCGTCAGCGTTGCCGCCTCTTGCGCCTGCGGCTGCGGCGGTGCGGGGAGCGCGGCGTTCGGGCGGCACCGCAGCACAGCAGCGAGCAAGCATGTGGGCGTGTGGCGCAGCGTGACGTCAGGAGCTGCGCCGCCGCGCCGTGCTCGACTGCATCCGTCGCGGCGCGCGGGCACGGCAGCTGCGGCTGCACGACGTGCATGGGCGGTGCGGGCAGTCTAGAACACGAGCGCAGCAGGACGGCCGCTGCGCCGGCGCCAGCCTGCAGAGCAGCACCGCAGCGCGGCACCGCGAACGGCAAGGTGGATCTCGCTCGACAAGCGTCGCGCCGCCAAGTTGTAATCAGCGACTACAAAGGCGGTGCTGCGGTGCTGCGCCTGACGCATTTAGCCGCGAGCGTGCAATCGAGGCGCTGCAGCGCAGATCAGGAGGCGCGCCGGCGGGTCTGCTCGCGGCAGAAGGCCGGTGCGTCATTGCCCCTCATTCAGCTGGCTGGCTGCGTGCTGTGCCGTGCGGTGCTGCGGTGCTGTGCCGCTGCCACGGGCGCCTGCTTGCCTGCAGCGTTGCCCAAGCTGGCAGGCGATCTGTCTCGCTGACGCCGAGCCCGCCTGCTCCGCACTCTCCGACGTTGCGGTGCTGCCCTCGCGGCCTGCCGCGTCCGCTGCGCTGCTCGCGGCCGGCGCGTCACTCTTTTCCCTCATAAGCCACCTTGCCGTGCCGGGCCCGCTCTCGCGCCTCTCCTTCTCTCCAGCTCCACCCTCTCCGCTCTCGCTGCCGCACCCCGCTCCTCGCGCCCGCATACCCGCGCCGCATCGTCTTTGCCCTTCGCCAACTCACCACCGCCAGCACCCCCTTTACCTTCTTCACGTGAGTGCCGCGTGCGCGCAACGCCCCGCCCTGTGCAGCATGCTCACGCTTCTTCGCGCGCAGAATGGTCGCCAAGTGCGTATGCCGGCCGGGCTGTGGAGTGCCGGTGCGGCGGGCGCTGGATGCATCTGGCGCAGCCCGTGGAGCGCACCTGCTAGCCCCGCACCCGCCGCACAGGCACAGCACCAGCGGGCACTAGATGCGCATTGCTGACCTCTTCCCCGACAGGTTCTGTGTCGGCATCTCCGAGCTGCTGGCGTTCTCCGCCATGGTCCTGGCCATCCTGTGCGTCCGCTGCTGCGCAGACACGCGGTGCACACTGCTCACACCGCCATGCGCAGGGTCAACATGGGCCAGATCTCGCAGAACATCGTCGCCCGCAACATCTACTACGCCGAGCTCGACCTCTCGGGCGTCTCGTCCGGCGGCGCGCTGCCCGCCAACGTCTTTGCGCAGAACCAGGCCGCGCCGGAGCTGCAGGGCCAGGGTCTGAAGGAGACGTACCAGTGGGGCCTGTACAGTGAGTGATGTGCCCATCCGACACTGAGAAGCGCGTCGTCGCTGACACGCGCTGCGCCAGACTTCTGCGGCGGCGCCGGCAACACGCGCTCGTGCGGCCCGCGCGGCTTCGGCGACGGCCGCTTCGAGCCGCTGCAGGTGCTGTACGCCGACATCAACCAGCAGTACCAGACGCAGCTCAACCAGACCGTCTCGGAGGGCACGTTTGCCGACAGCGACTACCTCGGCCGCTTCTCGCACGCCGCCTTCTGGCTCATCTTCATCGGCACGGTGCTCGCCGGCCTCACGTTCCTGCTCGGCTTCCTGGCGCACCGCTTTGCCTTCCTCGTCGCCGCCCTCGTCGCGCTGCTCGGCGCCGCGGCCCTGGGCGCCGGCGCTGCCATCTTCACGGCCATCCTCGTCAAGGCGCGCGACTCGATCGCCGACGTCGCCGGCGCCCAGCTGCACCTCACCAACGCGCTCTGGATGATGTGGGCCGCCTTCGGCGCGCTCACGCTCTCCATCGTGCCGTTCATCATCTCGTGCTGCACGGGCCGCTCGGAGAAGTACTAAGCGCCGCCACGCCGTCTCGCAAGTCCAGCCGTGATGCCGACGGGCGCCTGCGCGTCTCCGCCTCCTTGCTCCTTTGGATCTCCTTTCTTTCGCCTTCTCTCCGCTCGCTGGGCCTGCTCTCTGGACCAGCCCTCTTTCGCCCCCTTCTTACCTCTATCCCTGTGCCGGGCTGCACCCTGCGTGCGGCCCAGCGAGGGCCTCGACGATGCGCATATATCGATACCCGCCCCGTCTCTCCCGTGCGCCGCGCACGCTCCTTTGCGCTGCCGGTCGCTTCTTTCTCTCACGCAACGCTCAACCCATACACTCTCCCACCCGACTCACGCCGTGTCGCTTGGCGCGCCCGCTGGCTTGTTGTACAGAACTGAAATGATCAAGCGTAATGCTCACGCGAGAGTGATCCGGGGCGGTGCGGGCAAGGACAGCGTCAGCGGTCGGCTGTCGAGCATGCGATGGGCGGCGATGCCGTGACAGCGTACTGGGCCAGATGACCGAGAAGAGCGGTTGCCGGAGACAGCATCTCACTAGACTGCTTGAGAGGACAAGATGGGTGCGAGGCCGTCGTCAGGTGGAGGAGGGGCGCCGCGTCCGTGAAGGCTGGGCGATGCGTCACGTGCACGGCGCTCAAAAAAGTGCCGTGGGAGCAGCGCCAGGCCGCGGCGCTTCTCCTCCTTCTCACCCACTTGCTCCTGCCGCTCCTCCGCACCACCCGCTACACGCTCTGCCTCTGCAAGGCACTCACCCGCAGCGCCACTTACTCCGCGCAGCCATGCCGTCCAAGCGCCGCCGCTCCTCGCCCTCGGCGTCCGCGCCGCTCGGCAGCGTGCGTGCGCGGCCGCAGGCCGGCAAGGCGCCGGGCGCACAGGAGCGCGCCCTCGCTGCGGCGCTCTTCGGCACCAGCACGGAGGCTGCCCACGAGGGCGCAGCTGGCGTGTCGCGCAAGAAGGGCAAGCGCGAGCGCGAAGAGCGAGAGACGGGCAGAGAGGCTGTGCTGGACGACGAGGTGAGCCAGATGCGCAGTGCAGGGCGCGCACGCTGCTCACGCCGCATCGCAGCTCTTCGTGATCGACGGCGGCAACGACAGCGCAGAGGAGCGCGGCACGGACAGCGAAGAGGACGATGAGGAAGATGACGAGGAGCTGGACGACGAGTCCGGCTACTCCGACGCCGAGAGCTCCGCCTCGGCCTCCTCCTCGGCGCTCGAGTACGCCGCCGAGGCAGCGCCGCTCTTCTCCAGCGACGTGCCTGCGGGCGGCAGCGGCGCGCCGCGGCGGCCGGCGTGGACGGACGACTCGCTGGCAGACATGCGCGTGACGTTGGCGGGCCCGGCAGCGCGTGCGCAGGACGGCAGCTTCGTCGGCACGAAGCGGCTGCGGCGGCTGCGCGAGCATGAGGACGAGAAGGAGGTGGGCGGCGCAGAGTACGAGACGCGGCTGCGGCGTGTGTGAGTTGCACTCTGGCTGCTGCGATGTGGCCCGACGCTCATCTCGATCTTGCACCAGCTTCGAGTCGCTGCACCCGCGGCCAGCCTGGGCCGAGCCTCTGCCGCCAGCCAGCGGGCCTTCTTCGTCTCTCTCGCAGCTTCTCTCGCGCGCCGGCTCGCTCGTAGCCCGGCCGACAGGGCGCAAGCCGCGCACGCTGCCAGCGACCGAGCTCGACGTGCAGCGGGCGCGCGACGCCAACATGGTGGCGCAGCAGGAGGGCGAGGCAGCGAGCGTCGAGTGCATGGACTGGCACCCGAGCGCACGCGTGCGCATCCTCATGACCGCCAGCCGCGACCGCACAGTGCGGCTATTCGAGATCGACGGCAACTCGAATCCCCTGCTCCAGTCACTTCACGTCCCTTCGCTGCCTCTCACATACGCCGCCTTCCACCCGAGCGGCTCCTCGGTGCTGCTTGCGGGTCCGCGGCCGTATCTCTACGCCTACGACCTGCAATCCGGGCGCGCTCTGCGCTCCACGCCATGGCGCGGCCTGTCCAACGACGGCAACACGGCCGAGCGCGATCTCTCAATGGCGCGCTTCCAGCCTCTCGGCGCCGAGTCAGGGCGGCTGCTGGCGATCGGCGGCCGGCGCGGCGCAATCCACCTCCTCGACTGGGGGTCCGGGCAGGGCGGTGCTGGCGCTGGCGCCGGCGCGGCGCTCGTCGGCAGCCTGCGTCTCAACGCGCCGCTCGTGGGTCTCGAGTGGGACCAGACGGCGTCGGCTGCCGGCCGCCGGCTGCTCAGTCTCTCAAAAGAGGGCAGCGTGCACGTATGGGACACGCGTGCAATGCGCTGTGCCGTCGAGCGGCGCGATGCGGGTCTGTTCGGCGCACACGGCCTGGCGCAGAGTCCGAGCGGCGCGCACTGGGCCGTCGGCTCCGATAGCGGCACTGTCAACGTGTATGACGCCTTGACGGCCAGTGAGGTGCAGGACAACAAGCCCTGGGCGTCGGTCAAGGAGCTCGGCAACCTCGTCACGCGCACCACGACGCTGTCGTGGAACCATGACGGCCAGATGCTAGCTGTGGCGAGCCGCAACAAGAAGGATGCGCTCAAGCTGGTGAGTCTCGCCGGCCCTTCCTCTTTTTCCCAGCCGGGGCTGACCAACCTTCTCAGGTGCACGCGCCCTCGCTGCGTGTCTTTGCCAACTGGCCGACGGCCGGCACGCCGCTCGGCCACGTCACCGACGTGCGCTTCTCGGGCGCGAGCGAGTATGCGGCAGTCGCGAACAGCCGCGGCCGCGTGCTGCTCTACTCGCTGCGGCACTACGTGCAATGAACACGCTTCACGACCAGCCAGACTGTCTCTCCTGGCGCGCAATGAGGCGGACGGGGCTCTATAATTACAGATACAGAGAGGGGCTGAAGATGATGGAGCCCTCGCGCTCGAGCACCTTGAGGCTCGCCTCGAACTGCGGCAAGCCGGAGTCAGTAAGAGCGCAGCGAGGGGCTAATCACACCACACGCACCTTGTCCGCCAGCTCGTCGTTGCCGATCGCCTTGCTCGCCTGCACCATCTGGCGCAGCAGCTCCTGCAGACGCCGGAAGACGCGAATGACGCTGCCCTCGAACACGTCCGTAAGCTGCGGTCAAGGGGTCAGTGAGGCGCGCACGACGACGAGCGTGTCTCCTGCCTGCCACACACCTTGCAGATCTCGGCGAACTTGGCGCCGCGGCACCACTGCATGACGGCGTCCATGAGCTCGACCTTGAAGCCGGCCACGTACTCGTCCTCGTTGACGGGCAGACGGCTCTCCTGCGAGACCTTGGCGATGCGCCGGGCCGTCTCCTGCATGACGCGCAGCGGCGCGGCCAGGTCTTCCTTGAGCCGAATCTCTTGCGCCGACTGGAGTGAAAGGTGTCAGAGATGAACGATGATGCGCTGCGCACGCGGCTCACCTTCTCGTCGAAGACAAAGCACGAGAGCAGCGCCGCGCACTGCTCCGGGCCCAGCTCGTTGAAGACGTTGTTGAAGATCATCTCCGTGAGCAGCAGCTCGTCGCCCGTCGAGATCTCGCACGCCACGCGGCCCTTCTTCTGCACCACGTCGTCGTCAGACGTAAAGCCGAGGCGGCGCAGCACGCGCTTGCGGCACTTGAGCTCGTCGAGCTGCAGCACGCTGTGTGCGGCGTTGAGCTCGCGCTCAAGCGCCGCGACGGAGGCTTGCTGCGTCTTCTTGTGCGTGTAGGCCGTCTCCAGCTCGGCCTGCTTGCTCGACGTGTGGATGGCCGACGCCTCCATCCGCGTGCGCAGCTCAGCAATCTTGGCGATCAGGTGTGCGAAGCTCTCGTCGGTGATCTTCATGTCCTTGATCGGGTCGAGCACCGGGATGGCCTTGCCGCCCGGCGCGCCGGGAAAGCGACGGCGCACCTCGAGCAGGTTGCGGCGCACCTGATCCCGCGCCTCGCGGCCGCGCACGTCGGGCGGCATGTAGAGGCGCACGCCCGAGAGCGCGTGGATCGTGGAAAGCAGCACAGGCACGACGAGCAGCTCGCCCTTCTCGCCCGGCGGGCATGGCCGGATGCCCAGCGGTGCCGAGCTCGTGCCGGCGCGCGCGACGTCCTTGACGGACGGCGCAACGGAGCCAGCCTCGCAGTCGAGCAGCACGTCGAGGATCCACTGTGTCTGCGGCCGCTCGGCCTCCGGGGTCGGCGCGCCCTTGCCCGGCAGGCGCTTCTGATACCGCACAATGACGCCGTAGCCAAAGTCGAGCTCCTCGTGCCGCACGTGCGCCAGGCGGCCGGGCTGCAGGAACTGCAGCGCGTAGCTCGGGTGCGTCGTGACCTCGCGCACGTCGCGCTCCAGCTCCTCGATCTGGGCGCGCAGCGTGAAGTACTCCGTCACGCGCTCCTCGTCGGGCACGACGGCGGCGTCGAGCTCCTTCTGCGCCATCTTGAGGCGGCCCTCGAGCTCCGGCACCGAGGCGGCGCTCTGGAACTGGAAGAAGCAGCGCTCGAGCATGTACTCGGGCGAGATGCCCTCGACGCGCATCAGGTTCAGCACCATGTTGTAGCCGAGGTGGAAGGCGCTGTTCAGCCGGTCGGCCTCGCCCTTGACCATGTTCTTGGCGTCCGGCGGCTCGAGCTTCTCGTCGAACATCATGATGACGATGCCGCGGTCGTCGAGGCCTCGCCGACCCGCGCGTCCGCTCATCTGGGCGAGGGGTCAGCGCATGCGTGTCGTGTGGCGGCGAGCCGGCCTCACCTGGATGAACTCGCCACTCGACAGGTTGCGGAACTCCTTGCCGTCCCACTTGCGCACCGCCGTGAAGACGACCGTCTTGGCGGGCATGTTGAGGCCGATGGAGAACGTCTCGGTGGCGAAGAGCACCTTGATGAGGCCCTCCTGGAACAGGATCTCAATCACCTCCTTGAGGATGGGCAGCAGGCCGCCGTGGTGGATACCGATGCCGCGGCGCAGCAGCGGCAGCAGGTGCTCGATCTGCGGCAGCTGCCGGTCCTCCTCCGAGAGCGCCGAGATGGCGTTGTTGAACACTGTCGAGACCATCGTCTTCTCGTCGTCGGTGTTGAACTCGAGCTTGGCCATCTGCAGCGCCAGGCCCTCGCACTCGCGCTTCGAAAAGGCAAAGACGATGACGGGGTTGTAGTTCTTGAGCATGATCATGCGCACGATCTTGTAGATGTCCGTCGGGCCCTTGGCCGCGCCGCCCTTGCGCGTGGCATTGCCCTTGCGCCCCTTGCCCGCGTCGGCGGAGCCCGAGTCTTCGCCGCGCGACGACGACAGCGCGCCCATGGCCGCCTGGAAGTTGTCCTCGCGGAACGCGCCGCTCTCGTCGACGACGAGATGGATGCCGTCGCCGCCGGCTGGAAAGAGGTAGTGCTGCAGCGGCGTCGGCCGGAAGTCGGTGTACACGACGTGGCACGGCTGCTGGTGCGTGTGGGCGATCCACGAGGCAAACTGCATCGCGTTGGGAATCGTCGCTGAGAGGAACACGTAGTGCACCTTGCGCGGCAGCAGGATGATCGTCTCTTCCCACACGACGCCTCGTTCTGTGCGAGGCGTGAGCAGCGGCGAGCGGCAGCTGGGCGCACATGCACGCACCCTTGTCGCGCATGTAGTGGATCTCGTCGAACACGACCCACGCGACCTCGCGCATGATCTCCGAGCCTCGGTACAACATGGACCGGAGAATCTGCACCGCCGTCAGCGCGAGACGCGTGGCGCACGCCGCTGCCGCTCACCTCCGTCGTCATCACCAGACAGCTCGCGCTCGGGTTGATCGTCACGTCGCCCGTCATGAGGCCGACATCGCCAAAGTCAGCGCTCAGCTCGCGGTACTTTTGATTTGAGAGGGCCTGCGCGAGCGCGGCACGTCAGCGCAGCGCCAACCTCCTGCGCACCGGAGCACGCACCTTGATCGGACTTGTGTACACCACACGCTGCCCGTCACGCAGGCACTGCGCAATGGCGTACTCGGCCACGACCGTCTTGCCGGCACTGGTGTGCGCCGAGACAAGCACGCTCTCGCCGCGCTCGATGCTGCTGATGGCGGTGCGCTGGAATGGGTCGAGAGTGAAGGGCCACTTGCGCGCCGGCTTCTCTGGCGGCACGTGGTGCGAGAGCGGCACGTACGGGTAGCCCGGCGGGAGCGCAACCTGATGCCGCACCGAGTGCCGGATCTCCATGGCGCCTGCCGCACCGCCCGACGACGGCCCCGAGACAGACTGCCCGATCACGCCGCCTGCCACTTCTGATGCTGCTGCCCGCGCTGCCTCATCGTCGACACCAGGTGCCGAGCCAACCGTCTGGCCGGCGCCGCCCGCAGGCTCAGAAGGCGCAAGGGCGCGCGAGGCCGAGGCGGTGAACTCGTCGGCGAGCACGGGCACCGTCTCCTGCGTGATGGGGTTGGCGCCGAGGCGCGAGCGCTTGCGCGACGGCGCCGCCTCGCTGCTGCTGGCGGCGGCGGCGGCGGGTGCGGCCGACGTCGAGGCCTGCGGCGCGTCCGAGTCGGCCTCGTCCGAGGCGCCGGCCTGGGCGCGGGCGCGCTTTGCGGCCTTCTTGGCGGCGCGGGCAGCCTTACGCTCGGCCTTGCCGGGCGACGAGGCACCGCTGGCCGGCTCGCTGCCGCCGCCGTTGGCGGGTGCGAGGTGGTCGAAGAGGCCCGAGGGATCCATCGGATGGGAGAGAGAGGTGGCGGAGAGGAGCCAAGAGTGGAGCTCCCACGCCGTGCGAACTGCTCACGCCGCACGCACTTTTCTGAGCCGCGTCGGCCCCTCGGCCGCACCGCGCCGACGCTCCCACGCTCGGCCCCGCGGGACCTCGCCGCCGCCCAGAGCGCACGTCTCTTTCTCGTCTCGACAGCACAGCCCCCAGCCGTCACACATGCTTGCTCGTGCGAGCACGTTCGGCTGCGCCTCCTGGCCTTGGCGTCTGCAGTGCAAGGTCACAGGCGACTGCGGCGCGGGCACAGCTGAGCCTCGGCAGGCCATTGATTGCCAGCAGGCCAGCACGACGCGCGCGCGACCCGCGTGTGCTGGCGTTCGGCGCACTGCCGTCAGGACACACCATGCTGTATGATGTGTGCTGCGGCGACGGCTTGCTCTTGCAAGTTGCGACTGGCTCCGTAGCGAGCGACTCGACCCCAACGTGTGTAGCGACTCCGCCCTGCGGCTGATGGCCATCCCTGTGTGCGTTGGAGGCGGCGCGGCGTCGGCGTGGCGCGCCGCGCGCGCCGCGCGCCCGCACGGCACGCACAGCCGGCGGCAGCAGCTGCCACGCCTCAGGCACGCCGCCTGCGCCCCGTCATGCTCGCTGCACCTTTCGCGCCGCCTCAGCCGCAAGCGAGCGTCCGCCCCGCAATCCCGGAGCCTGCAGCGCTTCGTGCCAGCAGCCTGGGTGCTGCAGCTTGCCGCAGCTCCACCACCACCTCGCTGCACCGCTACGTGCAGCTGTGCGCCGCAACCGCGCCCTCTCTCCCTCACCACCACCTCGCTCCGTCCTGCGCCTGCACGCCTGCACGCAGCCTGCGCCCTCCACACTCACCCCGCCATGGTGCCGCCGCTGTTCAAGGGCCGCCGCGCCGCACACGACAGCGAAACGCCCGAGGCGGCGCCGGCGGCCGTCGCCGGCAACGGCAGCAGCACTGCAGCAGCCTCGGCCAGCGCCCCGGCCGCGATCCTGCGTGTGCAGCTGCTGCGAGCGCGCGGCCTCGCGGCCATGGACCGCAACGGCAAGTCGGACCCCTTCGTCATCGTCTCGATCCCCGGCGCCAGCGCGCGCCGCGGCAACAGCGACTACCGGCGCCGCAGCGCCGTGCGCCGCCAGACGTGCGAGCCCGAGTGGAGCGGCAAGGACGAGGCGCTCTTCGACTTTGACATTGCGCCCGAGTGGCTCGCCGGCGCCGGCGCCGACAGCCGCGAGGCGAGCGCCGAGCGCGAGCTCGAGCGCTCCGACGCCGACGAGGGTGAGCCGAGCAGCCACGTCGCTGCGGCTGCAGCAGATCCTCACTTGATTGCGCCGCTGGCGACGCCGCGGCCGAAGCCCTCACGCCGCATCTCGGATGCAGCGGGCAAGATCCTGACTGCGCCAGTCCGCATCGGCGCACGCGGCGCAGCGGCAGGGGCGCGAGGCGCAGTAGCTGGCGCTCGCGCAGTTGGACGGCGCCGCAAGCCGCGACCCATGCGCAACCCTGGCGGTAGCGGCGCCGCACTGCAGTCGCCCGCAGGGCCGCAGGTGGGCGCGCTGGAGTTTGTCGTGTGGGACAAGGACAAGTGGTCGGCGAACGACTACATGGGCGAGGTGTCGCTGCCGATCGAGGACTGGTGCAAGGGCGACTGCGCGTGGGAGAGCCAGGAGGTGAGAGCTGTGCGTATGCGCGAGGCCGACCGCTACTCACCCGCCTCCGAAGCCGATGTGGCTGCCACTCGTCTCTTCGCGCCGCTCTGCCGGCGCAGAGGGCCAGATCCAGGTGCGCGTGGGCTTCGTCGCGGTGCCAGGCTCGCCGCCGCTGGAGCAGGTGTATGCGTCGCTGCTTGCGAGCATTCATGCAGTCGGCGGCGCGCCGGTGCGGTCTGTGCCGGCGGACCAGAGCGTCGGCATGGTCGAGCCCGGCGAGGCGTTCCTCGATGACGGCCTCGACTCGGGCGACGAGTCGGAGGAGATGGAAGAGCTCGCTTCAGACACGGACGGCGAGAGCGCCACTGACGAGGACGAGGCTACGACGACGGACGCCGACAGCGATGCCGGCATCTTCGACGAGCACTTCAAGTCTGTCGTCCGAAGCAGCCCAGCGCCACTGGCCACGGCCGAGCCAACGCCAGGCGCCGTCGAGGCTGCCGCTGCGGCGCCGCCTGCACCCCCGCTTGCACTGCCCGAGGCCCAGCAGCCTCCTCGCGGCAAGTTCAGACGCCGGCTCACGCGCGGCATCTCGTCGCGCGGTGCCTCTGGCACCGCGACGCCTCTGACGGGCGACGAAGGACAGCCCGAGCCGCGCAAGACTCGCAAGCGCATCAAGGGCCCGCGCAAGCCGCGCACGCGCCGCAGCAAGAACGACGAGTACTCGTTCCGCGCGGCCAGCTCGGACATCATCGGCATCGTGCAGATGGAGATCAAGAGCGCCTCAGACCTGCCGCGCTGGAAGAACAGCCTGGGCACGGGCTTCGACATGGACCCCATGGTCGTGGCGTCGTTCAGCGAGAAGATCTGGCGCACGCGCGTGCAGCGCCATACACTCAACCCTGTCTTCGACCAAAAGCTCATCTTCCACGTGCGCCGCCACGAGGCCCACTGGACGACGAAGCTGGCGGTGTACGACTGGGACCGGCTCTCGAGCCACGACCACGTCGGCGGCGCCGAGGTGCGCGTGGCCGAGCTGATCGAAGCGGCGCCCAAGCCGGACCCGGCCACGCAGCTGTACCCCGAGGACGAGGACGGCCAGCGCCCGATGCAGCGCTTCGAGCTCGACCTCACCAGCGGCGGCGCCAAGCAGGAGAGCGTCGGCGCCAAGCACCGGCCCAAGCTCGTCGTGGAGGCCAAGTTCACGCCCTATGCCGCGCTGCGCCAGCGCTTCTGGCGCCAGATGCTGCACAACTACGACACCAATGACTCCAAGACGATCAGCAGCCTCGAGCTCGCGAGCATGCTAGACAGCCTCGGCAGTACGCTCAATGCGCAGACGATCAATGACTTCTGGGCGCGGGCCCAAAAGACGCCCGACGTCGACGAGCTGACGTTTGACGAGGTGAGCATGATGTGAAGCTCGCGCCAGTCTCGCCACTGACACGCTCATCGCAGGCCGTGGCGGCACTTGAGGCAGAGGTCAACAAGCCGTGGGAGGAGAAGCGAGTCGCCGAGAACCACACGAGTGCCTCGAGCGGCGCGATTACGCCGGCGCTGCTGGAGCAGCAGGGCGACGGCATGGACTTCTCCGGTCCGAACGCGCCGACGGCAGGTGAGCCAGCGATTGCGCGCCTCGCCGTGCCGGCGCCGGTCTCGTCGCTCGACCCTCCGGGCCCGGGCGAGCCGGGCAATGCGCCCAGTGTGCGTCCGCTGTACAAGCGCGCCACGTCGAGCGTGTCCAGCACGGATGTCGTCTCGCGTGACATGAGCCAGGTCTCGCTCGGCTCGGGCTCTAGCGGCGACGGCATCAGGCCACCGCCCGTGCGTGGCGCGTCCAACAGCTCCTCGACGTCGGCGAGCAAGACGGAGAGCGCCGACAAGGAGCGCGTCATCCTGCTCAAGAGCTGCCCGATGTGCCACATGCCACGCCTCAAGCGCAAGGCCGAGGTCGACATCATCACGCACCTGGCCGTGTGCGCCTCGCAGGACTGGCGCCGCGTCGACACGCTGATGGTGTCCAACTTCGTCACCGCGTCGCAGGCGCAGAAGAAGTGGTACACCAAGGTGCTGACGAAGATCAGCCAGGGGCAGTACAAGATCGGCGCCGACTCGGCCAACATCATCGTGCAGGACCGCGAGACGGGCGAGCTGCTCGAGGAGAAGATGGCCGTGTACGTGCGCCTCGGCATCCGCCTGCTGTACCGCGGCGCCAGCTCGCGCATGGAGGGCCAGCGCATCAAGCGCATGCTGTACAACATGAGCGTCAAGCAGGGCGTCAAGTTCAACTCGCCCGCCTCGGCGCGCGAGATCAGCAGCTTCATCGCCTTCCACCGCCTCAACATGGCCGAGGTCGCCGAGCCGCTCGAGAACTTCAAGACGTTCAACGAGTTTTTCTACCGCAAGCTCAAGCCCGACGCGCGTCCGAACGACGAGCCGCAGAACGGCGGCCGCCTCGTGTCGGGCGCCGACTGCCGCATGCATGCGTTCGAGAGCGTGTCCGGTGAGTGTCACGCGGCGAGCCAAGAGGCCTCAGCTCAAGCCGCCACACCGCAGACTCGAAGCAGTTCTGGATCAAGGGCCGCCACTTCACGGTGCCGCAGCTGCTCGGCGAGACGTTCCGCGGCCGCGAGACGTTCACGGATGGCCCGCTCGCTATCTTCCGGCTGGCGCCGCAGGGTGAACCTGCATCGCGCTGGTGATCTGTCTCTCTGGCTGACGTAGGGCTTGCGCAGACTACCACCGCTACCACTGCCCGTTCGATGGCACCGTCAAAGCGATCCAGCACATTCCCGGCGAGTACTACACCGTCAATCCGCAGGCGATCCGCTCCGTCGTCGATGTCTACGTCGAGAATGTGCGCACCGTCATCGAGTTTGAGACGACGCACTTCGGCACCGTCTGTGAGTGAGCTGGCCGCGGTGCTGCTCCACGCGTGCTGACCTGAGCGACGCCGCAGTCTACGTCTGCATTGGCGTGAGTCGCTCCTGCGCGAGCCGTGCCTGTCCTTCTCGCTGACGCTCTCTGCAGGCCATGATGGTCGGCTCAATCGAGCTGACGATCAAGGAGGGCGACACGCTGCGACGCGGCGACGAGGTGGGCTACTTTGCCTTTGGCGGCTGTGAGTGGCTCTCGATGCAGCGCGTCCGGCGGCCTGCTGACTCTGCCGTGTGCTTCAGCTACCATCCTGCTCGTCTTGTGAGTCGGCTGCGGACGCCACCTGCTATGCACGTGCTGACACCTCACCTCAGCGAGAAGGGCAGCGTCACGTTCGACGAGGACATCCTCGAGAGCTCGCGCGCGGCGTGCGAGAGCCTCGTCAAGGTCGGGCACGGCATCGGCCGGGCTGCCGCCTCCGACGCAGCTGCTGCCTGAGGGCGCTGCGCCTCATCCAACCTCTCTCATACCCAGCACAGCAACCAGAAGCGCGTTGATAGATGCGTGTATTGCGGGTGACATGCGGACAGGAGACCGGGAGATATAGAGAAGGAAGCCGAGGCGACATCACCAGTCGAACTTCTTGCCCGACGCAGCGTCGGAGCACGAGACCTTGCCGCCGGGCTGGGACGTGACGCCGTTGGCCTCGTCGCGCACGGCATCGCTCGGCGCCGCGAGCTCGATGGCCTTGTCGGCGAGCGCCTCGCCGGCGAGGATGTTGGTCTCCTCGCGCGCCTTGCGCAGCATCCACTTGGTGGTCGAGAGCACGGCGTCGAGGGCATCGGTGGGCGGCAGCTTGAGGAAGACTGTCTCGCCGTCGGCCTTGGCCTCGAATGTCATGATGCTGTAGTCGGCGTCGCTGCACTTGCCGCCCTGCTCCTCCTCCTTGTGCGAGAGGTTGTAGCGGCGCTTGTGCAGCGGGCAGCTCACGTACTCGTTGCCCGCCTCGTCCTCGCCCAGCAGGCCGTCGGAGAGGACAAAGGCGTTCTTGTGCGGGCACATCTGCTGCGCCGCACGCAGGCCGCGGCCGGGGATGTTCCAGAGCGCAATCTGCGTGTCGCCGTACTTGAGCACGGCCGACGTGGGCGCGTCGGGCTGCGGGTCGAGGTCGGCCAGCTTGCACATCGGGCGCCACTCCCACGGCGCACTGGCGACGACGTCGCGCACACTGAACTTGAGCGGCGCACTCTCCGCCGGCCAGTCCGGCGGGCGCGTCTGGTCGCGCGACACGATGCGCTCGCTCGTCGCCTGCGTCTCGTCGGTGTTGATGAACTGGCGGAAGGCCTTCTGCCGCTCGGGGTCGCGCACGACCTTGGTCCACTCGCAGTGATACGTGCCGACGAGCGCATCCATCTCCTCCTCGAGGTCCTTGCAGATGCCGAGCTTGTCCTTGACGATGATCTCCTTGAGCTCCTTGATGCCGCCCTGGAACGTCTCGACCCAGCGCGCCGTGCGCTGCAGCTTGTCGCCGTTGCGCATGTACAGGATGAGGAAGCGGTCGATGATCTTGATGGCCAGCGCACGCGGCACGTCCTCGGCAATCAGCTCGGCGTGGCGCGGCTTGGCGCCGCCGTTGCCGGCCACGAAGACGTTCCAGCCCTTGGTCGTGGCGATGGCGCCAAAGTCCTTGCTCTGCGCCTCGGCGCACTCGCGCACGCAGCCCGAGACACCGCCCTTGAACTTGTGCGGCGCGCGGATCGACTTGTAGCGCTCCTCGAGCTCGACGGCGAGCGAGACCGAGTCTCCGACGCCGAAGCGGCACCAGCTCGTGCCGACGCACGACTTGACGGTGCGCAGCGACTTGCCGTACGCGTGGCCGCTCTCGAAGCCGGCGTCGACGAGGCGCGTCCAGATCGCGGGCAGCTGCTCCTTGCGCGCGCCGAAGAGGTCGATGCGCTGGCCGCCGGTGATCTTCGTGTAGAGGTTGAACTCTTGCGCGACATCGCCGAGCACCTTGAGCTTCTCCGGGTTGATCTCGCCGGCAACGAGGCGCGGCACGACCGAGTACGTGCCGTCGCGCTGGATGTTGGCCAGGTAGCGGTCGTTGGTGTCCTGCGTCTGGCGCTGCTGCGGCTGCATGATGAAGTCGTTGCGCGTCGAGGAGAGGATGGAGCCGACGGCCGGGCGGCACACCTCGCAGCCGAGCGAGTCGGGCTTGACGCCCACCTCGCGCATCACCGAGGTGAAGTCGCGCAGCTGCTTGCGGTGCTTGATGATGAGGTAGAGGTCCGGCCGCGCGTACTTGAAGTGCGGGCAGATGTTGTTGCTGACCTCGGCGCCGGCGGCCTTCATGGCGCTCTCGAAGATGGACGTGCCGAGCGGCGCACAGCCGCCGCAGCCCGTCGCGAGCTTCGTGCAGCTCTTGATCTCGCCGAACGAGCGGCAGCCGTCCTTGACCATCTTGACGACGTCGCCCTTGAGCACGTTGTGGCAAGAGCAGATCTGCGCGTCGTCGTCGAGGTCGTCGCCCTCCGCCTCGCCCTCCTTCTTGGCGCCGATGATGAACTCGGCCGGCGGCGCCTCGATCTCCTTGCCCTTGGTGCAGAGGCCAACAAGCTTGACGTAGTCCTTGACGTCGCCGACCATCATGCCGCCGACGAGACTAGGGAGGGTCAGCTGTGGAGAGAGGGGACGCGGCACCGCGCCACTCACTGCTTGCCGTCGTTGGTGAAGATGTACTTCTTGTAGATGTCCGAGAACGGATCCCGGTACGTCAGCGCCTTGACCTTGGGCCCGTCGCCCGTCGAGGCGTGCACGCCGGTGCCGCGGCGGCGGTCGCCCGGCAGCGGCCGCGTGATCTTGCCCTGGTCGGCAAAGAAGTCGCCAAACGACGCCACGTCGACGCCCATCAGCTTGAGCTTGCAGCTCAGGTCCGGGCTCGTCATGCGCCGCAGGCCGCTGGCATGGTGCGGGCCCTCGGTGAGGTTGAACGCCAGCACGTCGGCCATCTCGATGCCCGGCGCGATCAGGCCCCACGTCTCGCCCTTGAGCGAGGCGCACTCGCCGATGGCGTACACGTCCTTGGCGCTCGTCTCGAGCAGGTCGTTGACGGCAAAGCCGCCGCGCGGCGCCGCCGTGATGCCCGAGGCCTTGGCGAGCTCGTCGCGTGGCACAATGCCCGTGGCGAACACAAGCATGTCCATGTCGTACGGCGTGTCGCCCTCGGCGTCGCCCTCGAGCATGATGCCCGTGAGGCGCGTCTTTTGCTCCTCGTCCTGCTCGGGCGTCGTGACGATAAGATCACGCACGCGCGCCTTGGTGAGCACCTCGACGCCCAGCTCCTTGACCTTGTCCAGCACCATGCGCCCGCCCTCGCCGTCGAGCTGCCGCGAGAGCACCCACTGGTTGCGCTCGATGATGACGGCCTGCTCGACGCTCTCGAGGTCCAGCAGCGCCTTGGCGGCCTCCAGTCCGACTGCGATGGGTCAGTGCATGTGCAGTGCGGCTGATATGTTGCCACTCACGCAGGCCGCCGCCGACGACACCGGCGCGCTTGATTCTCCGGCTCTCGGAGTAGGCAATCATGCTGTCCAGGTCGGCGAGGTTGCGATACACGAACGCGCCCGTCGTCTTGTGGAAGCGCTCGCGCGTGATGTACGGCGGCAGTGCCGCGTCGGAGCCGACGGCCACGACGCACACGTCGTACGCCAGCGTCTTGCCGGCCTGCGTCTTGATTGTGTGCGCCTGGGCGTCGATGTGCAGCACGGGGTCGCTCGTGTGGTACGTGAGCTTGCCCGGTGCATGGCTGCTGTACCACGCCAGCGGGTTGAGGTAGAGTGCCTCGGCGTCGCGCTTGCCAAAGTACTGCGTCAGGCCGACGCGGTTGTAGGCGATGTGCGGCTCCTCGCCGATGCTGCGTCGGGTGTGAGATGGGGCAACACTCGAGTGGCGCACCAGCGGCGGCCACTCACACGGTGATCTGCCACTCGTTGCGCCCGCCGTCGAGGTCCATCTTGAGCAGCTTCTCGCAGAAGGCAATGCCGACCATGCCGAGGCCGACGACGACGCAGCGCTTCTGCGCGCCGCTGCTCGACGACGCCGCGGCGCCGTCGTACGACACGTCGGTGGGGACAGGGACCATGGTGGGTGAGGGGGTGATGTGGTGGGGTGCGAAGGGATGCGCCCCTCGAGCCGACATCTCAAATGTGTGCATCTGGTCACGTCGCCCCGGCATCGTCTGTCACGGCCGCCTCCGAAACGAGCCGCCGCTCATTGGCCGGGCCGGAGTGTGGCTCTGTTATCGGGGGGCGGCCTGTGCGCTGCAGCAGCGCAGCGCAGGGGTCGTTCCTCTCACGCGAACGGCGCGGAGCGCAGCTGCTGCGTCGGGCATCTCACTCTGCTGCGCCGGCCGTCGGGAGGCAGCATCGCAGGTGCAGGCCGCAGCTGCAGCGCTGAGGAGGCCGCGGCCGGGAAGCGGAGGTCTGATGCTGGCGGCTGGGGCTGATAAGCGAGCGCGAGAGCCAAGAGCTCGCGCGGCGCTGCGCCTCGTCCCCCGAGCGCCGCCCGCCGCGCGGCCCGGCGCGGCCTGGCCTACGATTTGCCGCCCGAAGATCACACGCGGCGTGGCGGGACGCTCCATGCAGCACCGCCGTCCGTCCAGCGCAGCACCCTCGCTCAAGTCCAAGCCCTCAATGTCTGCCGGCCCCGCCCAATCAATGTCGAATGTGCTCCTCTTCGTGGGTGCTGCACCCGGGGTGTCACGTGTGTTGGCGTGCTGCATACCCTGGACCCGTTGGTGCCGCCGTGCTGCCGTGCCGCGCGGCAGCAAGCGCAGACGCGCGCGGCTCAGGGGGTCGGTCGCCGAGACTGGCCGAGCGCCCGAGCGCCCGAGGACGCGGCGCCTCTGCGCGGAGCAAAAAGCGCGGCTTATCTCGCCTTATCATCCACGCGCCGAGAGGCAGAGTGCGCGCGACGGCTCCAGCGACCCGCGACCCGGCCGGAGAAGAGCTTCAGCGGCCATCAGCAGCGGCTCAGCGCAGGCGACAGCTCAGCTGCAGACCGAGGTGCGCGCGAGAGGCCGATGCCGATGCAGCCTCCTCGATGAAGGCGCTCGGCGACGAGGCATGCCAAGCGGACGCGGCAGCGGTGCACAGCTGCTGCAAGCGCGCGCCGCCGGGCCAGGCCGCCGCCGCCACCCATGCACCGCCGCCGTTCCTCGCCGTTGCGGCTGGGCTGCTCCCCCGCAAACGGACGATGCGTGCCAAATTCGCAGGCTCTGGGTGGCCGCGGAGGGTCAGGAGGTGGAGCGGGCCGGCGAGAAGCAGCTGCTTTGCCGTCGTCGTCCGTCAGCCGTCCCTCCCACCCTGACACATCCACCGCCGCCATGAGCATCTCTACCCGGCCAGCCTCCGTGGCGTCGAGCAGCAGCAGCCGCTCGCTCGTCGACACGGGCGCCACGACGCCCGAGCATGCCGAGGGCAGCGCCAAGCCGTCGCCGCCCTCGTCGGCGTCGTCGCTTGACAGCGAGTACGGCGCGCTGCTGCCGCGCGTGCCCAAGTCGGACGACGTCAAGCCGCTCGCCATCGACGCCGGCACGCCCGACGCCTGGATCCCGCGCGATGAGCGCCTGTGAGTGAGGCAAGGCAGCACAACTGCGGCAGCACTCTGACTCCTCACAGCATTCGCCTCACCGGCAAGCACCCGCTCAACACGGAGCCGCCGCTGATCGAGATTCTCAAGACGGGCTTCCTGACGCCGCAGTCGCTCATGTACGTGCGCTCGCACGGCGCCGTGCCGCACGTCAGCGAGGGCGCGGCGAAAGACTGGAAGCTGCGCGTGCACGGCCTCGTCGAGCGCGAGGTCAGCCTGACGATCGACGAGCTCAAGGAGAAGTTCGAGACGGTGACGCTGCCCATCACGATGGTGTGCGCGGGCAACCGGCGCAAGGAGCAGAACATGGTCACCAAGGGCCTCGGTGAGTGGCCATGCCGCTCCGCCACCCTTCACGCCGCTCACACTGTGCAGGCTTCAACTGGGGCGCCGCGGGCGTGTGCACGGGCCTGTACACGGGCATCTACCTCGCCGACCTGCTCGAGTACTGCCGGCCGATCAAGCCGCTCGGCGCGTTCCCCTACGACCGCGACGTGCCCGGGCGTGCGCGCCACGTCATCTTCGAGGGCATCGACGAGCTGCCGAAGGGCAAGTACGGCACGAGTCAGCGCCTGCAGTGGGCGCGCGACCGTTCCAAGGGCATGCTCATCTGCTGGGGCATCAACGGCGAGCCGCTCAGCCCCGACCACGGCTTCCCGCTGCGCCTCGTCGTGCCCGGCCAGATCGGCGGCCGCATGGTCAAGTGGCTCGACCGCATCGAGGTCTCGGCCTCCGAGAGCCAGCACTACCTGCACTTCTGGGACAACAAGGTGGGTGCACGGCGGGAGAGTGGCCTGCTGCAGGCAGCTGACTAGCCACTCCAGGTGCTGCCGACGCAAGTCACGGCCGACCAGGCGCGCGAAGAGGAGCACTGGTGGAAGGACCCCAAGGTGAGCGATGTGTGCTACTTGACCCACGCCCGCGTCCTCACACCCCTCCCAGTACATCATCAACGACCTCAACGTCAACGCCGCCGCCTTTGCGCCCGACCACAACGAGACACTCGCCATCGCCGGGCCGAGCGCCGTGCGCACGTACAAGCTCGGCGGCTACGCCTACACGGGCGGCGGCAAGCGCATCACGCGCGTCGAGATCTCGCTCGACGACGGGCGCAGCTGGCGCGAGGCGGTGCTCGATCTGCCCGAGGACAAGTACCGCGAGCACCCGATCCGCAACCACCCGTTCTACGGCACGCTCGACCTGAGCGAGAGCGAGATGAGCTTCGGTGAGCTGCCTCAAAGCATTACTGAGGGACCACTGTTGACCCCTGCGCAGCCTGGTGCTTCTGGGAGCTCGAGGTCGACGTCGCGCAGCTCGCCGAGTCGAGTGTCATCTCCGTGCGCGCGACCGACGAGGGCCTGGCGTCGATGCCGCGCGACATGTACTGGAACGCCACGTCGATGATGAACAACTGGTGGTTCCGCGTCGCCGTGCACCGCGACGGCGACATGCTGCGCTTCGAGCACCCGACGCTCGCAGGCACGGCCGCCGGCGGCTGGATGGAGCGCATGAACGAGGAGGGCGAGGACCCGCGCTACCCCGTCTTTGAGAAGACGGAGAAGACGGAGGCGGCGCCCAAGCCCAAGAAGGAGAAGATCGACGTCACGGCGCTCATGACGGACCCGGAGAAGCTCGCCACCGTCGTCACGCGCGCGCAGGTCGCCGAGCACGCCAACGAGACGGCGCCGTGGTTCGTCGTTGACGGCCACGTCTACGACGGCACGGCCTTCCTCGAGGGCCACCCCGGCGGCTCCGAGTCGATCACGCTCGTGGCCGGCGAGGACGCGTCGGAGGACTTCATGGCGATCCACTCGATGGACGCCAAGAAGCAGATGCGCGCCTACCACGTCGGTAAGCTCGAGGCCGGCGGGCTGGCGGCGCAGGCTGAGGAGTCCGAGGCCGAGCTGCACGACCCGGCGCGGCCCTTCCTGCGCGTCAAGACGTGGAAGCGCTCGCTGCTCGGCCGCAGGACGAAGCTGTCGCACGACGCCGCCATCTACCACTTTGCCCTCGACGCGCCAGAGCAGGAAGTCGGCCTGCCGATCGGGCAGCACGTCTACCTGCGCCTGCGCGAGGCCGACGGCAAGGTCGTCGGCGAGGGCGAGGGCACGCTGATCCAGCGCGCCTACACGCCCTTCTCGGGCAACGAGACCAAGGGCGAGCTGCAGATCCTCATCAAGACGTACTTCCCCGCCAAGGACGGCAGCCGCGCCGGCGGCAAGTTCACCATGCTGCTCGAGTCGCTGCGGCCGGGGCAGGACTACGTCGAGATGAAGGGCCCGCTCGGCCACCTGCAGTACCGGCCCGGCGGCGTCATTGCGCTGCACGGCGAGGAGCGGCGCGTCAAGCGCGTGGCGATGATCGCCGGCGGCAGCGGCATCACGCCCATCTGGTCGACGCTCAAGGGCCTGCTCGAGGACGCCGACGCCACACACGTGCAGATCGGCATCATCGACGCCAACCGCACCGAGTCGGACATTCTGGCGCGCACGCAGCTCGACGAGATTCTCGCGTCCAACGCGCAGCGCAACGTCAAGCTCTGGCACGTCCTCTCCGGCGAGACGCAGCCTGAGTGGAGCATGGGCCGCGGACGCATCACGCGCGACCTGCTCGCCACGCACCTGCCGGCGCCGCCGAGTGGCGCCGACGACGACGAGGCGCTGGCGCTCATCTGTGGCCCGCCGCCGATGGAGGAGGTCGTCGTTGCCGCGCTCAAGGAGCTCGGCTGGCCCGAGAGCAGCATCGTTCAGTTCTAGGTCCCCGCTCCGCTTCATGCTTGTACTGTAGTGCTTCTGGGTGACGCAGATGTCCATTACATGTCTTCACTGTCTGCTTCGTCCTCCTCCTCGTCGCTCTCCTCGCTCTCGCTCTCCTCTGCGTCCTCTGCGCACACGCGCTCCCACTCCGTCTCGAGCCAGCGCGCGTCCGCCTCGCTCATCTCGCGCAGCGCATTGCGCAGCAGCCTGAGCGCCTCTTGCGGCTGCTCCATCTCCTGCATGACGAAGCGCAGGCGCGCCAGCACGCCCTCGCGCGACGTGGCCGCGAGCTTGAGGTGCAGCTGCTCGAGCTGCGCCACCTTGTCGGCGTTGATGGCGCCGATGGTGTCGGAGGTGCGGACGAGGTCGATCGCGGCGGCCAGCACGGCGCCCGAAGGCCGAGCAGCGTAGATGCGCGCGAGCAGCTTGGGCAGGGGCCGCGGGGCCAGGCGGAGATAGCAGAGCAGCACACTCTCGTGCTGCGCCGGCTTCGAGATTGTCGCTGTGATCGACGCCTGCGGTGGAGGAGGTAAGCGCCCAGGCGCGCGCTACAGCAGGGCAAGACAGCAGCTACTCACCTCGAGCAGATTCCGGGCCCACTTGGCATCGTCCAGCGCCTCGAGGGAGACCCAGCGGGTCCAGGCATCCCACATCTCCGCCTCGTGCCCCGGCAGCGCCAGCACCGCACTCCATTCCTTCTCCAGCACCTCCTTGCCCTCACTGCGTGCGCGCGCCAGCCCTTCGCGCACGGCGATGCGCGTCAGGCGCGTCTCGGCGTCGGCGTCGCGCGTGCAGGCGCGCATGGCCTCCTTGTGCAGCGCCTTCCACTCCTCCTTGCTGCCGTCCTGAGCGGAGAGAGCCTCGAGGGCCAGCTTCAGCGCTGGAGCGGCAACGGCAGCGTCGTGCCCCTGAGCCCGGGCGTCGGAGACGATGCGGCGGGCGACGCCCGAGAGGTACGCCTGCATCGGCGGCTCCTCTGCTGCGGCGCGCAGTGCGCAGACGAGGCGCACGCAGGCGCCAGAGAGTGATGGTGAAGGCGCACTACGCAGCCGCAGACGGAGCGCATCGAGCGTGCTGCGCACGGCGTGCGGGTCGGCCGAGGCGGAAAAGGCGCGCACGATGAGCTCGTGCGCCAGTGCGAGCGGCTGTGCACTCTCGTCGCCTTCCGGAAGGGCCTCGAGCAGTGTCTGCAGCTCCGGCGGCGAGACGTGCAGAGTGGAGGCGGACGCGAGCGCCGTGCCTTCAGAGAGCTCTTCGGCGGCGTCGGAGATCGGATCCGGCGATGCGGCGGCGAGCAGAGGCGCGGAGGCAACGAGCAGCGCGGAGCTCGGGTGCTCGAAGCGCGCGTGGAGAGCGTCGTTGAGCGCAGCGAGGAGCGCAGACTTCGGATCGGAGGCCGGTGAAGGCAGAAAGGGGAATTGCCGGATGAGGGCGACGAAGGCGAGGAGGAAGAGATAGTGCGTGCGTGGTGGCAGTGACGACGTGGAGGCGAGCGACGAGGAGAGCAGCGAGAGCGGAATGGCGCCGTTGACGATCTGCGCCGTCGCCTCAGACGCCTCCACCTCGGCCTCTGCCGCCGGCGCCGGCTCTGTCGGCGCCTCGACGTCGGCCAGCACTGCCGCCTCCTCCTCGTCAACTTCCTCCTCCGTGACTGCCGTTTCGAGCTCCTTCTTGGCCGCCGCGTCCTTGCCGTCGAGGCCCAGCACGGCCTTCCGCCGCCGCAGCCGCTCGAGAAAGACGAGCTCCATGCGCACGTACGCGACCCACAGGGCAACGAGGTTCATCTCCTTGGGCGAGAGGCGCAGCGTCGGCGGCTCGACGAGCGGCGCCGCAATGCCCTCTTCACCTCTCCGCCGCTTGGCGCTGCGCTCGTGCGGCACGGTGTTGAGGCGGATGGCGCGCTGGAGCAGCGCGCGCGCACTGGCGATGCCGCTCTTGCGCAGCTCGTCGTCGGCACAGCCGATCCAGAGGCGGTGCTCGTTGGGGAAGAGCGCCAGCGCCCGGGCAGCGACGCGGCCAGCCACGACACGCATGCCGCGCCCGCGTGCCCAGGCGAGGTAGGCGAGCCAGAAGTCGACGTCGCCGCGCAGGCGGATGACGCCGCGCTCGTAGATGGCAATGCTGCGGCGCGCCGACTCGGCGCGCAGCTTGGCGCTGGTGGCGGGCGGCAGCTGCTCAGGAAGACGCTCAACACGCAGCGCCAGCAGCTCGTCGAACTGCGCCTCGAGCGCCAGGTAGGCGGCAAAGTCGGCGCGCGCGACGTTGCGGCGCACCAGCGCGGCCTCGCAGCGCGAGCGGCGGTGCGTGAGGGCGCGCAGCTCGGCGGTGCTGAAGAGGCCGAGCTGGGCGAGCAGCTCGAGCGACGGCAGCGTGCGCTCGAGCGCATACTGGACGCGGATGGCGGCCATGGTGGGCGTGGCAGGGTGGAGTGGAGCGGTGCGAAGGAAGGAGGCATGCTTGGAGCAACTTTTTGGACGGCCGGCGCACGTGACGGTGTCCCACTGCTCCCACGGGGCGCTGTGAATACAAACAGGCCATGCGCGGTTGAAGATCGCCGCTTGCAGCGCGGGCTGCGCCACAACGCCCGCTCGGCGCAGCGGGCGCGGCGCGTGGCACGGCATGCGGCAGGCCAGCAGCGGCGCCGCGGCCCGCGCCGCAGCCGGCGGCGTTGAGTGACGGCCCGGCTCATCCTCGCCGCGGGGTCGCGCCAGGCGTGGCCTCCGCTCCTCACCACCACTCCTTGCCCAGCATGCCGAACCCGCACTACGACTTCCTGGTGCGCCCGCCGTGCCTCTCGCCTGCCGCGCCGCCGCCGTCGCTGATGCCCGCGCCGCCTGCAGATCAAGCTGCTGCTCATCGGCGACTCGGGTGCGTGTCCAGGGCCGAGGCTGCCACGGCGCGGCGGCGAGGCTCCAGCAGCGGAGCACACCGGCGCAGACGGCTGCGGCGTGCCGCACATCGCTGCTGCTGCCTTTGCGGCGGCCAGGCTAGGCCCGCAGTGCTGTCACGGCCCGGCGCCTGCTGGTTCGCAGCTGCGCGGCGGCCAGGCACGCCGATGTTCCCCGGTACAAGCGCCAGCTCAGGCGCTCTGCTGCGCTCGCCCTGGCGCTGTGCGGACAGAGTATCCGCTAGATGCGCGGCAGTCGTGACCAGTGGGGCGCTGCTGCTGGTGCGCGTGCGACGGCGACCAGCTGGCGCCAGCGTGCGTGCGAGGACAACGAGCTGCTGCTCTGGCATGTGATAGCGACGTGCTGCTGCTTTGGCATGCTCGCATTTGCTTTGACATGCCTCGCACGCCAGCGTCTCGCCTTGTCTTGCCGCCATCTGCCCCGTCTGCATTGCCTATCCCCTTGGCTCACACTGCGGCTACACAGGCGTCGGCAAGTCGTGCCTGCTGCTGCGGTTCTGCGACGACGCATGGACGCCGAGCTTCATCACGACCATCGGCATCGACTTCAAGATCCGCACCATTGAGCTCGACGGCAAGCGTGTCAAGCTGCAGATTGTGCGTGGTGCGCCGCAGGTGTGCCAGAGAGGCTGGCAGGCTGACTGTAGCTCGTGCAGTGGGACACGGCAGGACAAGAACGGTTCCGCACCATCACGACGGCCTACTACCGCGGCGCGATGGGCATCCTGCTCGTATACGACGTGACGGACGAGAAGAGCTTCAGCAGTGAGTGTTGCTGTGTGTCGAGTGAAGGCCGGCCTGGACAGCGGCTCACTGCGGCGCGCTGTGCGACCCGCCAGACATCCGGACGTGGCACTCGAACATTGAGCAGCACGCCAGCGAGGGCGTCAGCAAGATTCTGATCGGCAACAAGTGCGACTGGGAGGAGAAGCGCGTGAGTAGCTGTAGCGACGTGGTGCCGCAGCTCGGAGAGGAGATTTGTGAAATCGGGCAGAGAGCGAGTACAGCGTCGCAGACAAGGTACGGGGTCTCGGCCGGCGGCGGAGTGGACGCTGCGTGACGTATAGCAGGAGCGAAGCTGCGCAGGGACGAAGAGGCGGCGCTAGGCAAGGCGGACGACGTGCCACGGCGAGCGCGCAGACCACTACTGCCGCGCACGGGGAAAGCTCTGGCTCGTTCGCGCGTGGAGCCAGGGCTGGAGCAGAGCGGCAGTGGTGACCGGCCGGCGCTGCAGAGCCAGCGCGCGAGCGGGACACGCACGGGAATCAAGAGACAGAGCGGCGGAAGGAGCTTCGCAGTTGTTGGCCTTCGAGCGCCCAGCCAAAGAGCGCAGTGCGCGCTCTGCCGGCGAGGCATCCGGCAAATGAGCGTCACGCATGAGCGCTCATCACGCAGTATGCGCTCGCACTGCCGGAGCGCTGGCAAGGTGTTGAGACTGTGCTCGCCGGAGCGGCTCTTGCACCTGCACACCACGAGGCCGCGCGATGCCCACGACTTTTCCGACTGCTGCTCCGCTGCAGCACCGCTGACTTTCTTTCCAGGCGGTCACCACAGAAGCCGGCCAAGCACTGGCCGACGAGCTGGGCATCCGCTACGTCGAGACGTCGGCCAAGGCCAACACGTCGGTGGAGGAGGCCTTCTTCACGCTGGCGCGCGACGTCAAGACGCGCGTCATCGACGCCGCCGCCGGCGCGGCAGAGTCGGCGCCGGGCGCCGAGCAGAAGGGCATCCAGGTCGGCGGCGCCAACCAGCAGGGCTCGGCACAGAGCGGGTGCTGTGCTTGAAAGAGGCGCAGCCGGCGCCTGCGTGGCCCCATCTCCCTCTGCACCCGTCTGAGCGGCCTCGCCCAACACACTTTGTACATATGACTCGGCCTCGCTTGCGGCGCGCGCTCTCTCTCGTTCCCCAGCCTATTACCCACACACGGAGCGGCCGCCTGGGCCCGCTCCTGCTCGCGACGCAATACGAGAACAGCACGCCCACCCTCATGTCGGGTGTGAGGGACGCGTGCAGTGCGGCGCGAGGGCGAGGCTGGTTTAGCAGATCTCGATTGCATCCTAGCCAGGGCGACGGGCACGGTGCGCGGCATCTGGCACGCGTGTCGGTCGCGCTCGGGCGCCCCCTACAGCAGAGTCGGAACTCAGAGCTTGAACTGCGCAGAGAGAGGGTCAGCCAAGCGAAGACAGACAGACGCGCAGCACATCGCCTCACCTCGGTCTTTGCGTACTTGACGCTTGCCTGTGGACGAGGGTGTGTGGTCAGCGGTGGGCCACAGCGAGGGGCAGAGGACGCGCACGACGCACAGATGCAGCATCGTCGCAGATGAAGTACACGTCTCCGGGCGGCGTGGGCCGCACCAGGCTCGCCGGCACTTGTTGGCTGGTAGCCTCGTCGAGCGCCTTTGCCAGCATCCTGTTGGGGGCGTCAGTATGCAGCCCTGCGCTTTCGCTTCGTGGCGACTCACTCCTGCTTGCCCTCGCCCGCCAGGCAGAAGGCCACGCGGTGCGCCTTGTTGAGCACGGGCAGCGTGAGGGTGATGCGCCGCGCCGGCGGCTTGGGCGAGTCCTCGATGGGCGCGACCCAGCGCGTGCGCTCCGTGAGCAGCTCGTGGCCGGGGAAGAGGGAGCACGTGTGGCCGTCGGGGCCCATGCCGAGCAGCACGAGGTCGAAGACGGGCAGGCGCACGCTCGACTTGCCCGCGAAAGCGTCGCGCAGCTGCTTCTCGTACTCGTCCGACAGCTCCTCGGCGTCGTCGAGCAGCGAGACGTCGATCGTGTGGATCTGCTCGCGCTTCAGCTCGGGCACCTTGCTGAAGAGCTCCTCGTGGCACAGCCGGTAGTTGCTGTCCTCGTGGTCGAGCGGCACGAGGCGCTCGTCGGCGAAGAACACTTGCCTGTGGAGGCCACACGTCAGTCGCTGCGGCGGACGTAACGCGAGGAGGACACGCCCGCAACACCAGACGCGCGGCAGCACCACTTTGACCATCGTGTCCGCACAGCAGCTCAGAGCTCGCGGCTCAATGTGATGCGCCTGAGACAGCGCTTGGGCGTCTGCAGCGGCGCAAGCGCACAGGTAAAGCCGCATAGCCCTTGCGCTGCAGCAGAGCGGCCGGCGACGGAGCGCGCCTGCCCAGCAGCGGCGTGTGGTGCAAGCGCAGCGGGTCGTGCACAGCAGCAACGCCGTCTCCCTGCTCCGACAGCGCGCGTGCAGCGGCAGCCAGGCCTTGCAGTAGTCCGCATCGCGCTCGCTCCCAGCCGGGTTCCTCGAGCACCCTCACAACTGAGCTTGCACACGGGCATCCCGGCCTGAGGCGCAGATGCGCGTCTCGCCTCGGCCCCTTTCGCGGCTGCTCTGCGCTCAGCGCTGTCGCCTCATGAGGAGTCTTGACGTCGTCCTCTGCGCCCTCTGCCCCTCTGCGCTCTCTGCGTCTCTGACTCGCTCCGTGCTGGGTGTGGGAGGCGCGTCCGGCGCCGCAGCTGACGGCCTCTCCGTCTTGCATCCGCGACTCTCGGGCCCGCGTGCCGCACCTGGCTGCAGCTCTGGCCACGTCTCGCGGCTGCCACTGCTGCCCAGTTCCGCACTCCTCACGGCACACGCACCACTTGTCCCACCGCACGCCCTCCTTGCCGACGAGGTACTTTGCGAGCATCTTGGGCAGGCTGCCGCCGCTGGTGGCCAGCGTGAACTTGTCGCGGCGCGCAATGGCCTCGTTCTGCGCCTTGACGACGAAGTCGGCCAGGTTGCGCGAGAGCGCATCGGCGTCGGGGAAGGAGAAGAGCACGGGCGGCGACGGCTCGGTGGAGGGCGGCGCGGGGGCGGACATGCTGGGCAGGGTGGCTGAGGGTGGATGGTGATGGTGGAGTGAAGCGGAGCGGACGCTGCGCCTCGACGGCCGATACGCGATTGCCGCGCCGCCGCCGCGCGCCGCCGCGGTGATGAGCGTGCTGCTGCTGCATGCGCCGCCGCTCCACCTGCCGTGCCCGCCGCTCGCTCGCAGTCGCCGCCGCTGCACGCCGTCTGTCCGTGCAGACGCAGGCGGCACACTCGCTGCACATGTCCAGTCCATCATCTGCAGCGCATACATCTCCGTCTCGCAGCGAACAGCGACGTCGCAGCGGCCGCTCGGCGTCGAGCTCTTGATTCGCGACGCCGCGCCGAGCGTGCGACCGTGCGCCCCAGCGGCGGCGCACACTGCTCCCGTGCCTGGGCGTCCATGGGCGGCGCCCGTCATCATGCGTCGCCGCGTGCTGTGCGAGGCGACGGCGCGACCACGATGCGACCTCAAGCGAGGCTCACTCGTCTCGCTGCACCACGTCGCGGGGCACTGTTAGGCTCAAAATGCCACAGCATGAGCTGCGTAGGGATGAGCGGCCCGTCGGGGCTTATTTCTGCAGCAAGCCGCCGGAGAAGCATCATGGGCGCGGCTCGACGTCAAGCACAACGCCCGGCGCTTCATGCTCTCCAATCCGGGTTGCAAGGCACGAGCACACGCAGCAGTGAGACAAGCTTGGTGCAGCCTGCTGACTGGCAGAGGCAGCGGCGAGCAGCCTGATCTCGACAACGGCGCAGCCATGGCTCACGATGACGGTGCGACGGCCGTCGAGGGTGCACCTGAGCGCGTCGTGCGCCTATCCGCGGCGTGCGGCCCCTGCGGCAGCGGCGGCCGCGCGCGCGGTGCGGCGTGGCATGCGTTGCTCTTGCGCACTCCTCACTCCCCTCCACTGCCCCCACGCCGCACCCTCTCTCGCATCCCACACTCCACACTCACCATGCGTCTCGCCACTAAGCGTCTGGCCAAGGAGCTGACCGAGCTGCGCGCCTCGGGCGCGCCCGCCGGCTGTGCGCTGCTGCAGGCCGACGACCTGCAGACGTGGCTCTTCAGCATCAGCGTGCTGGGCGAGAGCGTGTATGCCGGCGAGACGTTTGCGCTGCGCTTCCGCTTTCCCGACGCGTACCCCATGGAGAGCCCCGAGTGTGTGTTTGTCACCGACGGCGGCTGGAAGGCGCCCGTGGTGAGTGGATGATGCAGAGCGGCAGAGCAGGGCAGGGCAGAGCGGCCAGCGCGGAGAGAGACGCAGGTGGAGACAGCTGCAGCAAGGTAGTAGGTACAGCCAGCGGCGGCAGAAGAACGTCGCATGCGTAGCGGCTTTACCGGCAGCACCGAGCATGGCGACGGAGTGTGCCGCAGCGGCGGACACGCTTGACGTCGATCGCTCGGCGCCGCGCTGCGCCGGCATGCGACGCACACGCTGCAAGGGGGCAGGCTCACGGGAGCCTTTGCATCGCTCCCAAGTGCAGCCCGAGCAACGAGAGTGGGCGCTCCGACCAAAAGCGTCGGGCTGCGCAAAGCTGCGCCCGCTGTGCGTCGCGCACGCCGAGGCTGACGCCAGCCTGGCTACTCCACAGCACGGGCACGTCTACTCCAACGGTCGTGAGTGCTGCGCCCGAGCCCCAGGGCTCGCGCGGCCCTTCGCTGACGGCGCGCCGCACGCCCAGACATCTGCGCCTCGATTCTCGGCAACGAGTGGTCGCCCGTGCTGCACGCCTCGAGCGTGCTGCTCACGATCCAGAGCATGCTCGCCAGCGCCAAGAAGTGAGGGCTCCGTGCGCCATCGGAGGGCATACGCTGCAGCGCGCTGATGCAGACGCCGAGCGCAGGAAGGAGCTGCCGCCGGACAATGACCGCTATGTGAAGCGCGCGCCGCTCTCGCGTGAGTGGGCCTCCATCGTCCGCGACGACGCACGAGCTGATACACGTCTTTCGCTGCTCAGCCAAGGACACTCGCTGGGGTGAGCAGCCTGCGTGGTCGTCGAGCCTTCTCTGCTGACTCTCTGCTGCAGCATACCACGACGACAACGTTTAGATCGCCTCGCTCCGCGCCGTTCTCCACGTCTTGCGATCCCACCTCTCACAATCCTCTCTCCCGCATCCTCTCTCCGGTCCAAGCTTCACTCGTCACCACCACACACACCGCTTCGCTGTACAGTATCCGCCCCTTTCTCATTCATCCACACGGCGTCAATGGCTTGTGCATAAGTAGCATTGCCGCGCATCACCGATCCCGATGCCGCTCCCTTTCCCGCTCGCGTTCGCGTTCCCGCTCCCCTCGGCCGTCCCAGCGCGGCACCTTTTCGCGCCCATCGCGTTCCCGGCTCGGCGGGCGCTTCTCGCCGCGCTCTGCGCCGCCGCCATAGCGGCTCGGCACAGGTGCAGCGCCCCACTCGCGCGAGGCAGCGGCGCGCGGTGCGCCATTGGCGCCCGTGGCTGCGTCTGCGCCGCGCCCGCCGCCGCTGCCGCCGAGCCCGGGACAGTCGCGCTTGAGGTGTGGCCCGCCACAGGCGAAGCAGCCTTGCCCGCCGCTGCCGCTCGCTCCGCCACTGCTGCCGCCCGCTCCGGCGCCCGCGGCGCGGAAGCGCGGATCGCTGTTCTGCGAGCGCGTCGTGTCCTGGTCGGCGAGGTGGCTGTGAGAGGGTCAGCAACGGAGTTGGCGACATGCTGCGCACGCGGCACGCACGTATACTTGCTGCGGCCTCGCTTGCCAAAGTCGCGCACCTGCAGCACGGCGGGCAGGCTCGACTTGTCCACCGTGCCCTCCGTCGCCTCGGTGAAGTCGTGCTTCTTGAGAATGTCCATGTCCTGTCGCAGACGTGATCAGCACCGACCGCACCGTCCGTGCACGCACGACGCACCTGGAAGAAGGCACCCTTGTGGTAGTACTTCTGCATGAAGCCCTGGTTGCCCTTCTTCTTCTCGCGCCGCGTCTCCTCTGCGCGCGCCATGTCCTCGGCATCGCGCTCGGCCGCCGGCATGGCGCGCCGCCGCTCGATCTCGGCCTGCTCCTCCTCGCGCTCGCGCACGCGCTGCCGCTCGCGCTCCAGGCGCTCCAGCTCGCGCAGCCGCCAGGCGCTGAACTCGGCGTCCGGATCGCGCCCGTCGGTGTCGTCCAGGTCGGGCACGTCGTCCTGCGCCGCCTCTGCGGTACGGACGTCAGCTGCGCCAGGCGAGCACTCTCGCAGCACACGCACTCTCGAGCATCTCGCGCTTGATGCGCTCCGCCGCCAGCGCGGCACTCTCGGTGCGCCGCTTCTGCGCCTCGAGCGTCTCCTTGTCCTCGGCCGGCGTCTCGGCCTCCTCCTCTGGCGGCGCGGCGATGGTCGTGCGCGCCCGTCTGCAAGCCTGTCAGCCGCAGCGCTGCACGTCGTCTTGCCTCCCACTCACTTTGGCACGAACACGGGCTTCTGCAGCACACGCGCCGGCGCCTCCTCCTCGCTGCTCTCCTCGCCGCTGTCCGTCTCGTACTCGCTGCTCTCCTCTTTGACCGCCGCGCCTCGGTCCTTTGCGCTGCGGAAGACGGGCCGTGCAGCCGGCTGCGGCGCCGGTCCCTCCTCATCGGTGTCCGTCTCGTACTCGCTCTCGCTCTCCGCCTGCGGCGGCTGCGGCGCGCGCTTGCCCACCACCACATGGCTGAGGTCGATGGGCCGCTCGCCGCTCTGGATGACGACGCCGGCGGTGCGCTGCGGCGCAGCGAACGACGAGAGCGGCGCGGCGGTCGACGACGCGCGCGCCTCGCTCTCCGACTCGCTGCCGCTGCCCGACGCCGAGGCGCCGCCGTCGCCGCCGAGCGCCTTGCCCGGGCGGTAGCGGGCGGCGGCGCGCGCTGGGCGCGCGACGGGAGGCGCCATGCGAGAGGTGGAGGAGGGTGAAGGTGGGAGGTGCAGAGGTGGAGGAGAGGGGACAGCCTGGCAGAGGCAAGAGCGCCCGAAGCTGTCGTGCGCGTTCGAATACATGAATTCGACGCGTTTGTAGTGTCGGCAGAATACAACCGCCGGCCGTGATTCTGTAGTCATGGCGCGCCGGTCCCACGCTCGCGCTTTGGCAACCTTGCGCCGAGGCGTGCCGGGGGCTGCTCCTCTTGCTTCGGGCTGCGGACGCCAGGGCAACTAGGCAATTCCGAGGCTTGGTACATCTCCTCTCCGCTCCACCACCACCTGCAGCGCCTCTCTCCCCGCGTCGCTGCTCCCAAGCTCGCCCCGTCGCCCTCATCCTCTGCCTCACGCGCCATGACGCCCGTCACGCCCGCCACGCCCGCCACGCCCGCCGCTCGGGCCACAGCTCCCACCAATGTCGAGGCCGATGACACGTTCGAAGAGATTGACATGAAGTCGGCGCCCATGGTGGAGCTTGTTGAGTTCATTGTCACGATCTCGGCAGCTGTACTCAAAAGCATTCAGAGGGTGCGTCGGCTCCTCCAGCGCTCTCGTCCCGTACTCATCATTGCATGCGCAGCTCGAGGTGAAGACTGCCGGCAAGACAACGATGGACGTTGAAGAGATGATCGAGACCGTCATGGAGAACCCGAAATGGCAGATCAAGTGCGTAGGATCGTTCTCGCGAAGCGACTCAGCATGCCGTCTGACCAGCACACGCAGATGCCTCGACCTGATGAACGACATCAACCGTGACTCCCCGCGCTGGGTCTCTCTCGAGCTGCGTGTTGCTCTAGCCAGGGGCGTGGCTCCGCTTCTCATGATGGAGCCGAAGAAGAGCGACGATGAGATTGTCCGCGTGATGAACGGCTTCATCAGCCTTCTCAAGCACCAGCCAGCTGGCTGCGGATTCGACAAGGACAAGTACTTCTACGACTATGTCGACGGCGAGATTGCGCGCGTGGCCTCAGCTGCGCCCAAGACCTCGGCCACGCCGCCCAATAAGCCCGAGAAGGAGTGGTATTTCGACGCGTATGGCCTCGAGGGTAAGTGCTTCTTGGCATGCTTGAGCGAGTGATCCGCGACTGATCCCTAAGCAGCGTCCGCAGGCGCCGCGGACGATGAGTCGTCAGAGGAGGAGGAGCAAGACGCCGCCGACGACAGCGAAATGGCTGCGGACAGTGAGTAAAGACACGCTTGCTAGACAACACGTCTAACCCCTGGCCGGCCAGTTGCCGAATGGCGCAAGAAGGTCGATGAGATGATCCTGCTGCGCAAGCTGGACTGGACACACATGTAGCAACGCAGTCACACCTGCACGAGTCTCACTAGCTGCACACGAGACAAGCGGACTTGAAGTTTCCCTTGCGAGCATCCCGCGTCGTTGTTTCGTAGTACCATGCCCATTGCCGTCTGCCATCACACACGTGGCAAAGGCCGTCATGTAGCTCTCATGCGCCTGCCACTCTCACGTTGCGCGTGGCGGCATCCCGTCCGATTCGTAGCCCATGCCGGGGTCGCACGCCTACAAGCGACGCCCGTCCTGCCGTGCTTCTCGTCAGCCGCTGCTTCGGTCGTGTCCATTGGCGCTCGCTCTCGGCGAAGTACGCGCAGCGCTCGCCCTTGCGGATGGCAGCCACGCTCGCGGCGCTCATGCTGTGCCGGGCAAAGTGCGAGTAGACGGGGCGAGGCTTTACCTTGTCGTCTGTGCGCATCAGCTGGCAGCGCCCGTACATCTCGCCCACGGCAGCCCGCCAGAGTTGACGAAGCCGCCGAGGAGGCCACCGCTCTCCAAGCCGGCGCAGCGTGAGTGGACCTGGGGCGCAGCGTGAGTCGACCTGCCCCACAGCGCGGCTCTAGGCATCGCCACGAAGACGAGATGGCGGTAGCGCTCTCTTCCTTACACTCGCTTGTCGGAGCGGGAGCGGACTTTGGGACGGGCGGCGCGCAGCGCATGGACTGCCGGGCCTCGAGGCTGCACTCCTTGCTGCTGCTCTTTGCGCTGGTCAGAGAGTTGCAGAGCCAGCTCGTCGTCTCGAACCACTCGGATGCCTCGATGTGTGCTAATTTTGGCGTCTGCACGGCCGCTGCCACCCTTGCACACCACAGACGGCCTGCAGCCAGGTCCCCTCAGGCACGACGCGGGCGCCGTGCGACTTGTTCCCACGCGTTTGGCGCAGGGCACATCACGTGGCTCGCCGCGCCCGAAGGCCTCGCCTCGGCGCCTCCCGCTCCTCACCTCCCCTCCACCATCACCATGTCGCGCCCTCAGACACTGCCGCAGCTGCTCGCGCGCCTCTCCACGGGCGCCGGCGCACACGCCATGCCGACACTCGCGTCGCTGCACCTCTCCTACCCGACGACGGGCGCCGGCAGCGCCGGCGCGCGCCGCTTCGCCAAGCAGATCCTGCCGCGCCTCAAGTTTGCCAACCCGCGCGTCGCCGTCGAGTGCGACGTGTGGCGCCCCGTGGCGACCAAGGGCCTCGCCGAGGAGGAGGTGGAGCGCGTCACCAAGGAGGCCGCCGAGCAGGGCCTCGACAAGCGGCGCGCCGTCATGTATGTGCAGTTCGGTAAGTGTCGGCCCATGCATGCCGCGGGCAGCGGCGAGGTATGCAGCTGCTTCGTGCTGGTGCCGCCATGCTCGAAGCATGTGCCTCACAGCAGGTCAACAGCGCTGCATAGTGGCTGCACCTCATGCTGACACGCTTGACCCAGACGGCATGACACGGCGAGAGATTGTGCTGGACAAGCCAGGTGCGTGTGTGCGGCCTGCGCGGCGCTCTGGCTGCGGCTCACCCTGCCCCGCCAGACACGACAATACTGCGCGAGCTGCTCGCCATGGGCGGCTTCGCACAGCCGGCGCCGCCGACGATGCCTGCCACGCTGCTCGCCGCCTCGGAGCCGGCGACGCCGCCGCAGCCGCCTGCCGCCGCGGCCGAGGACCCGGCCATCGAGTCCGTGCCGACGCCGCAAGCAGCCGCGCCGAGCTCTTGAAATGGCACCCGTCGTCACGCATGAGGGAGCGAAGCGTGGCATTCGCTGGGCGGCGCTCGGACGTGGCGAGCGCGGCCGGAGTGGGGTGACGCGAGGGAAGGGAACTAGCATGGCGCGAGTAAGCCAGCGCGCACTTGGCGGCGCCCCGGCTCCTGCGGCCCCGCGCGCGGTGAAGACGCACGCCGACGGGCCCATGCAACGGTCGGACAGGCGGAACGGGACAGGATGAGGAGCGAGCGGGCCGCAGAGGCGGGCCGCGCTGGCGTATGCGGCGGGAATGGTGACGGATGGAGGGAGACTTGCGGACGGACGGGAAGATGATGGCGAGGCGACGGCCGAGAGTTGCACGCGCGCCTCTGGCGTCGGCGCGCGGAAGACGCACGCGACGAGGAGCTACAGCTCGTCGGAAGGCGCGTCGCTGAGCGCACTGTCGTCGCTGAGCGCGCCGGCGTCGCCCTCGAGCTCGCTCAGCTCGCTGTCGTCGTCGCACATGTCGATCGTGGTGGCAGCGAGAAAGATGGCCCGCTGGTCTGCCGCCTCGGCGTCGGGCTCCTGCTCCTCCGGCTCGGCAGACGAGCGAGGCGAGCGCATGACCGCCGGCTGCGCCTGCGTGCCGCTTGCGGCCGGCGAGGGAGCCGACTCGTCGTCAGAGCTTTCGTCGCTCTCCTCCGAGGAAGAGGCGGCATCGCGCTTGCGCTTCTTGCCTGACTTGCTGCTCGTGCCCTTGCTGTCCTTGCCCTTGCTGCGCTTCTCGCTCTTGCGCGACTTCTTGGCCTTCTTGCGCATCGTCTTGTTGCTTGACGAGCCCTCGGCGTTGCTGGCCTCCTCGCCGGAGGCACTGCCTCCGGCGAGCGGGAGGAGGTACTTGCGCTTGTGCTTGCGCTTCGCCTTCTTGCCCACAGACGCATCGCCCGGCTTCGTCTTGACGCGCTTCTGCTGTGCCTCGGTCTCGTCCTCCGAGCTCTCGTCGCTTGACGGAAACGTGTAGCCATAAGGGCCGCGCCAGCCGTGGCTGTAGTAGTTCATTCCCGTTTGTGCTTCGCGCGGGTTTGTCAGCACGAGTGCCGCGCGCTGTGCTTGTGCGACTCACCCTTGGCGGGCTCCCATGTACCGTCCTCTTTGTCTCCTTCCTCCTCCTCGACAATCTGCCATCTCCTCCAAGCTGCACGATCGAGAGATCAGCCTGGGTCTCCGGGACCGTCGTCGTGCTGCTCACGTTGACGCTCCTTCATCTTGCTGAAGGCGGAGCGCACGAAAGCCGTACGACGGTCCATACGCCGCCACCTGCTGTTCCTCGGCCCTCCGTCCTTCTTCAAAGCTCTGTGCGACCATGGGTGAGCCACGGCCTCGGGCATCGCACCTTCCTCGCGACGCACCGGTTGACTCGAGCCTTGACGATTGGCAGCTCGTTCGCTTCCAGCTCTTTCCACAGGTCGTCCACCTCGGCGAGTCGTGAAGTAACACTGCCGACAGGCTTCGCCTTCTTCAGGCTTCTGAGTCTGGCCGATACGCTGCGGCGGAGCGCGACGAGAGAAGTCTTCACCGGGTTGTAGCATCTGGTGCAGCGGGCCCACCAAGCTGGATGTGCGGAAGAGGGAATGCGGTGAATGAGAAGCACGGCGATCGAGTCGGACCAGTTCTCTCTGGCGATGAGATCGGACAGGCAGTCTTGCCACTGCACTAGGGCCGTCTCCATCGCACGCCGGCGCCGCTGGCTCATGCGCTCAGGCATGCTGTCGAACTCCACCCAGACTTGTTCGTCATCCTCCTCCCTGTGATACTCAGCATCATCGCTACTGTCGCCTCCGTTCTCCGACGCGTCGGAGGCCTCAGGACTGTCTGCGTAGCTGACGCGTGTAGCCGTGCGTCGTCCACTTCGACGCTGAGCCAGCGCCTTGTTCGGCGCCGGCGCGGCATCTATGTCAGCCGGCTTCGTCGCGGCCTCTGACGGCTCTTGTGGGCTCGACGGCGGTGTAGACGAAGGCGAGACCCGAGGCGGCAGGAATCTGGCGACTTTCGGGACTGTGCTCGCCGCCGGGCTGATCCTGAGGACGCCGTTGACGTGAGAGAGATCGACAGACTGGTACGTGCCGTTGCCGGGATGCCAGGCGGCTACGACGGCGCGCTCGGCTGCAGAAGGTGTTCCACTGGCCTGCTGCGAACTCGGTAGCTCCAAGGCATCGTCGGAGCTATTTGCGAAGGCGCGGAACGGCGCCGCTTCCTGCACATGCGGGCTCTCAGCTGACTGCTGGCCCTGCGGTCAGCTAAGGTCCCACTTACGGTGACGAGAGCAGCGCAGAGTGCCTGCGGGACTGCGAGGTTAAGCTGCTCGGCAGGCGTGAGCAATAGATCATCAGGCGGCGACAGTTCAGCGCACCCTGGCGATGAGGTGGAGAAGCTCGCCGGAGACCGGCACGTTTTCCTCGATCAGGTCCGCGACGAGGGCCTTGTTTTGATTCAAGACCGCATGTTTCATCACGACGTTCGCGGCGGCGGATGAGGGGCCCAAAGCTGTGCATGTTTCCTCGCTGTGAGTGAAGTGCAAGCCCAGCTCCTGCTGTCGTCTCACCCCAAATGATCTCGCATGCGAGCGGAGTCTGTTCGGGCCGACGCGTTAGCACGGGTGTATCCGGGGACGGGGCATCGCGCGTCGCTGCCTCCGCTCCACAGCGGCAGGCTTGGCCCGGATCGTGACTCTCACTAACCGCAAGCTCAGGAATGATGCCGAAGACATTGTTGGCACGCATCTTGGCCGAGACTCGCTCTGTCCGCGCATTAACGAATTGCACATCGTCTTCTTCGTCGACGATCTCCGCGAGACTGCGAAGTTCGACCTGCCCAAGCTGGTCTCACTGTCAGCCCTGGACTTCGTACATTTCGCTAACACTTACTCCCGTCTGGTCAATCTCTGCGATACCAAAGCTGCGTGCGACTGGCTCTGCCTCGGCTTCATCAGAGCCCAGAGCTTTTGTGATGATGGCCGTGGCTGCGTCCTCATCGTCGCATCCGAAGATGGTGAAGCCCGAGACCGCCCTGGGCTGCACATCGCCCGACATCGGCGTTTCCCGTAAGGGGGCCCGCCAGTCGAAGGCGAGAGGGGACCGTACGGAGGTGGGCCATGCGACGAGCGCCTCGTACTGGGACACGTTGAGTGACCGCGAAGGCAAAGCGGCCACGTCAAAGTCGAGCCGCATCACTGCAAGCGAGAGTGGCGTACGGGCATCGAGAACTTCAATGTCATCGATCTGGGCCTCCAGGTGCAGCAGGCTCCTGCGCATGGCAATCAGCGATGCTTAGCGGGCCAGAGTACGGAAAGCCTACCCAAGCATGGCGCCCCGATATGGCTGATGCACGAGACTTTCCACCAGCTCGTCCACGAATGCCTGTAGATCGAAATCCGGCACGAACTTGCGGCCGTAGAGGATGCACCTGACTGTCAACGTGGCATTGCAGACGGCGACTGTCATCAGATCCGCCGCCGACACTGAGGTGGCTTGTCAGCATGCCACACGAAGGCCCATCCAAGAGAGGCGAAGCACCTTCGCATTCTTTGATGCGCTGATGAATCTCCGTGATGCTGAGATCGTCCTCTTCTGCGGTGCGGAACACCGCAGGTACGAGGCTGAGCAGAATTACACGTCAGAGCCATGGCACAAGGGGCGACGCGACAGTTACGCACGCCGAGCTGAACGGCAGCTGATCGGGCATAGACGTGCGTCAGCAGATTGTAAGAACGAAGAGCTGCGAGCCAATTTCACGTTCGGGAAGTCCTTGGAAAGTGCCTTCAGCAGTGGAGGTACTGCCAGAAGGTATATGAGCGCGTTGGTGCCGCAGCACGGTCGAGGAGAAGCTCACGTGTCGCCCTGCTGGGATTGGCGCTCAGGAGCTGCAGCAGCTCGATGACGACTCCGCGCAGAGAGAACTGAGGCGGAGACGACGGTCAGTCTCTGCCGGAAGGGTGATGAAGCCGAGTTACTCGCTCTGAGAGACCCATTCTGCTCTAGCTTCTGCAGGGCAGTATAGGCGTCCTGCTGCTGCCGGCGGAGCGCTGCGAGGGCTGGACCGGGTCCGGATTTATCGTCTGAGTCGATAGGAGCACGATCAATGTGGCGCAGCCCAAGCAGAACGTTGCTTGCGACAGTACGCGTGACCCAGCCGACGCCATCGCTATCCAGCTCCTCGATTTTCTTGACCATGATCTCGGGCATGACACCTGACTGGAAGATGCGGCGCGTGATAGCGAGCTAGGGAGAACAGACGTGAGTGCATCGCGGCACCGCACTGAAGTGCGAGACGCACTGCATCGCGGTGATTCGGTTGATAGCCATTTGCGCGCGCAAGAGGCGCCAGAGTGCGGTCTTTGCACAGCGCTGCTGCCAGAAGCTGCTTCGGCTTGGTCGGATCGTACGGAGCGCGGGCTACATAGGTGTGCAGTGGCAGAGGCATAAACTTCGCTCGATGCCGGTCAGCGCTCGGCCTAGATGGCGCGCTGCAGTACCTCACGCACGTCGTAGGACTCGAACAGCTCGCGCACCGCGCTGGGTGCCGTCTTTACCGGCCCTGAGAGCCACTCCCTGAAGATACGCTGGTCGAGCTTGTTGGGCACGAGGGCTGCAAGGTAATCAGCCGTAGCACGCATGCAACGCGTCGCACTGTGAGGCCTGCACTGACGAATGTTGCCGTACTTGTCTGCACCAGCCTTCACGACTGCCGAATAGGCCTGGAAGGTGATCTTCTTGCCCCAGTCGCCCGGTTGGTCCATATGACAGCAGCCCTTGAACCAGACTGAGCTAGTGCTGCGCATCGAAGCGGTCAAGTGAGGCTCACCGAGGCACTGAACGTGAAGACCAAGGACTGGACGAGGGCTCGCGACAGCACGGCGCCCGACAGGAGCAGGCGGTCTAGGAGCTCGGCGTGGAAGAGCCTAGGGCGTCCGATCGCGTGGAAGATGGCAGACCACGGCTGGTAGCGGTGCAGAAAGAACTGCGCCTGGAAATGACGGTCGCTCGCCAGCTCGTGGAGACGACGATTGACGCGCGTGAGCGCTGCGACGTCGTCGAGGTGCAGCCACACCTGGTGGTGCAGCTGTGTGAGGACGCGGACTGTCCAGTCAGGCCGGAGACACTCACCTGCAGCATCACATCGATGGGCATGCCGAGGAACGTCGGCTCGAGCGCGAAGCTGTGCCACTGCGCCGGGCTGGCTGCGCGGCTGCGCATCGCCTCGTCGTCGCGAGGCGGCGAGCGCGCCTCGGCAGCGCTCTCGGCTGCGTCGGCCATGGTGCGTGACGCGGCACTCGCGCGCGGCTGGTGGGTGTGTGAGATGTGTGTTGTGCGTGTGAAGGGCAGTGGAGAACGGGGTGGGGAGAGGGAGATGGGGGTGGAGACGATGCTGACAGCAGCGCTGCGCCTCGAGGGCTCATCACGCGCGTGCCACCCGTCCTGCGAAGCCCCAAATCCGCGCGCTAGGCCGGCCTCTTCTTGCTCTCGCTGCGCCGACTCACGGCGCGCGACGCACATGATCGGCCGCCGGCCTGCGTTGCCTTGCGGGGTGCGACCGGCGCGGCGCTGCGGTCTGAGAGCCGCCGCCCGCGTCCCGGCAGAGGCGACAGAAGGAGCAAGAGCGGGCACTTCGCTGCGCTGAGCCCATCGCTGTGCTTCGACGGCACCGGAGCCGCCGCCGTCTGCGTCGCAGCATGCAGCGAAGCGCTCGCAGGCCAAGCAGGAGGCAACACACCATGGCGAGCGCTCGGCACGCAGCGAGGGAGTCGCTGCGCCGCCGCCGTGTCTGCTGCTCCACTCAGGGGTCAAGCCGTCAGCCGGGACACCGCAGGCCGCTGCCTCGGACAACGGCGATGCAAAGGCGTGTGGTCCTCTACCGCTAGCATACGCATGCCACCTGGATGATGACAGCCATGCCAGGATGCATGTCGACCTCGCGAGGTGTGTCAGCGTGCCCGCTGCGCGTGGTGGAGGCGCCTGCTGGAGCGGTGCGCCACGGCCGAGGCCTTCGAGTCGCATGCTCGTCGTGCTGCTCTCTTATCCTCTGCTCTCACCACCACCGCCACCATACTACCCCCCACACGGCCTTCACACAATCCCCACGCGCGTCGACGGCACTCCGTTCTCCTCCAACACACCAGCTTCACCTCAGCATGCCCACCATCACCATCAAGATCCACATCGACGAGGCACAGGTGCACGGCGCTGCCCAGGCTGCGACGGTGCCTGGTGCCGGGCAGCCGCTGCATGCGTCGACCAGCGCAGGTGAGTGCATTCCTTTGTGCCGAGCGCGAGCTGCCTGCCGCAGCCGTCGAGCGTGCGGTGGGCGTGGACGTGTCGGCCGGATCGGGCTGCAACACTGCAGGCGCATTCCATAGAGCCTCGCCCTCAGATCCCCTGACTCATGCCATCAAACAGGCGACCAGAGCTCCGTGAACGTGCAGCGCACCGCAGAGACGAAGAACACTGACGCCGCAGCCGGTGAGTTGTAGCGGTGCCTGCGAATTTGCGTGCCTGAAGCCATGCAACAGCCGAAGCGGCATACGCCGCTGCCGTGAAGAAGGCGTTCGTCGGCAAGAGGTCGGCCAAGTATCTCCTGGAGGGTTTCGGCGCCAACGAGGACGTGAGTTGCTACTGGAACGCTGCAGCACTCATGCGCATGCTGACAAGGCGTCAGACGCTCGACGAGACGGCCGAGCGCCTCCAGAGCGAGATGGAGGCACGCTTCCGTGCGGCCTACGATGCTGGCTTCTCCGACAGCTGTGCGAGCCTGGACGCCGACCACGCCTACCTGGCGATGATCTTCGGCGTCGAGGACCACATCCGCGCGACAGCTCGCCCGGGCTTCATCGCCGGAGTCAAGGGCACGTGAGCGCTCGTCTCCATCAGCACCCTCAAGCAGCATCTCGCACCGTCTGCCATAGCCGTCTGCCTCACGCCTCGCCTCACGCCTCCTGCCTTGCGCGACCCGCCCTACGCCTTCTACCTCCTGCCTCTTGCCTCCTGACGCTCTCCACTTGTATGCATACATTGTCAGCCTAGCCGCTGCGAGATCTGCCGCTGCACGTCGCCGGCGAGGCTGCGGAAGAGGCGGCGCCACTCGAGCGGGTTGCCCTTGGAGCGGCGCATAAAGACGAGGCACTTGGGCGCGTTGGGGCCGGCGCTGACGGCGGCGGCGAGCGTCTCGATGCGGATCTCGCCCTTGAGCACGCACTTGCGCCGGTCCATCGTGCCGAGGCGGATGCGTGCGCCGCGCGAGCCAATGGCGCTGGCGGGCAGGTTGCCGCTGCTGCTGCGCGCGAGCGGCTGCGGCGCCGGCGCCGAGCCGTCCATGTCCGTGTCGCCGTCGCCGTCCATGCTGGCGTCATCGGCAGCTTCGGCGGCGGCGGCCAGCAGCTCGCTCTCGTCGTCGCCCATCGACGAGATGCTGTTCTGTACGGCCAGCGCGTCGAGGCGCTCGACGAGCAGGCGCGCCACGAGCGCCGGCTCGGCCGCGCAGAAGAAGCGCGTCAGGTGCGGCGAGAAGCGCGTCGACGCAGGTGCGAGTGACGAGAATTGTGTCTGCACGGCAGGAGGGCAGGTGAGCGACGATCAGGATGCTCCTCGACGTCAACTTACAAAGTGGTTGATCGCCTGCGTGAACTGACTGGCCTGCGCACCCGCCTCGGCCGTGCTGCCCGGAAAGGCGGCGCGGCGCGCGCCGATCTGCTGCGACATGGCCTCGTGTCGCGCTCTGCGCGCCTGCACCGCCTCGCCGCCCAGCGACGCGACGGCCGACGACGGCGGCATGGGCGCGCGCCAGTCGCCCATCGCGCCCATATCTGCCGAGCGCTCGTTCCACTCGGGCTGCGTCAACGAGACGCTGTCGAGACGTGTCAGCCAAGGCCGCTCAACGCACGCCTCCACACTCACGTCTCGGGCACCTGTGCGCGCTGGCCGTCCGAGTGCAGGTCAAAGTCGAGGTCGCCAGAGACGATGAGGCCCTGCAGCAGCCGCTCGGCCAGCGTGACTGGGTCGCGGCACTTGCCGTTCTCGAGCAGCGAGTTGGGCCTGCGCCGATGTCAGCTGCGGCTTACGTGAGGGCCAGGCGCGCCTCACATTGTGTACCAGCGGTGCTCCTTGATGCCCTTGATGCTGATGCGCCGCTTCGGGTCTGGGCACATCATCTTGCGCAGCAGTGCTGCAGAGGATGTCAGCAGAGGCAGCAGTGGTCGATGTGGCTGGGTCGGCACGCACAGAGCATGTCCGGGCTGAGCCGCGGCCACGGCTCGTACTTGAAGAGCTCGCCGGTGAGGTATGCGCTGTACTCCGGGCTGCGCGATGTCGGCTCGTCCCATGGCGTGTCTGCAGCACGTGTGAGCTTACGCGTGGCCACATCGCGGCTGCTACTCACTGCCGACCAGCATGGCGAACAGTACAGCGCCCGTGCTCCACACGTCGACAAACTCGCCCTTGTACGGCTTGCCGTTCATCTGGCGCAGCACGTCAGCGGGCCCAGCGTGGCTCGCGGCGCGTGCTACTCACCTCTGGTGCGATGTACGGTAGGCTGCCACACGCTCCCAGCAGGTCGCGCTCCTGCCCGCGGTACTTGTACACGCTGCACAGGCCAAAGTCGGCGAGCTTGAGATTGCCTGCATCGCAAGGGTGAGCGGCGCCTCGCCTCACCGCCGGCAGACGCACCTTGTGCATCGAGCAGGAGATTCTCTGGCTTGACGTCGCGGTGTGCAATGCCCTGGCCGTGGATGTATTCCTGCGCCACGCACATGAGCCGCGTGCCGCTCTGCACGTGTCCAGCCCGACTCACCAAGGCCGAGAGCAGCTGGTGGAAGTAAAAGTGCGCCAGACCCTCATCGAGTCCCTGATCCGGCGCTGCGGCATGATATGCCATCAGACCACGCTGCGGCTTGACATCCGCCACAGCGCCCGGCCTGCTTCCTACTACTCACGGATCTTGTCGAAGAGGTCGCCGCCCTCGGCGTACTCGAGCACCATGTACAGGCCCGGCACATAGTTGCCCAGCGCCATGGCCCGCTCCCCGTCCTTGCCCAGGCCCACCTCCTTCACCGCAATGAACTCGAGCACGCTGGCGTGCTTGAGCACGGCGTGGATCTGCACCTCCTTCTGCAGCGCACGGCGGTCCGGCGGGTGCTGCTGGCGCGAGGAGTGCGCCGAGGGCCGCGCGTAGGACACGACCTTGACGGCGGCGACCTTGTGCACGGGCGCTGCAGAATTGACGGCGCGGAAGACCTTGGAGAAGCCTGCGGGCAGAGGAGCGCCAGGCTGCGTGAGCAGGGCGCGGAGAGCGGTGGCCACGCGCGGCACGCACCGCCGCCGCCGATGGGATGCACGAGTGAGTAGCCCTCGATGAGAGGGTAGTGCTGCCCAGTAGAGGATGTGGGCGCAGGCATGGTGCGCGAGGTGTGGCGCTGGCAGCGCAGGGGTGTGTCGCTGTGTGATGGTGTGAGGAAGAGAGAGAGAGGAAGAGAGAGGCGCCGCGCCGCCGCCGCGGCGAGAGTGGAGGAGCAGCGGACCAACACCGACGCCACGGCGTGGGAGCAGCACGGCGGCAGACGCGCGACGCGTGCCGGCGCGCCGGGCTACGCGTAGATGGGCGCGTGAGCGCGCGCGCCGGCTCTGGCCGTGGCTGCCGCCCGCTGCTGCGTCCGCCGTGCCTGGCCGCACCCGTCGATCGGTGCCGGGCGCCACGCTTGCCTTCCCACACCCACCAGCTGATCCCTGCTGCGACCCTGCCACGACTGCCTCTCACGCTCCACCACATCGCACATCCACACGCCCACCTACCACCCGCCCGCTTCGCACCGCCTCGTTGACCGATCTTCTCGCGCCCTTCTCACCCGCCGCCATGTCCGCGGCATGGCACGCCGAAGCCTCGGGCTCCTCGTCGCGCGCCGGGCCGTCGCACGCCTCGTCGTCGCGCGCCGGGCCGTCGCACGCCTCGTCGTCGCGCGCCTCGCCCGCGCACCTCGAGCGCTACCACCAGTCCTCGCCGCCGCCGCAGGCCCGCTCGCGTGCCGCGCCCAGCCGCTCGCGCAAGGGCGCCGCTCTGCCGCCGCGCTACGCCGCCTCGTCGCCGCCGCCCTTCTCGGACGCAGCGCCAGCGCCGATGCCGCGGCGGCCGCGTGAGCGCCGCGAGATGGATGGTGCGTCCTACGTGGCATGACTCGGCGCGCTTCGGCTGACCCTTCGCGCAGTCAAGGTGCTCTACACACTCGAATCGGCGCCGCACAGCACCATGGTCGCGCACCTCGGGCGGCAGCTGCCCGTCGAGCTGCTGCCGGCTCGCCGCAACGCGCCGGCATCCACGCCGCGCTTCGGCACCGTGACGCTCAAGACGTGTTTGAGCGCCATCTGCATCGCCTCGTGAGTCACGCGTCCACCCGCCGCGCGACGCGTCCGCTGACCGCAGCACAGGCCCGAGCTCGTCTTTGACCGCCGAAAAGACTACACGCTCTACGCACAGGACCCGCTCGAGTCGCACCGGCGCCGCACGAGCGGGCCGTCGAACCCGTCGTTCGTCGTCGGCAAGGGCTTCTTCTCCTGGGCGCTGGCAGAGGCGGGCGAGGGCGACTCGATGGTCACCGGCGTGGTGAGAGGCACGTACGAGGACGACGACGAGGAGCTCGAGATCGTGCTGCGCCTCAAGGAGGCCGTCAAGCAGAGCCGAGAGCAGTACTACGACCTCGTCCGCGCCTTCAACCCCGGCGCGAGCGACGAGCCGGCCCCACAGCCGGCACCCGACGCCGTCACGTCCTCCTCCTCTCTGGGTAAGCGCAAGGCAGAGGAGACCGAGGCGCCGGCTTGCTACGCGCCGCAACGGCGAGAGCAGAGCCCGCATCGCTCTCCCGCCACCTTTGCCGCTCCGCTGCCGAAGCAGAGCGCCTCAGAGGAGCGGAGTGGCTTGCACGCTCAGGATCAGCAAGACGCAACGGCCGCCAGCACCCAGCAGCAGCTGCTCCAGCTGCTGCAGGCGCTGCAGGGTCAGGCAGCAGGAGACACGCGCTCGGCTGCAAGTCCGATGGACGCGCCCGCGCTGAGCGCCGCAGGCGCACGCATCAACGAGGTGCTCAGCCAGCTGACGCCGGCGATGCCGTCCGTGCCGCTGCCCGCCTCTGCGGACTCGCGGCGCAACTCCCGACGCGACTCTGTCATTGCCACCTCGCCAATGACGCAGATGACACCGGGCTACGGCGAGGATGAGCTGAGGGCGACGTCCGCCGAGGCCGAGGCTCCGCCGATCAACGAGACCGCCGCAGCCAAGAAGCGACGCGTCGCAGCCGAGACCAAGGCGGCCACGCAGAAGGCTCTGCGCGAGGCGCGCGCCTGCTACAACTGCGGCATCCGCGGGCTGCGCTCGTGGCGCTTCGTCCACCTGCCGCAGGGCCTCGATGCCGTGCTGTACAAAGACGGCAGCGACGTCCGCGAGACGGAGCGCGGTGCGTCGGTGGACAAGCCGCAGTGGCGTGCCTGCAACGCGTGCGGCAAGTACTTCACCAAGACGGGCATGAACCGGCCGCAGGAGCGCGTCCTCGGCGACCTGCAGGGCGGCCCGCGTGGCGCTGCGTGGCGCGCTGCAGTCGCCCAGAACGGCCCCAAGCTCAGCGAGGACAGCGACGAGGGCGAGACAGAGCAAGCCGCCGAAGGCCTCGGCATCAAGCGGGCGCGCTCGGCTGGCCTGCCGCGCACGCTCTCCGACGTCTGCGAGCGGGACAGCAAGCGCGTCAACGCCGGCGCCGCATCGGCTGCGTCGCGCGGCGCCGGGCCCAAGATGGCCGAGACGCTCGAGGAGGCGCGCCTCAAGGACTTCCTCAAGGACTCCGACGGCAGGTGGCGCACGAAGCGCAGCATCCTCGAGAACCCGCAGGGCCTGCCGCCGGGCCGGCCCAAGGGCTGCAAGACGGGCGAGGCCAAGGGCCGCAGTGCACAGCGCCAGCGCCTCGCGGTCGCCCGCAAGGCCGAGGAGCGGGCCAGCTCGCGCGACGGCAGCGCGAACCGCAGTGCCATGACGGCCTCGAGCCCAAACACGAGCATGTCGGCGACGTTTGCGCACAGCGTGCCGCAGTCGAGTCCTGTGCGTCCGTCGCTCGCTGCTCGTGCCGTCACCGACGGCTGGGCGCTGCAGCAGCAACACCGCAGCCCCGCCGGCTTCTCTCGCCCGCAGGCATGGATGCCGACGCCGCGCGGCCGCTACGGCGCACCGAGCTACCTGCTCGACTCCAGCCCCGGCACAGCGCTGCAGACGCTCCTCAGCGAGGGCAACGACGACTGGTCGAACATGGCCGGGCAGCCGCCGCCGACGCCGCTCCGCCGCTCGCCGCGCAAGAATCCGCACGGCACGCGTGCGACGTACAACCCCTTCGCCAGTGACCAGATCGAGCCGCACTCGAGCCCCACTCGCGGCGACCACAACCAGGCTGCTCGCAGCGGCCACGACATGACACTCGACAGCGCCGACCTCATGAACATGATCAGCACGAGCCCGCTCACGCGCGGACGCGTGCGCAGCGGCAACTACGAGCTGGCCGCGCCGCCGGGCACGCACCCTGCCCTCTGGTCCAGCGACGGTCCCTCGAGCGCCAACAAGGCCAGCAGTGATGCCACGAGCCCCGACAGCTGCCCGGGCAGCCCGTCGCCCTCGCGCAAGTCTCGCCGCCTGCCCCGCGGCGTCATGAGCGACGCAGCGCAGCCCGGCGCGCACACCGTGTCTCTCAACCAGGTTCGCCTGAACAGCAACGCCTGGGACAACGCGCTCGGCGCCGGTGCGACGCCCACCGACGGCGGACGCACGCCGGCCGACAACGCTGGCGAGCCGACGTCTCGGCGCACGCACGGCCGCTCGCCATCGCAGGACCGCAAGGCCGCACGACAGGCTCGCGCTGGCCACGGCGGTCCGGGCTCGAGCCATATGGGCCCCTTCATGGGCACAGAGGGCTTCGACGACGCCGAGATGGACGATGGCGGCCCGTGTGGCTCGCCTACGCTTGGTCGCGCGACGCGCCGCCGTCGTCCGGCCGCCGGTGCCTCGCTCTACGGCGCCGGTGCGCGCACGTCTGACGCGCTCGGCCCGGCCAGCAGCCCGCCGATGTTCTCCGAGGCCGACCTCGGCGAGATGGACGAGTGGGGCCGCACGGCCAGCATGAAGGAGTTCTTCCCGACGCCCAGCCCCGTCAAGGCGTGGACGCTCGGCGAGAGCCCAGACATGGCCACGCCCGCCGACACCAAGCCGGCAGCAGGGGCCGCGGCGCCGCAGCAAGTGCCGACGCCGCAGCCGCCGGTGATCCACGTCAGCAATGCGCCTGGCACTTCTGACGGCGCTCAGCCCTCGACGGCGCTCGTCTCGCAGAAGAACACGCCTGCCGCCGCTCCGACGCCAGTCAACTCGCTCACACCCGCCGCTGCGGCCAGCGCCGTCAAGCGTGTCGGCCGTCGGCCGCTGCCTGCGACCGTCGAGGACGCGCCATCGACGTCGTCGGCCTCCTCGCCGCCCGAGGCGCTCTCGCCCGACGGCGAGTACGAGGACGCGCAGTCGCTCTTCGACATGTTCGACGACCCGTACGGCCTGCTGGCCAACTCGGGCCTCGGCGCCAACGGCAACATGCAGGGCATCAGCCTCGAGACATTCGACGGCGGCATCGAGCTGCACCCGTCGTTCAACTTCATGCAGCACCTGCAGCAGTTCACGCACGAGGGCAGCACCGGCGTCGCCGCCAGCGTTGCGACGGGCGCCGTCGTCACCTCTGCGGCTCCAGCCGCACCTGCCGCCGCATCGCCGTCGAGCCCGCCTCGGCGCAGCCCGATCAGCAACGGCGCCGCGCCCGCCACGCCGTCGAAGAAGACCACCGCCGCCCTCAGCGCCGCCGCTGCGGCCGCACAGCGCGGCGAGCTCTCGCCGGGTCTCAACGCTCTGCTCAACTCGTTCAGCGCCGCCGCGTCGAGCAGCATGGGCGATCCCGCCGCCTTCGCGCTGCCCAACTTCTCGCCGAGCCAGTTCAATTTCGACGAGCAGACGATGAAGAGCATGTTCGCCTCGATGGTCGCCAGCTCCTCGCCGCCGCGGCCGCTGTCCCAGCAGCGCGCTGCCATCACCGCCACGGACGAGTCCGCGCCCGAGCAGGGCTCCTCTGCCTCCTAGCCTCAGCCGGCGCCTCGACGCCCGCCGTGTGCCTCCTTATCACCATCACGAGCCGCGATAGACCCTCCACCCACTGTACTTCTAGCTCCATTCACGCGCCCGCCATTTGATGCCCTTGCCTGCTCATCTGCTGTGACGTGATTTGATTGAGAGCGCTGCCGGGCCGCGAGGCCGCGCACACTCCGTGTCCCTCTCAGGCGAAGCCGAAGCCTTCGCCGCCCTCATTCATCGCGACGAGCAGCTGCGAGCGCAGGCGCTCGTACGAGTCATACTGCGGCAGGTCGAGCTGGTTGAAGCTGCGCGGCGAGGAGCGTCAGTAAGAGGTGCCGACTGCTGCGCATCGGCTGCGCTCACCATGTGTGGGCAGCCGGCAGGCGGTCGGCGCCGTACGCCCGGTGGATGTTAAAGCGCTGCGTGCCCTGCACGCCCTGCAGATGCCCGAAGCCCTCGAGCGGCACCTTGCTCGTGCCGGTGATGAACTGCAGCAGCTTGGCCTTCTCCGTCTGGTCGAAGCTGCGCACGGCGCGCCACCACCACTGGATCACTGCGTCGGACGTCGTGTAGCCGTGCAGCTCCGTGTTGTTCTTCCACGCGTCCACGTCGATGTCCGGCAGGCCCGAGATCAGCAGCTCGAGCTCCTGCTCGCTGAAGATGCGGATCAGGTCTGGCGGGATGATCTCGTTGAAGCCCTCGAGGAACGCATCGATCTGGAAGGGCGAAGGGTGAGCACAGGCAGCGGCGGGCACGCGACCGGGCACCTCACCTGCTTGCGAATCGAGAGCGTCAGGCGCTGCTCCGTGACGAGCCGCACGTACTCCTGCTTGTTGGCCTCGGTGACGGGAATGTTGATGCCGTCCTCCTTGAGCTCGATCTGTTTTGTCTCGCCAAACTCGTCGGCGTCGACGGAGAAGTTGAGGTCGAGCACGTCGGTGATGTCGTTCTCGAGCATCCAGTCGAGCGACTTGAAGTACTCTGGGTCCACCGCCTCGAGGTCGCGCGTGTCGACGGGCCGCCCGAGGATGTGCTTGTAGAACGAGCGCGTAAAGTACGCGTCGAGCAACCGCCCGTCGTAGATGGCCTTGCCGATGACGCGGCCGACGAACTTGAAGAAGGCCAGGTGGTCGGGATTGATCGAGCTCATGCGGTTCGGCTGGTACGTCGTGCGGTCGGCGGCACACGGCGCAAAGAGCGCGTAGTCCGGGTTGAACATGGCGCGCGCCAGCACCTGGAACCACTCGCGCGTGACGCCGCCGGCGTCGATGCCCTCCTCGTTGTAGAAGCGCACGTTGAGCTTGCCGTGCTTGATCTCCTGGCCCGAGTGGCGCCGGAAGAAGAAGAACGAGTCGTCGAACACGTACTGGCGCCGCACGCTCAGCGACAGCGGCGTCATGTGCTCGCGGCGCCCGCGCTGCAGCTGCTGTGAGAAGTAGTTGCGTTTGTTGTCAAAGTCGAGCACCTTGGGGTTGTGCACGAGCAGCGAGAAGGAGCCGGACATGAGCGCCGGGTTCGAGCGCACCATGACGTTGAGGATCTTGCGGTGCCGCTCGGTGAAGGTGAAGAAGTTGTCGTTGAGCACCTCGCGCTTGGTGCGCGACAGCGGCGCAGCGCGCTCGAGGGACGGCGACACGGAGCCGCGTAATGATGCGCTGGCCTGGCGGGCCTCTATCGACGCAGCAGTCTCCGAGGTCGCGACGTGCTTCGACACTACCATCAAGCTCTGCGGGCAGCCTGGTGAGCCGCTGCAGAGAGAAAGAGACACAAGGTGTACAGCCAGCAGCCAGCACCAGCCCACGCCGCCGGCCGCCTACGGCCTCTTTGTGCTCTACTCACCTCAATGAGCGGCAGCAGGATCATCGCCGCGCCGCTGTCGCCGCGCAGGCGGTCGAGCGCATCGCTGAGCTTGCGCCACAGCTGCTCGAACTCAAAGCCCTCGTACAGGCGCGCCAGCTCCTCCTCCTCCTTGCTGCCCGTCTTGCGCTCCTTGCCCTTCTCCGACAGCGCCGGCGGCGGCACGGCGCTGCCGAGCCCCGCTGCGGCGGCGCCGCGCGAGCCCGAGCCGCTGGCGCGGGCGTGTGCGCCACCCAGGCCGGCGATGCCGGGCAGCGAGAGCATGATGGGTGCGCCTCCGGCATCGGGCGCCGCACCGCCGAGGGCGCCCTGCAGCGGCCCGAGCAGCGCGGCCAGCGGGTCGGCGCCCGAGCCCGACGCCGACACGGGAATCTGCACGACGATGGCGGCACCCGCGGGCGGCGCACGCGAGCCCGACGGGCCCGATGCTGGTGGTTGGCTGTGGGTCCGCATGCGTGAGCTGGTGCAGTGCGAGCGGCGATGGAGCGGCGACGTACTCGGACATGGCCGCAGCGGCCTCACGCGGCGAACAGCAGGCGCAGCGCAGAGGGCGCCAGTGGCCGGGTCGAACGATGAGTGAGATGCGCGTGTGCGCAGGTGAGGTGAAGGAGTGTGAGGAGCGGCGCAGCGTGGACGATGAGATGAAGTAGAGGTAGGGAAACAAGTCGAGTCGGAGACGCACAAGGCGCGCCTCGAGGTCGCGCTTGGCAGCCTCGCTTGGGGTGGAGGACCTCGAGGCGCCGGCGCGCACGTGACGCACCGCGCCACGTCGACCCCGCTCGAGCCACTTCTCTCGACCCTCGCAACCTTTTCCGCCGTAGCAGCGGCGCTTTCCGGCAGCTGCGTTGGCATGCACCATAAGCTGCAACATGTTGAGAATGCCACCTCGAATCTCCAACAGGTTCAGCCTTGCTGGCGGCCGAAAGAATGCGAGGGAGCCTGTGCCGCAAGCGGCAGAACCCCACGCGCGACGCGCGCCGAGCCGCGGGAGTCACAGATGTCGCGCTCGCTGCCGCCGGTCCGCCTTGCTTCACACCACATCCCGCCCTCTATCTTGCCTGCTCCTTCTCCTTCCTCTAGAGCAGCGTCGGGCCTCGTCTCTGCACTCCTTGCTGCATCGCTCTTGGCGCCCGCGGCAGATCAAGAGCGGACGATTTCTGCACCCGCTCCACTCCTCCTCGACGCTCGCGCCTCGCTCTCGCACATCCGTCTCACGCGCGTGCCATTCGGCAGCGGCGCGATGCTTGCCTAGATCCTCCAGCCACTCTCATCGCACACCACCTCTCTACTGCGTCGTCCTTCAGGCCGCGGCGCCATGCCGCCCTACTCGCGGCTGCAGCCGTGCATGTGCCAGCTGCTGGTGCCGCTGCTGCTGCTGCTCTGCATCCTCGTGCCGGCGCTCGCCGCCTCGACCTCGTCGCTGCGGCCCGGGCAGCCCGAGACGCCCGGCCGGCGCACCGCAGCGGTACCTCGCAGCCCTGGCAGCGATGCGCTGGCCCTCTCGCGCCGCGGCCTGCTGGCGGCGCAGCGGCTGGGCGGCCAGCGGCCCGCGTCCCTCTCGCGCCTCGAGCTCAGCGACACGGTGCTCGTTGCCACGCTCGAGGGCTCGCTGCACGCGCTGCACCGCCGCTCCGGCGCCACGCTCTGGCAGCTGCCGGCGCGCTCCTCGTCCAGCGACGTGCCGCCAGGCAGCGGCAGCCGGTACGCCTTTGATCCGCTCGTCGACGCCGCGTATGGCCGCTCGCGTGCCTCCTTTGCCGAGCTGGCCTCGACGGCCGAGGGCGTGAAGACGCTGGAGCGCATGCGCAAGACGGGCATGTACGTCGTCGAGCCGGGCGGCGGCGGTAGCATCTACGTGCTCTCCAGCGCACTCGACGGCAGCGACGGCAGCGGCGAAGACACGCAGCTGCGCAAGCTGCCGCTGACGCTGCCGCAGCTCGTCGACCTCTCGCCCTTCTCGTTCCCAGCCGACGCAGAGCGCGTCTTTGTCGGGCACAAGAGCACGGCGCTCGTCGAGCTCGACGTCGCGACAGGCCGCATCGGCGCCGTGTTCGGCGGCAGCAGGGAGCGCGAGAAGGCCGGCAGATGGTTCGACGATGCCTTCACTGGCGAGGCTGGTAGCGACTCTGCACGCGACAGCGGCGAGTGGACGTATGTCGGACGGACAGGTGCGTCGTCTCGCTACCGAAGCGTAACATTCTGCTGACAGACCGCAACGCTAGACTACACCCTGACAATACACAACCGCGCCGACCCGAGCGCCCGCCAGACGCTGCGCTACAGCACCTTTGCGCCCAACGCTGCAGATCGCGAGGTGGCCGCGCTGTGGGCCGGCTCGAGCCCAGAGGCTCGCGCGCAGGCGTCGCGCATTGCCGGCGCGTCGCCGCTGGCGCTCATGGGCGTGCCGGAGGAGAGCGAGGTGGTCTGCCTCAACGTTACGGACGAGTGGCCGGAGCCCGAAGAGGACCGCTTGGTGTGGCGCGCAGACGTCGGCGGTGCTGTGTGAGTCACGCGTCTGAATCCATCGTGCGTGCCAAGCTCACTCTCAGCAGCGCCGGCATCTTCGACCTAGTCTACCCGCTCTCCGACTCGTCCACGCGCGGTCATGGCTCACCAATCGTTGTGCCTCATCCGCCAATCGCGCTGCCGTCTTTGATACCCAGCGACGACTCCGCATTAGCGACGCGCGACGCGACCTATCTCGGCCTGTCGTCCGGCTCGCTCTACGCGCTCGGCAGCGAGTCGCACCCGCTCGCTGCCTTCGCGCCGCGTGCTCCCGCATCACACGCCGGACACGGCAAGGGCCGGCCATGCGCGAGCGTCGGCTGCTGGCTCGGCGCGTACGAGAGCGGCATGGAGGACCTGACGGAAGGTCTCGATCCTCGCTTGCTTGATGGTGGCGACACGCCGCGGCTGGCCATCGCCGATCGGCCAGCGAACGCCGAGCCCAGCTCCAGCGCAGGTGCGGCCGACCCGCCGTTGATGCAGCCTTCCTCGCTGCCATCACCAGCAGACGCCTCGCCGCCTTTCTGGACGTGGCGGCCCACGCCGCTCGTCGGCCTCGCGCAGGTAATCACGCTGCTTCTCGCCGCCATCCTGTGTGGCCTGATCTACATCGGCCTGCAGGAGCAGCGGCGCAACAGCCGCGAGAGCGCAAATGCCATCGCCAAGGACGTCTTCTGGGTGCCGGCCATCATGGACGAGAAGGCGGCCGAGGCGGAGTTCGAGCGCAAGCTGCTGCTGCAGCACGGCCTTCAGCCGCGACCTGCGACTCCCGAGGCTGCCGCTCCGCCTCCGGCACAGGTCGCCTCGCCTGTCGCCGCTGGTGCCGCTCTTGCGCCTGAGCCAGGCGCGCCAGCCTTGCAGCCACCTGTCGAGCTGGAGCCTGGGCACACTCCCGTCGAGAAGCTGCTCGACGCGGAAGCGGCAGAGGCTGCGCGCGCCGAGAAGAAGCGCGCAGGCAAAAGGCGGCGGAGAGGCAAGCGTGCCGGCGCACTCGTGGCTGCGCGCGACGAGAAGCGCAACGCGCAAGACGACGACGACGGCGATGACGGCGAGGAGGAGGAGAACAGCGAAGAGGTGATGCGGTCGCCGCCAACGCCAAGGAAGGCTGCAGCTGGCAACACGAAGACGCCTGCACAGCTCGGCCTCTCCGGCGGCTCGATGAACAGCCCCGTCACGTCGACACTGATCGAGGGCGGCTGGATCGACGCGGCTCCGGACGCGCCGTCAGCTGGAGAGCAGGCGGCTAGACTCGCTGCCCATGCCGCTACGGGAAGGTCAAGCACGGGCGCAGGCGGTCTGCGGCAGGGCAGCTCGCTCGTCATCTCCGACGATGTGCTAGGCTACGGCTCGTCGGGCACGGTCGTGTTCCGCGGCACGTTCCAGGGCCGCGCCGTGGCTGTCAAGCGGCTGCTGCGCGACTTTGTCAACGTCGCGTCCAAGGAGGTGTCGCTGCTCGAGTCGGCTGACAACCACCCGCACGTCATCCGCTACTTCTACAAGGAGCTCACAGGCTCGTTCCTGTACATCGCGCTCGAGCTCTGCCCTGCAAGCCTGTCCGAGGTGATCGAGAAGCCGGGCGACTTCCGCGATCTGGCCGTGCTGCTCGAGCCCAAGAAGGCACTGGCGCAGATCACGTCTGGCCTGCAGCACCTGCACTCGCTCTCGATTGTGCATCGCGACATCAAGCCGCAGAACATCCTCGTGTCGCTGACGGCGGCCGGCAAGCTCAAGATGCTCCTCTCCGACTTTGGCCTCTCGAAGCGCCTCGACGGCCTGGCGCAGACGAGCTTCAGCCAGACGATGAACAACCCGGGCGGCACCGTCGGCTGGCGCGCGCCCGAGATCCTGCGCGGCGACATCTCGCTCGACGCCGGCGGCGACGGCAGCGCAAGCACGGAGAGCTCGTTCGGCCCGAGCGGCGCGCGTGAGCGCGAGCCGGGCGAGGAGCGGCGACGACTGACGCGCGCCGTCGACGTCTTTGCGCTCGGCTGCCTGGCCTACTACGTCCTGGCCAACGGCGAGCATCCATTCGGCACGCGCTTCGAGCGCGAGATGAACATCGTGCGCGGGCAGTTCGCGCTCACGCGGCTCTCGGGCCTCGGCGAGGAGGGCTACGAGGCACAGCACCTCATCTCCGCGATGATCTCGGCGAACCCGCGCGAGCGGCCCGACGCCAGCGACGTGCTCTCACACCCGTACTTCTGGAACAGCGGGCGGCGCCTGGCGTTCCTGCAGGACGCGAGCGACCGCTTCGAGATCATGGACAAGGAGCACCCGCCGCCGGCGCTTGTGGCGCTCGAGCAGCACGCAGCCGACGTCGTGGGCGCCGACTGGCACCGCAAGATGGACAAGCTCTTCCTCGACGACCTGGGCAAGTTCCGCAAGTACGAGCGGCACAGCGTGCAGGACCTGCTGCGTGCGCTGCGCAACAAGAAGCACCACTACCAGGACATGTCGCCGCAGCTGCGCAAGCACATGGGCGCGCTGCCCGACGGGTTCCTGGCGTACTTTACGCGCCGCTTCCCGGCGCTCTTCCTACATGTGCATAGCGTCGTCGCCGAGGCGCCGCTGCTGCGCACCGAGGCCATGTTTGCCGCCTACTTTACGCCGCCCGGCGACTTCTCGTCGTGAGGCCGAGCCTCGATGGAAGTGCCCTGCTCCACTTGCACTGCTTCGCTGGGCGCCTGTGCCGCTCTTGCCCCTCTCTGTCGCCCATTTATCATGTCACCGGTCGCGCATCTACTCCACCCTCACTCATGTCCAAGACAAACCAATGCGATGCATGTGCAATCCCTGCTCCCATCCAGTCCCTCACCGCAGGCGGGTGCGGTGCCTGCCGGGTCCCACGGGCGGCGGCGAGCCCTCGACGACGGTCAGCGGCGCCGCAGCGCTGCCGGGCGCGGCGCTTCGGCGCTGCTCGTCGGCGCCGGCGTTGCCTGCCGATGCAGCGTCTGTCGATGCGGTGCCGGCATCGGCGGCGGCTGGAACGGATGGCGGCGGCGTCGGCGTGCGGCCCTTGTCCAGCGCCGTCTTGACAGACGGCCGTGCGGAGAAGGAGTAGTATGCGGGAGAGTGCCTGTCCACTTGCCAGCTGAGAGATCGAGCTCACGTCAGTTGCAGTAGCACGCGCTGCGCCGACGCTGCCGGACAGCACACGCTTCACTTACAAGCCCGTGCTCTCGTCCCACTGCGGGCCGCGGCCGCGGCGAGCCCAGCAGAGCAGCGAGTTCCACTCGGCCGCCGACGTCGCTGCGGCGCTGTACGGCGGCGGCTTGAGCCCCGCGGCGGCAGCACCGGCCAGGAGCGCGGCCGTGCCGCTGGCGCGGCGCGGCGCACTGCCGGACGAGTCGCTCGTCGAGTCGGCGGCGGCAGTTGCGGCAGCCGCGTCTTCGGCGCTGGGCGGCGGCAGTGGCTTGGCGGCGCGCAGCACGCGTGGCCGCCGTGGTGTGAGGTGCTTGCCCATCGAGGCGATGGGGCAACAGGCAAAGGAGTGTGGGGCACGCGCGCGTGTGTGGACGACGCGACGCGGCGGGAACGAGGAGCGAGGAGCGTGTAGGGGTGCTGATGCGATGCGGCGACAAGAGACGGATCCAGAAACGGGCCGAGACGGGAGAGAGCGAGGCGGACGGAGCAACGAGGGTGCGAACGAGGGAGTGTGGATGTGGAGAGACAGCAAGCCTGGCAGCACGGCGCTCGCGCGTGCTTGGCGGGCCGGCTAGGCGGCGTGGGAACACGCTCCTCGGGCGGAACGTGCCTCGAGCTTCTGATTTCGCGCGTGTCGAGCTCGAGCTTCTTGCTTCTCCTTCCGCCGCTCACTCCATACCGGCCGCTCCATCGCCGCCGCACGCTGACTCTCGCAGCTGTAGCGCATCACTCGTGCACCGCAGAGCCCGCTTCTGCTCGCCGCCATGGACGTGCCGCTCTCGGCCGACGTGCTCGACGTCGCCCTCCACCCGGCGCCCGAGACGCACCTGCTCGCCGCCGGCCTCATCTCGGGCAAGGTGCAGCTCGTCGACTATGCCGCACTCGTGCAGCGCACCGCGCAGCGCGACGCCGGCGCGGCGGAGAGCGACGACGAGGCTGCTGGCAGCTCGGCGGCCGGCGGCTCAGACTCCAGCGACGATGACGACGACACGAGCGCACGCGGCAGCAGCAGCGCACCGCGCCGCCGCAAGCTGTATGCCAAGCAGTGGGCCACGCGGCCGTCGGCCAAGTCGTGTCGCGGCGTCGCCTTTGCGCACGACGGCGCGCATGTGTGGGCCGTGAGCAAGGACGGCGGCATTGCGCAGCTCGACACCGAGAGCGGCAAGGTGGTGCGCTCGTGGCGCGGGCACCAGTGAGTGGCAGCGAGGCGCAGCAGAGGCATCTCTGCTAGCAGTAGCCTGTCTGACACGCCCGCAGTGCGGCGCCGTCGCGCATCCTGCCAATCTCCGCCTCGCTGCTCGCGACCGGCGACGACGATGGCGTCGTGGCGTTGTGGGACCCACGCAAGCCGACCACGTCCATCGCCTCGTCCTCTACCGCGCCCGCGAATCCCGGCGACGTGAGCCGCGAAGCAGGCGCCGTGCGTGTCTACACGCACCACTTCGACTGGATCACCGAACTGCTCTACATGACGCACCTCGAGCAGCGGCGCGAGAAGAAGAAGACGAAGGAGGAGCTCGAGAAGGAGGCGCGCCGCGACGAGCGCAAGCAGCGCAAGCGCGAGAAGCGCGGCTGGACACAGAAGGAGGATCCCGAGGCCGAGAGCAGCGCACAGGCCGGGCGGGAACGGCTGGTCGTCACCAGGTGAGTCGCTGTGCGCGTGCTGTGCCTTTCCTCACGCTCACTGTGCTCCGTAGCGGCGACGGCACGCTGTCCGTCATCGATCCACGCGCCGGTGCGGCTGCGGTCGAGGTCAGCGAGGACCAGGAGGACGAGCTGTTGAGCGTGGCCAGCGTCAAGGGGTGAGGAGCAGTGGAGCGTGCCCGCCGAACAATTGCTGACTCGGCGCCCAGCGGCTCAAAACTCGTCGTCGGCACACAGCTCGGCATGCTCTCGTTGTGGGCGCCGTCGCGCGGGCTGCTGGACCACGTCGACCGCATCCCGGGCCATCCGGCGTCGGTGGATGCCATCTGCGCGCTCGACGCCGACACGGTGCTCACGGGCTCGAGCGACGGCCTGGTGCGCGTCGTGCAGGTGCTGCCGCACAAGCTACTCGGCGTCGTCGCCGACCACGGCGGCCTGCCCGTCGAGCGCATTACGCGCAAGGAGCGCTGGGTCGTCAGCATCGGTCACGGGCCCGAGGCCCGCTTCACCGACGTTGGACCGCTGCTGGAACCCGACTCGGACGAGGACGAGGAGCAGAGCGGCGAGGAGAGCGACAGCGACAGCGATGAAGAGGCAGACGCAGGGCCGGGCCTCGTCGGTGACCTCAGCGGCGACCTGTCTATGCGCTCTGCATCGCGCAAGGCAGACGAGGCAGACCACGATGCCGCCGAGGCAGAAGAAGACGTCGACACGACGGACTCGGAGCCGCAGGACGACGACAGCAGCGCCGAGGAGCAGGAGCGCGCACTGCCGCCCAAGAAGCGCGCCAAGATGCAGCTGCTGAGCCGCACGCAGCACAAGGGCAAGACCGAAGACGACGACTTCTTCGACGGCTTCTAGTGCAGCGACACACAATGTGAACCCTCTAATCCTCCTCTGTGCAACGCTGCAGGCTGTCTGAGGGTATCGCCATATCACCTCCGGCCCTGTCCGACGGGCGACGCTGCTGAGCCAGGCATGCCCGAGGCCGACGAGGCCGAGCCTGATGCTGCGTGCCCCGCCGCAGCCGCCGTCTTGACGTGGAACGTGCAGCTGGCCGGCCCGCCGCCGCCGGTGCCGCTGAGCCCGGGCTCAGCCACGACCTGAGCCGGCACGCCGAGGGCGCCCAGTGCGCCGCGGATGAAGCCGAGCGGCAGCGAGAGATACTGCAGCTGATGTCAGTGCTGAGCATGTGCGCCGGCGGCAGAACACTCACCTCCTGCGCCGCCTTGGCGTTCTCTCCTGGGCCGCCAGGCACCGAGAGCGTCCGCAGCGGCTGGAATGAGGTATCTTGCAGCACGTACACGCCCTGAGAGAGGTTCATGCGGTCAGCGCAGCCTCCCCGCAGCCACTGTAAGCGCCACGTACGCGGTGATTTGTGCGCAGGTGATCCACCTGCTTGCCGAACGCCAGCAGCCAGACGTCCTTGCACAGCAGCTTCAGCACCTCGAGCGTGGTGCCGGGCGGTGGCAGTGTCGCTGCCCGCGCTCGCAAGAGGCTGCGGACGAGATGTCAGCACAAACGAAGGAACAGCAAGGTGGGCGCGAGATTCATTCGCTTCTCGACACCGTCTTGCTGAGGCTGCACGATTCCTTGCCCTCATCGCCGTCGCTCTATGCCATCACCACGATTCACTGCACGCCAGCGTCGGCACCTCTCGTCCTTCGCTACTCACCTGCGCACCACGCCCTCTCCCACGCGTGCACCCAGCGCCTGCAGCTTGCGCTCCGTCTCCTCCTTCTCCCTCTCCGGCTCATCAGCTCCCGGCTCATCGAGCGCTCCCGGCAGCGCCAGCCCGGCAGCCCTCACGTCGCGCTCGGCGGCGCGCCGCGATGCCCGCGCGGCCCGTGTCGAGGCGAGCAGCGTCTGTGGCAGCGCGGCGGAAAGGAGCATGAGTGGCAGCGCATCGAGCGTGGCGCTGCTACTGCTGCCGGCTTGTTGAAGCGACATGGTGGGCGAGGTGTGGTAGGAGAGGTGTTGGAGGGAGAGGTAAGGCGCGGCGGGGCGCATCCACGGCGCCGCGGATAGCTCGAGGCTGGGCCGTGCGCCCCTGGCACGTGATCCGGCGCGCCGTTCCCACGCCTGTGACTCCGCCCTGACCCTTCTCGATGACCTCCAGCGCCGCGGCGCCTACTTCGTGCATTGTAAGCCGCCGCTTTGCAGAGCAGAATCTATGCTAGGCCGCACGAAGTCGAGAAAGTCCCCCCAATGGCGCTCCCGCTGCAGGAGGGCAGGTTGAGCCGGGCTTGCTGCCACACTGCTGCAGTGCCCGGCTGCAGGCCGGCAAAGCCCACCACACAGGCTCTCGACATCGGCACAGCCATGCCGAGACGGTTCGTTGCCATTCCGAGCCTAGCTCTCTCTGTCTGCTGTCGTGCGATCGTCGATGCTGCGCTGCATCTCTCCTCGCGGCGGGAGGACGATGCATTGTGGGCCCACCTCGAGGCGCTCAGCAGCGGCGCACGGTGCGCCAGGCGGACTTGCGAGGCCCCACAGCAGCCACGCGCTCGCACGGCCCGCCAGCCAGCGGACGGTACCGCGGCGGGCCGGCGTGGCCGTGCGCATGAGCAAGCCTTGATGCTGGCGATCCAGGCCACACGAGAGGGGCCAGCGCGGTGCGGGACGAACTGCTGATTGAACGGTGTAAGTGCACTACGGCCCGCTGATGGTGCCGCGGGCACTTCGGAAGGAGCAGCAGTCCCCGTCCGCTCGCTGCCCGCTCATCTGCGAGCAGCGAGCGGCGGAGCGAGAGAAGCGGGCAGTGCAAAGTATGCAGAGGCCTCATATGACTCCGCGCTCGCCGGAGAGGCGGCTGCTATAGCTAGAGACGGAGAGAAGCGTACTGTAGCTGCGCCGGTCAGCTCGCCACGGCAGCGCTGCACTGATGCGCAGGTCGTGCTTGCACACGACACCCCGAGCACCGAGCGGCCAGCGAACGGCGGCTCGAGGGCGAGGCCTCATCTCTGCTGCGGCACTAAGAACGGCGGCCCGCGCCGCCATCACCATCGAGACTCCGCGGCCGCGTCATTTGGCTCAGACGGCTGTCCTGGAGTGCCCCCGCACAAGCAGCGCAGAGCGGAAAGCGCAATCGCTGCGACCCCACGTGCTACAAGCCGGTCGAGGGTGGTCTGAGCACGCTCCCTCCGTACCGCTCCGTTGCTCCTGGTTGTCGCTCGACAGCAGCAGACCCACAGCCGCCACGGCCGCTACGGCCCGCCGTTCAGGGGCCGGGACGAGGTGGGTGCCGTGACGGTGGGTGTGTCGTGCGACAAGGAAATGCGGTGCGCCTCCGCCCAAGAGCTCATCATCGGTCGCAGCAGCGCAGCCGACTGCTCGTGAGGCCAGCAAGGCAGATGACTGCTGCCGCGAGGGCCGGAGAGACGCAGCCATGGACCGTGCTCACAGATCGATTAGACTGCTGAGGCCTGCCTTGCGCTTCGCCATCTGCCCAAGCGGAGGTACGGTGAAGGGCACGAGGCCTCTCTCTGCCACAGAGCGAGTCGCTTCGACGCTCCCGTCTACTTAAGCAGGCGTCTCTACGCCCAGCATCGCAGCTCCCCACCTCTCCGCATCTTGCGACCCTCACTCACCCTCTCAAGCACCTTTCACCTACTCACACCCACCACACCCGCCGCCATGCCGCAGCGCAGCACCATCGACCCACGCGAGAAGCAGCTCAACGTGCCGAAGCGCCACAAGGTCGCCATCTTCCGCGAGCAGGGCGGTCCGATCACCATCGAGGACGCCGACGTCGTGCACGACCTGCCGCGCGGCCAGGCGCTCGTCCGCGTCATCTACTCGGGCGTCTGCCACACGGACCTGCACGCCAACCTCGGTGCGTACTAGACTGCCACGGCCTGCTCGGAGACAATGTGCTTACTCTCTCTCTCTCCTCTCTCTCCAATAGGCGACTGGCCCGTGCCCAACAAGCTCCCGCTCATCGGCGGACACGAGGGTGCCGGCGTCGTGGTCAAGCTCGGCGAGGGCGCGGACCAGCACGTCAAGATCGGCGACCGCGTCGGCATCAAGTGGATCAACTCGAGCTGCGGCGACTGCGTCTACTGCCGCAAGTCGCACGAGCCCAACTGCGTCAAGGCCGAGTGCAGCGGCTTCTCCGTCGACGGCAGCTTCCAGCAGTACGCCGTCGCCGACGCCAAGTCGCTCACGCCCATCCCGGCGGCGCTCTCGCTCGAGACGGCCGCACCGCTGCTCTGCGCCGGCGTCACCGTCTACAAGGCCTGCCGCCAGGCCAACTTCACGCCCGGCGACACGGTCGTCATCGTCGGCTCGGGCGGCGGCCTCGGTCACCTCGCGACGCAGTACGCCAGCTACATGGGCGCGCGCGTCATCGGCATCGACACGGGCGCCGACAAGAAGGCGCTGAGCGCCAAGTGCGGCGCCGAGGTCTTCATCGACTTCAACCAGAGCAAGGACCTCATCGCCGACATCAAGGCCGCCACGCCTGATGGCCTCGGCCCGCAGGCCGCCATCGTCGCGGCGTCGGGCGCCAAGGCGTACGAGCAGGCGCTCGAGTACCTGCGCCCGCGCGGCACCCTCGTGCCCGTCGGCCTGCCGCCCAACGCCACCATCAAGGCCGACGTCTTCTGGACCGTCTTCAAGAGCCTGAGCATCGTCGCCAGCTACGTCGGCAACCGCCAGGAGGCCATCGAGGCGCTCGACATCGCCGCGCGCGGCAAGATCAACGTCGTGTCGCGCACCCTCGGCCTCACGGACCTGCCGGAGGTGTATAAGCAGATGCATAACGGCCAGATCGCGGGACGTATTGTGCTTGACATTGACCGCTAAGCGGTGATGCTCGCTCGCTGCGGGCCAGGCTCGGCCTCCGTGTCACGCCTCGCGCCGCCTAGTCGACCCGCTCTGTTCCGTCTCTGCTCCGCTACTCACACACTACTACTGCCGTTCCTCACGACCCACCCGAGCTGCGCCTCGCCCGCCGCGACCTCGCAGCCGTGGCCTGGCGACGCGCTCCGTGCTCCGAAATGTCAACCGTCGCGACATGCTGCGTTGTGCGTGAATGATGCTCGATTGCGACGCGAGAGAGACGGGGATGGTGGAGGTGAAGGAGCAGCAGCGCCGTCCACACCGCGTCCGCTGCACCGCCTCGCCGGCCACACGTGACGCCCGATGCGAGCCGGCGGCCCGGCAGCAGCGCGCGGCGCTGCATGAGCTGGCCGCTGCGCCGCCTTGTGCCTGCCGCTCTGGCGGTGACGTGCCTCTGCTGCGCCGCCTGCGCGCGGCGGCCGACAGCAGGCAGCGAGGCTCTGCGAATAGAAGCAGCTCCCGGCGGCCCTCGACGCCCACGGGTGGCCATATGTGCCTCGCAGCGAGCGTTCTAGGCACAGCTGTGGGACTGCTGGCGGCTGTGAGGGGTCGTGAGCTCACGGCGATGCGTGCGCTGCTGCGCTGATGGCCCGCCTCTCCTTGCGTGGCTTGCACGGCGCGCGGCGTCTGTGCGCGGCGGCGGTGTTGCATGCCGCCGCCGCGGCCGTCTCTCGCTTCGCCGCCGGGCGCGGCTGTGCGGCCGCGAAGCTCCACCTCGCCGCTGCCTTTCCATCCACCACCACCCACCACCACACGTGCATCACACACCATGGCTGACCAGCTTGTGCGTCGCCCGCAGCCGCTGCGTCCTGCGCTGCATTGCTGACCCTCGCACTTGCCGCAGACCGAGGGTGCGCCGCGCCCGTGGTCGCGCTGCCAGTGCGCAGCCGCGTGTTGCTCATGCTGATCTCTTGCTCCTCTCGCTGCGTTGCATCTGCAGAGCAAATCTCCGGTGCGTTCTGCTCAGCAGCCTGTGTCTGCTACCGCCGCTGAACGTGCCGCCTGCCGCAGAGTTCAAGGAGGCATTCTCCCTCTTCGACAAGGGTGAGCCGCACCAGACGACGCTGGCCTGCCGCATGAGCTCATCTCCACGCAGACGGCGATGGCACCATCACCACCAAGGAGCTCGGCACGGTGATGCGCTCGCTGGGCCAGAACCCGACCGAGGCGGAGCTGCAGGACATGGTCAACGAGGTCGACGCCGACGGCAACGGCACGATTGACTTTCCCGAGTTCCTCACCATGATGGCGCGCAAGATGAAGGACACCGACTCCGAGGAGGAGATCAAGGAGGCTTTCAAGGTCTTCGACAAGGACGGCAACGGCTTCATCAGCGCCGCCGAGCTGCGCCACGTGTGAGTGCCGATGGCGCGTGCCCCTGCGCGGCACCTGCTGACCGGGCGTCTTGTGTCTGCAGCATGACCAACCTCGGTGAGTGGCAGCGAGTGGGACGCAGCCAGAGGCCGCGGCGGAAAGGACAGGGCTGCAGGAGTGGAGCTGGCAGCGGTCGAGAGTGGCACAGCGATGCGGAAGCCTGGACTGGCGGCGCGCAGGCTGCCTGTGCTGCACGATAAGGCCATCGGAAGCTGCGAGCATGCCCTTGTGCACCGCAGGCGCGCATTCATCTTTCGCGGGATGCCTGCGTGAGGCTCAGGAGAGGACCTTGCGCTCGCACTTGCAGGATGCAGACGTGTGGTCCGCGTTGTGCCTTTCGAGAGGCGACTGGTGGCCGCGCGCTGCTTGCTGTCGCGAACAAGCCCAGGTCGCCGCACTTGCTGTCGCGATCGATGTTTCGCCAGCCGCTGACTGCGGAACTTTCGCTCACACATGCTATCCCTGCAGGCGAGAAGCTGTCGGACAACGAGGTGGAGGAGATGATCCGGGAGGCCGACGTCGACGGCGATGGTGAGTGGCAGCGGTGCTAGCCCTGTGGAGGACAATGCAGGACGCAGCGTGTAGCGAGCGGATGTCGAAGCGCCAGTCCATGGCCTGGCGCGCTTTGTGTGCCATTTCTCTGGGCTGGCGATGCAGAGCCGGCGAGCAGCACTCCCAACAGCTGCTCACACGCGCTCCCACAGGCCAAATCAACTACGCCGAGTTCGTCAACATGATGATGTCCAAGTAGGCGCAGAGCCACGATCGCCGCGTGCTCCCGCCGTCCCCATTTCACTTTGCGTCCGAAGCTGCGCGTCGACGGGCGGTGCTTGAGAACAGCGGCGGGCGCCTGTCAATTCGAATGAGGTGCCTCGAGTGTGCAGCGTGCAGCAAGACTCGCTACTGAGGCCACAGGCGAAAGAGGGCACCTAAAACGGCTCGCAGCGCCGCGCGCGCTGAGGCAGCACACGGCGAGCTGACGCCCAAGGGGCCGGCGCGTCGATGTGGCGCGAGGGCGTCGCTGCGCCATGCGGTGCGTCAGGCACACGTCTCCTGAGCCTGGACTAGACTGCTAGGCACAGCGCCTGAGCAGCTGCAGCATCAGACAGACGGCGCCTGAGCAGGCTCAGGGGGCGCTGCGGCAGCCGGCCGGGAGCCCCTTGACGCGTGGCGCGCTGCTGACGCGTAGATGGGCCACGGCCGCGTAGAGCGAAAGCGGCACATCGGAGGCTGATCGGGCCGCGAGCGCCGCCGCCGGCTTCCTCTCCCACCCTCACCGCCTCGTCTCTCGGCCCAGCATACACTCACTCATCCGTGCTAGCGTCACCCTCTGCTGCCCATCGCGCACCGCCAGCATGCCGCCGCCCGCACCCGCCGGCGAGCGCAGTGGCGCGCCCGACCAGCGCCGCATCTCGGCCAACGCGCCGCACCTCGCCGCCCAGCGTGCCGTCGCCTCGTCCGACAAGACGGTGTGCAGCTGCGAGCGCTCCTCAAGCGTCGAGTCCCACGTCTGTGCGGCCTGCGAGAGCGCCTCGCGCCAGCCCGTGACGCCGTGTCGTCCGAGGGTGCAAGAGTCTCGCGGCGAGCAGAGCGCCCGCTCTGCTGCAGGCAGTGCTCCTCGCACCGTGCTCCGTCAAGCATCGCGCATGGAGCCCATCGTCGAGGCTCACGAATCCGCCATCGCCGCCGCAGCCAAGGCCAAGAAGTCACCCGAGGCGCCGCCGCCGCGCGAGGCCGCCACGGGCACGCTGCACCGCTCGGCCTCGCGCACGCCACGCACCTCGCCCTTCCTCCTCTCAGACCCCGTGACCTCGCTCGAGCATCTTCTACCTTCGTCACCGGCCCAGTCGCAGCCCCAGCGCAAGCCGCCGCCGCAGCGCGCCTCGAGCACGCGTCAACGCACCGCCAGCGTGCAGGCCCTGCCACCCGGCTCGGCACTGCGCGACGCCAGCATCGGCTGCGGTGGCCCTGGCGTGCTGAAGCTCAGCGAGTCCGACTCGGCGCTACGCTCCTCGGCGCCTCGCCGTGGCATTAGCCAAAGTCCTACTCGAGTGCACGGCCGCATGCCGCCGCCGAAGCCGCTCAAGATGAGTGCCGAGCCGCGCCGTGCGCTGCAGCCGCGCACCAACTCGGGCCCGCTCGTGTCGCACAAGCGTGTGCACTACGACGATGCCATCGTCGACGATGAGCCCGAGCCGGCAGGCCCAAGCAAGAAGGCCAAGGTCGGCCTGGCGGCGCACGAGGACGTCTTCGGCCCGGCGCCGCCGCTTCGAGGCGCACGCGACCAGCAGGTCATGCGTCGCAACGGCACGCCGCAGGGCAGCGGCAGCCGGCCCAACGTCCGTGTACCAAGTCTGGAGGTGCTGAGCGAGATGCGTGCCAGCAGCTCGCATGTCGCACATCAGTCACAGCAGCAGCAGCCACAACAGCAACAGCCACAGCAGCAGCAGCCGCAAGATCGTCAGCGCGCGCCTTCGCCGGCTGAGCATCTGCCAGCGGCGCCGGTGAGCAAGACATCGTCGAGCATGATCGTCGTCGACGACCTCTTCACGCCCAAAGTAGCGGCCAAGCTCAAGGCCGATTACGGCGGCGACGCTCCTGCCGGCAGCAGTGCACCGCCTTCAGTCCCGCAGGACAAGCCTCAGCAGCCGGCTCCGGCTGTCGCTTCGTCAAGTCTCCCAGCGGCTTTTGAGTCTAGCGAGGACGTGAAGGCTGCGAAGCCTCCGACGTCACTCGCCGAGGACCGCAAGCGTGAGCTGCGTCCGGCCGCAAAGTCGCTGTCGCCCGACCCTGGGCTGTATGCGCCGCCGTCCGAGACCGCGGTGCTGCGCCGCGTCATGTCGCACGGCGTGCCGCCGCCGGCGCCGCCGCCAGCAGAGTCTGAACCGGAGCCGTCTGATCTTCTGCAAGAGCCGTCGCGCTCGCCGTCGCCGGATCCTGAGTGAGCAACGTCGCCCTCTCGAATTCGCCTGATCGCAGCACTGACACCTTCCTTCCTCAGCGAGCCGGGACTGACGGCAGCGCAACGTCGCGAGATTGCGCGGCTCAGCGCATGCTACGACGCGACGAGAGAGTCGGCACGGGACGTGCTGTACGACTACATCGTGTGTCTCTCGTCGAACCTGCCGGGCATGCCTTCGGCCGTGCGAGTGCTGCCGACGGAGGAAGCCACGCACGCGGCACGTGGTGAGTGCTGTAGCGAGCCTCGCCCGCTGCGTTCTAGCCTTGCTGACCATCGTCTGCGCCTCTTAGTTTCTGCCTTCTTCCTCGGCGGCCTTCAGGCGGTCCAGACGCTCCATGACTGCCTCCGAGCGCTGGCTGCGGGCAACCTGTGCCTCGACGATGTCGAAGACCTTCGCTTTGCGGTCGACGTCTGAGCATCCGCGGTGCCTAGCCGCGCATTGCCCTCCAGCCACCTCGTCCATCCAGCCTGTAGCATACCTGTACCCGTCCTTTCGCGCCGGACCTGCTCCACCATTGTCACATCCACGCCACCGCTACCCAGACCATGACTGCATGATGATGTCTCTGTCATTGAACCACGAGTCGCAGGATGTGTCGGTATCTCAAAGTCTGCCCAGCTCTCCTTCCCCTACGCGCGCGTGCGTTTCCGCTGACTGCTGAGGACGGACGTGAGGTGTCAGCTCGCACTCTGCAGAAGCAGGCGTTCTGGACTCACCCGCGCGGCTCCTCCGCCTCGCGTGCCCATGCCGATGCTGCACCCATACCGCCCGATGCGGCCCCGGCTGCGCCGCCGCTGCTGCCGAGCCCGCCCGGCCCGCTCTTCTCGAGCAGCTGGTGCAGCGAGCCCTCGAGGTACTGGTCGTGGTCGGCGCGGTTCGCCACGCTGACCGCGTCCTGGCCGCGAGCGCGGTCGATGCGTTCTGCGAGCGTGCGCAGAAGCTCTTGCGTCGTCTTCTCCCTGTTGGCGCCAGAGTCAGCGCCGAGCAGATGCAGACACGCGTTGCTGCCGGGCACTCACCACTCCGCCAGACCCTGCTCCAGCTGCAGCACCTCCTCGGGCCCGCCGACATCGCGGCCGAGGCAGCCCTGCACCTCAACTCGCGCCGCGCGCTGGTCGAGACGCGCACCGAGGATGCCGGCATACACGGCGTCGATGATGCAGTCCTCGAGCGCACGCACGGGCTGCGCCACGGGCGTGGACGCGCCGCTGGGCGCCTGCACGTCGAGGTGCAGCGCCTCGAGCAGCGTGGCATACGGCACGATGCGCGCGCTCGAGCAGAGACGCAGCAGTGTCAGATGCCGCAACTTGGCGACATGTGCCGGGCGCAGCGGCGGGAACGAGTCGGGCGAGGCGATCCAGTCGCTCAGCTCGCCGTAGGCGAAGAGGCGCAGCAGTGCGAATGCGCGTGCGTGAGGTCCGTCTGCCAGCTGGAGAGGCGAGTCAACACACACGGGCGCCTCTACGTAATGATGCTGCTGAAGTGTGCACACTGTAGCTCTCCAGCCAGATCATGCTCCGCCGCGGCGCTGCATGCAGCTTGGCTCATCTGCCGCACTGCACCTTGCCCCCCACCGACTCAGTTCTACAGCTGCCCTCGCACTCACCTGCCGGATGCCAGGCACCGCGAGCAGCTCCGCAAATGCATACACGCCCGGGGCCGCCGCAGCGTCGGAGCAGAGCTGCGCGGCCGCGGCGCCACTAGCTGTCTGCGCCAGGTGCACAAAGGGCGCCAGGCGGGCGCGCGACGCCGCGGCCGCCGCGGCCGAGGCCGAGTGAGCCATGGCGGAGCAAGCAGGTGCCGACTGCCGCTTGCAGGTGCGCTGAGGCCGGTCTGCGGTACGCAGGTGGGTGTGCGGCGAGCGCCGTGCAGTCGAGGGAGCGCGGCGCGAGGAAGAGGGCGATGAGCTGGCGGCGGTGAGGGTGCGAAGCCAAGGAGCGCTCGGCGAGCAGCGCACGGACTGCACGCGCCGCGGCGCGGCGCGGCGGACCGAGTGGAGGCCCTCGCGCGCTGACCCTGAGGACGCGCCAGCTTAACGTCACCTCGACGGCAAGCCACCACGCCACTCCTCTTCTTGACCACCACCACCTCTCTTCATCATGTCGCTCTCGCTCGCCTCCACCATCCGTCTCAACGACGGCCGCGCCCTGCCGCGCCTCGGGCTCGGCGTCTACCTCAGCAAGGGCGCCGAGGGCATCACGGCCATCTGCACCGCGCTCGAGGCGGGCTACCGCCACATCGACTCGGCGGCGTTCTACGACAACGAGAAGGAGGTGGGCGAGGCGGTGCACAAGTGGGGCGGCGAGCGCGATAGTGTGTGGCTCACCAGCAAGGTGCATAGCGCAGTGGGAAGAGGGGCTCTGGGTGGCGGCATGCTGACATTGGAGGCAGATCTGGGACTCCGACCACGGCTATGAGCGCTGCAGCAAGGCCGTCGACCGCAGTCTCAAGAAGCTTGGCCTGCCATCATGGGATCTGATGCTTCTGCACTCGCCGAACCCGGGCAAGGCCGCCGTGAGTCTCGCCCACGAGCCTTGCTCCCCTTTGCTTGCCCTTTGCTGACATGCGCGCGGCGGTGACAGCGCCTCGAGGCATGGCGTGCGCTCATCGATGCCAAGAAGGCGGGCAAAGTGCGCAGCATCGGCGTCAGGTGAGCTTCGCATCTCGACGCAGTGCCCCCTCCCCACCCCTGGCTCACGCTCGGAGCAACTACAGCAACTACGGCGTGCACCACATCCAGGAGCTGCTCGAGGCCTTCCCGCAGGACCCTCCGGCCGTGAACCAGATCGAGCTCTCTCCCTTCTTCCAGCGCGCCTCCATCGTCGCCGAGTGCGCCAAGCACGACATCGTCGTCGAGTCCTACTCGCCGCTCGGCAAGGGTGCCTTCGTCGACCTGCCGGAGCTGCAGGACATCGCAAAGAAGTACGGCAAGACGCCGTCGCACATCCTCATTCGCTACGTGCTGCAGAAGGACATTGTCGTGCTGCCGAAGAGTGTCAACCCGGATCGCATCAAGGCAAATGCGGACGTTTATGGCTTTGAGCTGGACGCCGAGGACATGAAGACGCTCGATGGCTTCGAGACCGGCAGTGGGATCACGTGGGACCGTCAGTTCCACGCTTGCCTGCTGGCCCTTGCCCTCCCTGACGCCTGCTGCTACTCTCAGCTACGACGGCGCCTTGAGCCTCAGACTCTCGACTGCATCAGCTCGTACTCTGCGCACATCAAGCCTCGTCTGTCCCGTCCGTAGATCTGCAATGTCAAACGCACGCGCACCTCTGCTTTCATCAGTGGCATTGCATCGTCACCGCGGCTCGATGTGCAGCTCGGCGACAAGCCGCTCCGTGATGCGCTGATGCAGCGCATTGATCTCGTCGTTTTGCAGATTTCTGCGGGAGGCGCGTGGGATCAGTCTCAAAGCTCGACGGCTCCGGTAGCGGGGGCACGCTGAAGGCAGACTCGACGCCGGCTAGAGACTCACCGGTCCATGCTGCGGTAGTTGATGCGGTAGCACTGGCTCCTGCGGCCCGTCTTGGGGTGCGTGAACTCATCGATGAGCTCGACGCTCTCGGCCAGGTCGTGTGCTTCGTCGCGCACGATTTCGGCCACGTCGTTGGCGTGCAGCTGGTGTGCCTTGGGCAGCCAGAACGACACGTCCTTGAGACAGGCCGGGTACTTGGAGTACGGCTGAAACGTGACGAGCGCCGCTGCGTCGTGGGGCTGAGAGGCGAGAGAAGAAGGAGAGGAAGGCGAGAGGCCTCCGGCTGCCGAGGAGCCGGCGCGCACGTCGGCGAACTGCGAGAGAAAGCGCGCGTCTTGGGACCAGAAGAGACGAATGTCGGGGATGGAGTGCAGCACCATGGCGATGCGCTCGAGGCCCAGTCCAAACGCCCAGCCGACCTTGCCGGGGACGTCTGTTTCGCGCGCAACACAGTGAGCAGAGCCGGCACGCAGAGGACGCGAGAAAGGCGCGACTCACGCGCGTTGACGAGCGTCTGCTCCATGACCACTCCGCACCCGAGGATCTCGAGCCACTTGCCGCGGAACCACACCTCGACCTCCAGACTGGGGCTCGTAAAGGGAAAGCTAGCTGCGATCCAGCGGACATGCAGCGGCTCGTGCTCCGCGCTTGCTGCTGCGCCGCTGCCCTCGGCGCCGCCCCGCGCACGCGCCGCAGCTGCCACGTCGGCGGCGTGCCGCGGGCCGAAGAGCTCGAGGGCGAGCATGTTGAGTGTGCCCTTGAGATGCCGCAGGGAGAGCGCTGCAGCGCGGGCCATCTCCTGCGACACTTGATGCTCAGGCTGCCATCCTCCCGCCTCGTCCAGATCCACGTCGTCGTCGATGCGAATGCCCGCATTCGCCAGGCGCGCCTCGAGCGCCTCGCATTCCTGCTCGACGACGCCTCCCGCTGCAAAGTCGAAGAGTGCCCAGACTGCCGCGCCCTCCATCTGGTGAAAGACGGGATAGTGAGAGGCGTCGATCTCATCGCGACGGTAGACGTCTGCCGTCAGCAGCCAGCGGTCGTGTCCGGCGGCAAAGACCTCGACTTCGTGTGCCGAGGTGTGGGTGCGCAGACACGTGGCGCGGTTGAGGTAGTATGTGTCGCTCGGCGCGCGTCCCGGATGATCAGCGGGGAAGCCGAGCGAGCCAAAGTTGACGTCGACATCAACGACGGCCACGGGTGCGGGGATGGGCGTGTGCGCGGGGAGCAGACGCTCGATGCGTGCGCGCAGCTGCGCGAGCGGATGGGAAGGCGCGTAGAGCAGCGCCGGCTGGGGCGCGATGCGCGCGAGGATGGAGGCGGGCACGTTGGTGTAGTCGTCTGCGGCGTAGCGGCGCCCCAGCACCGTCGTGGGCGGCCGTGCAGGCGCCTCGCGCGAGGCAAAGCGGCGCCCGCACGGCACGCCGCGCGGCAGCACGGGCAGCCGAGACGCAGCCAGAAGCAGCAGCGGACGGCGTGCGAGAGCGAGGGCCATGGCTGCACGCTTGCCCAGTGAGGGCGAGGCAGAGGAGGATGGTGGACCGAAGGGAGGAACGAAGCGGCGAGGAGGCGGAGCGGCGAAAGCTCAAGGCGCGTGCGGCCCGAGTTCCGAGTTGCGCTTCTCGCAGCGCTACTCAGCTCGCCATGCTTCTCTGCTTCGCTCCACATCCCCCTCTCCGCCGCCCATCATGGACGCCGCCGGCCCTTCCACCGCCACGGCAGCGCCAGAGGCGTCTGACACTCCCGCGCCGCTCTCCAAGAATGCCCAGAAGCGCGCCATGCGCGCCGCCGCCGCCGCCGAGACCAAGACGGAGCGCCGGCGCCTGGAGAAGCAGCGGCGCAAGGCGCGTGCGGCGCAGCGCCGCCAGGAGGCCGAGGCCAAGGGCGAGCCTGTGCCGCCGGCCAGGAGACAGAAGCGCCTGCCGCAGCACCAAAAGACGCTGCATGGCGCAGGCGTGTGCATCGACTTGGCCTTCGATGAGCTCATGACGGACAAGGTGCGTGCCACGGAGCGCAGAGTGAGGCGCTGAGGCGCAAGTGGGCGAGGCGAGCTGGTGCGCAGTGTGAGGAACCGAAGAGGCAAAGACGGGGTGGGTGCGCTTGTTTCTGCTGCGTGGTTCGCGGGCTGGCGACGAGCACTGCATCTGACACGTCTCTCCCTCCCTTGCCGCAGGAGATCATCTCTCTCTCCTCGCAGCTCACCTTCCTCTACTCCTCGCACCGCCTCGCCGCCTCCTCTTTCCGCCACATTCTCTTCTCCGGTCCCGGCTCCACCTCCAATCGTGTCCTCGCAGCGCGCACCGCCGAGTCGTACGGCCGCGCACCCGTGCCTGCGGAGCAAGCACAGGAGATGGATGGTGTGCCGCTCGAGGAGACGTTGACGGGCGCGAGGATGAAGAAGGCGTGGATATGGGACAACTGGAGAGGCACGCAGAGGGTGCTCAATGGCGGACTGGAGGGACTGTTGCTCGCTCCGGGCGAACCAGCAGCGGTGGAGGAGGAGAGACAGGCTGTGCACGACAACGGCAGCACGCCGCTGCATGCAGAGGCGGAGGCCTCGGACGAGGCGGCCGCCGCTGCAACGGAGGAGCTCCATGCAACTGAAGATGCTTCGACCTCAGCAGCGGCCTCGTCCAGAGCTGTACCGACACCGCGTCCTCCGCCTCGCTTTGCGCCGAACGACGTCGTCTATCTCACGCCCGACACCGACGAGACGCTGGATGAGCTGGAGGAAGGCAAGCTGTACGTCATTGGCGGCATTGTCGATCGGAATCGCCACAAGGTGTGTGTGCTCTCCACCCCACGCCTCTCTCTTTCTTCACGCCTTCTTCTCGCAACGCTGTTCCATGCTCATTCGCCGTCCGCCTTGCCCAGCATCTCTGCCTGGAGCGTGCCAAGGCCCTAGGCGTGCGCGTGGCTCGTCTGCCAATCGACGCGGCTCATCTCGGCGAGCGTGCCTTGGCGCCCCGAGCCGTGCTGACGGTGAATCAGGTCTTCGACATCCTTCTCGGCTGGTGCGTTTCCCGTCCTGGCAGCAAGCGACCAGAGGCCGCTGTCCAGCCGCCAGCAATTACTGACGCGCCCTTCATCCCTCTTCGTCTTGCGCTCTCGCAGGATCGAGACTCGCGAGTGGGGCGCCGCTTTGGACCGCGGTCTGCCGTCGCGCAAGCAGGAGCGCGAATCACGCTCGGAACGACGCAAGGCGAAGCGGAGAGCGGAGAGTCAGGAGCGCTCAGACGAGGGCGAGGAGAGCGATGCGGTGCCCGAGGCGCCCTTGCTGCTGGAGGAAGAGATGGAGGACGAAGAGGAGGCGTTCAATCGCGCTCGTGCGGCTGCTCAGGGCGCATGAGGTGGGCGAATGCCGGAGTAATAAAGTTACTATTAGGTGATTGCTTGCTGTCCGACGCGTCTATGAGGAGACGTTGCTTGCGACACGTGCCTCGGCACGTTCAATTGCGGCGAAGAGAAGCGGCCAGAGACGCTCGGTCTGACCAGGGCACAGCGGCCGTCAGTCCATCCAGTGAGTCCGGAAGAAGGCAGAGAGGCAAAGAGACTCACGTCGAGGTGCTCCAGCACGCGGACGTTTCTGCCGCCAGCCGCCCATCCCTCGTGTTCGATGGGCCACTGGTCATGGAACGCCACGACGGTCGCTCCCAGGTTGTGGCCCTCGCTTGTCTGCACCTCCACCCGGTATCTCTTCGCCTCCTCGTCTGCTTGCCCATTCGCAGCGCTGGGTGTGGGAGGGGCGAAGAGAGAGGCGTCGAGGAGATAGGCGACGCAGAGAAAGTCGTGCACGGGAGGCCCAGAGGCGAAGCCCATCTGAGAGGCGTACGCGGCGGCGAAGAACTCCATGGCGCTCGAGACTACGTCGCGTACTGGACTCGCGCCCAGTGAGAGGAGCTGCGCGTGTAGAGGCCGAGTCCAGATGGCTGAAGGGGGAGAAATGTGAGCGACAGACGCCGCAAGGAAGCTGGAGCGAGTCCAGGCCCTTTGGCACCCACCTTGATGCGTCACATTCAACCCGGCCATGATCACCGGCAGAGGAGAGTCACACACGATGCGTGCAGCCTGTCAAGATGTAAAATCAGCCCACGAAGCCGCGCCTCGCCGAGATGATGCCCCGCTGTGCTGAACGCACCTCTGGATCGACGAGGAAGTTGAACTCAGCGGCCGGCGAGATATTGCCGCTGACGCCGGGGTTGCCGCCCATGAGCACGATCTGGTCGCTGCATCAGCGCACAGTCTGATCGCTCCGTGCCGCGCCAGAATCCGTACCTGCTTGACTCCCTTGAGCAGCAGCTCGGACGGCGCCATCCTCAGCAGCAGGGCAATGTTGGTCATCGGACCAGTGGCCACAATGCTCAGCGGCTCTTCGCCCGCCTCGACGCGCGTGCGGAGCAGGGAAGTAAGATGAGAGACGAGCGCCAACGGTGCCGGACCGTCGGACGTGCGCTTAAGATGTGACTGCACGGAGGGAGAGGAGAGCTCTGGCCTGAGAGGGAGGCATCAGTGGGTGGGTCGACGGTCGTTCTGCGACTGGCAACCCACAGGCCCTTGACGCCGCCCAGTCCGTCTTCTCCATGAATGCTCGGTGCCGCCTTTGGCGTGCGCATAAGCGGCACATCGCATCCTCGTAGCAGCGGCACCTGCTCTGCGCTCGCACCAAACGCCGCGAGCAGCTTGGCGGCGTTGTGCCAGGTGGAGAGGCCGGCAGCATTGCCGCTGACGGAGCTGACGCCGAGCAGCCTGAGGGCGGGAGAGTGTAGCGCGAGGAGCAGGGCTAGCGCATCGTCGTGTCCGGGATCGGCGTCGAGCCAGATGGCGTGGGGAGTGGAGGACATGGAGCGCTTGAGAGGGCGAGAGGAGGAGAGCCGGAAGAGGCGAGCCGCAGGGAGACGCCGGAGGAAGAACAGGATGGGCAGAGGTGGAAGGGGCGAGTCTGTCGAGGAGAGGCAGTAAATGCGGGAGAGGCGGGGAAGGATGCACGTGGTGTGGAAGCAAGGAGCGAGCCGTTGGCCGGCGCATGAGCAGGAGGTGAGCTCGCTGTCAGTCAGAGTCTGAGTGTTCCGTGTCCCGACTCCGCACTCCTGAGCGCGGCCCGTGCACCCGCTCGGGCACTGGCTGCCGCTCGCCGTTCTCTTCATCTCCACATCACCCTCTCCCTCCAACAAGCGGCTCGGCAGCATCGTCTGCCGCGCGTGAGCGTTGCTGGCTCTGAGTGCCGAGCACCCCTCTGCCGCCCGTGCGGCGTCCACTCTGCACCGGCCGCCGCCCTGGCCACTCTGCCGCCCGCAACTACCGAGGCCGTCCAGCCGCTGCCACGCTCCGCAGCGTCGAAGAGGTAGGCTGCTTCGACAGAGCAGCTTGCTTCCCGAGCATTATCTTCGCACGCTGCAGCCTCGTGCGCTGGCGTGTGAGGTGGCGCCATGTCGCTCATTGCCGATCCCGAGTGAGTGGGCAGCTGTGCACAGACGGGGATGGGTCTCGAGCGTGCTCGCTGCTGGCCCTCCTCCAACATCGCTCCTGCACGGGCTGCGGACACTGAAGCTACTCCATCTGCCAGCTATGTGATCCACTCTCTTCGTCTTGCCTACTTGCGACACATCGACGACGTCGCCGGTCCCCGGATTCTGTCCTTTCCCTCCATCGCCCACCTCGATGCGCCCATCACTGGAGCAGAGGGTGCGCTCGATGAGGCCTCCTCCTCCTCGCCATCACGTCGCAGTGGCGGCGGTCATGCCGAAGCGGCGCCGCTGCCGGCACACGACTCGCACGTCGTCGTAGCCGGCCTGACGTCGGCGCGCTGCCATCCCGAGCTGCGCGCCGTGCACTCGCCCAAGCTGCGTGGCGCCTCGCTCTCCTCTGGCGCCTCCAATGCGGCATCTGCCAGCAGCGCGCAGCCTGCTTCGGGTCCCGCACCGCGCGTCGGCGCAGGGCTCAAGTACACCAACACCATCTACGGCGCTGGGCGCTCGGGTGCTCTCGGCATGCGCGTCTCGGGCCGGCGAGCACCGTCGCTCGATGAGCCGTCCGGCAGCAGTAGCCGCTCGCGTCCTACTCGACGGCGCAGCGCTGCGCTCGCCGAGGCAGCGGGCCGGCAGGCCGAAGACGACTCTCTGCGCGTGTCGATGGCGCGCAGAGGCAGCATGCAGAGCGGCACAAGCGGCACGGCTGGAGCAGCGACTGCCTCGTTGATGGCGGGACGACGCAGTCTGGACGTGCCTGCCTTGACGCTGCATGCTGCATCTGGAGAGAGCGGACGGCATCAGAGGCTCGTGGCGCCAAGCTCTTCCTTCTCGGATAGCGGTTTGTCTTCTCCGCCTTTGGGCCCGGGCTCACGACCTGTGGAGCGGAGCGCGAGCATTGCCGGCCCGGCACCGGAACGACAGCGCGATGCGGCACTACCGCAGGGAAGAAGAAGGAGCGCTAGTGAGGGAGCAAAGGCGCTGCTGGGCATGACGAGAGATAGAGGCGCAGAGGAGGAGGAGATGAACAGCCACGACGACGATGTCGAGTCGGTCGTGTCAGTGCGCAGCGTGGCGGCCCTGCGTGTCATGCTGACCACTCCACGGCAGGAGCGCCACGCCCGGTCTGCCGCGCCTCGAGTCCAACTCGACCGTCTTCTCACTCGCGTCCGTGCCTTCTTCTCGCCCGCGCCCGAGCCTCAACCTCGAGCGTCAGGGCAGCGTAGGCGGAGGCGCCGACAACACGCCCATGAACACGCGTCACTTCTTCACGCCCGTGACCGAGATCGACGAGCCTCACTTTACATCCCACGGCCGCAGCTCAACGAGCGACGACGAGCGAGCAGATGCAGGGTCGAGCGTCAGGCCATTACACATGCGCAAGATCAGCGGCACGACAGACTCAAGCGTGCCCGACATCGAAAGCTCCACGGGCGCCTCCTCAACCAGTGCCAGCTCTCCGGCACCGCACTTTGCACGCATGCGGGCCTCGACGCTGCCGCGCATGTCGCCGGGTCAGCCTCAGGCGGCGCCGCCGGCGCAGCTCGAGGAAGAAGAGGCGGAACAAGCGCTAGCGCAGTCGTTGGACGACGTCGAGCCCGCAGCGCCTATCCTCTCGGCCCTCGGCCTCGACACGGCAGACGAGAGTCTTGCGCCGGTGCCGCACGTCACTGCGCCGTCCGACACCTCTCGCGATCGGCCTCCCGCTGCGGGAGTAGCCAGGCAGCCTGCTCCATCGCAGCCGCGCTCCCGCTCCCAACTTCGTGCAGCAGCCAGCATGACAGGAGCGTCCAACGAGTACTTTGCCTCTCTCAAGCGCGACGTTCGCAGTCTGGCCGCACGCCCTGCCATTTCATCCCTCAGCGCGCAGCTCAAGGCGCAAAGTGCCGGTCCCGCCAACCCCTTCTCCAACACCTACGCTGGCGTCGGTGCGCGCTCAGGTGGCGGCATGACGCTCACGGTCTACTTTCCCTGGGCTGCCACGCAGCCTCGTCGTGCAGGCAAGCCAAGCAGCGAAGCGCTCTCCCTCGACGGGTCAGCGCGCTCGATGCAGCTCAGCGTGCGGCGCGACGCAAGTATGGAGGAAGTGGTGGGCTATGCCCTTGCGTGCTACGTCGACGAAGCCTGGCTGCCGCACCTGGATGACGGAATAGAGGCGAAGGAGCAGGATCGGCTGGACAATCGTCTGAGTACGATTGGCTGGGCGTTGCGGATTGTCGAGGACGGAGAGGTGGATGATGATTACCCGGCCATTGATCGCAGCCTGCTGGTCGGCAAGTTCGGCGCGGATGAGCTCGCAGTCGTGGAGGCTACGCCTGCGCAAGGTGAGTGCGACCGTGAAGTGGTCTTTCACGGCAGCTCACGCTCTCTCGACAGTACGGCAGCATCTCGCTGCTCTCACTCCCGCGCAAAAAGCAGCGCGTGCAGCGGTGCGACCCACACCTCGCAGCGACGTCGACGCAAGCGGTCCCTCTCGACTTGGCGCTTCCACGCTACCCGCTCCTCAGGCCGCGCGCCTAGCGGCAGCTGCGAGCAATGCGCCGGCCGGCTCGCTCGTCACCGTGCAAGGCACACCCATCTTTGCCTCCTCGGCCCTCTCGCGCAGTGCGCTCGGCTCGGAGAAGCCCATCTTTCTGCGCGTCGCCGTCACGCCGAACGCGGCAGTGCGCTACAAGACGACGCTGCAAGTGCCGTCGGACATGTATCTCGCCGATGTGCTCGAGATGATCTGTCGCAAGCGCCAGCTCGCCAGTCCGGACGAGTGGGCGCTCATCGTGCCGGACAAGAAGATTGTGGCGCCGCTGGATCGCACCGTGGAGAGCCTGGAGGGCAACCACGATCTTGCGCTCGTCAAGCGCTCGAGCCTGGGAGCTCAGGGCGGCGCCGGAGCGCTGACGGCGCAGAGCACAAACCCCAGCGGTGAGCTGCCTGCGGGACGCATGGCGCTGCAGCTACTGATGCGTCGGCCGCAGCGTCCATCTTCAAGCGTCTCTCGGAGCCCGGGCAGCCGCGGTACAACAAGGCCAAGGATGTGGCGTCGACGTACAAGGTGCGTCAAGCCTGGCCCCGGAGTGCTCGCCCGTGCCTGCACTCTCGCTCACATCGCTGGCATTGCGCGCGCGTGCCCCCGTCAGTCCTACACGCTCAACCGCAAGATGCCCATGTCTGTCGGGCGCCACGAACGCACGCTGACGCTCGATGGCGACTGGGTGCACATCATGTGCGTCGCGACGCCTCGTTCTGCCGCTGCTCGGGGGCTGACGTCTGCCTTCTCAGTCCAAACGAATCTCGAGCGACGCAGTTGCCCGCCGCCAGGTGAGCCTCTGTTGCCCTCCGTCTGCAGCAGACGGCAGTGCTGATGGCCCCCCTCTCCCGCTTGCCGCACAGCTTCCCCATCTCCTCGGTGCTCAGCTGTGCGCAGTCGACCAAGGTGCCGGCCAGCTTCAAGCTCGTCACCGCCAAGAAGCGCTACGACTTCGAGGCCGGCTCGCCGCGCGAAGCGGCCGAGATTGTCGGCGAGATCAACAAGCGCATGGCGGGCGCGGTTGCGTGAGCATAGACTGATTCGAGATCCGCGTGCGTCCACTAATACATCCATGGACGGAGCTTGTTGATTGTTGGCTGTCGGAGGCGTGTGGCGCTGTACGCAGAGCTGCTCGCGCGCAATGCGCGGGCAAGAGAGGGGGAGGCGACTGCGAGGGAGGAGAATAGAAATGCGGGAGTACGGAGGAGGCGCGAGTTGTTGTAGTGCCCTCGTTGTATTCGTCTCAGGCGTGCTGATCGGCCGCGCGCGCAGGTGCAGGTGCAGGCGGCGCCCGCTGCGCCAGCTCGGGCGGCCCGCCTGCGCCGTCAGCGCGCGCCCGCGCCCGCTCGGCCCCACGCCGCTCAGCGCCAGCTCCACTCCACTCCACCCCACCCCACCCGCTCACCCAGCCCTCGCACCGCGGCGCTCCTCTCTCCGTGTCTCGTGCTTGCGCATCTCGCACGCCCGCCAGCGCCACCGCAGACCGCGCTGCGCCCTCGTCGCACGCCGCAGCCCCATTGCTGGCTCGCCTCAACTCCACTCCACTCCCGCCCCCTTTGCTCCGCTAGCCCAGCATGGCGACGCGCAAGAAGGTCCTGCTCAAGGTGCGCCCTTGCTCCTTCGCCAAAACTTTGGCGCTTGGTGTGAATCGCATAGCTGACGCTCTTCCGCCCGCAGGTCATTGTGCGTAGCGCCTGTCTCTCGTGGCGAGAGGCGCCGTGTGGAGGCGGCAGAGATACGTGCTCTGCCCGGCCAAGGGGCAGGCTCGTGGCGCAGCGCGTGGTCTGGACGTATGCGCTTGGCAGCGCTTCGCTGTGCCAGCGCTGCTAGGTATCGCAATGCCGCAGCTGTCGCAGCCGTGCGCGAGAGCAGCGGCTCTACTGGCGCGGCATCCTCGCCTCTCTGAGGCAAATCAGCTCACCTCTCCCCCGTCCTCCAGATCCTGGGCGACTCAGGCGTCGGCAAGACATCCTTGATGAACCAATGTGCGTCTCTCCTGCGCCTTCTCGCTCTCTCGCCTATGTCTGGCGCTCCGACTGACGCTTTGTCGTCTCTCGCTGGGTGTGCACAGACGTCAACAAGCGCTTCAGCAGCGCGTACAAGGCGACGATTGGCGCAGACTTCCTGACGCGCGAAGTGCTTGTCGACGACCGGCTCGTGACGATGCAGGTGAGTCGTATCTCCTGCCGACGTGCTGCTGCGGTCTGCAGGCCGAAAGGCGCCAAGGACTGCCGCACTGGTTGAATGGCGTGTAAGCCGATCAGGGAGCGAGAGACAGCGAGAGGAGCGCGAACGATGCAGGGCATGAGGCGCGCGTTCGGCTGCACGCAGCAGACTCACCTGAGGGTGTTGGCCGTTCTGTGCGGTCGCCCGGGCTTCAGTGCCAGATGCGCATCAGCAGCCAAGCTTCCCTCTCGCGCTCTGCTCGCCGGCGCAGTTCGTATGCGTCGTGCCGGGCCCAGTGACTGACTCTGGCTTCTCAGCTCTGGGACACGGCCGGCCAAGAGCGATTCCAGTCTCTCGGCGTGGCCTTCTACCGCGGCGCAGACTGCTGCGTGCTGGTGTACGACGTCAACAGCGCACGCAGCTTCGAGACGCTCGACAGCTGGCGCGACGAGTTCCTCATCCAGGCGGGCCCGCATGATGCCGAGCACTTCCCGTTCGTCGTGCTGGGCAACAAGATTGATGTGGAGGAGAGCAAGCGGATGGTGAGTCGTGCCGAGGGAGAGGGAGCTGGAGGGCGGCGCAGATCGACTGGGAGGGAAGCGCGATGGCTTCGGCAGATAAGCGAGTCGCTGCGCCGCCGTGGGCGCATGGACCAAGCCAAGATGGCTTGCACGAACGGCAGCTCTCTAGGCCGCAGACAGAGCCCTGCGGAAGCAGAGAGCTCCATTGCGGCCCACGGCCCACTGTGCGGCGGTGGCATGGGGCTGACACCTCTCGCCGCACCCTGCCCAGGTCTCGCAGAAGCGCGCCATGACGTGGTGCCAGGCCAAGGGCAACATTCCGTACTTTGAGACGAGCTCAAAGGAGGCCATCAACGTCGAGCAGGCGTTCCAGACGATTGCGCGCAACGCGCTGCAGCAGGAGGCCGAGGCGGAACTGTGAGTGATGTGTCTCTTGTGCGCTCATTTTGGACAGGCTGACTGATGCGAGCATTGCGATATGAGGTACTCGGAGGCGCCGGATCCGATCAGGTGAGTCCTCGCGACGGCTATTCCTGCGTCACGGTCACTGACCTGTCCTCGCGGGCGCAGAATCGACGGCGACTACCAGCAGAGCGGCTGCAACTGCTAGGGCGTTACGCCGTTTGTGCGGTTGCCATGCTTTGCGCTCGTCCCAGCTCCGGCTCGCTCTCTTCTCTCACACTCTCTCTCGCGACTCGCATTCACAATCACATCTCGCCTCGTATATACACCCCCACACCGCCTCTCTCGTGCTGTCCGTCGATCCGCGCGCGCGCGCCCCGCTGCCTCCCTCAATACTCTCGCCGGGCCACACCCTCCTTTCGTTCGTGTGCTTCACATGACGCCGCTCGAGCGAAATGCCATGCACATCATTCCCCTTTATGTGTGTGTCTGCCCATGTGGCGCTCAGTTGCAAGTATGTGACCGGCGCGCGCGCGCGTCTAAGCGTCCTCCTCCTCCTCCTCCTCCTCCTCCTCCTCCTCCTCCTCCTCTCCATCCCATTCGCTCGGCTGTTCACCCCCCCTCCCCCTTCATGCCTCTGGTGCCGTAAAGGGCTGGACGAGGAAGTTGGAGAAGCTCTTGATCTTCTCGACGCCGCGGATCTCCTCTGTGAGCAGCGGGCAGCGGATGAGGTGGAACTGCGGGGGCGGCGAGAAGCGCGGGTGTGTGGGGGAGTGAGACGAGCGAAGGCAACTTGTTTGCTTACATCTTCGGCGTAGAGCTCTCGAGCCTGCGAGACAAATGTGAGCGAGGGGGAGGGCACAGCGC